ATAGAGTCTCCTTGTCGTTTAGAGTTTGTGGGGAATAATTCCCATATGGAAGGGAGACAAAACAGAAATTAGAATATAATGACTGCATTTAAGTAGGGATGTTTTGAGTTCAATTTTCCTATGCCCAATTTCCTGTGCCCTCATGTTTATTTCTTAATATTTCGCCACCTATCCCCATACTAAACCTAGAGATAACACCCGTTAACTCATGGTTCAAATTTCAAGACAACAAATACTAACAATTAAAATAAAATAAAAATTATATATTTTATTTTAACAATAACAATTTCCTTGGAAATTAGGCCTGTTTCTTTTCTTCCCTTTCTCCCAAATTCTAATTATCTTTGACTTGTTTTGTTATCGTGAAACATGAGGAACCAAGGGCGGAATCAGGAATTTTTCGACCGGTGGGCTAGCTAAATTTTTTAACTAAAATAAAACTATGCATTAAATCATATAAACCATGCTAATAGTATACATTAAATCAAATAAAAGTATAAACCAAGCAAAGTATGTATTAAATAATATGTTCAACAACATAATTAAAAGTGTACTAATTGAAGTTGTGCCCTACGATCCTTGAGAGAATTGAAATCTTTTGTTATTACATCTGAATTGATATTGTCAGCAAGTTCTTTGTCAATGTAGACAACCATAGAATCTGCTAGAAACTCATTCTCCATCTTGTTGCGAAGAGCTGTTTTAACAAGTTTCATAGCTGAAAAAGCTCGTTCAGTAGTTGCCGTAGAAACAGGGAGAGTTAGCACAAGACGAATCAACCTATCAATCAAATGATATCTTTTTGACCTTTTTGTTTCAACTAATCCCCGACATAATTTAGAGAGTGTAGACACTTTTTGTTTCAACTAATACGTTTCCCAGGGTCTCATTCCAAAAAAGCAATATCAAACTAGTTAGGTTCAACTAGGGGAGATGTGTGATGAGGTGACTCAATTGATGGTGAAGCCTTGTCATTGAATGTAGAAGCCTTGTCATTGTCTAATTTATCACCATCATTTTTTTTTCTTGAAGAATGAATCAATAGTTTTTGCTCTTTTACTTGCTTGGTTTTGATGTGACATTATAATCTAATAACACATATAAAAAACAGAACAATTTACTTTATACTAAACAAATCAATGAAAAAATAATAATAATTCGAGATTGTGAAGAGTTAGATACCTTTATTACGCGTGTTGACGATGAACTTGACTTTGGTAGCATAGAATACAAAACGCTGCAGATATTCTTTTGGGACTGCTAGGGCTAGGGCTAAGTTTCATAAATATGAATATCTTCTTCTTTTTTTATTAGACTGACTAAGATACGTATAAAGTTGCGTAGGACAAACTAGGCTAGGAATAGGATACTTCATCATATCAGACTAGGATACTTTATTCAATGGGAAACTAGAATACTTTATTGAATAGGAAATAGACCACACAACTTAAAATAATAATAAAATAATAAAAAGACAACAGCAGCCAGCCACCAATGGTCCAATGCATTGGCCACGTAATGCTGGCCCTCATAAATTAAGCACAACCACATCTAATTTTTTTTTATTTAAAAAAAAAGTCCCTGGGCTAGAGCCCACTCTAGCCCATATGCTAGTTCCGCCTCTGTGAGGAACATAACAAAATTGATTACATTTTTTGGATTGATCTTTGAAGAATATGTTACGCGTTTCTTCAGCAACTAAAAGAATTACTAATTTATTTTGGATATTAGTTTAGGGATTGAGAGGGAGGGAGAGAGTTGTTTTGTTTGTGTTTGTGTGTTTGTTTGACTTCAAGCCAAAACCAGAGAGATCGAAGGGTTTAAGTGCTAGAGTAACCCTTGAACTAGATGCGTAGGCTACAATCCCCTGAAGGTGGAGGTGAAGACATCGATATGGCGAGGGATCAAGACGGTGGAAGAGTGCCAATTTGGGCTTTATTATTGTTTCACTTCTGAAAGGATTGGGAGGGGTTTGAACTTTGATCGATGGGTTTTTCTCATTGGATGGTTAGAAAGCCAGAGGAAGAAGATGAAGAGTACATTAAAAACAAAGTTTTCTTTTCAATATTTGTTTTATTATTCAATATCAATTCGAGTTAACCTTCGTGATCTCTCTGCTAAGTATGGGACAGGTGGCGAAATATTAAGAAAGAAGCAGGAAGGCACAGGGAAATTGAACTCGGATGTTTCCAACGTAGACATTATAAGATGCAATCTCAACCGTTAAAACTGTTTTAATCTAATGGTCTACAAAGTGTGTCAAAAATGTGTGTCCCCCGATCCTGCACCTTCGTCTTCCGAAGATTGCATCACATCAGCACCTGCGTTTTCCAAAGACTATCACATCTGCAAGAATGAGGAAAAACCAAAAGAAATTTAGTTTCCGGACTTATATACAACAGATGCATTTCCTGACTTATACACAACAGATGCAACAGCAAACAAATGTATCAAGTAATTTGTTTCCTTTCCTAACGAGAATTGCAAGACAATTGAAGTTGTTCAAGAAATGCAAGCAAAGGTGTTCCAGACGTTCCTCAAACATCATATATTTTGGCCTATAACATATGTCATTGTTTCAGAATCAACAAACTAAGGGCAGAAACTTCTAAACTGTTTCGGAAATAGAATTCTAATCCCAGTCTTTCAAAGGAATTTCAGTTCACAGCTCCTGATTCACTCCACAATCACAGTTGCAGTTGTTTACTGAAAGTCCTATTTATCAAGTATCTTAAACGTTACAAATTACAATGTGACACTGTTTCAGTGACTTCCCAATGGGGCAGGCAGAATTGGTTTTCCTCTCTCGACTTATTTTTCAATGACTTCCCATTCTTTATTCACTCCTTTCCCCAATCTCCAAACAACTTCACATACATACAGTCATTCTAGGTCTGAATTGGTTCAAGTGTGTTAAATTGAATTGGGGTGCTTTTATTGATTGATTGATTGATTTATTATTATTATTATTATTATTTTACTTTGGGCATCTGATGATTCTCAATCACCAACATTACAAAAGGGAAACTTGCAATCTCTGTATGTTTTTTTGGCTGGGTGATTTACTATCAAAGAGTTGTTTATTTTTGGCAGAGATCATGCTATATGATTCTAATTTATTGGCAAATAACACAAATTTTAGGATACACCCTATTGAGTTCGGGAGCATTTTTGCTCACTACTTTAACCCAAGGTGTACCTGCACCGCCTTCTCAACACTTGCACATATCCATTGACATAACCATAATTTCATAAATACAAAGTAAAGAGTTAATTATGGTTATGCCAATGGACACATTTTAAGTGTTGAAAAGGATGGTGAGGGTACACCTTGAGTTAAAGTGCTAAGCAAAATATTTCCATTGAGTTCTAACCTCTTTTTAATTCTTTAGCTTGTAAAATAGTATGTTCTACTAATAGATGTATTTTGTCTCTCCCTTTAAAAGCATGTAGGGGTAGTTACTACCGTTTTCCCTCAAGGGTACCATGAAGGGTCATGAATAAGGCATTAGAAAACACTATGGATCATTGTTGCAATAGGTCCACATGATACCGGAGGCTCAGACGGAAGCACAAAGGAATACTAACCACCCAAGAAACGCCAATGGAGACCACCAAGGAGATACAGAGTTTAAGAAAACTCAACCCAATGGAGAGGCCACCAAGGAGATACGAAGTTTAAAAGTTCATAACTTTCATTTCAATGCTCAATGCCCCAGCAGAAACAAAATGGGGAGTTTTAAAAGCAATAGATCCAAGATACGAAGCTTTTGGCATTCCAAGACAATGATAACTTAGAAATATGCAAATGGGAAAACTCTTTTTCTGGACTCTTGTGTAGGTCTAGACAGCATGCACTACCTTCACTAAAATGACGATAAATTCTTTTAGAAAATTCCAAATGGGGCTCCGTAAAAAACCTATAAGCTCTAGACAGACTTGGCTTCCAAATTAATCTTGTCTGCAATTAAATTTCAGCATTATAATCCCTCCTTTAACTTCAAAATTCGGACCCTGGTACAACCCCTTGAGATTGAGTGATTAATGTAAGAATTTGGAATTCCTTTGGGGCTGAAATTAGGAGCTGGTTTCCACAAATTCCGGTGTCACCACATCTACAATACTAACCTTGGCGGTTACACTAGATTATTAGTACAGATACGGAACTGCTTTTAAAATTAAATGCACATACCCTTGACATCAATGTAAAAGACTGTCAAGTTCATTCGCAAACGTCATATGTAATATTCTGACAACAATTTCAGAGGAAAATCACATGCTAAGCAAGAGCTGGTGTGCAATATCGAGACTACCAAAAAATATAAGAGGTAGAATAGTACAAGCATGCAGAAAAACAGAGCAAAACTTCAAAGACACCAAATCAAGGGCAAAAGATTCCCTCCGTTTGGATGAGGAAAAATAATTCGGAATTTAGCTAAAAGTTGGGAATTAAAGAGGAGAAATTGACAATTCCCTTGTTTGGCAACTTAAGCGCGGAATTTCTTAAATGATGCGTGAAAAAAATCGTGGAAATTGGGGCATCAAATTCCCGAGTTTAATTTCCACCAAAATATGCGTCATTTCACAATTTCCATAGTGCCATTCACAAAATTCCGTCATTTACAAAATTTGACATACATAAATCCAGACACTGAAATCTTCAATTGCCAGAAATTGAAATGATGGAAATCTAAATTCCGCAATTTTAGACTTTTATGTAATTTTCAATTCCTTCATCCAAATGGAGGACCTCCTAAATGGAGTTTTACACCTAAGTAGCAGTCATCATCAATCAGTAACAACACGAGCTTTTCTAAACCCAGCTTTTGTTTTTTTTTCTACCTTCAACAACTGAAATGGACAAATTCCTGACTCAAGTACAATAGGTTGCAAAGTCACTAAATAAGTCAGATAAAACTGACTCTGATTTTTATTTAAATACTATAGATACTTTGAGGTTTAAGAGAGAGAAAAAGATAGCAATACCTTTTTGCATGTTGTTATGCTGCAGAAATTGCTTTGTACCCTTCCTTTTCTAGTACCTCTGCTAAGGAGATGTTGCCTGTCTTCACAATTTTCCCATCCTCCTATGAAATTAATCATTTAAACAATTAAATCCAAACTGAAAGTGAATCTAGACAGCGGATGTTTATTTATTATTCTGTATAATTTCTTGGCAGTCAACCATATCGAGTACCTTTTCTACGCCTTCTAAAACATTAAACTTTTCATTTAACAAAAGAAACAGATTTTGTTTTTCCAGTTCTAGTAAATTAAGAACATGTAGCTCCAAAGTTACGCTCATTTTATATATTTTCTACGCTACAAGCATCTGGGGCTTTTATAATAAAACTCTCTAATTTTGCCCTGTTTACTCATTGATAAAAATAAAAATGAGAGGCAACTCACAGGGAGGCATGAAGAAAGCCACTAAAAAATTCCCCGGCATATTATAGGGCAAATTATGTGTTCTTCTTTCCTAGGGGAAATAATAATGGAGTCCATTACTGTATCAGGGCATCTGATGGCATTCTATCCACTCGACCTATAGCGCATTTGCTTACATGGGGCCATAACCATTCAGATAGCAAAGCAAAATTCTAAACCATGTGTTTAAGTAGTCCTAGATGATTCACAATGTCATACTTACTTTAAGGAATTCCTTTTTACTTGTTCCTTTTGTTTTCTAATTTCATGCAACAAAAAACATGAACTAAGACCCAAAACCTTTCTCATCCATTTATGTTTTTATTTTTTCCAATGACTTACCATGATATGGATGCATGTTGGCTTTATAAATTCTAGAAGTCGTAGATAATGAGTAATCATCAATACAGAATTTCGTGGAGTCAGTAACCCATTCACTGCCTTTGCTACATCTCGAAGTGCATCAACATCCAACCCAGAATCAATTTCATCTAATATAGCCAATTCTGCCCCCAAAACCTGCATTAAGACGACGCATATGAATACGGAAAAGACATGCAATGAAGAAAGTACAGCTTAACGAAATGTGAAGGGATGACAACCTATTAAAATCTTACTGCTATATTTTCCAAGAAATACAAATATCGTAACTGCACTATATATACAACACGCACTAGGCATTTTCTTAAGAATAAAGTTTTGTTTTATCAAAATCACGTAAGCAAGAAGATTAACTACGAATGATAGCCATACCGCCAGTTGTAAAATCTCATTGCGCTTCTTTTCACCTCCACTAAAGCCTTCATTAACATTTCTATTGAGGAAGTCGGTCTTCATGTTCACAAGATCAAGTTTGGGAAAGATATAAGCATAGAACTGCAATGAGGATAAACAAAGACATGAATGAACATAAACAAGATCAAGTTTGGGAAAGAAATAAGCATTAGAACTACAATGACATAAATAAAAATATGAATGAAGCATTAAACCACCAGAGTCAGCTGGTTTGAAAACAGTGAATGTTTTAGCTACCTCAATTGGTCCAAGCTCAGGCAGTCCTAATTTTTTTCTGCGGGCATTGTAAGCCATGTTGAGAAAATCAATGTTGGTGACACCAGGGATCTCAACTGGAGACTGGAAACTCATAAAAAGCCCAGAAAGTGACCGGTCTTCTGCTGCCATTTCCAGCAAGTTTTCCCCTTTAAACACCACACTGCCTCCTGTAACTTCGTATTCCGGATGCCCAGCCAGAACCTGAACTAATGAATCAATGAATGAATGTACGGATGCACATTTTCATTTTCTTAATTTTATCTTTTATATGAATTAGTTGATTAATTGTTCCGAATTAATTCCAAACAAGACAAAGACAAGGCAGGGCTAATAGGTACCTTGGCAAAAGTGCTCTTCCCTGAACCATTCTTTCCCATTATGGCATGAACCTCTCCTTGGTAGACGGTGAGGTTAACGCCCTTGAGAATCTCCTGTTTCGATTCGGCAATCACCGCCGTTAAATCCTTGACTTGGAGTAGCAGCTTCTTCTCTCCTTCCTCAACTTGACTGCTATTGCCTGAACCTGAAGTTTCCACGGCGGAGGAGAGGCTGCCTGTCACCTTCACCGGCGTCAGAGACCGGAGCTGGTGGTGGTTTGAGCACCAACGGAGAGGGCGGAGGAGGGCAGAACTTGTAAATACTGGAGAACTGGAGGGCAAATTATATCTAATAAGACAAGAAGGAGAAGAAGAAGAAGAAGAAGAAGATTGTGGTGGTGGTGAGGGAAGAGTGCAAGAAGGGTGATTAAATGGCAACAGAGCCATGGAGTTGCTTATCACTGCAAGTGCAAACCCTAATTCTAATTCTCTCTCTCCGAAAGTGGAAGCCTGCAAATTATGAAGATTGGACTTTGGAGGGAGTGACGATAACTAAAAAATAAATAAAAAGACAATAACTAAAAGGGCAAATTGCTGAAATACTCCTCCACTCAACCCCATTCAACTGAACCCACCGAACTAAAAAAATCAGCAAATTTAGCAAACCTATCCAAATAGTCAATTTGGCTGTTATCGTTAAGTTTTTCAAATTTCATCCAATTTTTCATTTCTAATAAAGGTAAATTTGTAATTTTGACTAAAATAAAAGTCAAATACATAAAACTAAATAAATAATTTTTTTTGAAAGTTAAAATAATAAAACTCAGCCCATAGCCCCACCCATCGATCCTAGGGAGAGGTGACAACAACTTTAGGCCCCGTTTGAGATTGCTTTTTTTCTCTAAAAACCTGCTTCACTTTAAAGTTAAGCAGTTTAAGGTGTTTGGTAAAAATAAAATATCCCGATTATTTTAAAAGCAGTGGCCTTTTGACAGTAGCTTTTAAAAACAGGCTCTAGGTTGTTTTTCAAAGCTGCTTTCAAAATAAGCAAAGATGAACTTTTAGTGAATTTTTTTAATTCCCAAAATACCATCATTCATTTTAAAAAATGACACCACCTCCACTTTCACATCCAACTCCACCACCACCTTCACCACCACCTCCTCCACCTCCACACCACCACCACAACCACCTCCTCCTCCAAAACCTCCACATCCACAACCAACACCACAACCACCACCATGCTGCCACTACCACCACCACCACCACCTCCATAATCGTCATCCCCACTACCACCACCACCACTACCATAACTACCAACTCCACCTTCATCACCACCATTACCTCCACTCCATCACTACCACTACCTCCACTCCATCACTACCATTACCACCATGATTAGTACATAACACTTACATCATGTCTATTTTAGTAATTATTCACAGTTACAACAATTTTATATTAAAATTTACCAAACGGTTTTGACACTGCTTTTTATACTAATAGAACTTTAAAAATATTGTTTACCAAACATGGAGCTGCTTTACTTTACAACTAATTATTTTCAAAGCAAAGCATAATCAACTTTTTTTAAAAGTGACAGCAATCCCAAACTGGGCCTTATTGCAAATGAGCAATTTCAATTATATGCCGAGAAATTTCAGTGATATGAGTAACAGCAAACACTTCTCTATTTTCAATAATTGTAAAAGTAGCATATTCGGAGAGTTCCTGGGGATGGTATTGTTATCTCCATCCCCGAATCCGGGCCAAAAAGTTATGTATTTATTTTTTGTTACAAAATATATTATATAATATAACAAATAAAAAGTTACCTTAAACAAAGTGATGAAATTGACATAAACTTTTATTCATGGCAGCTAGTTTAGGCATAAATGGTTTATCCATTTATGAGTGGGAAGATTTAAGCCCAGCAAATATATAAACAAAGTCCTTTAACTTTCAAATTACTTTAACTAAATTTAAAGCTCGTCCAGAAAATATTTATGTATAAAAGCACTTAGAAATTTTACTGAATTCACTTCCAGCATGCTAGAGGTGATTTTGATTTCATTTTTTAATTACTAAATATATAATATAATATAACAATTAAAAGTTACCCTAAACTTTGTAAAATGGTGAAACTTTGGACATATGTTTTTTATTATATGATTTTATTAGTTTTGTTAAATTAAACTGAGATGATTTTGAGTAGTTGAGTGAAAATGTATAGTTCAATTGAATGTAATCAAGTGCAATTTAATTTCCGTCATTGCCTTACTTTAATTTACTTTTCGCATTCTCCATTTAAGTTTAATTGCATTTCCTTTCTATCCCCTTTACTTTCTCATTCATTCTTCATCTCCACACACTACTCATTAGGGATAGGAAATCCCCATCGGGTTAGGTCCCCATCAAGTCTCCTACCCTAAGGGGGAGATTTCGGGGAAAAACAAGGCCGGGTACAGGGATCCCCAATTTTTAAAAATACCCGATCGAAGACGGGGCTGGGATGGTATTGTTTTCCCCATCTCCGAACCTGGCCCGATAAGTGATATATATTTTTTAAATTAATAAATATATAACAATTAAAAGTTACCCTAACCTTTGTAAGATAGGAAGCTTTGAAGTTTTAATTATTAGTATATGATTTTACCATAGGAACCTTCGCCTTAGGGTTCTTCAGACCTAAAAATTCCACCAAATACTTCTATGGTATATGGTACATCACAATCCCAAATACACATAGTCTTGGTTGCTAACAGAGAATCCCAACTTGGTTGCTAACAGACAAGGAGGAGAAGAAGAAGAAGAAGATTGTGGTGGTTGTGGGAACCGAATTAAATCATACCCTAGGTCAAATAATTCCTTCCATTTGGGGATTATTTGACCTATTTGGGAATTACTCAACCTAATTGGGAGTTACTCAATTTAATTGGGAGTTACCCAATTAAATTGAGAATTACCTAATTAAGTTGGGAATTGATTTGATTCCTACCCCAATTCCCAATTAAAATGAGGAGTTACCTAATTAAATTAGGATTTGATCTGATACCTACCACGATTAGGGATTTGATTTACCCAAATAAATCAAATCCCTAATTAATCAAATCAATGCCAAATCAGGGAGGAATAATTCCTTACCAACTACGGAATTATTCCTCTGAAACCCTAATCTCCGAGACCATTATAAATACTTGGCTACGCACAAAGGTCAAGGTACGTCTAAATTCCTACTGAAACTCTGCAGAAATTATTTCTCACAAACCCTAGCCACCACTTTCTTTCTCTCTCTGACACAAGGCTCCGGCCACCACACACGGCTCCGGGCACCCGGTTTTCCTTGAAATACCCTACCTAACTTAGGCATCGGAGGGCCTTTGGCCAACACCCCGGGTGTGGTCCTTTTACCCCGATTTGTTTTGCAGGGAGAAAGAGAAGTGGAGAAGACGAAGGAATCTTAGACGAATATTCTCGTGAGGAAATTTGTACAAACAAATTGGTGCTTTCATTGAGAGCACGAGATATATTCAAAGCGTGCTCAAAATCCATCTTTCACACATTTTTTTCAAACAACCATGGTTGATACAAGACGTACGAAGAGTAACGCCACCACGACGGGCCCATCTCATGGTTTCGTGGTGGAAACCTCAATGCAACAGCACGGAATCATGCCTGCCAACGCCCTGCAGCCGTCTTCTAGTGCTTTGCAGCCGCCTTCAGCTGCTGGAATTGCAGAACAACCGCCACATGACCCTGGGACCTCCACAGCCTTGCAGTCGCCAGCGCCGATTACCGGAGTTGCTCTGCCTCGCTGTCCTGCCGTCGGAGCACAGCAACAGCCACACCACTTAACTACCGGACTTGCTGCACAGCCCCATGGCTACTCTGACATCGTCCCAGTCTTGGAGCAGATCCATTCTCTCCCTCCTCTGCGATCACACTTGACATATGCACCTGTGTACGCGTCTAATGGAGCCCTAGCCCACATGCCGTTGGGCCCGATGCACACCACTCTACTTGACCCGGGCAGTCAGGTGGACCTTAACTCGCGGGTTGATCAACTCACACAGAAGGTCGATGATCAAAACAACCTGATTGGCCAGCTACTCAGGCAGATCAACTTGAATCAAGGCCCCAACCTTGGACCCCGTGACGAGGAGAGGAGGGCACACGAGCATGCTGGCGAGCAGTTCGAGAGGTCCCAGGCTAGTCAGACAAGGGCAAACCGGCAGGGGAGAGAGCGAGATCGTGCAGACGAGACGCAGACAGCTGCAAGCCGTACTCTGAGCCGTTCGAGGTTAGGACCCAGGACCAATGTGCTCGAGAGGCTAGGCCCACAATCCAATGTTCGTGCTCGCTTAGGTCCACAAGGAGCTCGAGTTCGTGAACGGTCGCGGCGACAAGCTGTGGAGGGATCTTCCCAAACTCAACCTTCTCTCCTGCCCCACGGGCAGGGCAACCAAGGGGATCGACCCTTGGGAGCTGGGGAAGAAGTTAGCCAATCACGCTCGAGGCACCGAAGACGTCGACCTGAACGACCTTTCTTGCGAGCAGAGGATGACGATCAACGCTCACCAGCCCGCTCGAGGTTCGACACGCGGCGACAAGCTGTGGAGGGATCCTCCCAAGCTCAATCTCCTAATCTGCCTCACGGGCAGAGCACCCAAGGGGATCGACCCTTGGGAGTTGGGGAAGAAGTTAGCCAATCACGCTCGAGGCACCGAAGACGTCGACCTGAACGACCTTCCTTGCGAGCAGAGGATGACGATCAACGCTTACCTGCGAGCCGTACTCTGAGCCGTTCGAGGTTAGGACCCAGGACCAATGTGCTCGAGAGACTAGGCCCCACATTCCAATGTTCGTGCTCGCTTAGGTCCACAAGGAGCTCGAGTTCGTGAGCGGTCGCGGCGACAAGCTGTGGAGGGATCCTCCCAAACTCAACCTTCTCTCCTGCCTCACCGGCAGGGCAACCAAGGGGATCGACCCTTGGGAGCTGGAGAAAAAGTTAGCCAGTCACGCTGGAGGCACCGAAGAAGTCGACGTGAACGACCTTCCTTGCGAGCAGAGGGTGACGATCGACGCCCACCAGCCCGCTCGAGGACCAACACGCGGCGACAAGTTGCAGAGGAATCCTCACAAGCTCAATCTCCTAATCTGCCTCACGGGCAGAGCACCCAAGGGGATCGACCCTTGGGAACCGAGGAAGAAGTTAGCCAATCGCACTCGAGGCACCGAAGACGTCGGCCCGAGACTCCAACCTTGCGAGCAGAGGATGTCGCAAAGCTAGTAAATGACCAACTCCGAGGTCTTCGACTCAAAGGAAGCACGGAGGAGGCCCTGTGCAAGGAAATTGATCGAGTTGACTGTTCGCCCTTTACCGACGAGGTGGAACGAGCTCCGCCGCCGAAGCGGTTTACAACGCCATCCATCACTCCATTCAAGGGGGACTCTGACCCTAAGAGCCATTTGAGGCACTTCAAGAGCGCCATGATCCTGTACAAGGCAGACGACGCCCTGATGTGCAAAGTGTTCGCGATGACTCTGCGAGGAGCAACTCAGGATTGGTTCCACACTCTACCGTCCGCTTCAATAGGCAACTTCAAGAAGTTCGCCATCATTTTCACAAAGAAGTACACCTCCTACAAGACGGTCAGAAAGCATGCAGACCACCTGTTCAACCTGCGCAAAAAGCTAGACGAGTCTCTACGAGACTACCTAAGACGGTTTAAGGCTGAGAAGGCCAACATCATAGGATGCAACGACCAAGTTGCATCCTCAGCTTTCAAGAAGGGCTTGCCAACCGAGCACGAGCTATACCGGGAGCTGGCCATAACTCCAAATCAAACCTTGGCAGAAGTGTTCGCGACGGCAGACCGCTACGCACTTTGGGACGATGATCGTATCGCCACAAAGAAAGCTAGCAAGCAAGTTGACCACCCGACGAAGCAGGCAAGCCAAAAGAGCAACAAGTTCGAGCAAAAAGCCCGAGATAAGGGCAGATCGCGGCCCCAAGAGGGAAGCTTAGAAACAGGGACCTTCACTGAGTTCGCTATCCCAATCCACCAGATCCTAGCTCAGGTGAAAGATAAGCCGTGGGTGAGGAGACCACCACCCATGAAGGGAGACCCCTCTAAAAGAGACACCAGCAAATACTGCGCATTCCACGGGGAGCACGGTCATTACACCAACAACTGCAACGCTTGGAAAAGGCACCTTGAGGAGCTGGTCAGAGAGGGCCATTGCACAGAGTTCGTTGCAAAGAAGGCTATCCAGCAGATCGAGGATCGTGATGCAGCTGCCAAGGAACCTCCCCAAAAGGTCATTCGAATCAACACCATTCTAGCCGACTCCCAAGAGTCCGGGCTGACCACCAAGGAGCGCAAGAGAAAGATCGCTCAGGCAACTTATGTCTCCCAAGTCACAACGGGAGTACCAACCATTGGGGATACACCTATCATCGGCTTCCAGAAGAAGGACTTGATCGGGCTTGACCTGCCACATAATGACGCCCTAGTCATCTGCATCCAAATTGAACAAGCTGTGATCGAGCGAGTTCATGTAGATGAGGGCAGCGCAACCAACATCCTGCAACTATCTGTTATCCAACAGATGGGGTTCGAGCCCAAGATTAGCAAACTTGCCAGATCGCTCACCGGCTTCAATGGGGCCACATCAATCACTGTTGGAACGATCGACTTGGATGTCCACTCACCCCCAGTAGTCTGCTCGCAGACCTTCATGGTCATCGACGAGGTTTCCCCCTACAACGGAATCTTGGGCCGACCGTGGATCAGCAAGATCGAGGCCATCACATCTGCTCTACATCAGAAGATCCGTTATCCCATCCTTGGGGGCGGAATCGGGCAGATCAACAGTGACCAAGCCATGGCAAGGAGATGCACCGCCCAAGGGCTCAAGAAGAGCAAGCAGCTGCAGTTCACACCAGTAATGCAAGCTGCCAACGAGGCAGGAAGCGCTCTTAGCAGACAAGCAAAACCCGAAAGGGAAAGAAGTTGCTGACTCACAATAGCAGTTAAGGAACCAGGATCAAGGTGAGGGAATCCGCCCGGAAGACTCCCCTTAAAAGGGTTGGAAGCCTGAGGATGATGTTGAGTTAGTACCCCCTGATCCTGGCCAGCCAGACAAAGAGGCGCAGATCGGCTCGTGCCAGAATCCAAACAAGAAGGATCGAGACGAGGGAATCCGCCCTGAAGGCTCCCTTGAAGAAGGTTGGAAGCCTGAGAAGACGTTGAGTTAGTACCCCTCGATCCTGATCAGCCAGAGAAGAAAGCGCGGATCGGCTCGCGCCTAAGCCCAGACGAGAAGATGGAGCTGACCATCTTCCTCCAGAACAACAAAGACATGTTCGCGTGGTCACCATCTGACATGCCTGGCATTGACCCAAACATCATCTGCCATCGGCTCCATGTCAACCCTGCTAGCAAGCCCGTGGTGCAGAAGAGACGCAACTTTGCTCCCGAGCGGGTCGCGATCATTGAAGCCGAGATCGACAAGCTCCTAGCTGCCGGTTTCATTGAAGAGGTCTCCTACTCGGAATGGTGGCTAACGTTGTTCTGGTGGCGAAACAAGAAAAGGGAAAATGGAGAGTATGTGTTGATTACACCGACCTCAACAAAGCATGCCCTAAAGACAACTTCCCATTGCCGAGAATCGACCAGCTCGTGGATTCAACTTCCGGCAACCAGCTGCTCAGCTTCATGGATGCTTACTCCGGCTATAATCAAATTATGATGTACGATGATGACAAGGCGAAGACCTCTTTCATCATCGAAAGAGGGACCTACTGCTACAAGGTCATGCCCTTTGGGCTGAAGAACGCCGGAGCAACCTACCAAAGGCTCGTGAATAAAATTTTCAAGGAGCAGATCGGCAGAACCATGGAGGTGTACGTGGACGATATGCTGGTTAAAGCCCCCAAGCGGGCAGACCACCTCAAAAACCTCACCGAGGCGTTCAGCCTACTCCGCCAATATCGCATGAAGCTGAATCCAAGTAAATGCACGTTCGGTGTATCGTCTGGCCGGTTCCTAGGGTACTTAGTGACGCAACGAGGTATCGAGGCACACCCGCGCCAAATCAAAGCCATTCTCGAGATGAAGTCGCCTTCCACAGTGAAGGAGATACAAAGCCTGACGGGCAGAGCAGCGGCCCTTAACAGATTCCTCTCAAAGTCTACCGACAAGTGCAGACCATTCTTCAAAGCTTTGAAGAAAGGACAAAAAGACAAATGGGACGAAGAGTGCGAAGTAGCTTTCCAGAATCTAAAGACCTACCTTACTTCACCTCCCTTGCTCTCAAAGCCAGTTCCTGGTGAAGACTTGTTCGTGTACCTGGCAGTGTCCAACTCGGCCGTCAGCTCAGCTCTCATCCGAGAAGAACTTGGGGCCCAACATCCGATATTCTACACGTCAAAAGCTCTCCTCGATGCAGAGACTCGCTACCCGAAATTGGAGAAGCTCATTTTGGCCCTTGTGGTTTCTGCGAGAAAGCTGCGACCTTATTACCAAGCTCACCGAGTCATCGTCATGACCGACTTTCCTTTGAGATCAATCCTCCACAGCCCTGATGCTTCTCAGCGACTCATGAAGTGGGCTATAGAGCTAAGCCAATACGACCTCCTCTACCGGCCGAAGACTGCAATAAAAGCTCAAGCCTTAGCAGACTTTGTTGCAGAATTCACACCATCAGCCGAAGAAGAGAAGCTGGTCAGCAAAAAGAAGGAAAGTTCGAGAGCAGACAAGACCTCCATTGAACCTGACCAACCCAGAGACATGTGGCAGTTGCGCGTAGACGGAGCGTCGAACCAGAAAGGAGCTGGAGCAGGCATCGTCATCATCACCCCGGATGGAACCCTGCTAGAGCAAGCTATCACGCTTGGCTTCCCGGCTTCAAACAACGAGGCAGAGTACGAGGCATTGCTCGCTGGCTTGTGCTTGGCAAAGGAGCTATCAATCAAAAAATTGGCCATCTACTCAGATTCCCAGCTGATCACAAGTCAAGCCTTAGGAGAGTACATGGCGAAGCACCCGAGGATGATCCTGTACCTTGACAAAGTCCAAGAGTTGTTGAAGGCGTTTCCCACCTTCACCATCCAGCAAGTGCCCCGAGCAGAGAACGCGCACGCAGATGCACTGGCAAGCTTAGGATCGGCGCTGGATACCCAGTTCAGACGCTCCATCCCGGTCGAGCACCTCGACCAGCCTAGCATAGAAGAGGCAGAGCAGCCGACCTGATGCAGATCGATGAGGATCCTAGCTGGCAAGACCCCATCATTGACTATCTAGTGAATGAAAACCTGCCCGAGGACAAGTCCGAGGCCAGAAAAATCAAGCAGAAGGCTGCAAGATACTACATGAAAAGCGACATGCTTATCCGCATATCATACTCCGGGCCTCATCTCACTTGCATCAAGTACCCGCAAACGCTCGAGGTTCTTTGCAAGATACACGACGGCGAATGTGGAAATCATGCTGGGGGCAGCCACTGATTACTTCCCCAAATGGATTGAGGTTGAGGCTTTATCTTCTACCAAGGAGGCTGATGTTGAACGGTTCATCTGGAAGAACATTATTTGCAGATTCGGTTGCCCGCAATCAATAGTCACCGCACCGCATTCCTTGCGAAGTATGGCATCAAACAGCACCTGTCAACTCCCTAGATACCTACAAGGCAATGGCTAAGCAGAGGCATCCAACAAGATCGTGCTGGACTGCCTAAAGGAAAGACTGGAATGCGCAGAAGGAAAATGGGTCGACAGGGCTACCAGAGTCCTATGGGCATATCGCACAACCAAAAGGAGATCAATCAGAGAGACCATTTTCCCTGGCCTATGGGAACAGAAGCAATCATTCCCCCACACATCACAGTCCCTTCCATGAGCATCGAGGTGGGCAGTCTTGACCAAAACTGCAAGCAGATGAAAGTCAACCTTGATATGCTCGAAGAGGAACGAGGAAAGGTCATTGTTCGAGTTGCAGCTTACCAGCAACAGCTCACATCTTGCTACAATAAGAAGGCCATTGTTCGAGTTGCAGCTTACTAACAGTAGCTCACATCTTGCTACAATAAGAAGGCCATTGTTCGAGTTGCAACTTACCAGCAGCAGCTCACGTCTTACCATAGCAAGAAGACCATTGTTCGAGCAGCAGCATACCATCAGCAGCTGGCATCTTACAACAACAAGACCATTGTTCGAGTTGCAACTTACCAGCTCGACTCCAAGTAGGCGACGGGCCTCCTTCATCTCCATTGCAGACAAGCTGCTCCACGAAGCACGAACTCAATGGAGTCTTTTTCGAGCATTGTGTCCCTGACATACGCTCGCAGGCGACAAGCCTCATCTCCATTGCAGACAAGCTGCTCCACGAAGCACGAACTCAATGGAGTCTTTTTCGAGCATTGTGTCCCTGACATACGCTCGCAGGCGACAAGCCTCATCTCCATTGCAGACAAGCTGCTCCACGAAGCACGAAACTCAATGGAGTCTTTTTCGAGCATTGTGTCCCTGACATACGCTCGCAGGCGACAAGCCTCATCTCCATTGCAGACAGGCTGCTTCACGAAGCACAAACTCAATGGAGTCTTTTTTCGAGCATTCATGGAGTGCTCAGCCTCATCTCCATTGCAGACAGGCTGCTTCACGAAGCACAAACTCAATGGAGTCTTTTTCGAGCATTGTGTCCCTGACATACGCTCACAGGCGACAAGCCTCATCTCCATTGCAGACAAGCTGCTCACGAAGCACAAACTCAATGGAGTCTTTTTCGAGTATTATGTCCCCGACATATGCTCGCAGGCGACAAGCCTCACCTCCACTGAAGACAAGCTACTCCTCGAGTACAAACTTCATGGAGTCTTTTCAAGCGTCATGTCCCTGACATACGCACACAGGCGACGAGCCTTACCTCCATTGTAGGGCAAGCTACTTCACGAGTACAAACTCAATGGAATCTCTTTCAAGTGCTGTATCTCCAGACGTACACTTACAAGATACAATGAGAATTGAAGTTTGAAAGACAACTGAAAATTCCATAACAAAGCAGCCAACCAGCACCATCTACTCAACGGCCTCACCTGCCTGCTCATTCGCATATGGTCTAGCCTTATCAGCTACGCCACCTTGGGAGTTGTCTTCCTCCATTGCAGCTTCATCTGCTATCTGCTCTTCAACTGCTTCTTCATCCACAACATTGCTCTGCTCACTTTGAGCAGGGGCAGGTCAAGATAAAGCTACTTACCGTCTTCATGTTCGAGAGGGCAACAAGGAGAAGCACTATTCCTGCAATCCAAGTATCCCAGCTTGTACGCATTAGCAACGATCTCATGCTTGGATGCCTCCGTGGCTTCAACATGAGTGTCGAACTTGACCAGCGGAGCTATCACCAACTTCTGGATCGGCAGTTCGCGCAACTTAAGGACTCTTTGCTCGAGCAGACGACTCTTTAGCTCTCTTGGCCGAAACTCGCAACATTGAGTCAGCTCCGTGCTTGACTGTTCGTGGCTTTGCAGACGAGTCGTGATTTCTAGACAAATGTACAGTCCTCTCAGTTTGATCCCAAGATCGGCACAAGCAACTCAAACCCTGCTTCTCAACAGCCTCCTCACAGGGTAGATCATGGGTTTTAAGCAGTTCGAGCGGATACCTGAGCAGAATGTCCCAGACCTCCTGCATGCCATTGATCTTCTTACTGTTCGTGCTGACGAGGCGCTTGATCCTGGCAGATGAAGAAGCAACTCCCATAGGGACATTCCCAGCAAACGAGACCCCCTTACGGAAGACTTGCTCGTGGAAGAATGAGGAAGCTTGGTCGAGGACTTCTCCCGCTCAACTGGCAGATCATCTAGGTCCGAGCCATGCAGCTCCCATCTTTCAACATCTTCGGCTGGGGGCAGACCATCAGCCTCCTTCTGATGTTCACTCAGCAACCAGCGCAATCCACAGAACCTGGCAAGGATGTTTAAAGCTTGATGAACATTGATCGTGTTCGAGCCGAGATTGAGCTTCTTGTGGATGTCATTTTCTACAAGCATGAGACAGAAGTCAGTCAAACACACAGCAAAGAATTCCATGGCAACTGTAGCAGATCATAGGGATGCAACTTACCATCACAGTAGGTGAGAGGAATGAGCGGACCGTCGCCAACCTCCCCTACCCGTCTGCCGCTGACTTCCAACATGTCCGTGCTCCACACGTGATCGCCTTGACTCATACTGTTCCTAGTTCGTGACACAAAAAGAAGAAGGAATTGAAGCAGTTTGGATCAACCACAAATAAGCCGACCCAAACTGCCACCTGCTCCAGAAGCAGGCCAGCTTGCCTCCAGCCCAGTTATAGCTGGACAACCCAAGTCAAAGACCAGTTGGCAAGTCAAAAGCCTCCTCCATTCAGGAGCCCAAATCCAAGGAGGAAGCCCAGTTACAGCTGGACAGCCCAACAAACAATTCACATCTCCTACATGCCACCACGTGCCATGCAGAAGCTGGGGGGCATTTGTGGGAACCGAATTAAATCATACCCTAGGTCAAATAATTCCTTCCATTTGGGGATTATTTGACCTATTTGGGAATTACTCAACCTAATTGGGAGTTACTCAATTTAATTGGGAGTTACCCAATTAAATTGAGAATTACCTAATTAAGTTGGGAATTGATTTGATTCCTACCCCAATTCCCAATTAAAATGAGGAGTTACCTAATTAAATTAGGATTTGATATGATACCTACCACGATTAGGGATTTGATTTACCCAAATAAATCAAATCCCTAATTAATCAAATCAATGCCAAATCAGGGAGGAATAATTCCTTACCAACTACGGAATTATTCCTCTGAAACCCTAATCTCCGAGACCATTATAAATACTTGGCTACGCACAAAGGTCAAGGTACGTCTAAATTCCTACTGAAACTCTGCAGAAATTATTTCTCACAAACCCTAGCCACCACTTTCTTTCTCTCTCTGACACAAGGCTCCGGCCACCACACACGGCTCCGGCCACACACGCTCCGGCCACCCGTTTTCCTTGAAATACCCTACCTAACTTAGGCATCGGAGGGCCTTTGGCCAACACTCCACGGGGTGTGGTCCTTTTACCCCCGATCTGTTTTGCAGGGAGAAAGAGAAGTGGAGAAGACGAAGGAATCTTAGACAATATTCTCGTGAGGAAATTTGTACAAACAGTGGTGGTGAGGGAAGAGTGCAAGAAGGGTGATTAAATGGCAACAGTGCCATGGAGTTGCTTATCATTGCAAGTGCAAACCCTAATTCTAATTCTCTCTCTGAAAGTGGAAGCCTGGAAATTATGAAGATTGGACTTTGGAGGGAGTGACGATAACTAATAAATAAATAAATAAATAAAAAGACAATAACTAAAAGGGCAAATTGCTGAAATACTCCTCAACTCGACCCCATTCAACTGAACCCACCGAACTAAAAAATCAGTAAATTTAGCTAACCTATCAAAATAGTCAATTTGGCTCTCAAATTTCATCCAATTTTTCATTTATAATAAAGGTAAATTTGTAATTTTGACTAAACTAAAAGTCAAATACATAAAACTAAATAAATAAATTATTTTTTTTAAAGTTAAAATAATAAAAACCCAGCCCACAGCCCCACCCTTCCTCCTCCACCCATCTATCCTAGGGAGTGTGACTACAGCTTCATTGCAAATGAGCAATTTCAGTTATATGCCGAGAAATTTCAGTGATATGAGTAACAGCAAACACTTCTCTACTTTCAGTAATTGTAACAGCAACATATTCGGAGAGTTTCAAACGGAGTCTTCTCTAAGCCGTCGGCTTTTGATTTCTTGCACTTCAAAATACCTGATCGGAGATGGGTTAGGGATGGTATTGATATCTCCATCCCCAAATTTGGCCCTATAAGTAATGTACTTATTTTTAGTTTCAAAATATATTATATAAGGGGGCAGATCCGTGACACTATGTTTTTGACATAAGTTTTGACACAAATTTTGAACCATTAGATTTAAACACTTTAATGGCTGATGTTAAATCTCACAACTAATTTATTATTATCTTTCTAATAACACTTTTATTCAACATTGTTTATTATTATTATAACATAATAATTAACAATCGCACACTATCCATAACTCTCCAACTTTCTTTGTCTTTCTACCTGTAGCTCATTAGGGTGAGCACTCAGCACTCAATGGCATCCAGTCTATTTAGAACCCTAATCCAATCGTCGAAATTGAGATTAGCCGGGACCATAAATTTCATTCTCATAAAAAGTCAAATCAGTAACCACACCTCCAAATAGATGCATGATTGCTTTGAAAAGGCGTATTAATTGGAGCCATGGTTGCGGGTTTCTTTTTGCGAGTCTCTCTGGTCTTTCCATCCCTCTTTCTCCAACATTATATTTGTTTGTGCAAATAATCTCACGGGAGAATATTCGCTTCTAGATCCTTCAACCTTTGATCTTCCTTCTCTCTCTTCCTCGATTCCTGTAAAACAGATTGGAGTAAGTAGACCACACTTGGGGGGTGTTGGCCAAAAGCCCTCCGATGCCTAAGTTAGTTCGAGTGTTTGTAGGAAAACAGTAGCTAAGCAAAGGGTACGGAGTTTATGTATGGTGTGAACCGGGCGGCCGGAGCCGTGTGTGTTGGCTGGAGCCGTGTGGAGAAAATATAGAGAGTAGAGAGGGAGAGAGAGCTACGGGTATTTTTCTCGGGTATTAGGAGTAGGTTTTCTGAAGTACCTTGAATGATGAATGAAGTCGTCTATTTATAGGAGCCTCGGGGCTAGGGTTTCGTAGAGAATATGCTGAGTTTATTCTTTACCCAAATTCGTAGGAATCGAGTCGGACTGAGATAATATCTGATTTAATGATATTATCTCTTTTTATGGAGATAATATATGAGATAATGACATTATCTTCTCTTTATTAGGATACTATCTTAATTAATGATATTATCTTATTAAATAAAGATAATATCATGTTAATTAAGATATTTATCCCAATTAATTAATTGGCCAGATAAACTGGTTCAATTAATTAATTAAAAGAGATAATCTTCTTTTTCACGTGGCGCGCTGTGATTGGAGACGAAAATATCTGCTCCCACAAATGCCCCACAGCTTCTGCATGGCGCTTGTGTGGCATGTAGGAGATGAAATTATTTATATATTTTTTTTTCGGGCTCTCCAACTGTGTCTGGGCTTTATTATGTGAGTTGGACTCCTTTGCAGATCAGATTTCCAATTGGTGTAGGCTTTTTTGACTGTTGTTGGAGTTGGATTCCCAGTAGGAATGAGCTTGCGATCCCTCCTTGACCTGGGTTGTCCAACCTGTATAAATACAGGGCTTTTCTTCACTCTTTCTCACATCACAAACTTAACTTCTCTACCTTCTAGCTTGAGAAAGATCTTAAAGAATTTGTACTGCTTTGTTGAAGAGTGGAATTGCCGTGCATCCAGAGTAAGTCGAGCTCGTGAAAATATATATGCACATATATATTTTTTTTTCCGATTTTTGGCAGCAAGGAGGTAGTCCAGCCGTGCACTCCTAGCTATGGTCGCAGCCTCATGGTTGATGAATTTTCGCAAGCTTATGGACAAGGGCTGGAGGCTTGATTGAAGACGGAGGGGAGCTGACCAGGCCAGCATGCGCCAGGGCCTGGAGCTGATTTGAGCTAGGCTTGCGCACATTGGGCTCAAAGAGAGAAAAAAGGAGGCGCTGGGCTTTAGAGTAGGAGCAGAGAGGCGTTGGGCTGCTTGACGTGGGCTTGCACTAGGCAAGCGGGCCTTGCGCGCAGGGCTGGAGGCGTGTCGGGCTTGGACCTGGGCCGGATTCGAGCTGGCGAGATGGGCTTGAGCTACTAGGTGGGCTGCGACAGACCTGGGACGGAGCTGGGCCATGCGCGCTGGGCTGCTCGAGCTGGGCTGCTTTAATATATTTTCTTTTTTTGCCAGCTTTTGTTGTTTTTTTTTCTTTTCTGCTGCTGTCTTTTTTTTCTTTTCTTTTCTTTTTTTTTCTGCCAGCCCTTTTTTTTTGTTTGGGATTCTAACTTGTGGAATTTTCTTCTCTTCTTGCAGTTGTTCGTTGACTAACCATGCCTTCCAGAGACGGTAGCAAGGCTTCAAGCTCTCAGGTGCCTTTGTATTTGTGGGGAGGTTCCGAGGTGTACAAGAAGAGGTTTGTGGCCAACCTGCGCCGCGTTACAAATGAAGATCAATTCCAGAGGTGGCGCGCTGCTTATGCTTCTGCAATTCTTGAGGATGTGCATATCAAGCTGGCGAAGCCTTTGACTGACAACATGCCTTGCGTGGATGCGAATGATCCAAATGCGAGAATCATCACCTTCCGTCCCTTTTACTTCTCCTTGGGCTTCAAATTCCCGTTGTCGAAGCTCTTCAAGGAGGTGTTTTGCGCCATGGGGTGTGCTCCGAGCCAGTGTACTCCCAATGTTTATCGGGCGATCATGTGCTTCGAGAATCTAAGCCGTTTCTTCACATTGGAGCTAACAGTGTGAGAGTTCTTCTATTTTTTTGAAGTGAGGTGTTTCAAGGAGTACGCACAACTTCGCACCTGCAATGTCAAGCTGTTTGACAGTCTTAGCCAAGGAGATCACGTGTGGCATGATGATGTGTTGGAAGTCAGCGGACGGTGGGAAGGCGATGTTGGTGATGGTCCACTTGTTCCCATCATCTACTGCAATTGTACGTCTTTTTGCAGTTTTTTTTTATTTTTTCTTCTATTTGCTCTCTTTTTGTTTGAATTTCTTGAAGCGTAGCTAACTAACTTCTGTCTTCTGCTTGTAGCGAATGACATCAGCAAGAAATTGGAGCTTGAGCCTGACATGGCTAAGGACCGCCGCGCTTTGAACATCCCCCAAAAGTTCCGTGAGTGGCGTTGGCTGTTGAGCGAGTATCGGGAGGAGGATGGTGGTCTGCCCCCAGCCGAGGATGTCGAAAGATGGAAGCAGAATGGTCCGGACCCTGATGATCTGTCTGCTGAACAAGAGGCATGCTCTGCTGAACCCCCATAAAAAAGGAAGGCTGAAGTCAAGTCTCCGAGAACTCAAGCTACCTCTCCACGGGCGAGGAACGTGTCTCCATTGAGGAAGAAGCCAAAGCTCCATTCTGTTGAGAAGATCCAAGTAGGAGTTGTTCCCGCCTCATCTGCCAGGGTCAAGCATCTTGTTGGTGCAGACAACAAGAAGATTGGCGGTATGCGCAACATAAGGGGTGCTCCCCTTAAGCCTCTTGCTGACGAGCTTGGAGATCATGATCTGCTCCGCGAAGTGGTCCGTGCGCGATCTAGCTCACCTGTTGAAAGACAAAGAGATGCGGATGTTCCTCCCCGAAGTTTGGGTCGTTTGCACCAGTCGAAGAGTGGAGGTCGATGTGGGAGGTCTACTCATTCATCCAACCGTCATGATCCAACTGTTGAGTCACGAGCAGTCAAGTGTGGAGTTGATTCGACGTTGCAAATTCCTTTGGAAGTGAGGTTGGCGGAGGCTAGGAAAGCAAGAGAGTCATCTGCCCGAACGAAAGGTCCTTCTGCAACGTCAGCGGTTGATCCAAAGGTGGACAAATCTAGCCCTGCAGGGGATGCAGGCGTGTCTATCTGCTAAAGACGCAATTTCTATCAAGTCCATCCTCTTGTGCTGAGCTGGTTGACCAAATCCGTCAGGTTGGCGATCTTGGTGCTTTCTCAAGTCTTTCCTTGGAAAAACAAAGGGAAGCGACACTTCATCTACTTCAAAAGGGAGTAGTTTTTGCTGCTGAGACCATTCGAAACTCGTCTGCTGTTGCCCCCTCTTCTGCTAAGCTTAGCGAGTTGGAGAAGAAGAATGTCGAGTTAGTTAGCAAACTTTCCGCCGAGCAGACCCGTTATGAGCAGAAGACGTCTGATTTGCGGGCGATGATATCTGAGTTGAAGAGTTCCCTTGCTGAGAAGAATTCCGAGCTTAACTCTTCTGCTGCTGACTTGGCAAGTCGAAAAGATGCTTACTTCCACCTTGAGCGCAAGAATGCCGACATCTCTCATAGCTATGACAAGCTTTTGGCTAGATTTCACGTCTATCATGAGTCTACTGAGGAATCCAAGTCCGAAGTTGCCATGGACGCGTACAAGTTGGGCTACTTGGACTGCACAAAAGGATATGATCCCTTCTACGCCATTGGAGATGAAGAGATCGAGATGCTCTATCCAGACTTGCCTCCTGCGAAAAGTGAGGAGGCTAATGCTGTGAACACTGAAGGAGCTGACGAGCAGGTGGCTAAAGAGGCGGTAACTGAGGAGGATGGAGCAGAGGAGGATGCAGCCGATGAGGTGGTGGCAGACGTCATAGATCAGGCATGTGGAGCTGCTGAAAGCGTGGCTGATCAGGCGGACGCTGAAGAGGCTGTAGATCAGGGATCTCCTGCTGGTGTTTCGGAGTAGACGAAGACTCCTTTATTTCTTTTCAGCTTTTGTAGTCTGTTGTTGTTTAGAATAATTGGTCTTGTTTGACCATCTTCTTTTGTTTGAACTTGGCCGGTTGGTCGCTTTGCTATGAAAATTTCAGTCTTTATTTTTCAACTTCAATTTGCATATTGTCTTGTGAACTGCTTGAGTAACCGGCTAGTGTCTTGATTGCACATCTCCTTTTGGAGATTCATGAGTGCCAGGGTTCCTCTTGAAGGACTTCGGACGTGTTCTGCATATCTCTTAGGATGGCTCCCCTTAGGAAGTTGGCGAGTGCCAGGGCCCCCCTTAAGGGGCTCCGGGCGTGTTCTGTATATCCCTTAGGATGGCTTAGTCGTCGCCCTATGTCTCCCTTAGGACGCTCCTTATGGGCAACTGTATGACTATCCTGCCTCCCTTAGGAAACGGATAGGAACCTGGATACTTCCCGCATGAGGCATGGAGACCTCCTTTTAAGAAATTCCTGGCGCACCCTGCGTCTCCCTTAAGACGCTTTTTTAGTGGGCTGCGTCTCCAAACAGACGCTTTTAGTCGTCGCCCTGCGTCTCCCTTAGGACGCTCCTTATGGGCAACTATATGACTATCCTGCCCCCCTTAGAGAACGGATAGGAACCTGGATACCTCCCTTAGGAAATTCCTGGCGCACCCTGCGTCTCCCTTAGGACGCTTTTATGGGCTGCGTCTCCCGAAGGACGCTTCTGGTCGTTGCCCTGCGTCTCCCGAAGGACGCTGCTTATGGACAACAGTTGTGTTTTGTGGGTAGATGAGACATTTTGGAATGAGAAACTGAACTTATATTGATATTCATAAGATTACAGTCCTTTATTCGAAAATGGAAATCACTGAGTACAAAAACTTGGAGCTTCTAGCAGTCAGTAGGAAGCATTACGGATAATACTTTCGGAGATGGTAGGCATTCCATTGCCGTGGTATTTCCTTCCCATCCACGGTGTCCAGCGTGTAGCTTCCTCTGCCCCTGGACCGGCTGATCACATAAGGGCCTTCCCAATTGGGTTTCATTTTCTTAGACCCTTGTCTTTGTGCAGTGATGAAGGCCTTTCTTAGCACAAGGTCGCCAGGTTGAAACTGTATGATCTTAGCTCTTTTGTCGTAGTAGGACTTCAACCGCTGTTGATAGGAGTCGACTCGGATAATGGCCTTCTCGCGCTCGCCTTTAAGTAAGTCAAGGTTGAGTCTCATCTGCTCGGAGTTTTGCTCTATATTGCCGACTTCAATGCCTATAGAGGGGACAGTGACGTGAGGAGGAATGATCGCTTCAGTTCTATAGGCAAGGGAAAATGGGGTTTCGCCAATCGACCTTCGTTTGGTGGTGCGATAAGCCCATAGTACTCCGGGGAGTTCGTCCACCCATTTCCCTTCGACGCCTTCTAGCCTTTTCTTCAAGCAGTCTAATATGACTTTGTTGGATGCCTCGGCCTGCCCATTTCCTTGTGGATACCTTGGAGTGGACAGGTGTTGCTTGATCTTGTATTTCGCAAAGAAGGCGGTGATCTGCTTGCCAATGAACTGTGAGCCATTGTCAGTGACCAACGATTGTGGGCAGCCGAACCGGCAGATGATATTTCTCCAGACGAATCGCTCCACATCGGCTTCTTTAGTAGAGGATAGAGCTTCGGCCTCGATCCATTTAGCAAAGTAGTCGGTGGCAACGATCATCATTTCTTTCTTGGCGGGCGCCGGTGGCAAGGGACCCACTAAGTCGATGGCCCATTGCATGAATGGCCATGGACTGTTTTGCGGATGATAAACTTCGACAGGCAGATTAGGGATCGGCTTATATCGTTGGCAACGATCACATTTTTTGACATATTTAGCGGAGTCTGGGCGAGTGACCTGCCCCTTGAGTGGTTGCCACACTCGCCGTCGTGAATTTTGCAGAGGACTTCAAGTGTTTGAGGGTACTTTATGCAGGTGAGATAAGGGCCGGAGTATGATCTACGGATGAGCTTGCTGCTGTGCATATAGTATCTTGTGGCCTTCTGCTGGACCTTCCTAGCTTCGGACTTATCCGTTGGCAGGTTTCCATTCACTAAGTAGTCGATGATGGGGTCTTGCCAGCTGGGGTCCTCATCAATCTGCATTGAGTCGATCGGCTCTATTTCTTCGATGCTTGGCCGGTCAAGGTGTTTAACTGGGATGGAGCGTCTGAACTGGGTGTCCAATGCTGATCCTAGGCTCGCCAACGCATCTGCATGAGTGTTCTCTGCCCGTGGAACTTGTTGGATGGTGAAAGTAGGGAATTCTTTCAAAAGTCCTTGGACTTTGTCGAGGTACTGGACCATTTTTGGATGCTTTGCCATGTACTCGCCTGAGGCTTGATTCGTGATCAGTTGGGAGTCTGAGTAGATGGCCAGTCTCTTGATCGACAGTTCTTTCGCTAGGCGTAGTCCTGCAAGCAGTGCCTCATATTCTGCCTCGTTGTTTGAAGCAGAAAAGCCTAGTGTGATAGCTTGTCCCAACAAGGTTCCGTCTGGGGTGATTATGACGACTCCTACTCCCGCTCTTTTGTGATTTGATGCTCCGTCTACATGCAATTGCCACAGGTCGTTAGGTAGGTTCGAATCGGTGGGGGAGGTGTCGTCCGCTTTTTCCTTGCTTTTCGTGACCATCTTCTCTTCTTTGGCTGTCGGAGTAAACTCTACAACAAAATCTACTAAAGCTTGGGCTTTTATAGCAGTCTTCGGCCAGTAGAGGAGGTCGTATTGACTGAGTTCGATAGCCCATTTCATGAGTCGCTGAGAAGCGTCGGGGCTGTGAAGGATCGATCTCAAAGGAAATTCTGTTATGACAATTATCCGGTGTGCTTGATAGTAGGGCCTTAACTTTCTCGCAGAAACCACAAGCGAAAAAATGAGCTTCTCCATTTTCGGATAGCGAGTCTCTGCATCGAGGAGAGCTTTTGAAGTGTAGAATACCGGATGTTGTGCCCCCAGCTCTTTTCGGATGAGAGCTGAGCTGACAGCTGAGTCGGACACCGCTAGGTAGATGTACAAGTCTTCGCCTGGTATCGGCTTTGAGAGCAATGGAGGTGAAGTGAGGTAAGTTTTCAAGTTTTGAAAAGTTACTTCACACTCGTCATCCCACTTGTCTTTGTGTCCCTTCTTCAAGGCTTTGAAAAATGGCCTGCATTTGTCGGTAGATCTAGAGAGGAATCGGTTGAGAGCTGCCGCCCTACCCGTTAGACTTTGTATCTCCTTTGTTGTGGCAGTTGACTTCATGTTGAGTATAGCCTTGATTTGATTTGGATGTGCCTCAATTCCTCTTTGGGTGACTAAGTATCCAAGGAATCGGTCGGACGAGACTCCAAATGTGCATTTGCTCGGGTTCAACTTCATGTTGTATTTTCGGAGTAGGCTGAATGCCTCGGCAAGATTCTCGATGTGGTCTGCTCGCTCAAGAGCTTTGACTAGCATGTCGTCTACGTAGACCTCCATAGTCTTGCCGATTTGCTCCTTGAAAATTTTGTTCACCAGCCTTTGGTAGGTTGCCCCGGCGTTCTTCAGCCCAAATGGCATGACCTTGTAGCAGTAGGTACCTCTTTCGATGATGAAAGAGGGCTTTGCCTTGTCATCTTCATGCATCATGATCAGGTTGTAACCGGAGTAGGCGTTCATGAAGCTTAGCAGTTGATTGCCGAAAGTTGAATCGACGAGCTGGTCAATTCTCGGCAGTGGAAAGTTATCTTTAGGACATGCCTTGTTGAGGTCAGTATAGTCGACGCACACTCTCCACAGGCCTTTATCTTTCTTTGCTACTAGAACAACGTTCGCCAGCCATTCTGCGTATGAGACTTCTTCAATGAAACCGGCAGCTAGAAGCTTGTCGATCTTGGCTTCAATGATGGCGACCCGCTTGGGGGCGAAGTTGCGTCTCTTCTGCGCTACAGGCTTGATGACTAGGTTGACGTATAGGCGATGACAGATGATCAGGGGATCGATGCCAGGCATGTCAGATGGTGACCATGCAAATATGTCTTTGTTGTTCTGGAGGAAGGCTACAAGCTCTGCCTTTTCCTCCTGGCTTAGGTGCGAGCCAATCCGCGCTGTTCTCTCTGGCTTGTCAGGATCAAGGGGTTCTAGCTCAACATCCTCCTCGGGCTTCCATCCTTCTTCAAGATAGACCTCCGGACGGATTCCCTCGACTTGGTCCTGATTCTTTGATTGCTATTAGGGAGTAGTTATTCCCTTTCCTTTTTGGCCTGCTCGGCCATCAGGAACGGGATCTGCTTTCTCCTCTGCATGTTCTACTCCCTTTAGATCTACTTGATTCACAGGGAGGAACTGTGTTTGCTTGCCTTTCTTCAACCCTTGAGCTGAGCATTTCCTCGCCATTGCCTATCGCTGTTGATTAGGCCGATCCCACCCCAAGGAATTGGGTAGCGAATCTTCTGATGTGTGGCAGAGGCGATGGCGTTGATCTTGTTGATCCATGGTTTGCCTAGAATGCCATTGTAGGGTGAGACTTCATCAATGACCATGAACGTTTGCGAGCTGATTACAGGTGGGGCGTAGACGTCGAGCTCTATCGTGCCTACGGTAACCGTTGTTGCTCCATTGAAGCCAGTCAACGACTTGGCTGATTTATTGATCTTTGCCTCTAAACCCATCTGAAACGACCCGACCCAAAATTCCACTTTGAGAATCGGGCCTAATCCTGTTTAAGACTGACACCTGGTAACTGTGGGTCGTAAAAGACCAAAATACCATGAAAACAGTAACATAAATCCTGAGCCCCTAACTCGTGGCTGCGCCTGATAACTGTAGGCTGCCTACGTACCCTTTCTGGGGGATCAAGCCACACGTAGTTCTTTCCTCTGTTCTTGACCTGCAACTAGTTCGTTATTTTGTAACTGGTTTAATTATTCGTAAAACATACTCTAGGGTTGACATTTCTGGAGTATCCGGGACTCCGTTTTACGATCCGTCAAATACTATACGATCCTGGAAATACCTAAATCAACATACTTGAAATTGACTACGATCCAACGGTTCAAACGTATAGAACCCGGAAATCGCATACTAGGCGAGATCCGTTCGGGGTTCAAACGTTACCCGAATTAAGATCCGCGAAATCCTACGCGCTCGTGAGGACTGGGAGATCATTCTAGGACTGACTGTGGTCCCCACCCTGCTGCCCACGCGCCGCCACACGCGCTGGCAGCGCGTGGTGCCTAAAGCGATAACGCCTCGCCAGAAAATCTCAACATCTCGGTTCAAGACTCCTATCCTAGGTAAAACACCCTATTTGGAACCACTTTTGTTCTTGGACCTACCCCAAAAAGTGGCCGGAAATGGCCGGAACAGTGACTCGAAAACCGGCTGAAACCTAACTCGTAAATCGAGCTATCTACGCTGGAAATTTCTGAAATCCTACCCAACCAGCAGCTAGAGCATGAAAAATAGCTAAAAATCCATACCTCACTCGTCCGATTTGGTGGCCGGAGGTGTCCGAACGAGCTCCGTGAAATTCCATCAAAAACTGTCCAAACCGCCCTATTTCGTGGCGGTTTCCGGCGTCCACACCGGCGGATCACGGCTGGGATGGTTTAAAACTGAAAGAGGGGAGTGAGGTGGTTCGTTTGGCACTGGTCTTGCTCAATTTGGTGGTCGGAGCTGAGAGAAACCCTCTCCTAAAGTCGGCTCGTCCAACTCGAGGAGGAGAAGAAAACTGGGTTTATAAAATCTGAACTTCGAAATATTTACGGTTATGCCACTGAACTTCTTTTGCTCGTAACTCCTTCGTTACAACTCCGATTTGAGTCCACTACATGTCTACGGACTCGTTTTGTCGCGCTCTACGCATCGGTACAACTGGAATCCTCAAATTCCTTCCCGGTCAAAAAGTCAACTTTTAAACTAATAAAATATTCTAGGGGTATTTTAGTCTTTTTTTCCAAATAAATTAATAATTAAATATTAATTTTGGGTGTGGGTTATTACACCATCTGTTGGATAACTGTCAATTGTAGGATGTTGGCTGCGCTGCCCTCGTCTGCATGGATTCGATCGACCATGGCCTGAGTGATTTGAATGCTGATGACAAGAGCGTCATTGTGTGGTAGATCAAGGACAATTAGATCTTTCTTTTGGAAGCCTATTACAGGATCGTCTTCTGCTAGCGGAAGGTCGGTTGAGACTTGGGAGATCATAGTGGCTTGTTTGATATTCCTTTTTTTTCCCTTGCTGGTCAGCCCAGATTCCTCGGAGTCGGCTAGGATTGTGTTAATCCTTATGACCTTTTGGGGCGGCTCCTTGGCGGTGTCGCGGTCCTTTATCTGTTGGATGGCCTGCTTAGCGATGAATTCCGTGTAGTGACCTTCCCTAACGAGTTCTTCGAGGTGTGCTTTCCAAGCGAAGCAGTTGTTCGTAGTGTGTCCATGCGTCCCATGGAAGGCACAGTATTTGCTAGTATCCCTCCTGTCTGGATCTCCTTTCAAGGGTGACGGTCTTCTTACCCAAGGTTTGTTTTTCACTTGGGCTAGGATTTGATGTATAGGGATAGTGAACTTGGTGTAGTTCTCTCCTGCCTTAGCGTCCTCTTGTGGGTGTGACCTGCGCTTGTCCTTATTCTTGTTGCTAAATCCATCGCTTCTTTGGCCCGCCCGCTTGGTCTGCCGATCTCCCTGCTCAGTGGACTTCTTCGCAGCAATTCGATCGTCATCCCAGAGCGCGTAGCGTTCTGCGGTCGCGAAGACCTCTGCTAAAGTCTAGCTGGGAGTGATAGTCAGCTCGCGGTATAACTCGTGTTCTGCTGGAAGACCTTTCTTGAAGGCAGATGATGCGTCGAACCCTACGATGTTGGCCTTTTCTGCTTTGAACCTCTTGATGTAATCTAGAATGGATTCGTCGGGCTTCTTGCACAGGTTGAACAAATGATCTGGGTTCTTCTTGATCGTCCGATAAGAAGTGTATTCTTTAGTGAAGACATAGGCAAGCTTCTTGAAACTGTTGATTGACCCAGATGGCATGGTGTGAAACCAGTCCTGAGCTGCTCCTCGCAAGGTCATTGCAAACGCCTTGTACATCAGTGCGTCGTCGGCCTTGTGGAGGATCATGACACTTTTGAAGTGTTTTAGGTGGCTCTCGGGATCGGAATCTCCCTTGAAATGCGTAAACGAAGGCGTTGAGAATCGCTTCGGGGGAGGAGCCTGCTCGATTTCAAGGGTGAAAGGAGTAGAGATCGCCTGGTCCATCTCCTTACGTAGTGCATCCTCGAGGTTCCCGCCAGTCTTCAAGTCTCGAAGTCGGTCATTCACAAGTTTCTCAACATCTTCCGCGCACATTGCTGGTCGATCACGTTGGCGACTTTTGTGATTCGGGCGACGCTGATTGACCTCCTCGTTGGTCCGCAAGGGTCGGTCCTCTCGTCTGAGCTGCCTAGGAGGCGTGTTGGTGGACTGTGTTTGCGAGGGATTTTCTGCAGCTTGACAGCGAGAATTGGTTCTCCGAGAGCGGGCAATGGAATGCCTCTCTTCACGATCCTCATTGCGAGGGTTGCCGGGTTGACCTCCCTGGGGGCCTAGCCTTTCGTGAATATTTCTCTGCGAGTGGGTAGCGGAGCGCCTCTCTTCACGATCCTCATTACAGCGATTGCCAATTTGACCTCCCTGGGAGCCTAGCCTTTGAAGTACATTTCCCTGCGGGCCCAGGCGAGCACGGACTTCAAGTCGTGGGCCGAGCCTTTCTCGCACGTTGCTTTGTGTGTGGCTTGCAGATGCTCGTGACATGTCGGCAAGCTGACCACGTGGTTGTGCATCTCCTTGTCTGCTTACTCTTGCTCGACCTACTTGGTACCTATCGAGCTGCCGATCGACGCGTTCATCCATCCTTCTCTCTTTGCCCGGCTGTCCAAGGCCAAGGTTTTGAACCAAGTTTATTTGATTGAGAAGCTGCCTCACCAGATTGGTTTGGTCGTCCATCCTCTGAGCTAGCTGGTCAACTCTCAGATTAAGATCTGCTTGACTTCGTGGATCGGGAGGAGAGAAGTGTGTGGAGCCCAATTGCACTCGGGCTAGGGTTTCATTGGAGGTGTATGCAGGAGCGTGCATCGAGCGTGGAGGCAATGGAGGGAATGCTTGAAGTTGCTCCAAGACCGGGCCTAAGTCAGTGGTGGTAACGAGCCCACCTTGATGGGAGGTTCCACTATGCTCGATGGCGGTGCCACGGAGGTTGCTAGATCCGACTGCAGGTCTGGTCGGTGGCACGGTGGTGAGAGGTGGTGGTGCCACCATGTCGATTGCAGGATCGTGGGTGGAGTGGCTTTGGGCCGTCGTGGATTTAGTCATCGCGGCGGTTTTACTCCTCGTGCGCTTGCTTCCAACCATGGTTGTTTGGAAGGCTTCGGTGGATTGGAAAATAGGAGGAACGAATTCCTTGAGCACGCGTTGAGTATAACTCGTGCTCTCAATAAAAGCACCAAATGTTTGTGCAAATAATCTCACGGGAGAATATTCGCTTCTAGATCCTTCAACCTTTGATCTTCCTTCTCTCTCTTCCTCGATTCCTGTAAAACAGATTGGAGTAAGTAGACCACACCCGGGGGGTGTTGGCCAAAGGCCCTTCGATGCCTAATTTAGTTCAAGTGTTTGTAGGAAAACAATAGCTAAGCAAAGGGTACGGAGTTTATGTATGGTGTGAACCGGGTAGCCGGAGCCGTGTGTGGTGGCCGAAGCCGTGTGGAGAAAATATGGAGAGTGGAGAGGGAGAGAGAGCTACGGGTATTTTTCTCGGGTATTAGGAGTAGGTTTGAAGTACCTTGAATGATGAATGAAGTCGTCTATTTATAGGAGCCTGGGGGCTAGGGTTTCGTAGAGAATATGCTGAGTTTATTCTCTACCCAAATTCGTAGGGATCGAGTCGGACTGAGATAATATCTGATTTAATGATATTATCTCTTTTTATGGAGATAATATCTTAATTAAATGATATTATCTCTTTTTATGGAGATAATATATGAGATAATAACATTATCTTCTCTTTATTATGATAATATCTTAATTAATGATATTATCTTATTAAATAAAGATAATATCATGTTAATTAAGATATGTATCCCAATTAATTAATTTGCCAGATAAACTAGTTCAATTAATTAATTAAAAGAGATAATCTTCTTTTCCACGTGGCGCGCTGTGATTGGAGACGAAAATATCTGTTCCCACAATTTTTTTGCAGTTTTCTGTGCTAAAATTTATAGATTGTAATATCATGAAGAATGTCCAGTTGACCAAAAAAAAAGGAGCCACGATTGCTAATTCACTCACTCAATTAGTTGCTAACTTATTACATATTGAAATAAAGTTAAGATTATTGATAAAGCGGAAAAGCAATTGATTGAGATTCATTGTGATCATCCCTGATGAAATTTCACAAAACTATGAGCATGATTACCCTGCCCTCCCATGGAAGTCCCCCAAATTCGTTCTGGTTTTGAGCAGAGAGAAGTATTTTCTGATCCTAACAATCCCATGTCCGCTTGGGTATTTTCTCAAACTCCATATGTATTGCTTTGTTTTGATCTAGGTGTGAAAGGTGGGCAAATGGTGATATTTAGCACATCAAGGCTATAGAGATTACCAACGCTGGGCATGGAGGAAGGGAGATGTAGAATTTGGGTACTGTGCAATTCATAATTATTAGATTAAAATAATAATAATTTCAATAAATGTAATTATTCGAAAGGTAATAATAAATTAGTTGTTAGATTTAATCTCAGCCATTAATAGTGTTTAAATCTAATGGTTTAAAATTTTTGTGTCAAAAACATAGTGCCACGGATCCAGCCTCATGATGAGCACAATAAAAAGCTTCCCAAATCAATTCCTAGTATCAATTTGAGTGCATGTTTCAAAGAACCACGGGGAGGACAATCAAAGGATGGCATTCAAGGAATAGTAAATGCGGGGGAAAAAGTCTCTGTGGCAGAGGAAGTTGGGCCTGGGCAACCTTTGGGCTTCTCTGAAGGTGGAGGAAAAATTTATGACAAAAGCACCAATTACAAGGCAAGCCCAATTTCTTTACAAAATCTTGAAGCAGTAAACAATGAACCACATAATGGAGGGTTTGAGTTGTCAACAAATATGGACATTATTCCTCTCAAAACTCTAGTGCGAGGAGGAAAATGGAAAAAGAAAGCAAGGGGTATTGAGCATGGAGTGAATACGGAAAAAAACTAATGTGGCGTTGGGGATCAAGCGTAAAACAAGCGAGGACAAGATGGACACAACGAGTGGAAGTAAGAAAGGAAGAACTGATGTTTCAGAAAACATGATGAAAGCCAATATCATGGTGGGATCAGCGGAGCTTGCCCACCATGAGCAATGATTGCTTTAAGTTGGAATGTTCGAGGGCTTGGGAACCCTAGAACATTCCGTGCTCTCAAACTCCTTTTAAGGGAGAAGTTCCCTGACATGGTTTTTCTCATGGAAACCCATATGACAGAGACGCAAATGGAAAGGGTGAAACATCGGCTTGGGATGCACATGGCTTTTGTAGTGAAATGGGTCGGGATGGGTGGAGGCCTGATGATGCTTTGCAAATATGGATGGAGTATGAATTTGCTATCGTCTTCAGTAGGGCATATCGATGTTATTATTCATTCGCCAAATGGGGATGCTTTCCATGTCACAGGTTTTTATGGTCATCATGAAGCCCACAGTAGAAAACATTCTTGGGAGTTGCTACGAAGACTGCACCACGGGGTTAATGGACCATGGTTGGTATTGGGTGATTTCAATGAAGTTCTATCAGCGGAAGAGCAAAGGGGTTGCAGGGAGAGACCAATTGGACAAATGACACAATTCAAAAATGCCATACGTGACTGCTCTTTAATCTCTCTTCCTTTTAAGGGCTACCCCTTCACATGGGCAGGGAGAAGAAATGAAAGTATCATGACAGAGGTTCGTTTGGATATAGGTTTGGCTAATGCAGATCTTCTTAACCGATTCCCTGATTTGCTGATCCAACATCTAGACACTGTGGGATCGGATCACAAACCTATCCTTCTTAATGTATCCACTAATTTGCCTCAGCAACAAGGAAGGAAGAACGCACGCGGATTCCAGTTTGAACAAATGTGGGTCCAAGAGGCTAGTTGTGAAGAGGTGGTTAAAGAGGTATGGAAGGATACAAGAGGGCTCGATAGTAATGTTACTATTAGTGTTGCTCACTGTGCTGACTCTTTGACCACAGGGAACCACCAACACTTTGGTAATATTCAAAAGAAACTGCGAATTGCCCATGCTGAATTATGCAAACTGCAGAATGGGAAGTATGAACAAGTGTGGGTGTCTCGCAGACGAGAAGTTGAAAGAGAAATAAACAACCTACTGGAGGCAGAGGAGACAATGTGGAATCAACGTTCTCGAGTCACTTGGCTTAAAAAAGGTGACCGAAATACCAGATTCTTCCACGAGAAGGCTAAATCCAGGGGGATAAATAATACCATTCAAGGGCTCTTCGATGAGAGTAATGTGTGGCAGTCAGATAGTGATAATATTGGGTCCATGTTTTGCAACTATTTTAATGGTCTCTTCACTCAGATAGGTGGTCAAGATATGGAACAGGTTCTGGCAGCTATAACTCCTTGTGTTACAACGAATATGAACAAAATCCTTCTAGGTACTTTTAATCGTTTGGAGTTGGAGCAAGCCCTTGGTCAGATGTATCCAACTAAGGCCCCTGGAATTGACAGGATGCCTGCCTTATTTTATCAACGCTACTGGCATATAGTGGGTGATTCAGTCAGTGATGCTTGTCTACGAATTTTAAATGGGGAAGGTAGTGTGCGATATTTTAATCACACCTTAATTGCTTTGATCTCGAAAATAACCCAACCTACTCGAGTCACTGATTTTCGGCCCATAAGCTTGTGTACAGTCCTTTACAAGTTGTTTGCTAAGGCTTTTGTTAATCGTTTGAAGATGGTTTTACCGGAGGTAATTTCTGAGTCACAAAGTGCTTTTGTTCCGGGAAGACATATTATTGATAATGTCATGTATGCTTTTGAGGTGGTTCACCATATGAAAGGGCCACGAAGTGGGAACGGTGCTAAAATGGCTCTAAAATTGGATATGGCAAAAGCATACGACAGGGTGGAATGGTGTTTTGTGGAGGTAATGATGCACCGTTTAGGTTTTGCGGAAAGCTGGATAACTCGAATCATGGATTGTATTACTACAGTCTCCTTCTCGGTGCTATGGCAAGGAAATCCCCTTGGACATATGTCCTGCATCGAGGTATTAGACAAGGATGCCCTTTATCCCCGTATATTTTTTTAATTTGTGCAGAGGGATTTACAGGTCTCATTCAACAAGCTGAGCAATTGGGACGTATCAGAGGAGTGAAAGTGGCAGCTGAAGCCCCGCCAGTGTCTCATCTTTTTTTTGCAGATTACTCCCTGATTTTCCTAGAGGCCAAAAGGGAAGTGTTTGAAGAGGTTAAAGGAATTTTTGCTACCTACGAAAAAGCTTCGGGTCAAAAGATAAATCTTGCCAAATCTGCGGTGTCTTTTAGCTCAAATATAACAACGGAAATTATTGATGCCGCAAGGAACATACTGCAAGTGCCTGTTGTGGCTTGCCACGAGCGATACCTTGGGCTGCCAACGGTGGTTGGGAGGAATCGGCGTTCTTTATTTCTTACAGTTCAGGAGCGGGTCAAGCGGAAGGTTCAAGGTTGGAAGGAAATTTTTTTATCTAATGCTAGCAAGGAAATTCTAATTAAGTCCATGGCTCAAGCTGTCCCCACCTATTCCATGAGCTGCTTTAGAATGCCTAAGTCTGTTTCAAAGAGTTTCATTCCATATTTGCAAAGTATTGGTGGGGAAAGAGTAATAGGGGGAAAGGTATTCACTGGAGAAGATGGGAATTTTTATGCCGCTCAAAGAAGCTTGGCGGATTGGGTTTTCGGAACATTGAAGATTTTAACCAAGCTCTCTTAGCTAAACAGGTTTGGAGGGTCTTTATGAATCCGAATTCTTTGACAGCGCGCATCTTCAGGGCTCGTTATTTTCCTGGTGGCTCTATGGAAATCCTTGTTGTGGGGCAGAGAACTATTAATGGCAGGACTGCGTTGGTGAGTTGGTAATGGACTATTAATTTCTATTTATGATGACAAATGGGTGCCACTACCTCATCTCTTTAGAATCACCACTCCTCCACGATTGCCCCTAAACACCCGAGTTTGTGATTTGATCAATGATTCAGGACATTGGGATCGTGAGCTTGTTAATGCTAGTTTCTGGAAATATGAAGCAGATGCAGTGCTCAGTATACCAATGGGATATGTATTACGAAATGATGACAGGTTGGTCTGGCACTATGAGAAAAAAGGTTGCTACACAGTACGAAGTGGGTATTGGCTTGCTTGTGCAATTCGAGATCGTGAAGATGGAGAGGTGGGTGCATCTAATAGCAACTTTGAAAACATTTGGTTGAGATTATGGCGGATGCAAGTGGCTAATAAAGTCAAAGTATTTCTATGGAGATGTATGCATGAGATTCTACCATGTCGACAAAATCTTTTTTTGAAGCGAGTAGTATCTAATCCTATTTGCTTTCAGTGTCACGAAGCACCGGAAACGGTACTACATGCTTTATGGGATTGTCCTGCAGCTCATGAGGTATGGCAGTTTTCAGCTCTTCAAGATTCATGTACCTCAGCTTATCATGGATGCTTTCTCAATCTATTTCGCTATATCTTGATTGTCTTGACTGATAAGGAACTTAGACACTTTGGGTATATTTGTTGGAATGTATGGAATGGAAGAAATACTCAATTGTTTCAAGGCTGGAAGCCCAATGCTTTCCAAAGTTACCAACACATGCAGGAGATGGCAGAAGAATTCTATCAAGCGAATTGCACATCTTTACGCTCGATTCAAGACGGAAGCAACCTGGTGGTGAATTAGGAGAGGCCTCCTGCTCAGTTCTTTAAAATTAATGTGGATGGGGCTCTAAAAACAAACGATAGTGGTAGAGGGCTGGGAGTTGTCATTAAATTAGATATTATCTAAGTCCGACTCAATCCCTACGAATTTGGGTAGAGAATAAAATCAGCATATTCTCTACGAAACCCTAGCCCCGAGGCTCCTATAAATAGACGACCTCATTTATCATTCAAGGTACATCTAAACCTACTCCTAAACTCGAGAAAAATACCTGAAGCTCTCTCTCCCTCTCCACTCTCCATATTTTCTCCACACGGCTCCGCCCACCACACAAGACTCCGGCCGCCCGGTTCACACCATACATAAACTCCATACCTGTTGCTTAGCTATTGTTTTCCTACAAACACTCGAACTAACTTAGGCATCGAAGGGCCTTTGGCCAACACCCCCCGGGTGTGGTCTATTTACTCCAGTCTTTTTTACAGGAATCGAGGAAGAGAGAGAAGGAAGATCGAAGGTTGAAGGATCTAAGAGCGAATATTCTCCCGTGAGATTATTTGCACAAACATTTGGTGCTTTCATTGAGAGTACGAGTTATACTCAACGCGTGCTCAAGGAATCCGTTCCTCCTATTTTCCAATCCACCGAAGCCTTCCAAACAACCATGGTTAGAAGCAAACGCCTTAGGAGCAAAACCACCGCGATGGCTAAATCCGTGACAACCCGAAGCCACTCCACCCACGATTCCGCGATCGATATGGTGCCACCACCACCTTTCACCACCGTGCCACCTACCGGACCCGCGGCCGGATCTAGCAACCTCTGTGGCACCGCCATCGAGCATGGTGGAACCTCCCATCAAGGTAGGCTCGTTACCACAACTGACTTAGGCCCGGTCTTCAAGCAACTTCAAGCATTCACTCCATTGCCTCCACGCTCGACGCACTCTCCTGCATATACCTCCAATGAAACCCTAGCCCGTGTGCAATTGGACTCCATACACTTCTCTCCTCCCGATCCACGAAGTCAAGCAGATCATAATCTGAGAGTTGACCAGCTAGCTCAGAGGATGGACGACCAAACCAATATGATGAGGCAGCTCCTCCACCAAATAAACTTGGTTCAAAACCTTGGCCTTAGACAACCGGGCGAAGAGAGAAGGATGGATGAATGCACCTATCGGCAGCTCGATGGGTACCAAGCAGGTCGAGCAGGAATGGGCAGACAAGGAGAAGGACAACAACGCGATCAACTTGCCGGCATGTCACAAGCATCTGCAAGCCACACACAAAGCAACGTGCAAGAAAGGCTCGGCCCACGACTTGACGTTCGCGCTCGCCAAATGTTCATGAAAGGCTAGGCTTCCAGAGAAGTCAAACTGACAATCGCCGTAATGAGGATCGTGAAGAGAGGCGCTCCGCTGCCCGCTCGCAGAGAAATATTCACGAAAGGTTAGGCCCCTAGGGAGGTTAACCTGGTAACCCTCACAATGAGGACCTTGAAGAAAGGCATTCCACTGCCCGCTCTCGGAGAACCAATTCTCGTCACCAAGCTACAGAAAATCCCTCGCAAGCGCAGTCCACCAACATGCCTCTTAGGTAGTGCAACGAGAGGGTCGACCCTTGTAGACCAATGAGGAGGTCAGTCAGCATCGCTGGAATCATGAAGGTCGCCAACGTGATCGACCAGCAATGTGTGCAGAAGACGTTGAGAAGCTTGTGAATGACCGACTTCGAGACTTGAAGATTGGCGGGAACCTCGAGGATGCACTACGTAAGGAGATGGACCAGGCGATCTCTACTCCTTTCAACCCTGAAATCGAGCAGGCTGCTCTCCCGAAGCGATTCTCAACGCCTTCATTTACACATTTCAAAGGGGATTCCGATCCCGAGAGCCACCTAAAACACTTCAAAAGTGTCATGATCCTCTATAAGGCTGAAGACGCACTTATGTGCAAGGTGTTTGCAATGACTTTGCGAGGAGCAGCTCAGGACTGGTTCCACACCCTGCCATCAGGGTCGGTTAGTAGCTTCAAGGAGCTTGCTTACGTCTTCACCAAAGAGTACACCTCTTACCGGACGATCAAGAAGAACCCTGACCACCTGTACAACCTGCGCAAAAAGTCCGACGAATCCTTTCGAGATTACATCAAGATATTCAAAGCAGAAAAAGCCAACATTGTAGGATGTGACGACTGGATTGCGGCATCTGCCTTCAAGAAAGGTCTTCCGGCTGAACACAACTTGTACCGCGAGCTCACTATCACTCCCAACCAGACTCTGGCAGAGGTCTACGTGACCGTGGAACGCTACGCGCTCTGGGATGACGATCGAATCGCCGCAAAGAAGTCTACAAAGCAGGAAGATCAGTCGACTAAACGGGCAGGCCAAAGAAGCGATGGATTTAGCAACAAGAATAAGGACAAGCGCAGGTCACACCCACAAGGGGACGCTAAGGCAGGAGAGAACTACACCAAGTTCACCATCCCTATACATCAAATCCTAGCCCAAGTGAAAAACAAACCTTGGGTAAGAAGATCGCCACCCTTGAAAGGAGATCCGGACAAGAGGGATACTAGCAAATACTGTGCCTTCCATGGGACGCATGAACACACTACGAACAACTACTTCGCTTGGAAAGCACACCTTGAAGAACTCGTGAGAAAAGGTCACTGCACGGAATTCATTGCGAAGCAGGCCATCCAACCGATTGAAGATCGTGACACCGCCAAGGAGCCGCCCCAAAAAGTCATAAGGATTAACACAATCCTAGCTGACTCCGAGGAATCTGGGCTGACCAGCAAGGAAAAGAAGAGGAAGATCAAACATGCCATTATGATCTCCCAAGTCTCGACCAACTTTTCGCTAGCAGAAGACGATCTTGTAATCGGCTTCCAAAAGAAAGATCTGATCGGCCTCGACATGCCACATAACGACGCCCTTGTCATCAGCATTCAAATCGCCCAGGCCATGGTCAACCGAATCTATGCAGACGAGGGCAACACAGCCAATATCCTGTAGCGGGTTGTCATTCAACAAATGGGCTTGAAGACAAAGATCAATAAATCAGCCAAGTCGCTGACTGGCTTCAATGGCGCAACAACAGTTACCGTGGGCACAATAGATCTCGGCTTCTACTGCCCACCAGTAATCAGCTCGCAAATGTTCATGGTCATTGATGAAGCCTTACCCTACAATGGCATTCTGGGCAGACCATGGATCAGCAAGATCAACGCCGTCACCTTCGCCACACATCAGAAGATTCGCTACCCAATCCCTGGGGGCGGTATCGATCAAATCAACAGTGATCAGGCAATGGCAAGGAAATACTCAGCTCAAGGGGTAAAGAAAGGCAAGCAAACATAGTTCCTCCCTGTGAATCAGGCAAATCTAAAGGGAGTAGAACAAGCAGAGGAGAAAGCAGATCCTGTTCCTAACGGTTGAGCAGACCAGAAAGGAAAGGGAATAACTACTCCCCAATAGCAATCAAAGAATCAGGACCAAGTCGAGGGAATTCGTTCGGAGGTCTATCCTGAAGAAGGATGGGAGCCCGAGGAGGACATTGAGCTAGTACCCCTTGATCCTGACAAGCCAGAGAGAAAAGTGCGGATCGGCTCGCGCCTAAGCCAAGAGGAAAAGGCAGAGCTTGTAGCCTTCCTCCAGAACAACAAACGCGTATTTGCATGGTCGCCATCCGACATGCCTGGCATCGATCCCCAGATCATCTTCCATCGCCTACACGTCAACTCAGCTATCAAGCTTGTAGTGCAAAAGAGACGCAACTTCGCCCCTGAGCGGGTTGCCATCATTGAAGCCGAGATCGACAAACTTCTAGCTGCCGATTTTTTTGAAAAATTCTTCTAGGCAGAATGGCTGGCGAACGTTGTTCTAGTAGCGAAGAAAGATAAAGGCCTGTGGAGAGCGTGCGTCGACTACATCGACCTTAACAAGGCGTGCCCTAAAGACAACTTTCCACTGCCAAGAATTGATCAGCTCGTCGATTCAACTTCTGGCAATCAACTGCTAAGCTTCATGGACGCCTACTCCGGTTACAACCAAATCATGATGCATGAAGACGACAAGGCAAAAACCTTATTCATTATCGAAAGAGGTACATACTGCTACAAAGTCATGCCCTTTGGGTTGAAGAATGCCGGGGCCACCTACCAAAGGCTGGTGAACAAAATTTTCAAGGAGCAAATTGGCAAGACTATAGAGGTCTACGTAGACGACATACTAGTCAAAGCTCCCAAACGAGCAGACCACATCAAGAATCTTGCCGAGGCATTCAGCCTACTCCGAAAATACAACATGAAGTTGAACTCGAGCAAATGCACATTTGGAGTCTCGTTCGGCTGATTCCTTGGATACTTAGTCATCCAAAGAGGAATTGAGGCACATCCAAATCAAATCAAGGCTATACTCAAAATGAAGTCACCTGTCACAACAAAAGAGATACAAAGTCTAACGGGTAGGGCGGCAGCTCTCAACCGATTCCTTTCAAGATCTACCGACAAGTGCAGGCTATTTTTCAAAGCCTTGAAGAAGGGACACAAATACAAGTGGGATGACGAGTGTGATGTAGCTTTTCAAAACTTGAAAACTTACCTCACTTCACCTCCAATACTCTCAAAACCGATACCAGGCGAAGACTTGTACATCTACCTGGCAGTGTCCGACTCAGCTGTTAGCTCAGCTATCATCCGAGAAGAGCTAGGGGCACAACATCTGGTATTCTACACTTCAAAAGCTCTCCTTGATGCAGAGACTCACTATCCGAAAATGGAGAAGCTCATTTTTTCGCTTGTGGTTTCTGCGAGAAAGCTAAGGCCCTACTATCAAGCACACCAGATTATTGTCATAACAGAATTTCCTTTGAGATCGATCCTTCACAGCCCCGACGCTTCTCAGCGACTCATGAAATGGGCTATCAAACTCAGTCAATACGACCTTCTCTACCAGCCGAAGACTGCTATAAAAGCCCAAGCTTTAGCAGATTTTGTTGTAGAGTTTACTCCGACATCCGAAGAAGAGAAGATGGTCATGAAAAGCAAGGAAAAAGCAGACGACACCTCCCCCACCGGTTCGAACCTACCTAACGACATGTGGCAGTTGCATGTAGACGGAGCATCAAATCACAAAGAAGCGGGAGTAGGGGTCGTCATAATCACCCCAGATGGAACCTTGTTGGAACAAGCTATCACACTAGGCTTTTCTGCTTCAAACAATGAGGCAGAATATGAGGCATTGCTTGCAGGACTGCGCCTAGCGAAAGAACTGTCGATCAAGAGATTGGTCATCTACTTAGACTCCTAGCTGATCACGAATCAAGCCTCGGGCGAGTACATGGCAAAGCATCCAAGAATGGTCCAGTACCTCGACAAAGTCCAAGGACTTTTGAAAAAATTCCCTACTTTCACAATCCAAAAAGTTTCACGGGCAGAGAACATTCATGCAGATGCGTTGGCGAGCCTAAGATCAACATTGGACACCCAGTTCAGACGCTCCATCCCAGTTGAACACCTTGACCGGCCAAACATTGAAGAAATAGAGCCAATCGACTCAATGCAGATTGATGAGGACCCCAGCTGGCAAGACCCCATCATCGACTACTTAGTAAATGAAAATCTGCCAAAGGACAATTCCGAAGCTAGAAAAGTCCAACAGAAAGCCGCAAGATATTACATGCAAGGCGGAAAGCTAATCCGCAGATCATACTCCGGCCCTTCTCTCACCTGCATAAAGTACCCTCAAACACTTGAGGTCCTTTGCAAAATTCACGACGGCGATTGTGGCAACCACTCTGGGGGCAGATAACTCGCCCAGAAGGCTCTAAACATAGGCTACTTCTGGCCTACTATGTGCCACGACTCCGTTGAATATGTCAAAAAGTGTGATCGTTGCCAACGATACAAGCCGATCCTTAATCTGTCGACCGAAGTTTACAATCCGCAAAATAGTCCATGGCTATTCATGTAATGGGCCATCGACTTAGTGGGTCCCTTGCCACCGATGCCCGCCAAGAAAGAAATGATGATCGTCGCCACCGACTACTTCACTAAATGAATCGAGGCCGAAGCTCTATCCTCTATTAAAGAAGCCGATGTGGAGCGATTCATCTGGAGAAACATCATCTGCTGGTTTGGCTACCCACAATTGCTGGTTACCGACAACTACTCACAGTTCATTGGCAGGCAGGTCACCGCAAAACAGTCGCCCATAAGGAGCATCCTAAGGGAGACGCAGGGCGACGACCAAAAGCGTCCTTCGGGAGACGCAGCCCGCAAAGAAGCGTCCTAAGGGAGACGCAGGGTGCGCTAGGAATTTCCTAAAGGAGATATCCAGGTTCCTATCCGTTCCCTAAGGGGGGCATGATAGTTATACAGTTGCCCATAAGTAGCGTTCTAAGGGAGACGCAGGGCAACGACTAAAAGCGTTCGTTTAGAGACGCAGCCCGCTAAAAAAGCGTCCTAAGGGAGACGCAGGATGGGCCAGGAGTTTCTTAAAAGGGGGTCTCCATGCTCCCTAGGGAAATATCCAGGTTCCTATCCGTTTCCTAAGGGAGGCAGGATAGTCATACAGTTGCTCATAAGTAGCATCCTAAGGGAGACGCAGGGCGACGACTAGAAGTGTCCTTCAGGAGACGCAGCCCATAAAAAGCGTCCTAAGGGAGACGCAGGGTGTGCCAGGAATTTCTTAAAAGGAGGTCTCCATGCTTTCTGTAGGAAGTATCCAGGTTCTTATCCGTTCTTAAGGGAGGCAGGATAGTCACACAGTTGCCCATAAGCAGCGTCCTTCGGGAGACGCAGGGCGACGATCAAGGCATCCTAAGGGATGTGCAGAACATGCCCGGAGCCCCTTAAGGGTGGCCCTGACACTAGCCAACTTCCTAAGGGGAGCCATCCTAAGGGATATGCAGAACACTCCCGGAGTCCTTCAAGAGGGACCCTGGCACTCATGAATCTCCAAAGGGAGATGTGCAATCAAGACACAAGCTGGTTATATTATCCTAATAAAGAGAAGATAATATCATTAATTCAGATATTATCTTCATAAAAAGAGATAATATCATTTAATTCAGATATTATCTTCAATAAAGAGAAGATAATATTATTAATTCAGATATTATCTTCATAAAAAGAGATAATATCATTTAATTCAGATATTATCTTCAATAAAGAGAAGATAATATCATTAAATCAGATATTATCTAAGTCCGACTCAATCCCTACGAATTTGGGTAGAGAACAAACTTAGCATATTCTCTACGAAACCCTAGCCCCGAGGCTCCTAAAAATAGACGACCTCATTCATCATTCAAGGTACATCTAAACCTACTCCTAAACCCGAGAAAAATACCTGAAGCTCTCTCTCCCTCTCCCCTCTCCATATTTTCTTCACACGGCTCCGACCACCACACACGGCTCTGGCCGCCCGGTTCACACCATACATAAACTCTGTACCCGTTACTTAGCTATTGTTTTCCTACAAACACTCGAACTAACTTAGGTATCAGAGGGCCTTTGGCCAACACCCCCCGGGTGTGGTCTATTTACTCCAGTCTTTTTAACAGGAATCGAGGAAGAGAGAGAAGGAAGATCGAAGGTTGAAGGATCTACGAGCGAATATTCTCCCATGAGATTATTTGCACAAACAGAAATGAGATGTTTGAGTTAGTTGAAAGCAGTGTTTTCAAAGGCATGTTTTCGCGCTCGTCGGAGCGTGCTTTAGAGAGGCGGCCGGAAAACGCCCGAGGCGTGAGAAGGCGTTATAAGGTGTTGCAAGACGGAGCAAGGCGCGCCAGATCTGGACACTCTGAAACGGAAGAAATTTCTGCTTCTGCAAGTTCGGTGCGGCTCTGCGAGGAAGACGATAATGCGAGGAAGAAGCCTTTTTTTTTATAGGTTTTTTCTAACGAAACGACGTCATTTCACTTGGAGTGTTTTGAAAAAATAAACCACGCAAGTATTTATTTTTTTTTTTTTTTTTTTTTTTTTTTTTTTCCTTTTTTTTTTTTTTTTTTTCCTCCCCCCCTTCATCCAATATTCCTGCCTTTTCTATTTCCATCCGTTTTTCTACTTACCTTTCTTTTTGTTTTTTTTTTTTTTTCCTAAATTAAATATATTAACACATGGAATTATATATATATATATATATATTGTATTGTACAACCCCAATTTCTATCCTTACCAAATATTTAATTATATTTAGAATATTGTTTTGGTTTGATAAAAATTAGTTGTACAATTTAATTGTATTGTATTATTAAAAAAAATATATTATTAAAATAAATTAATGTTCAAAAGGCTTACGCTTCAAAGCTTACGCCTTGCATAGCGCCACTAAAAACGCCTCGCCTATACGCCTCGCCTTTGAAAACATTGGTTGAAAGCAGCGGTAAATCTAGGAAAATCTCAAGCCTTTCACAATCACGTAGATGAAGTATTTCTAAGGATTTCAATCTAAATGTTGTTGCAAACCTTGTAAAATTGAAGCATCCATTAAGATTCAATTCTCGAAGCTTAGTAAGATATGCAATTGATGGAGACAATTCTCATATGCCACTTCCTGATATGTCCAAACTCCGTAATGATTTCATCTCGACTTCTATTTCTGGGAAACTCTCAAGCCTTTTGCAATCCCTAAGATCAAGTTCTTCAAGAGATTTCAATCTAAATGCTGTTGCAAACCTTGTAAGATTGAAGCATCCAGCAAGATACAATTTTCCAAGCCCAGTAAGATATGCAAATGATGATGGCAATTCTCTTACACCACTTCCTGATATGTCCAAACTCCATAGTGATTCCATCTCGACTTCTATTTCTAGGAAACTCTGAATCCTTTCGCAATACCTAAGAACAAGTTTTTTAAGAGATTTCAATCAAAATGCTGCTGCAACCTTGTAAGATTGAAGCGTCCACCTAGATCCAATTCAACAAGTTTATCAAGGAGTCCAACAGAATCATCAATCTCAACAAAACGTGCACAGTCACTTAGAATCAAGTACTCTATGGTTGGGATTCTGGATAAGTCTGGGATTTTTTCTAAGAATTGACAACCCCTCAAATTTATAGATGTCAACTTTGACAAAAGCTGTGAGACAAGAACACAAAAACAGGAAACAATTAATCACACGTTTCAAAAGACAAAAACTTAGAAAATAATTTTTCGTTTTTTTCCTTCTGAAATTAACAACTATATTTGAAATTATATATAATGGATGAAAATAATTTCAAATGCATACCTTAAAGTTAAATCCATCTAATTGTCTGATATGACTGCGGGGCATATTGAACTCAACAAGACGATTTCCTTGAAAATTGGGTGGCAAAGATTGTAATTGACATCTATCCCAATCAATCAATCTTAACGTGTTGGGCAGATAGTTAATGTTCCCACAAAGAGATGCATTACGGTTTATGAAAATTTCAAGATTTACCATATTACGAAAGCATTCTGGATTCAAGGTTATCTCTGCTGGTTCTGGAAGCTTCATAATGATGCCTTTAATATTTCTTGTTCCCTAAGATAGAAAAACATTAAGATTAAAAAACGGAGTCATTTTACAAACCAAAATGCAAGCACATTTTGTTAAGAAAATTATAGGTTACATAAGGTATTCTTTCTTGTCAAATTGAATATAATAACATATATTATACTTACTGTATTTTCTGTTAGAACTTGCTCGACATCCTCGTAAAACCACAATCTAATACGCTTACTAGGATCATTGGGAGATTCTTTGTGAACTATATCCTTGCCCAGGTTTGCTAGCAAGTCGTGCATTAATAAAATCCTATAATTCCTTTCAATAGTTATGATTGCCTTATCAACGAGTACTTCAATGCAATTTTTGGGGACTATTTGTAGCACATAGTCCTTAATTTCACCCTTGAAGAAACATGCAATATTGAGAAAAACTTCTTTTGCGTAATCATCCAAGGCATCATAACTTTTTTGAAGTATTCTTTCAATATGTGTATAAGGTTCTCCTTTGAAACCATCTAATATAGCTTGCCAACGATGTATACCTTTATTACGAAGATGGGAACCTAAAAGTGTTATAGCTAGTGGAAGGTCTTGAGCATAGGCTACTGCTCGTTGTGCGAGTTGCAAATAATCATTTGGAGGTTCATTTATTCCGAAGGCATTCAAACTGAAAAGCTCAAGAGTTTGGTAGTCACATAACTTTTGGACCTCATATATCAACTCAATTCCATGACATTTTAGCAATCCGCTATCTTGTGTAGTTATGATGACTCTACTACCCTCACCAAACCAACCAACTCCAGCCAAGTTGTCAAATTGCTCCAACTGGTTCACATCATCAAGAATTAAGAGAATCTTTTTATGTCTCAGCTGTTCTTTTATAACACCGATTCCTTCATCAACACTGTGAATTTTCAACTTTTTGCCTAGATACTTATGAAGAAGAGTCTTCTGTAGCTGGATTAGGCCTCCATGTGGCGAATTTTCCCTAACATTTTCCAAGAACTCATGGGCAATTGCATTCCATATAACTTTTGCAATTGTTGTCTTGCCTATTCCAGATGTCCCCCATATCCCAGCCATGCGACGACCATTCCCACCAACATCTAAAAGCTTTTTCACATCTTGTACATGAGACTGAATTCTAACTGGGTGCTTGGCTTAAGATTCCATCAACAATGTTGTTGATAAATGTAGCTTCATACCTGCCAATTTAACCAAATTAGACACATTTAATGAATCATATTTAAACATCCAACCACACAAAAGAACACAACATACTGAAGTACGTAATAGTTGTTCTGACCAAAAAAGAAAAAAAGATGTAATAGTTGTTTAACCACAAACCTAATGTTATGTATCATTTATACTTGTATGCCTTTTGAAGAGATTAATATATGGATTTTGAAATTTCTCCTTACAGCTATCGAAAATACAAAAGTACCCAAGGAAATAAATCTTCTCCCAACAGTTGTATATTTTTACAAAATAATACTTTTCTTTAATGGGTAACAATTAAATGTAACCAAAGTAACAAAGAAAGAGAAACTAAGTGAACTTGAAAAATATAGAATCAAGACATGAAATTAAACATAATGCCCTACAGCTATCGAAAATATAAATACCAAAAAATTAAAATTAAAATAAAGATCTCTCCCTACAATTTAATATTTTTACAAAAGGATGCTTTTCTATAAATGTGTAACAAATAGTAATGAGAAAGAAGAGAGAAAAAAAAATAAACTTGAAAATTATAAAGATAGAAACATATTCTCCCTCCTTAAAATGCCATCCAGACAAATTTGCTGGTTCAGTAAGAGCTCTCCTCCATTTAAGCACTTTCTTCTTGTCATCCTTGAATTTGCTTTCATGGTGAACAAATGCATCACCATAACTCCTTCTTTGATTTCGTACATCCGATAGATCCACCTCGTAAAAAATGGGCAAAACTATTTGTTGCTTTGATTCTTTAAATTGAAGGATCTTGACAAGTTCATCCAAGCACCACCTCAAAGATGCATAGTTTTTAGAGAATACAATGAGAGAAATTCTTGATTCTTCAATTGCTCTGACAAGGGCTGGCGATATTTCTTCTCCTCTTGGAAGCTCTCGATCAATGAAGGTGTAGATGCCCTTATCAGACAAGGCCTTGTACAAATGACCTGTAAACTTGGTGCATTTATCCTCACCTCTAAAACTCATAAACACATCATATGTCCATGAATCATATTGATGCTCTTTTTCGGAGAGCGTCAACTTAGAGAAAAGGGGTTTGCCTTCAACAGTGGAGAAGGTGTGGACCTTCGGTAAGGGGCTAGCCTGCAGAAGACAAAGTAGGAGAAGCAATCGTTAAGCTTCGGACACCGGTGTGGTGCAGGCCGAAGGCTCTCCAATGTTCAAGTCAGCTAAGAGTAGTAACTTTGGCAGAGTAACAGTAAAAGGTAAGAAAGTTGTTTACACCATAATCAACCGAGCATATCCAGCCTCAAAGCGACTAGCACCAAGGCAGACACGCCTTCTCCCTTGCCAAAGGAAGACACTCTTCCAAGGTGCCAAACACCTACTGAAGCTCCCGACTGCCGACGCTCTCAAACTGCCGAACCTAATCTCCAGGACACGTGTCACCACCACAGCGACTTGCACAAAGTCCCACATCGAAATTCTATGCAAACCTCCCACTTTCACCTCCCTATAAATAAGGAATAGTATCCATGTGAAAGGGGGACTTCTCTCCACTTAGAAGAGGCTTTTCTCCACTTAGAAGAGGATCCAGGTCTTGGAGCTAGACCCTTGGGCCTTGGACTCTCTCTCTTCTAGATCCCTGGCCTGGGCATCTCACTTGTCATCTTTATATTTGGGTCCAACCCCATGTACAAATGTAATCATACATTATCATAATGACAACATACTTCTCCGTGGATGTAGCCCATTCATTAAGGGTGAACCACGTATATCTAGTCTTCTTTACATTTATCGTTTGCCCAAACCCTCACACACATGCTGAAGGTCCTCACCTTCACCCATCATCCACCATTCTACATATATCTAAGTTAGACCTCCCAAAAAGAGCATCCACAAAAGTAGTTCCCCTTTTTACTAAGGTACTGTTCCCTATTTATAGGGAAGTGAAAGTGAAAGGTTTGTGTAGAATTTCGATGTGGAACTTTGTGCAAGTCGCTGTGGTGGTGGCACGTGTCCTGGAGATTAGGTTTGGCAGTTTGAGAGCTTCGGCAGTCGGGAGGTTCGGCAGGTGTCTGGCACCTTGGAAGAGTGTCTTCCTTCGGCAGGGGAGGAGGCGTGGCTGCTTTGGTGCTAGTTGTTTTGAGGCTGGATATGCTCGGTTGATTATGGTGTAAACAGTAGTCCCCCAAGTTCACGGTCAAGAAGTAACTTCTGGGTTGGGAACTTGTTAGATTTTTGTGTAATCGTGACCGAGCAGTCCAGGTTTAGTGGGAGCCGTAGGGCATTCCCTAGTCCCCAAGTTAGCAAGTTAGAAGTTGCGTCAACACTTGGAAGATATGGTGGCTGTGTGAGCTTCTAGTACTGTTGGTAGCTGGGTACCTACGCATTTTGCAGGGAGCCCAGGGATGGGCTCTGTGGAGTTGAGCGTTGGTAGAGGTCGGGGCCTTGAGGTTTTAGCAAGGGAGCCTTGGGGAGCCTTCCTTTAGTTTTGCTCCTTTTGGTAATTTTTTTTTTTTTTTGCTTTCCGAAAGAGGAAGAAAAAACCCAAGGAAATTGGGTAATCCTTACATTTCGACAACTAGGTTAAGGAAGCCTTTTGGGCTTGGCTTTTGGGTCTGCATATGGACCTCTATGGCTTAAAGCTGGGCCATTAATGTGTGGGCTACATGCTTGGGCATGCCCTTGCCGTTCGACAAGGATCGTTGGAGGCCCATTTTTGTGGGCTATGATCAATGTTTGGGGCTAGGGTTTTGCGGAGAGGGGTGCTATCCTTTTAGATTAAAACCTGCCATTCAGCAAGGTCAAGTTGAAAGGCATATACACTTTCGTTAGGGTCTTGGAGTCGACAGGGTCAATTCGGCAAGGCTTGGGTTCCGAATCCTCAGTGAGTCCAGGAGAGTCTTGAAATCTTCCTCTCGCCTGCTGTCGTTCAGCAACTCATGGTGGTTTAGATTTGGCAAGAGGGCCCTTGGGTACTTCTAGCTTCGGCAAGGAGACTTGGCTACTGGGTTGTGCTGGGGTTTTGCAAAGGAGGCTGGGTCCTTAGAGGTTCAGCAAGGAGGAGTGTTCGAGAGTCTTCAAGAACCTTCAGCAAGGCACTCGCCGATCGGCAAGGGTCTTATGAGTTTGGGTGAACATCCGGGTTTGCTGTAATTATCCTGTTTCAAGGTGTAGCCGGGTCCTGCCGTTCAGCAGATTTCATTGGAGGTTTTTCTACTCGAGATTTCGAAGCTGGACCGGGTCTTGGCTTGGCTTTAATGCTACACAGCTTTGGCAAGCAAGGGTCTGAATATTTATGTTTTGGTGAGTGAGTTTTGTAGTCCCCGATTTCCAGCTAGGCCCTTGCCGTTCGGCAAGGTTATTTGGGAGTTTGAGGCCTCGCAGAGTGACGGAGAGGGAAGCTAGGTCCGGCAAGAGTGGAGCTTGTTGCCGATCGGTAAGGCACATCTGGGGTTAATTTGGGAGATCTGAGTTGTTGGTTTGAAGCATTCGGTAAGAGCTTCCCCTGTGGGATCCTTCGGCAAGCTTGAGTTGGGGTCGTTACTGTCGTGAGCTTCCCCTCGATTTTCCCACGACACTTGTGTTCGGCAGGTGGCTGAGCCTGCGGAGGTTAAGGAGGTTCTGGGCTTTCGGCAGGGCATAAGATTATAGTTCGAGCCTCCTTCAACAAAACTAAGCGTCACGAGCTAGAACCGGTTGCCTTGGGGCTGGGCTTTCGGTATGCTTGGGTAGGAAGGAATATTCGAGGTGTAGAGCTACCAAATGGGTTTGGGCAAGAGTGGGTTTGGGCTTGGGTGTTTGGCATTCAGTAGTTGGCTTCACAAATTGGCAACTCGGTGTTTTACGTTTTGAAGGAGTTGGGCCCTTTCGTGTGGGACCAAGGCCCTCATTTCGTGCCGGAGCTGGGTAGCCTTTGTTGAGGTAAAAACTTTTCGAGGCCCTCATTTTCTTTGCGCATGGGCCTTGCCGTTCGGCAAGGTCCCCAACCTCCTTTTCCCGTTTTTTTGTTTTTTTTTTTTTTTTTTTTTTAATTATGAATTTCAAATTTATTGTAGGTACAAGGGATTTGGGAGGGAAGGTGAAAGGGTGCTAGGGTTTCTTGTGTACCCTTGGGACTTTATAAATAGGAATTTGGGGTTACGAAGGCTTTACACTTGGAGAATTTTGAGAGAAATTTCCAGAAAGTGAGAAGGAGAAAAGAGATTTCCGGCGAGATTTTGGTGGTGGTGCTTGTGGCCAAAGTGATTTCCGGCGTCATTTCGTGGTGGTGAAAACAAGGTTAGACCTTATTTCCCTTGAATTTTTGAATTGAAATGTCTTTTCCTGTATGAACATGTTGAAGACTAGGATGAACGCCTTGAACATTGATATGAACTTGTTGAATGTTGTTTATAGATCAAAGAGCATATAGGTGTGCCCTTTTTTGTGTGTTCTTGTGTTGTCGATACTTCTTGCATGTGCATTAGTTCCTTTTCCTTGTTTTTGCATGTTGTAGATGTTTGAAAGTTTTGATAAAGAAAGTCATGACCCCTCTGCCTTTGGTGGGGATGATACTGAGAGTGAAGAGCCCAGTGAATATGTTTGTTCTTAAGGGGAGAGTTCCCAGACAGAGGGTCTGGTAGAAGGTATCATAGAAAGTTGGATGGTAGTTCATGATGGTGAGATAGGTGAGCCATCAATAGATTCTCGGGATGCTGAGTACAAAGAGATGCAGAGGAATTACAAAGTGTTAGAGGCTATGGCTGATCAGGTTCTAGCCTTGCCTCATACACCAGAGGTGGGCTCGAGCAATCAGGCATCACCATCAGGGTCTGTGGGTATAGCCATGGCTTCAGCTTCAGAGGGGGTGGACATAGGGTTGGTGTCCCTTTGGCTAGGCAGAATATTCTTACAGAAGTAATGTTCCAGCTTATGTGGGCTTGAGGTTACCCACTGCGGCTGATGTGGTCAGATACCCTCCAGAGGGTTCAGTGATGATTTTTATGGATATGTATCAACATGGCTTCAGACTACCGTTGCATCCTTGGGTGCAGATGATATTGGCCAAGCTGGGGTATGCGCCAGGGCAGTATAATCCTAACTTTTGGCTTCTTCTACATGGGGTTTACATTGCTTGGTGGTTGGCTGGGTTGGGGGAGCCGACATTTGAGTAGTTTATGTATCTCTACTTGATCTCCAAGCAGCATGGAAGTTATGGCTGGGTACAGGCCAATTGTCGAACGGCAAAGGAAAGGGGTTACTTTATTGGTCACAAGCCTTCTACTCAGAAGTCTTGGAGGAACATGTGGTGCCTGGCCTATGGTGACTGAGAGTGTCCGCAAGGAAAGACCGTCTCCAGACACATTCCAACCCATTTCTAGTCTATAGGTCCTTAGCCCCATCCTTTAAGACTGATTATTGTTTTGTAGTGTTTGTACTTGTTTAAACTCTTGGTTCTCCATTTTTGCTTATGCAAGTGTAAATGGCTGAGTAGGATCTAACCTTCGGTGCAGGTTCGGTAAAGTTGGGGCCAATCTCCAAAGAGCAAGAAGACGAGGTCGAGAGGGTGAGGTCACTGCTGTCAGAGACCGAGCGTGAGTATAAAAACCTAGTCACTCAGAAGAATCTGCTCGAGTCCGGCCTTTTGCAAGGAAGTAAGTATTTAGGTCACCATTGTTGTTTGTCTTCCGATTCTTTTTTGTCGTTGTGACTAACTTAGTTTTTGATGTGCAATGGCAGGTATCATAAAGGGAAGCACAAAGGTGGCTATGGATCTAGATGACGCTGAGATGCAGAAACGGCTTAGGGAGTCTCGGGCGTAGATGGCTGGGAAGGGGGTTGCCAGGCAAGCGATTGGGAAGCGTCCTAGAGATGATGATGAAGGCCTGGTTGCCGATGTGTTGGGAAAGAAGAGAGCGCTAGAGGAAGCTCACCGAAGTATGATGGGAATAGGGTCGAGGCTTCCTCCCTTTGACCTGCAGGCGCTTCCGAAGCTCCCCTTTGGTATGAAGGACGTTTATGCCGAGGGAGTGGAGAAAATGGACTTCTCCAGGCTGCGTCGGCAAAACAAGAAGGTGAACCTGGCCATGCATCGGCAGGAGGTTCCCTTGGTGAACGTCTTCTTGGAAGGCGTGAAGTGTGACCCTGAAGTTCTGGCGAGGACACCGTCACTCCTTATCTTCTTGACTGATGATGCCTTGTGTTGCAGGCCTATGGTGAGATGTACGGGAACATGGCCAAGGCAGATAAGGAGATCCAGAGGTTGAAGAGGCGCAGTGAGATGGCCAAGGACAAGATAGCAGAGGCGCAGGATGCCATTCGGGAGAAGAACGCCCTGCTGTTGCAAAAGGCGGCGTTGGCCAGAGAGGTGGAGGAGCTGAAGCAGTGAGGGCCGAGGAGGTAGCTGCTGCCCGAGCCGAAGTAGAGCAGAAGAAGGTCGAAGAGATAGCTGTTGCCTGAGTCGAAGCGACCGAGTCATTTTGAAGTTCAGAAGAGCTGCGGAGTTACATCATGGATCAGATGGTGGCTATGCAGCTGCATTGAGAGCAGAGGTTGGCGAGGTTGAACCTTTCGGTGGAGATTAACTTTAATAAGAGTGGCGAGCCTCCTTCACCTAGTCCTAGCACCGATGCCACTCTAGAGCTAAAGCCAGAGCCAGCTACTATGGATGCCCCTTCTACCGAGTCTTGAAGGCGTTGCCTTCGTTATGTATTGTAGTTATTTATTTGGAACATTTGATGTTTATTTCTGTTATGTATGAACATTTTGCCTTGCCTGGGGCAAGGTTAGTTTGATTTGCTATGATATTAGACTTGTGTTGTCATTTTATATTAGTTGTGTTTGCAAAATGATAATCATGTGATTGATGAGAAGTAGCCAGAGTCAAGCGTTGCATTAAGTAGGTGTCGAAAGGCAGAAGGTACAGAGTCATGGCTCAAAACCAAAGTATAAGAAAACATAATGTCCTAGGGTCTAGGTATGTTTACTTATAGAAGTACTTGAGATGATCAGCGGTCCAAGAATGTAGCAAGGTCTTGCCCTTGGGATTGCGAAGCTGATACATGTCAAGTCGGCAGACTTTAGTAACCTCATAAGGACCTTCCCATGTAGGGCCTAAGGTACCTTCAGCAGGATTCTTGGTGGCCAAGGAAACTTTGCGTATGACCTAGTCCCCAAGTTTGAAAACACGAGGTTTGACTCGGGAGTCGTAGTACTTAGCAATGCGCTGTTTGTACGCGATGTTGCCCATGCTGGATTGGTCACGAAGCTCGTCAATGAAGTCGAGGTTCAAGGCTAACTACTCGTCATTGGCTTCGGCCTCGTAAGTGAAGGTTCGGTATATGGGCTGGCCAATGTCCACAGGTGCCACGACTTCAGTACCAAAGGAAAGAGAGAACGGTGTTTCTCCTATGGAGGTACGGAAGGTAGTGCGGTAAGACCAGAGAACTTCGGGGAACCTTTGGCTTTGTCAAGCTTTGTCTTCAGGGTTTTCTTGATAATTTTGTTCATGACTTCAACCTGGCCATTGGACTGAGGATAGCATTGTCAAATTACCGGCCATTGTCTGTAATGATAGTGTTAGGGATGTCGAAGCGACATATGATGTTTTGCCAGACGAATGTCTTGATGGGAGCTGCCGTGATGGTGGCTAAGGCTTCGGCTTCAGCCCATTTGGTGAAATAGTCTACAGCCACAACTACATACTTGACTTGGCCCTTGCCCTCAGGCATAGGTCCAATGAGGGCAAGTCCCCACTGGGCAAATGGCCAAGGATTGACCATGGCTGTCAATGGTTCAGCTGGAAGTTGTGGGATGTTGGCAAACCGCTGGCACTTGTCGCACTTCTGGGTGAAGGCTTGGGCATCTGTATGAAATGATGGCCAAAAGTATCCTTGCCGAATGGCCTTGTGTGCTAGGGAGAGAGCGCCTGAGTGGTTGCCGCGGATGCCCTCATGAATCTCCCTTAGGACGTAGTTACCTTCCTCTATGGTCAGGCACCAAAGGTAGGGGAGGCTGAAGCCACGCTTGTATAGGGCGCCATTGACGATCAGGTATCCGGCGGAGCGATAGCGAACACGCCGTGCCTCAGCAGGATTGGCAGGAAGTGTCTGGTTCTGTAAAAACTGAATGATGGGGTCCATCCATGTAGGGCTGTGATCAATGGTACAGATGATTAGTGCTTGTGTCCTGGGCTGATCCAAGAACTCGATGTGGATATTGCGACTTGTGCCCTGCTCCAAGGCCGAGGCTAGCCTAGCCAACTCATCAGCATGGTTGTTCTCATAGCGTGACACTTGGCTTATAAGATGAGTGTCGAATGTTGCAAGCAAATGACGGGTATGCTGGAGGTAGGCGATCATAGAGATGTCCTTGGCCGTGAAGTCCTGGTTGACTTGATGGACAACGAGCTGTGAGTCGTTGAATATCTGAATTTGATTGGCGCCCATCTCCTTGGCCAGCTGAAGGCCAGCTAAGAGTGCTTCATATTCGGCCTTATTGTTGGAGGCGTGGAATTTGAAGCGAAGGGCGTACTCAAGGACAACCTTGTCTAGGGAGATGAGAATTAGGCCAGCCCCACATTCTTGGGTATTGGATGAGCCATCCACATATAAGGTCCACAAGGGTTGGGTTAGGTCGAGATTGCCATTGTTGGCGACGTGGAGCTGGCCCAAAGGAAGATTGGGTTCGGTTATGATCTGGGTAGCGGTCGAAGCCTGGGGTTCCGTCAATTCTGATATGAAGTCAGCAACAGCCTAGCCCTTTGTAGTTGGGCTGGGTTTGTAGTGGATATCAAATTCACCGAGTTCAATGGCCCACTTAACCAACCTCCCAGAAGTCTCTGGCTTCTACAATACTTGCCTGAGCGATTTGTTGGTTAAGACATGGATGGTATGAGCTTGGAAGTACGGTCGGAGGCGTCAAGCTGAGACTACTAGTGCGAAGGCCAGCTTCTCAATGTCTGGGTACCGAACCTCAGTATCTTGTAATGCTTTGCTAACATAATGCACTGGGTGCTCAGCACTCTCCTTTGGCCGGATGAGCACAGAGCTAACTGCCGTAGCCGAGACGGTGAGATAAATCATGAGGATGTCTCCAGGCTCAGGGGTTCACAATAAAGGGGCCCGGCTCATATACTCCTTGAGCTCGCTGAAGGCTTTGTCACACTCGGCAGTCCAGGTAATGCTTTGTTTGCTACCCTTAAGTGCCTTGAAGAATGGGGCGCAGCGATCAGTAGCTTTGGAGATGAATCTAGTCAGGGTTGTGACATGCCCGATAAGGCTTTAAATGTCCTTGACCGTCTTGGGTATCGTCATGTCTAAGATGGCCTGGATCTTCTCTGGATTGGCCTCAATACCTCTCTGGCTAATCATGAAGCCAAGGAATTTGCCTGAAGCCACCCCGAATGCACACTTGGTGGGGTTAAGCCTCATTCTATACTCCTTCAAGATGGTGAACGTGGCAAAGAGGTTAGGGATGTGCTAGTCAGCAATGCGACTCTTGACTAGCATGTCATCAACATAAACCTCCATGATGTTGCCAATCAGTGGGGCGAAGAGGCTGTTTACCAGGCGCTGATAAGTAGCCTCGACATTCTTTAGCCCGAAGGGCATCACCTTATAGCAGTATGGACCATGATCCGTGATGAAGGAGGTGTGGGCTTGGTCTTCAGGGTGCATGAAGATCTGGTTATACCCAGAGTAAGCATCCATGAAGCTGAGGAGGGCATGGCCAGCTGTGGCGTCCACTAGCTGGTCAATGCGGGGTAAGGGGAAGCTATCCTTTAGGTAGGCCTGACACATGCGCCAGCACTTTTTTGGTTTACGGACCATCACCACATTAGCCAGCCAAGTGGGATAGTCCACTTCCTTGATAAATCCAATGGTACTAAGCTTATTCGCCCCGGCCCTTATGGCCTCATACCGCTCTAGGTCATAAGCACGACGCTTCTGCCGAACGGGTCAGACGACAGGATTAATGCTTAGCCGATGAGAGATGATGTCTGGTGATATGCCAGACATGTCATTGTAAGACCAGGCGAATACCTCAGAGTTGAGGCAGAGGAAGGCGACGAGATCAGAGCGAAGCTCTGGTGGGAGGGAGGTGTCAATTCGGACCTGCCGATCCGGGATGTTATCATGGAGAGTGACCAGCTCAAGGTCTTCCACAGGTTCTGCCTGCTGGGTGACAGATTCCTCCCTGGGGCCTTTAGGTCGTTCAATGCCAGCTCGAGGAAGGGCTGGGGCCTGGGTTACTACGAGGGCCTCACCCTTATGTTGGCGATTGGTGGATTTGACTACTAAAGCATAGCAGCTTCGGGCACCAAGTTGGTCGCCGCGCACCGTGCATGTGCCATAGGGCGTAGGAAATTTTAGCAGCAGTATATGTGTGGAAATGAAAACCTTCATTTGGGCCATGGTAGGGCGCCCAAGGATGACGTTGTAGGCTGTTGGGCAGTCAATAATGAGGAAGGGAGTGGTGATCGTCGCCCGCTGGGGTGCTGCTCCAATAGAGATAGGGAGATGGATGCTTCCAATGGGCTGGACAACATCACCGAAGAAGCTCACCAGGGGTGTGATGCTTCAGTCAAGCAAGTGAGACAGGATATGGAGCTCGTTGAAAGCATCAGCAAACATCACATTGACTAAGCTGTCAGTGTCCACCAAGATACGACCAACATCAAAGTTAGAAATGTCGGTGCAAATAATGATTGGGTCATCATGGGGGAGAATGACACCACGCTCCTCTTCCTCACAGAAGGTAATGGGAGCTTAGCTTGATTTTTATGCCTACGGCAAGCGTCCCTGCTCAGTGCTGAAGACCTGGTGCGCATAGGTGGAGCGGACATAATGTTTGATGGAGTTGTTGGAGGTTCCATCCATGGTAGGACCACTACTAATGGTTGAGATCATGTTGATCTGCCGTTAGTGAGGGTTAGGTGGAGGGGGTGGGAGATGGTGCACATATTTGTCCAGCTTTCCCTCACAAGATTCGGTATTGTGGCCACCGAACTGATGAAAGCGACAGAAGACACCCGTGTTGGGCATAAGCTTGCTGCCTGGTTTCCAGGGGGGAGGCTTAGGTATGATAGGTGCCTCGTGCACCAGGACATTCTCGTAGGTGGTATTGAGGGTGGTGAAGACCTCAAACTTAGGCTTGGGTGTGAAGGGGAGTGACGTCCGATCACTTGTCCTGGGAGGGTTGTTCCCACTAGACTAGTGGTGGTTGCCATGTCTGCCACGCTTGCTACTGCTGAAGGTATGCTAATAGCTATCCTTCCTTTTTGGGTGTAAGGTACCCTGGGTACTTGGGGCCGGAGAAGAATGCTGAGGCGGGGCTGGGGTGGGTACTGAAGCAGGTGAAGGATTAGCAAAAATGTTACGCACTGGGGTGGTTGGGCCACGCTTGGAATTGAAGTACTCAACCTTGGCGTGAACTGCTGCCTACTTCATTAGTTCAGCATATGTGTTCCAAGGGTTGCTGTGGACTAGCTACCGGAAGTTAGACTCGCAGAGGCCACTCTTGAAAGCATCGAAGGCAGCGCAGTCATCAGTCTCTGCGCAGCAGGAGTATTCGTGGGTGAACCGGCCTGCATACTCCGGAAGTGGCTCGTCCTCACCCTGCCGAAGCATGTATAGGTCGTTGGGGGAGTACAAGCGGTCAGTCTAGATCCTGAAATGGTCCAGGAAGGCTTGCTTTAGACTATCAAATGAGTTGATGGTGTGGGAGTTCAGCCTGTAGAACCAATTCATGGTCGCGCCACTGAGGGTGGAAGGGAAGAGGAGGCACATGCCTTCGTTAGTGAGGCCCTTGCACCCCAGGGCAGACTGGAAAGAATGTATGTGGGTGAGAGGATCCTCCGTAGCAGTGTAGAAGGCGATGCGAAGTGGCTGGATGTCTTTCTTGTGGTGGTAATTAAGGATGTGTTCGATGAAGGGCCCGGGTCGTGGCTTCGCCCAAAGGGGCTAGTGACTGCGGTGTTGCTCATTCTCCAAATGTCGAACCTTCTCAAAGAAAAGCCTCATGGCCAGATCGCCATTCGGGAGGGGCTCGGGTGCTGAAGGCTGGCTAGGGGCTGGGGAAGGTTCATATTCTTTGAACGCCTCAGTGTGATAAGACTCGTAGTCTTCGGAGTAGTACCGCCCCAAATTCTCCGAGTCACGTGCACCTTCTCCTGCTGGTAATTGATTAGGCTTCGGTGGGGGGCTTAGGTGTTCCACCCTTGGGTCTTTGGGCTTAATGGATATAGGGATTGGGTCTATCTGAAGGTCTAAGATACGGTCCCTGCAATCCTTGTAGACCTTCACCGGTTCATGGGGCCGATCCTTAGGTGGGGAGATGTGAAGGAGCCGCAACTTAGTTGTCGCTGGGTAAAGAGGGCCCTTACCCTTGCCGAGCCTAGGCTGGACCGGGGCGCTGTGGTGAGAGGGCATTGGCTGGCTTGGCTAGGTGTGGCCAACATCTTGGGTAAACTCAAGTTGGGAACCCGGGGCCTGCACCTTCTCCCAGTTACGCTTTAGGGTGCGGTAGTCATGCTTGAGCTCAACGTTCTTGGCATGAAGATGGTCTTATTTCCCGGACATCTTGGTGATGCTAGCACGAAAGAGCTCCATCTCTGCCTGAAGATTGACATCTGCCGAAGGTTTCCTTCGGGAGGTACCCTCGCAGGGGGTATGGTGCGCAGTGTCGTGGCTATCCTCGGTCAACATAGCTGAATGTGGGGTAAAGAAGAGGTGACGGGGCCTGATGGGAGAAGGAGCCAGCTGGGCTGGTAGAGAGAACTGGGATTCAAGTGTCGTTTCCCACAGACGGCGCCAAACTGTTGATGCTCTTTTACGAAGAGGGTCAACTTAGAGAAAAGGGATTTGCCTTCAGCAGTGGAGAAGGTGTGGACCTTCGGTAAGGGGCTAGCCTGCAGAAGACAAAGTAGGAGAAGCAATCGTTAAGCTTCTGAGACCGGTATGGTGCCGGCCGAAGGCTCTCCGATGCTCAAGTCAGCTAAGAGTAACAGTAAAATGTAAGAAAGTAGTTCCCCTTTTTACTAGGGTACTGTTCCCTATTTATAGGTAAGTGAAAGTGGGAGGTTTGTGTAGAATTTCAATGTGAGACTTTGTGCAAGTCGCTGTGGTGGCGACACGTGTCCTGGAGATGCTCGGTTCAGCTAAGAGTAACAGTAAAATCAGTTTCCTACCACTTTAAAATTCTATGGAACCCCAACTACTCCTTACTCAAGTTCCCAAAGAAGATCAAGCAACATTTCATCGATCCCTTCTTCTTTTTATATTATTAGTATTAGATTTTCTGAATTCTTTATTCAATTTTGACATAAAATAAACGAAAAAAAGGGAGGTGAGGAACTTTCGTTTGAATTTTTTACTAAAGAATATAAAGAGAATGTGCTAAGATGGTTAGGTATGAGCAAGTGGTTAGACAAGCAGAAAGTTCCTCATCTTAGCAAGTGGTTAGGAGAAAGTTCCTAGACGCTTCCTTAGCACCTTCTCCATCTTTCATGATTAAAGATGAGGGTCTTTAATTTGAAGCGGTCAGTTAAAGAAAGTTCCTCCATCTTTCGTTTGAACTTTCGTGATTAATTTGCTGCTTGTCTAAGAGAAAGTTCCTCATCTTAGCAAGTGGTTAGGTAAGCAAGTGCACGGACTCTCTTTGTCCGGATAAAAATCTTACTGATGCGGTTGGTCCTTGTAGTTTGGCACTTCAACCACTTTTGATCATGTAGTTTCAATTCCATCAATTTTGACCCTGTAGTTTCATATTTGTAGCAATTCAATAACAAGTTAGTATTCCTGTCAATTTTTTTGACGATGCAAGGGGTAATTTCGTCAACCCAAAATCCTTGAGCATAAAAGCCCGTCTGAAACTCCCCTTATTTCATATTAGGGCTTGAAATTGGTCATTTGGGTTTAGGGATCTTCAAAAATTGGAATTAGTGGTTGAATTTCGAACCTTAATACGAAATAGGGATAATTTCAAACAAGCTTTTATGCTCAAGGGTTTTGGGTTGACGAAATTGCCCCTTGCATTGTTAAAGAAATTGACAAGAATACTAACATATCCTTGAATTGCTACAAATATGAAACTACAATGGCAAAATTGATGGAATTGAAACTCCAAGGTCAAAAGTGGTTGAAATGCCATACTACAGGGATCAAAAATGACTTTTGGCCTTAATTTACTGAAGAATATAGTTGGAAATTAGTGAAGGTGAGCAAGTTGTTTGGGCCTAAATTCCATGCACTGGCCTAATTGACTAATGGCCCATGTCAAAAACAAGAGTTTGTGACAGGACCTAACCCAAATTCCACTTTGGAATTTGAGTTGAACCCTGTGTGTGTCCAACACTTGGCAGGTGAGGGGCACACTTGACCAAATTGCCCTTCTAACTAAGTCTTAAGATTCTTTTTCATGTTTGACTTCTTCCGGAAATTCGGCAAAGTCTCCCATGTAAATTGCTCGTTTCCCAATCACTTTCCACTTGTAAAAACAAATTCATAACTTAAGAGAATAGATATGATTTGTAGAAAATCCATAGAACTTGGAAACCTTCAATTCTTGTCTCATAAAATAAAAAATAGGTATTAAACTTCTACTCAAAAATTCCAAGATGAAATCATCAATTTTCGTTTAAACCTCTTAAAACCAAAATACTCTCCACCTAGGTGTACCCCCATTTGTAATCTATCAATTCCATGATTTTCTATTTATTTCCCACATTATACTGTCAATTCCTTGTGTCACATTATGTGACACATCCTTATCCTTGCAGGCCTCGGTAACACAAAGTCAATCCGAGCCGCATTCCTCGCAACACTCAAGGGACACCTAGTCAGCCTGAGCCGCAATCCTCGCAAAACTCAGGGACACTTAGTCAGCCTGAGCCGCATTCCTCACAGAACTCGGGGGACATGTAATTATCCCGTGAACGCATATCCTCGCACCACACAGTTCAAGAGTCCCCGAAACTCGTGGGGTATTGTCATAAATGACAAAACTGTTTCAAAGGCAACTGGTGGGGTACCTTGTGGTGGGTTTGAAAACCATATTTTGAAACTTATCATAAACTTTCCTTTATTCTACAAATCCATTTTTCAAATCTTTTCTCAACTACATTAAAAATATATACCACATTCTGTTAAGAACTAGTGTCCATGATTCATCATTTTTTAGCCGCTGAGTACTCTAAAAGGCATCCCTCAAAAAAAATTATTTGAGGGATCCCTCAATAGAAGGGGACTGTATATATATATATATATATATATATTTAATTTAAACATATAATAGGACATTTAATTAATTTCTCGTCCACACCAAAATTCAGTTAATAAGCCGTTCCCAACTTTACACAACCAAACATAGTATAATACCCTTAGAAAGTAAAAGCGATTACCTAATAACTCATAAACATTTGAATAATCCAATATCACCCAGTCATACACCTTAATAATACTCATAGTAATAATAAATAAATAAATAAATAACAAGATAAACTTAAACTTAGAACATCATAATAACACCCAAGAAACTCATAATAACATAAACACATAATCAAAATAATTCACAAACAGTCAAGCCTTGTTTACACGGTCATTCTAGCACTTATCGAAGGGTGAAACTACCTCGGAAGACTCTCGGTCAATCGAGTAGTCAAACTTTTCAAAACTAGTCAACTAGGGCTGCAGGGCCCACGACCTCCGATTTCCAATCCGAAAGTTCATATGGGTTCAACAAGGTTTAATAGACATGTCTTGCCAGTTTGGTCAGAATCAAACGATCGGATCGCTTGTGATCGCACGTTTGGACGATTATTGTTTATCCTAAACTTTAAATTATTGAATCGGAGCATCTGGGACTCCGATTCACGATCTGCGAATTCCTACATGATCCTAGAGATGTCTAGATGAACATATTTTAAATTGGACATGATCCAACGGTCCGAACATATTGAACCAGATAACACTCAATATGCGATATCCGATCGTCAATCAAACAATAGCCAATTTCGAATCTGAGCATATCGTCAGTCAAACAATAACCAATTTTGAACTGGACGATACGGGGATTATTTTAGAACCTAAAGACCAGCCACAAAGTGGCCTACGCACTGCCACACGAGCCAGCAGTGCGTAGGTGTCCAAAGCGATTCTTGTGATCAGAAAATCTTCAAACCACTGGTCAAGACCTATACCTACATGTCCAAAACAATGAATGGAACAACTTTTGTTCTTGGACCAATCCCAAAAAATGGCCGAAAATGCCCGGAATCGCGAGCTGAAAACTGCCAAACTTTAAGCAATAAAACAAACCACAAAACTTGAAAATCGATCCTAAACAACCCAACTATCAACTAGAGCACATTGAGAGGATGAAAAGAATACCTAGATCGAAGAAATTGGTAGCCGGAATCACCTGAACAAGCAATAGAGATTTTGGGTAAAAACCGGCCAATTTCTTGCTTTTTCCGGCGATCCAGACGAAGGTTGGAAGTGGCTGAGGTGTGGGGCTGGTAGAGAACGACGTGCTGGTTCTTTTGATACCCATGTCGTCGCTTGGCATGGCCGGAGGAGGAGATGGCAGCCCAAAAATTGTTCGAATGAAAACAGAGGGGAGGGGGCTGCTGCTTGTGAAGGGGAAGAAGGAGGAAGAAGGAAAAAGAAGAAGAAAGAAAAATTTTAAAACAGCCCGGTACTGTAGCGGTACTGTTTGCTATAGTAACATATTTGAAAATTTCCATTATATCCTTTTCGTTTCTAGACCTTTCCTCCGTTACAACTCGGAATTGGGCGTGCCACGGTACTATTAGAATCCCCAAATTCTTTTCCAAACAAAAAGTCAACTTTTAAACCCAATAAAATATTCCCAGTGTAAAATTGTCTTTTACTTGAATACTTGAATAAATAAATATTAATTTAGGATCGGGTTATTATAGTTTGGGCTTTGTTTTGTAAAAGTCAAAAGTCAGCCCAAACCTTTGTGAACCAATTTGCAAGGAATAAGTTTACATATTAAAGATTAATTGCCATTAATGGTGATTTAATGTAGACAATTGCCAAAGGCTCAAAATTTGATTATCACCGTTGATCACAATTTCAGAAATCAAGTTAGCAGATTTTGGGAAGATCTCCCTCTCTACAAAAGCCCACGTGACTCTAAAGTCAAGATTTCAACAGGGCAGAGGACGTGATGGGGAGTTGGTAGAAGGTTTAATGCTAGAAAAAAGGGCTAGGTTTATTTCCTATGCTCTTGAGGGCTTTGCATCAAGGCAAGCGGGGTTTATGAGAGATAAACAAGAGATAAGAGAGTTGGTTGACAAAAGATCAAAACTGATCATCATATTAATGGGGGATTTCTTTTTTCAAACTAAACCACTATCCATTTTTTACGCTGGAACAAGGAATCATCTCAACAGATTTGTCCTGAGATATTAAGGATTAAATCCTTATTCAGATTCTCTATTAATATGAGAGGAGGTGAACAGGTTGAGGAGAACCAAAAATTCAATCAAAACAAAAATTCTCAAGTCATACTAACAAACCCAAACGAGATCATACGATCTCAAAAGCCTTCATATTCTAAAGCAACCAAGCTCTCTAATTTACAACAGACATCCAGTCTCTGACAGAACAGGCAGAACTTAGGTTTCTAACTTCACTTCAACTCAATATCGGGAGGCAGTTCACAAAGGAAACGAGATTTCTCTCATTACAAATTTGGTTCAGCATAAGCCAATCAAGCATAATTCAGGTTTTTACCTCAACAAATTTATAGAGATTGCCTTGATGACTGAGAATCATCAGAACAGATTGCAGACGATCCATAATTAAATGGAACAGGTGCTGAAGTGTAGTTCCGGGTAGAAATCGTCAATCTAGCCACTTCCTATCCAATCTAGACTGAAGAAATCTCAGTTTTGCTCGTCCAACAAGCCTCTCCATGGCTAAAATAGATTAAACCTCTACCAATCTCAACATTGGTATCTATTTCCAGCTAAACCTCATCAATTAAAGGTGCTGACGTTTGAATCTAGCACAAATACATCCAGTCCAGACTAAGTCACAGGTAACAATTCAAGCAGAAATCGAAGCCCAATGTTCTGTTATCCATTCAGACGTGGCAGTTCCCTTTTGTTTTAAATTGTATAATAGACAATTCTCTTTAAAACAGTTTGATTTATTTTCAATATTCATTTTGGCCAGAACTACTAGTTTTTACTGTGAGAAATGGTGAAGTCCTCACCAGTCTAAGGCAAGAAAAGAACTTACTTGGGAGATATTCATCACCAAAATTCACAATCACTTGTTTAAAGTCAGTAACTTGGGGCGCAAGTTATCTATTTTTTCATAAGTCCGTTAGGATCTTGACTGCTAATAGTGGCAAGCTTGCACACCCGGTCTAGCTCCAAAAAGATAAACCAGATACAGGAGGCTATGCTCCGACAAGAAGCTACAACACAAAGGAGCCAGGACACCCTAAACAACATGACAACCATGATGCTATAGTCCAACAGGCAGTGCAGGAAGGATCGTAAGGCTAGTATTGAGAGGAATCCAAATCTAGACGTTATAGTCCAGCAGCTAGAGCTCCCTTTCGGACCTCCACTAGGATTGGCATGGCCATACAAGGAAAATTCCCTCACTGTGCAGATAGTTGGAGTGCCTGGACTGGCAGAAATCTAGGCTGGATAAAGGGCAAGAGCCCTTGATATCTAAGAACAGGAAGCTCCAATTCTTCTAGCAGGTCCAACAGTAGTTCAAGCTCACCAGAATCAGCCAGAACTTCCACCTATTCCACGGTGGAGGTTCCACACGGCCAGCCAATAGCACATTTGCCTGAACAACCAATAGTGTTGCCTTACAGACCTAGAAAAATGGATCCCAATCCATTTTTCTCACTAGCAAGAGGCAAATGAGGAATTAACCCTTTTGCCAACAATGATAGGAATAGGCCAGGGGCAAACTGGAGAAATCATCCAGATTTTGAAGAAGAAGAAGAACATAGGGAGGAGGTCATACCCAAACCATAGATAATTGAACAGAGGGCTGAACATAATAAGCCAGAATAGGGACCGAATTTACCTCATGTTAACTCTTTGAATGACATGGGCACACTACAAAGAATGATTAGAGTAGGGGTAGTTACGGTTTGGTAACCGCAAATTTTTGCCCAAATCGCAAACCGACCAACTATTTGCGGTATGGTGATTGTTGAAACCGCAAACCGACCGCAAGTTCCTTTTGTGTCATAAAAATCCAATCTTCCACATTTTAGGCCTAATTTTGATGCTTCTTTTGAAGCCTTTTGAGTTCAAGCATACTTTAACCCAAAAATATAAATTCATAACCTAAATAAACAAATTCACAACCTCAACTTCTCAAGCATATATAAATTCACAACCTCCTCAGCTTCTCAAGTATTCACAACCTAAAGAAAATTAAAGTTACAATTCCAAGCATTCCAATTAAAGTTAAACTTCTCAAGCAGTCACAACCTCAACTTCTCAAGCATTCTAATTCCAAATCCTTTAAAGTTACAAACCAAAAGGAAAATGCAATGCAAAATGAATTAAAGTTACAATCCAAAGGAAAAATCCAATTCAAAGTTAATTAAAGTTACAAACTAAAAGGAAAATGTAATGCACCAATGTTACAAACTCAAGTTGCAAACTCAAGTGTTGGTGGTGGTGAGTGGATTTGAAGGACCTCGTTGTGTTGTTTGAGCACTAATGCTATCTACAAAATGCAAATTTTTTTTTAAAAAAAATATAGTCATGGTTTGCGATAACCATAAGTTTTGAAAATCAAATAACGCAACCGCAACCGCAACCGCAAATGCGGTTCGGTTCTTCATACCGCAAATGTGATTCGGTTTGCCGCGATTGCGATTCCATTATGGTAAATTGTCGGTTGGTTTTTGCGGTTTTTCAGTTTTTTAGTCTAAAATGCCACTCCTAGATTAGAGAGATGATGGATCATGAGGCTAGAAGAGGAGAAAGACCCACTTACAGGAAGCCATATCCAGCTTACATTGATTAGATGTCTCGACCCCCAGTTTTAAGGTACCAAATTTCACTCTGTTCAATAGAGAAGATGCTCATGCTTCATCAACCGAACATATAGGCATATTCTCTGTCCAGTGCATAGCTATAGAGAATAATCCCCTATTGAAGCTTAGGCTTTTTGGGAATTCCCTGTCTAGACAAGCTTTTAATTGGTATACCAATTTACCAGGCAATTCTATCCAGACGTGGGAACATATGGAGAATTCTTTCCACGACTATTATTTCATAATCCAGCCAGAAGTCACCATGAGTGACCTTGCGGCTCTCAAACCAAGTAAGGACGAACCTGCCCAGGATTTCATCACCAGGTGCAGAATCCCCATGGAAAAAAGGCATTTCATCTAGATGGCTCAAACCGCCCTTAACATTTCTTTGAGAAAGAGATTCGATGGAGTGGTGTTTGGAGACTTTGCAAAATTGGCAGATAAGGCCTCCAAGTATGAAGAACTGCTAAGGGAAGATCAGTAGAAGAGAAATTATTCCAAAGGCACATACTACAACACACCATCATCCTCAGTCCATTTGGTTAAGGTCGAATCACAAAAAGGTCAAGAGAGTTAAGAAGAAATGGAGATGGCAGTGGCAGAAATGGCAAAGATGAAACACCTTATCAGCTGCAAGGCTTTGATCAAGCCACCAAAGGATCAAAAGCCACCACCATTTACAAGCGGGTTTTTCCCGAACAAACCAGCATAGAACAAGATCTATTATTTCGATTTAACCAAAGTTGACGCTTTGTTTGATGAGATGCTCCTACAAAAGGCAAAAGAAATGTCTCACAGGTTGCCTAACCCAGAAAAACTCAAGGGCAGACAGTATTGCAAAGGGCATAACTCTTGGAATCACTTCACCAATAGTTGTGTTGTTTTCAGAGACGTCATACAAGAAGGAATAAAGGTAGGAAGGCTCAAGCTAGTTGAGAAACCTCCCACAGCGACAACAGACCCCTTTCCTCAACCACAAGTGAATATGGTCAACTTAAAATGGCCAGAACAGGAGAAAGGCAAACTGATAGTGGAAGTTAGCCCCAACATGGGTAGAAGAGTCACAAAATAGTTAAACCGAAGGCCAAAGTCTACCATCTCAGCTGGAGTAGTTTTGTTCAGTAGGTGCAAATGTGAATGCAAGCTAGAAAGAGCTTTGGATGAGCATAAACTGCCCACAGCGAGCGTTTTTGACAGAATTTGAGCATCACACTGGCAGACCACAGTTCCTGCTCTATCCAAGGGCATAGCCAGACGAAGAACCTATCAAAAACCTGCCCAACAGATTAGGAAGGTGTCAAAGCAGCCAAAAAAGGAAATGTCAATTAAGATACCTAAAAATTATAGGCCATTGGCAACCATCATGGAAGGTGGGTGGTATTTTGTTGGAAAGAACGGCAGGCCAACCCTAGAGCTGACCAAAACAAAGAGAAGGAGAATCCAAAGGCAGTACTACACTTTCCTCAAGAACGAGGATAACACACAAGTGTTTGCAGATATCAATTCCACCAGAATTGAGAATGATCTAGAAGGGGATCTTCAAGCAGAACAGACAGTATACCAACCAAAGGATCAGTCCGAATTCTTTCCAGCAGATGATCAAGAGAACTAGACTGAAGAATATGAGAAAGAGCAGGTGGACTATGAAGCAACTGCAAACAACCAGACTGGACTCCTTGAAGCAGATGATTAGGAAAACTAGACAGAGGAGTATGGAGAAGAATAGGTGGAATACGAAGAAGAACTAGATGAAGAAGCTCAAGCTTTCAGTGCAGAATTGGAAATTTTGTTACAGGGTGATTTGGGCATCAACATGGTGTTTATCTTGTCAGAGAAGTTTAGAGCAGCGGAAGGACAAGAACGCACCATGGAAAGGGATGTACTATCCCAAGAAAGTTTTGAATGCAGTCGGAACAGCAAAATAACGTTGTCAAGACAGGTAGAATTGTCATGAAAATGGCTGCAGAACAGTTGTGCTTTTCCAAACTAGATGAAGAAGCTCAAGCTTTCAGTGCAGAACTGGAAATTTTGTTACAGGGTGATTTGGGCATCAACATGGTGTTTATCTTGTCAGAGAAGTTTAGAGCAGCGGAAGGACAAGAACGCACCATGGAAAGGGATGTACTATCCCAAGAAAGTTTTGAATGCAGTTGGAACAGCAAAATAACGCTGTCAAGATAGGTAGAATTGTCATGAAAATGGTTGCAGAATAGTTGTGCTTTTCCAAACCTATCAAGGAGATGGCCAATCATCTTAGACCCCTGTTCATCACCGCAAACTTTGGTGGGAATCCTATCCCTAAAGTAATGGTGGATGGAGGTGCAGCCATCAATCTACTACCTCACAGACTCTTGGTTAAACTGGGCAAAACAGAAAAAGACCTAATCCCAACGCGCCTTACAGTCACCAATTTCGCTTGGGCCATCACCAAGACCTATGGGATATTGGATGTGCATGTCATAGTAGGAACCAAGAAGCTGAAGATTGCTTTCCTTGTGGTAGATACCACTTCTACCACTTACAATGCATTACTTAGGAGGGACTGGATCAACCAGAGTTTATGTGTTCCTTCCACTCTACACAACAGTTGGCCCTCTGGCATGAAGAGGGTTTTATGGAGATAATAGAGGCTGATCCACGACCATTTCTACCATCTGCATTGTGCTTTGAGGCCAAGTATTATCATGATGGTCTTGGTCCCTTTACTTTCTTTGGAGTCAATCAGAGTGGCCGCCCCCATGGTGTCACGGCCTAGAGGCTCATTGAGGAAGGTATGGCTAGATCTCTAGAGGACTAGAACATGCCTTTTGTCCTAAACCTCCAAAATTCTGATGTTTAGCTCAAACCAATAAGAGAAATATCGAGCTGCAACAATCTAATCAATTACAAATAGATTGTTGGTATATTGGGAAGAAAGGAAGCTTAATATGTAGAATCCAGCCGTTAATATGGCACAATTCATGCATAAGAGTGCAAAAGATTAGAAAGGAAGTTTACAGGAAGGGGAATTAGAGTTAGCACCAGGATGACTCTTTGCCAGAGGTGGAAGACCCTTTACAAGAAATAAACTTAGGGACATTAGATGATCCCAGGCCTACTTTTATCAGTGCATTGCTAGAGGAACCATTGAAGGGTGAAATTATAGCACTTTTGCATGATTTCAGAGACTGTTTCTCATGGCATTATCATGAAATGCCTGGACTGGACAAAGGATTGGTGGAGCACAAGTTGCCAATAAAAGAAGAATACCTACCAGTCAAGCAGGCTAGAAAAAGAATGTCCATGGAGACAGAATTAAAAGTCAAAGAGGAAATAGAGAGACTAATTAAACAGGTTTTATCAGACCGACCATTTATGCTGATTGGTTGTCTAACGTTGTACTAGTTCACAAGAGAAAGACAGGAGCAATCAGAGTTTGCGTGGACTACCGGAATTTGAACGAGGCATCTCCCAAGGATGAGTACCCCATGCCAATGACAGATTTGTTGGTAGATGGAGCTGCTCATAACCAAATGCTATCATTCATGGATGGTAATGCTGACTATAATCAAATAATGGTGCTGAAAGAGGACATCCACAAAACTGCTTTCATGTGTCCGGGACATATAGGCACTTTTGAATATGTTATGATGCCTTTTAGTTTGAGAAATGCAGGGGCTACCTATCAAAGAGCAATGTATTCCATGACATGATAGGCCATTCCTAGAGGTATACATAGATGATGTGGTGATTAAGTCTCTAGAAAAGGAGAATCATGTATCAAATTTGAAGGAAGCTTTTCTAAGTATAAGACAACACAAGTTGAAGATGAACCCCAAGAAGTGCGTCTTTGGGGTTCAAGCTGGCAATTTCTTGGGTTTCTTGATTCATCAAAGAGGCATGGAGATTGACAAGAACAAAGCGAAGTCTATCATAGAAGCTTTGTCCCCTCAGAACAAGAAAGAATTGCAAAGTCTTTTAGGGAAGATCAACTTTCTCAGAAGATTCATATCCAATTCTGCCAAGAAAACCCAACCTTTCTCTTCCTTGCTAAAGCTGAAACAAGAACATGCATTTAGATGGGAAGAACAACACTAATAGGCTTTTGAGGAAATCAAGCGTTACCTCTTAAGTCCGTCAGTTCTGTCCTCACCAAAGAAAGGTAGACCCCTCAAATTATATGTTTATGCATCAGAAGTATCTATTGGGAGCCTTTTGGTTCAAGATAACAAGGAAGGGAAGGAGTAGGCAGTCTATTACCTAAGCAGAACTCTGATAGAAGTAGAAAGAAAATATTCTACGATTGAAAGGCTATGTCTGGATTTATACTGCACTTCTATAAAGCTCAGACATTACATGCTACCCTTTACCATCTACATCATGCCAAGGTCCAGGACCCGTTATTAGAAATAAATGTAGGGACCGAGCCCGAACCACGGCCTCTTTTTGTAAGCCAGCTTTTGAGCCCTGAATTAGCAGCCGAGATTATCGGCCTGCTCTATGAATATAAGGATTGTTTTGCTTGGGATTATCATGAGATGCCTGGATTGCCAAGAAGTTTGGTCGAGCACGAGCTAAAGATTAGGGAGGGGTTTAGGCCTTTCCAACAGTCACCGAGGCAATTCTCGACCGAAGTACAGCTTAAGGTCAAAGAGGAAATTGAACGGCTCCTTAAAGCCGGCTTCATCCGCACGACTCGGTACGTTGAGTGGTTGGCTAACATTGTACCAGTTTTGAAAAAGACTGGGGCTTTGAGGGTTTGCACCGACTACAGAAATCTAAACCTCGCGACTCCCAAGGACGAGTATCCCATGCCTATGTCCGACTTCCTGGTGGACGGAGCCGCAAAGCACGAGCTCCTTTCTTTCATGGACGGCCACGCTGGTTACAACCAAATCTTCATAGCCGAGGAAGATGTCCACAAGACGGCGTTCAGATGTCCAGGCGCAATCGGGACTTATGAATGGGTAGTCATGCCATTCGGCCTGAAGAATGCCGGCGCAACGTACCAACGAGCTATGAACCTTATTTTCCACGACCTAATCGGCCGAACCGTTGAAGTCTATATCGACGACGTTGTTGTAAAATCCCCATCCAAAGCCGACCACGTGGGGCATCTCCGGCAGGCTTTCAATCGCATGCGGGCACACGGCCTAAAGATGAACCCTAAGAAATGTGCTTTCGGCGTCACCGCCGGGAACTTTCTCGGTTTCTTGGTTCACCAATGAGGGATCGAGGTAGATAAAAATAAAGCCACGACCATTATGGCGGCACCTTCGCCAAGGACCAAGAAATAACTCCAGTCCTTCCTCGGTAAGGTCAACTTTTTAAGACGGTTCATATCCAATTTGGCAGGAAAAATCCGGCTGTTGACTCCTCTGCTCAAACTAAAAGACACGGAACGGTTCGTGTGGGGGGCAGAACATCAAGCGGCCCTCGACGACATCAAGCAATATTTATCTCAACCACCGGTCCTTATGCCGCCAAAAAGAGGGAAACCCTTGAGGCTTTACATTTCGGCTTCAGAGGGCTCTATCGGTTGTCTATTGGCTCAGAACAACGAGTCTGAGCGAGAACAGGCAGTGCACTACCTGAGCCGCACCCTTAACATGGCCGAGCTAAACTATTCACCGATCGAGAAATTATGCTTGGCGCTTTATTTCGCGGCCACCAAGTTGCGCCATTATATGCTTCCTTCGGTCGTTCAGATCATCTCCAAGACCGACCTCATCAAATAAATGCTCACTCGGCCGATCATACGAGGCCGGATCAGGAAGTGGACGATGACATTGTCCGAATTCACCTGCCAATATATGGCTCAGAAGTCGGTCAAAGGTCAGGCATTGGCCGATTTCTTGGCCCACCACCCGGCTCAGGGGCAAGAAGAAGAGTTGGAGGTCGAGATCGACATGGCCCGCATGGAGAAGAATTACTGGACCATGTACTTCGATGGCTCCAGTACCGAGACTATATCTGGGGCCGGGGTCGTGATCTAGTCCTCCCAACTTGATTTCAAATGCACCAATAATCAGGCTGAATATGAAGCACTCATCATCGTTCTTGAAATTCTAAAAGGAATGAAGGCGACCCGTGTCTTGGTCTACGGTGATTCTCAGCTGGTAATTAACCAACTGACCGGGGAATACTAGTGCACGAGCGAGAATTTAACCATGTATTATGTAACGGCCCTCAATACGGCCGACGAGTTTTCTAGGATCTCCCTCGTTCACGTGCCGCGCGCCGAAAACCATGAGTCCAACGAGATGGCCCAGGTAGCGTCAGGTATGAACATTCCGAACAGCGACCACGACCGCGTGTTAAGAATCGAGAAGCATACCCTGCCGACTTTGGCCGAACGAGGAATGACGACGCAAGTATCATCGGCCGAAATTACCGACGAGGTCGAAATGGCCGAAGCCGACTGGCGCTACCCCATAGTAAAGTATCTACGCGATCCCTCCGGCAACCATGAAAGGACTACTCATTTCCGAGCTCGGTGTTATTTGATTTATCAGAACGAGCTGTATCGAAAAGGGTCAGATGGCTTATTGCTCCTATGCCCTAGCGCCGAAGATATTAAGGTTATCATGACCGAATCCCACAAAGGGATTTGCGGCGCTCACCAATCTGGGGTCAAGATGAGATGGTTGGTCCAGAGGCACGGCTATTATTGGCCGACCGTTTTAAAGAACTGCGTAGAATATGCGAAAGGGTGTATCAAGTGTCAAATCTACGGCCCCATACAAAGGGTACCAGCTGACGCCCTCCACCCGGTTACTAAACCATGGCCGTTCAGAGGATGGGCCATGGATATCATCGGCAAAATCTACCCAACCGCGTCCAACCAGCACGCCTGGATTTTGGTGGCAACTGACTATTTCACTAAATGGGTCGAGGCGGAGTCCTACCAGTCCATTTCTAGCACACAGGTGGTCAGATTCTTCGAAAATCACATCGTCCACAGATTCGGTATACCTGAAACCATCACGGCCGATAACGGCCCAGTCCAAAGGTATCCTAGAGAAAATGATTGAGGAAAAACCTAGGGCGTGGCACGACTTACTCCCTGAGGCCCTTTGGGCTTACCGAGTCTCAAAACGATCGGCTACTGGCACATCTCCTTATGCCTTAACCTACGGCCATGACGTCATCGTTCCGATGGAGCTAAAGGTTCGATCTCTCCGTGTGACCGAACAACCTGGGCAGGAAGAAAAGGACTATGCGCAAGCCATGGTTCAGGAGTTAGAAGATTTGGAGCAATCCAGACTCGATGCTTATAACCTAATGCAAGCACAAAAGCAGATCGCGGCTAGGCCCTACAACAGGAAGGTGAAGCAAAAGACCTTCGCCGAAGGCGACTTGGTATGGCATGTCGTGCTTCCTATCGGGACTAAGGAGAATGACGCAACTTGCCAATAAACGGCCAATATTTGAAGAAATATACCCCGTCGTTATGGGAGACGGCCAAGAATGGGTTATGAGGTTTACAATCGACAAGGATGAAAGAAAAACATACATTCGATCAGAAGAAAAAGGGGGTTATACTTCATTTAGATTAAAAGAGAGGGGTCGCGATTACAAAAGAACGGCTGGTCATGGCCGAATGAAACATATAAACATACATGTGCAAAAAAAAGAGTACATTCTAAATCTATGAATGGCCGCTTCTTGATCCCCTCGCTAGAGCAGGCAGATGATTCTTCCCTATGCGGTGCCTCCACCGCCCATTTACCGCGGTCATGGGCAAGGCCGTCACTCTAGACATGGGTGCGGCCGGGTTGAAGCCAAGGCCGTCACCCAGGCCATGGCCGAGGCCGTCACTCAGGACATGGGTGAAGCCGGCTAAAGTTAGGGCCGTCATTCCGACCATGGGCGAGGCCGTCACTCTAGACATGGGTGCAACCGAGGTGCTAAGCCAAACGAACGTGGCCAAATTGGAATCATCATACCAGGCCCTTCCATCTTCATCAATCGCATTACAGTTTCTCCACGGCCTCATAAGGAGGAAGGTCATCCTCCCCAAGGGCCGAGAAGGAGTCTCGGCCACATCGTGGCCCTGGCCCACGTCCACTTTCCAAGGCGAAGGATGGTTGGTGGACAGCAGGAGGGGAAAAACCATCTGGATCAGGCCACGACGCGAGGATCCGCGGATATGGCTCAACCCCGGTTCTGGAGAAGCTACAAGGGGAGCCATTAGAGCAGGTTAGAATGGAGGGGAAAGAGTGAAGAAAAATGAAGAAGGCAAGGCTTTTTATATTGGCGCTAGAATTCGAAACGAAAGGGCATGGCTCTCTCGAGAGACGTAACGGTCTGACAGTGGGTTCGAGTGTGCGATGACGTGGCGGAAGCCCAGAAGCCGTCGTTTCATTTAACGAGACGAAATGATGGCTTGCGCAATGATGACCTGCAAGACGTGTTTGCGCATCTAATGCACCGACTGACCTACGCATTTAAAGCGCCAATTGTCAATCACTTCAGGAGGAATGCAAAGGGTCCATCCCTTGGAATCCATTCGGCTTCTGCCCAGGCCGCGACCGAAGAATCCAGGGACGAGGGGGCAATGTTTGTGCCTAATAAATCACGGTAATAAACTGATTGAAGGGACTTCCTCTCGGTCCTAGCACCTACTATTTCGTCAGGCATTTCGCCTTCCTAAAAACAAAAGAAAAAGCTGCAAAGGCAGAATCTTCTCGGCCTCGTGACCGCAGTGTTGTAGGCCGAAGCCGAAGGCCGTAAAAGGCATGACCGAAGGTACTGTGGTTAAATCGCCACGTGGCCTCAGGGTCCCACGCCCCATTTAATGAAGTAATGCCTCTGACTATCGCAGCAAGCCCACTAGTCACAGGAAGCATTTAATGCACAAGGGAAGAAGGGAAGTGACTGAAGTCAGGATTTGGTGATGGAAATCAGAGTGGTTAGGCGTAAACCTTCTCACAAGTGATCTTACAACTTGAGGTCAGATCACCAACCACCAAACCAGGGCATTAAATGCGTTCCCACGGCCAAGGGGGCAGAGCCCACGGCCAAGAGGGCAGAGCCCACGATCAGGGCGGTGGCCGAGATTTACCAGGATTTATGGGGGTCACACCACCATGCTTCCCGATCCCAAACCAGCATGCTTCACGATCCCAAATGCCGATTTGACTACCCACTTGCCCCGATCAGGCTCCACCACGCATGTCTTATCAGCCTCAATAGTCCCTCCAGGACTCCTCCTATAAATACTAAGCTCAGGACTACGTTCTAAAGGTTCAAACACCAAACCAAAGGCCTCCCGCGGAGCAAATTATATTTTCCTGTAATGCACTTTCAATACCTTTATTTGCTTTCCTAGGAGTAGTGGTAGATTGTAAGGAAAATTCATTCATCAATATATCATACGACCCTTGATTTTCAAGGCGCCGGAGCACCATCTCTGTTATCATCTCATTCACCCCATATATCATACGACCGTCGCTCTCCGAGCAACGCACCGGAGCACCGCCTAAAACCCACCACCAACACCACCACTAAACGGCCTTGTAGCTCAAGCCGTGAACCTGACGGCCGAGATCAGTTCCTCTCTCGGCCACAATCGTTTGATTAGGAGTCGAACTTAAAACAGGCGTATCATTTAACCATCTTCTACCCGAACCTCATCACCATCTCGACGCACGGTAGACCGTGTTGGCACGCCCGTGCACAACCGCACCGTACCCAAAAGAAGGACGTCACGTGTTGACGCACATCCCCTCGGCCCGGAGCACCAGGCCGTGAGATTTGCGAAGCCAACACTTACTTCACCAGTTCAAACTTATTTTGTAGTAATACTATACCACAGTTCCCAAGGGTATCTAATCCCTAAAGCTCTGATACCATTCTATCACGCCCCGGACCCAGGGGTCGAGGAAAACCCCGCGTCCGGTGCGTGAGAAAATAAAAATAAAATAAATAAATAAAATCTGAAACAAGGTTTAAAATAAAATTCTCTTATAAAAATAGCTCCCAAAATCTTACAACTTTACATTAAATAAAGCTCTATCACTCTCATCTAATTCGGCCTCAACTGGTTTAGTCTTTTTTTTTGCCCACTAATTCATCTGAAAAATTAAACAGTGTGAGGGGTGAGCAACCACAACTCAGTAGGGACATGAGACCTTACCACAGTAGATTGACATAACTAAATTAAGTGACATGCAATCACACAGCCAAATATCATATTATTAATAATAATGCATGGATGCTCTTCATCTAATTCCGTCAATTCATATAATTGGACAAGCAGACCCGCACGTCCCATACCATGCTTATACCACTTGGTCCCGAATGCCCATTTATATGAACTAACACCCATTTCAATCATCCCATAATTCCCCTTTTGTTAGTCATCTTGTCTAACTCCCTTTCGCCAGTCCCGAATCACCCAATAAAAACCATGTGCATTGTGGGATCCCTGAGACCTGGTACCTGCCAAGAGTTAGACTTAACCACACAAAAGACTATTTCCATTACCCTCTTTTCCATTATTATCTTCTCTACCCAACAACTCCAACCAATTACCATGACATGATATAATTATGCCAACATTATTCAAATAATTCACAATACATAAATATCCTATATCAAGAACATTATACAATATCACACATAATATAGAGCTCACGAAATTTAATTAGATCAATCCCCGTAAAGACCCCCAGGAAACCCCTATACCTCGATTCCAAAGCATTGCTCCAATTTAAAAATACAAGCTAAGCCCTATATCTTTTCCAAGAATTTCACCATCATCATCATCATCATCTCTCTCTCTCTCTCTCTCTCTCTCTCTCTCTCTCTCTCTCTCTCTCTCTCTCTCTATTTTATTTCATTTCTCTCTTTCACGTTTCTTTTTGTTATTGACAACATAGGGGAGATGCCTTATTTATACTCTTACAAAACTTGGGCATGAAGTAAGAATAGATATATGGATAAGCTTAATGAATAAGGATAATTACAAATATAGGAAGATAAAATCAAGATATTTATTAACTAACTAATTTCTTACAAGAGTTGTCAAAACACACAAGCTTTAAGCTTTAAAACAATGACACATAAATTGGTGACAAGGATGAAATTTGCATGTGCCTAACCCACACGTCCACTCCCCCCTAAAATGACTAAACTCATATGTATATATATAATAATAATAAAAATTACCATGTGAATCCTTTTGTCCAAGTTAACTTGCTCAAAAAGATAAAAACAGATTTTCTTTAGCTATTTAATACACAAGAAATATCTAAGGATTTAGAGAAAAACAAATAATATAATTTATAGTTATTTAACTGTATATATATATTTACTAATACAAATAATTATTAAAATAGCATTGTAAACGTTAAACAGTACATATATATATTTATAAACATTTAATCTTTTTTTTAAAAAAAATTTAAGAATATGGAGTCTCACAGTTTGTTCTTCATTTACAGAGAGATTGTGGAATATTAGTTTCATAGTATTTTGTCAATTTTATTTATTTATTGCTTTATTGTCTTCTTCTGGGTAGAGTTCACCTTGAGGACTACACAAGTGACTACACTGCTCAGGTTATGTTGGGGTATTGCACGGTTTATGTATTTATGCAGACTTTCATGATCCCTGGTACTGTATTCATGTCCTTGCTTGCTAGTTCCCTTTTTGGGGTCTTCAAAGGTGTAGCTTTGGTGGTTTTCAATGCCACTGCTAGTGCATCTTCTTGTTATTGCTTGTCAAAGTTGATATGGAGGCCCATTGTCTTCTATGTTTGGCCTGACAAGCTATAATTTTTCCAAAACCAAGTAAATTCAAATGTCTCCATATCTCTTATTGATAATAACTTCAAAAATAGAAGTGACTCATTTATTTTTTTCCAGGTGGCTAAAAGAAGAGAGGGACTTTTGAACTACATGTTGTTTCTACGACTGACTCCCACCTTGCCAAACACGTTTATTAATCTTGCTTCACCAATAGTGGATGTACCCTATCATATTTTCTTCCTGGCAACCATAATTGGTCTAATACCAGCTGGTTTGTCATTGTCAGGGTATGTGTCTTTCACTTCTATGAAAATTTTTAAATTATGAAGTTCAATTTTTTTCTCAGAACTCTACTCAAATCTTGAAGGATTCTACACTCAAATGACCCAAAATAAAAATCACTATGGAAAAACATATATGATTGTTATTTTTTGAATAGAGGAAGATCATTATACCTTCATCACACCTTCATCTCTGTCCGTGTTTGAAGATTACTGCCTTTCTTGAATCTCCATTGAATAAGATTATATGCTGAAGGCGTGTGCTTGGATGAAATTTCTTGACTGTCATGGTTTACTGCATTGGTCGGTGTGGTTAGGTGTAAATGTGGAGTGTAACTTCATTTTCAGTGTGAAGAGTGTCTCCAATTTCATAGGGTATGTATATCATTGGCAGGAAAAATGTAAGGGGAAATGTCTGATATAATCACTTTCTCTTTCTTTCTACAGTTTTTTCTTGACAATTTCTTTTTGGGTAAATTACTCAAATGGTCCTCAAACTTGTACGCGATTTACATTTTGGTCCCTCAATTAAATTATTAGTCCAAATGGTACATAAACTCTATTTTAATCGTTCTATTGGTCCTACCGTTACATTCTGTCAATGTTGCTGTTAAATATGAGGGCAAATTGGTCATTTTGTATGTTAAAAATAAATCAATATTGAAAAATGAAATAAAACTCTCTCTCTCTCTCTCTCTCTCTCTCTCTCTCTCTCTCTCGCGTTTTCCACAACCCATCAGAGTGGTACCAAGAACTGGAATTCCAACAACTGCACTTAAAACCAAATGCTCCAGAAGTGTTGCATTTCCAATTTTTGCACCTTCGATGAGCTTCAAGCCCACTACAACGTCCTCTCCTCCTTCAATCTCACCTGGTCTGACCTCGATTCCCACTTCACCTCCATCTAAGACTCCCTTAACAAAAAACTCCAGCTCCTCCAAACCTCCCAATCCTCAAATCCTTCTTCTTCTATACCCTAAGACCCCTGTTCATCAACCCTCCATCTCAGAAACCACAAGACCCTTCTTCTTCTTCATGTCAGATACCAAAGGACCCGTCTTCTTCGTTGAATTTACCCACCCAGATAGCAGAAGACCCGTCTTTGTCATCGTTGACATTGGCCCAGATAACGGAAGACACCAAAACACCAACCCAAATAACAAAGGACCCACCTTATTCATCAAGTACTCAAGTTCTAGGCAGCCCTGTGCCAATGCTATCAAACCCCTTTGTGAAACAACACCTTCTTCATCCTTCATGCCTTGCTCATCTGCACCTCACTCAATTCGGAGCCTCCTCAATCTCTTGCAACTCCGAGCAAGAACTTCTAGTCCTCTATCTCCAATAACATTCCTTGTTTGTCCATGACAGAAACAAATTAAAGTTCATATGTAAGTCCCAAATATGATTCCCACTCCAAAACAAAAAAATCTTCCACAGACCCCTCCCAACGAACCCAAAACCCCAACTCAACAACGACCCAGACACTCTTCCCCTCCCCCTTGATTTCCCTTTGTTGTTGAGAGAAAACCACCCACCACCCTCATCCCCACCTCATCACCCGCCAACCCCACCTCCCAAAATCACAGTCACTATCAATTTCTCACCCTCCAAGATGCCGAAATTGCTGCGAGGATTTTGAGGATTTATGCCCATATGGAGAGGTCTGTGGGAATGGGGGAGAAGAAATCGAAGGGGGGGTTGGGTCTCATTATTATTTATTCTCTTTTTCTTCAATTATTTTCTAATTTTTTATTTGTTTTAACCCTATTTTATTTGTTAATTATGAAAAGTCGTATTTACCCTAAAATTGGTTATGTTTAACAGAAAATTAGACGGTTGGATCAAATGGGCGATTAAAATAGAGTTTATGTATCATTTGGACTAATAATTTAATTGAGGGACCAAAATGTAAATCACGTACAAGTTTGGGGACCATTTGAGTAATTTACCCTTTCTTTTTCTTTTTCTTTTTCTTTTTCTTTTCAGATTGCACAAGGAAAAGAAAAGCCGCGCCCAACTCGTTTCCCTATCAAGAACAAATCTAAGGTTAACAGTTACACAATATGTTTTAGCCGGTTTGTGCAAGCACTGATGTGCAAGTCATACACTGGCATTGGAGACCATTTTATGCATAATGTAATGAGTGTAGCCAAGGAGTTGTTTGAGCTGCCTTCTGAAGACAAAAGCAAAGCTTCTAGTATGAAAATGCTAAGCATATTTGCAGCAGATTGTACACATCATTGACTATGCTTGTTATTATTAGGTCACAAGAATTAGTAAGGACATCTAAGACATTATGGGGTCATTTGTTACATAGGACTATCTTGGCATGGACTATGCTTCGGGACTGTCTTGGCTCAACTTGGCTTGGTCTAAATTGGATAACACTTATCTTGCGTTTGGTGTATGCTTGGACTAGGACTAGGACTAGATTTTTTTATTTTTCAAAATGTATATATATATATATGTATGTATGTATGTATATACACATATATTATAATATATACATATATTATATATTATATAATATATATTTGTGTATATACGTGTATATTATAATATATAATATATACATATATATGTGTATACATATATATTATACATATATTACATATATGTGTATATACGTGTCTATATTTATATCATAGTATATGTGTATATATGTATATTATAATATATAATATATATATGGGTATATAATAATAATAATAATATACATGTATATACATAGAGAAATTTTCGTATTCTAGGAAGATGAGGAGATAACGGGCAAAGGATATTCATGATACTAGGTTGGATTTATGATGGAAAGAGATTATCCCTAAGAGCTTGCCTGTTCCTTAACGCGGAAACTTACGGAGAACACATCTTACTGAAACCAAACCCAATCCTCGCATATGAACTCTGACACCAAGTCTTTCTTTACGAGTATACATATATGATATAATATGTGCGTATATACATGCATATATGTATATTATATAATAATAATAATAATATACTTATATATACATATGTACATTATATATATTATATAATATATGTAATATATACATGTATATACAATATATACATATATAATATACGTGTATATATGTGTATATATATTTTATAATATAAATTATATGGGTATATTATAATAATAATAATATATGTTATTATTATTACAATATAATATATGGATGTTATACATTGGTGAGCATAGGACTAGTTAATCCTTCCCTTCCACATGGGTTTATTGGTTCCCCCCTAAGGAGGTGTTTTTGGTGGGCTTGGTATTAGCAACCCCATTTAAGACTAGGATTTGATGAAACAAACATGAGACTAAATTTAGCCAAGCTAGTCCAAGCCAATCTTGTGTAACAAACGACCCCTATGTATTCTTCTTGTGGTCCCGTATGTTTATAATATTTGTGTAATGTACTTGATATTTTTTTTAGGTCATTATTATAATGAGATGAAATTTTCAGACATGGGTATTGATTTTTTATGTACTATTTATTATATGTAGCAACTAAATATTGTAATAGTTCAACAATTAGAACATTGTATAATTTGGAAAACTAAGTACAAAGACATCTAGAAGGTACTTCTTTATTGTATTTTTATTACTTTTGTATTGCTTGTCTATTGCCACTTTGTTGTTGTTTATTGCTTTTGTATTGTTTTTGTATTGCATGTTTGTTACCACTTCATAATCTACTTGACATTACAATGGAGTGGAGCCTAGATTTTGGGTTGGTTTTCTTAATTAATATAATTTGTTGCAAGGGAGGCAACTATGAGTTTGATTTATAAAAAAGGATGTGACTTGACATTACAATGGAGTGGAGCCTGAATTTTGGGTTGGTTTTCTTAATTAATATAATTTTTTGCAAGGGAGGCAACTATGAGTTTGATTTATAAAAAGGATGTGACGTCCTTAATGGAATCACTAAGCGTGGACCAAATTAAGTTGTTTTTTGTTTCAACCCTTAAACTAAAACATGCATTATTTACAAAATGTTGCTCACTTCATCTTTTCTGTCAAAATATCATGATAATATTAACCAAAAGAAGCAAAAGGAAAACAATTTCCTAAGAAGCCTTTATCCAATAACTAATTCACCTTCAAGTCAAGAACATCTTTTACATCCTCAACTTTTACAGAAGCCTCTCCGCCCATTCCTTGCTTGAGGGTAATTTGACGATATAAGAGTGTAAAATGTGATTTCATTAAAGACGTCAGGTCCTTTTTGTAATATGTTGTAGATTATGAATATATAGTGGGAATGTGGAATGAAATTATAGTGGGAATGCAGAGTTTTTGTATTGCCATTGTATTGCTCCCCTATTGCATTTGTATTGTATCGTATTGCCATTGTAGTGTTGTGGTATTGCCTGGTTATTGCACTTATATTTATTTCTCATCACCTGTTTTTCAAGTCTATCTTGTGAATGAACTTACAAGGATATTTTGTATAATAAAAATACAAATTAAAAAAAAACCGCTGTATAAGGTTATTTTGTAAAGGAAAATGCTAGATCATTATTCATTATCATATAAATAAGTAGAGTATATTCTATTACGTATATTGACATGCAACACTAGGAAAAACTGTAACAATTAAACACAAGTCCCCTATTTCTCTAGGAATTAAGAAATGAAAAAAAAATGAAAAAAAAAGAGGAACAAATCATCATAGATATACCAAGAGTCGATCAACAATAAATTTTATGTACTGGCTCATGAAATCTGAGTTCATGCCAATCAATGCAAATGGAGGCCTCACAAACAAACTCGGTCTCAATCTCAAGAGCTTCATGTACAATATCATGAACTTTTTGCCAAAGGTAATTGCTTCCACAACAAACTGTAGTCAATAACAACAAAAGAAGTATCCGTCATTTGGTTATGGAAATTATTTTATCAAATTTCTTGAATTCCCTGATTCTGTGGGGACTAAAAGTAATAGATCAAGGATTTCGGCAACAAACTCTGTTTATACCAAAATGAATAGCCAATGAACATCGGACACGTGGACCAAACTAGAGCTATGGGAGCCTTCGGCACCTAGCTTCAGTACCGTGCCTACCGATCGCACGATTAGGGCAACCTCACCCCCAGGGACACGTGGCAGTCCCACAATTGATGTCCAGAATCCCACATCGAAACTCTAAACAAATTGCACACCTCCCAATGCCTATAAAAGAGGACAACTATCCCAGCTTGGAGGTAATCAATCATAACTTATGGCATACTGCCTATTGATCTGTAGTTCAAACTTACTAAATCCGTACTTACTTAAGCATCGGAGAGCCTTCGGTCGGTACCACACCGGTGCCCTAGGTCTTACCAAGCGTTTGCTATCTTGCAGATCGAACGCCCTACCGAGGCCCAGAGCATACCGAAGGCCCAATATCTCTAAGTTGGGTGGGAAAGTGCCAAACCATTTTTCTGCATCAACAGTTTGGCGCCGTCTGTGGGAAACGATAAAAATCAACCTACAATTCCTAAAAAACACATGGGAACCACTTCAGGACCATCGTTCTTACCCGAGGACGGACTACCGTACGGCATGCCAAGCGGAGCAAGCCCCGCACTGCACCCTAGCACTCCCTTCGATAATCCTCCGGTAATTCAGACTACGGTGGAAGTAGAGCTCCTGGCTCAAATGATTTCCCTTCGGAAAGAAATGGCCAAGCTCCAAGAACATAACAACCTCTTCTCGTCCAAAGTAGACGAAACTCAGCGGCTGCTCAATCAGCAAGAAACGCAGAATATTCAATCTACCGAACCTTCCCAGAGTCTGCAGACCCCCGGTCGGCAGAAGAAAGGGAAGAATGGGGTAAAGGCGACGCCTGCGCCTTCCAAACAGCTGGTAGTCCTAGCCCCTCGGGACCAACCTCATGTACCAAAGAAAGTCTAAGCCGACTGTCGCCATCGGCTCAACGACATGGATGCCGAATGGCAGAGGTCCCCAGTCAGGATCAACGCACACTTGCGAGACTCACGGATGAGGGTCCTCGGAGACAAATCGCCCCTCAGAAAGGTACAGGGGTTGGGGTCGGAGGCAGAGTCTGACGACGAGTATGCCCCCTCCTAGGGCACCGAGTCACACCACCGTTCGGAAACTCCCACGGAGTATTCAAAGGCAAGAGCACCAAGTCCGAGAAAAACCTTCGAAGACTATATTTCTGAGGAGATCCCAAGCTGAAACCCAGCAATCCGCCTGCTCTTCCAAAGAATCCAGATGATGGAGGACAACCAAACTCGGTCCCAGGAGCCTGACTGGGGGAAACTTCGGCCGGGACCCTTTACCGAGTGCATCAAGAAGTCCAGACCGGACAGGGAAGTACAGCCGTTGCGAATACCGTTTTACATCGGCGTGGAAGACCCCTTGACGCACCTTCACTCCTTCCAATCGGCAGTAGGATGTAAGGGCCTCAGCGATGAGGGACAGTGCCTGCTATTCCCATCCTCCCTTACCGGAGCTGCTCTGAACTGGTTCTACCATCTTGAACCAGGAACGGTAGACTCGTTTGATGAGCTAAAGCAGATCTTTCTGAACCACTTCATGATCCAAACGGACCGTCTGTACTCTGCCGATGATCTGTATACGGTACGGCAGAGAGAGGACGAACCCCTACGAGAATACGCTGCACGCTTCAGTCATGAGTACTCGAGGTGTCCGAAAACGGACGATAGGGCAGCCTACGGCGCCTTCAAGAGTGGCCTTCGGTCCTCTCACTTTCGGTACCTCGTGCACAGTAGCAACTGGTGCACGTATGACGAACTGATGAAGCAGGCGGCAGTCCACGCCAAGGCCGAATATTTCACCTCCAAACCCGGGCCTTCGGCTCAGCAGGAGGAATCGGTATCGAAGAGCTATCCGGGGCGAACCGACAATTCTATGGCAGGCCACAAGCGGAAGGACGACCGCGATCATCGGCGGGGTAGCTCAAAGAATGGGCGTGGGAAATACGGTCGCAACGACCACTGAGCGCCCCTGCCGAATCACAACCATGCTCAGGAAGTCTTCACCCTGCTGAACACGACATATGAAGCCATCCTGATGAACGAGCATGACAAAATCCCAAAACCAAACCACCGAAAGCCCAATCGGCAGGATAATCGGGATACCGGCAAATTCTGTCGGTACCACCAGCAAAACAGCCAGAACACCAAAGACTGCATTAGCCTAAGGAAGATCATGGAACGGCTGATTCGGGAGGGAAAGCTGGACCAATACATCGCTAGGCCGCAGCAGGCACCCGCCCCAAACGCCAATCGGCAGATCAACATGATCAGCATGATCAGCGGAGGCCCCACTCTGGCGGGACCTTCTAACCGGTCAATGAAGCAATATGTGCGTGCCGCTCACTACCCCCAAGTCTTCGGCATAGAAGACGATCGGTGCCGCACGGTCCCGAAGGTGGGATGGGAGCCCATCACATTTTGCGAAGAAGAGGAAGAAGGGATCATTTACCCCCACGATGACCCAATGATCATTCGGGCTGAAATTGCCGACTACGATGTAGGTCGGGTGCTGATCGACACCGGGAGTTCAGTAAATGTGATTTTTGCTGATGCCTTCAAAGGGCTGGGAATTGCCGACAGTATGGTCAATGGGCAGATAACGCCTCTCCTCAGTTTTTCTGGGGATCTGATCCAGCCAGTCGGCAGTATCAGTCTGCCCATTGCTTCGGCATCGCTCCCCGAAAAACGATGACCTACGACCAGTTCCTCATCGTCGATTGCCCGACGGCATACAACGTCATCATAGGGCGAACGGCATTCACCAGAGTCAAAGCCCACTTGTCCCCTCACATATTGCTGATGAAGTTCCCTACCCGCAATGGTACTGGCGTTATCCGGGGTGACCAGCTCAGCGCACGGATGTGCTATGCCACTGCTCTTAAATCGGTAGCTTGCAAGCCGCCAATGGAAGCCATGTCCGTGCAGGGACTACCGAGCAGTAGAGGGCCTATAGATGACCCAAGAGAGGAAATGCCAACGCCGGTGGCGCAGCCTGCCGAAGAGCTCGAAACGGTGATCCTGAACAAGGAGTTTCCCGATCGATGGGTAAAAATCGGCACCAACCTAGGTCCCGACCTACGAAGGCAGTTAATCGACTTCTTGTGGCAACAGGCGGAGGTCTTCGCCTGGTCTTACGATGATATGCCTGGCATATGACCTGACGTCATCAGCCACAAGCTCAGCATCTCCCCTGCCCATAAACCAGTCAGACAAAAGCGCCGTTCGTATGATGCCAAAAGGTACGAGGCTATGCGTACCGAAGTTGACAAGCTCAAAGCCATAGGCTTGATCAGGGAAACTACATACACTGTCTGGCTTGCCAACTCAGTAATGGTTCGGAAGGCCAAGGGAGGATGGCGAATGTGTTAGGACTATACCGACCTGAATAAGGTATGTCCGAAGGACAGTTTCCCATTGCCGAGAATCGACCAGCTCGTTGACGCAACCGCTGGACACGAGCTGCTCAGCTTCATGGACGCCTATTCAGGGTACAACCAGATCTTCATGGACCCTGCCGATAGCGAGCATACGGCTTTCATCACCGACCGCGGGTTGTACTGTTACAATGTCATGCCTTTCGGCCTGAAGAACGCGGGGGCAACGTATCAACGGCTCGTCAACCGAATTTTTGCTAAGCACATCGGCGGCATTATGGAAGTATATGTCGACGACATGTTGGTAAAAAATCGAGCGGCAGGGGGGGCATCTGGAAAACCTAGCCCTCATGTTCGGTATACTAAAGGACCATCGAATGAGGTTGAACCCAACGAAGTGCGCCTTCGGTGTATCTTTGGGTAAATTTCTCGGATTCATGATCAGCCAAAGAGGAATCGACATGGAGTCGTCGAAGACGCAGAAGGACATTCAAAGCCTTACCGGACGTGTCGCTGCCCTGACGCGCTTCATCTCCAAGGCTACCGATAAGTGCGTACCGTTCTTCAAAGCCTTGAAAGGGGGCAAACATCATATCGCATGGACTCCCGAATGCGACCAGGCATTTCAAGACTTGAAGAACTACATGAGCAGGGCACCATTGTTGTCAAAATCACTTCCCGGGGAAGTTCTCCTCCTCTACCTTTCGGTATCAAGCACTGTCGTTAGCTCGGTATTGATATGGAAGCCGGAGAAGGCATAGCTACCAATTTTTTATGTCAGCAAGGCTCTTCAAATCGCGAAGCTTCGGTACCCTCCCTTGGAGCAGCTGGCACTTGCCCTTGTTGTCTCGGCGCGAAGGCTCCGCCCATACTTCCAAGCACACGAGATAACGGTACTGACCAATCAGCCCCTTCGGCAGGTACTTCAAAAGCCAGAAACGTCCGACAGGTTGGTCAAATGGGCGATCGAGCTCGGAGAATTTGACATACAGTTCAAGCCAAGGCCTGCAAAGAAAGGTCAAGCCGTCACCGACTTCATCTCCGAGCTCACACCTGCACCGTTGGAAGCACCCTGTCCGAACGATGTTATTACAAAACCAGGAAACATGGATGCCGATCGCTTCGATCCTTCCGTACCTCTGTGGATCCTGCATGTCGACGGCTCGACAAATCAACAAGGCTGTGGAGCTGGTTTGGTGTTGACTACTCCAGACGGGTGCAAAGTTGAATATGCCCTCCGATTCAACTTCAGAACCTCTAACAACGAGGCAGAGTATGAGGCTCTCTTGGCCAGCCTTCGGCTAGCCAAGAGCATGAGGTCCAAACAAATCAGCATTCACAGTGACTCCCAGCTCATAGTGAATCAAATAACGGCAGACTTCGCAGCGAAGGATGCCTCCATGTCCGCCTACCTATCGGCAGCCCACCAACTCCTACAAAGGTTCCACGCTTACGAGATTCGGCAGATCCCCAAGTCAGAGAATAGCCAGGCCGATGCACTCTCTCGTTTGGCTTCGACAATCAACGACAAGATCGGAAGGAAGGTGTCGGTGGAGATATTATCCCAGCCAAGCACGAAAACGGCGGAGGTGTGTACCGTACGGTACGAGGACACATGGATGTCTCCAATTTACGCATTCCTGATGAACGGAACCCTGCCCACCGATAAGTCCCAAGCTCAGAAGCTCCGTTACCGATCGGCAAGATACACAGTCATCGACGATGTTCTGTACAAGCGAGGCTACACCATGCCGTATCTGAAATGCCTCACTAAGGAGCAGGGGGACTACGTCCTTCGGGAAGTTCACAGTGGGGTCTGCGGTGACCACTCAGGGTCCAGATCGCTAGCGCACAAAGTCTTCCGGCAGGGGTATTTCTGGCCGACCCTACACCAAGATGCGAACGTCTTAGTCAAGAAGTGTGACAAATGCCAACGGTTCAGTAGTATCCCTCACATCCCTGCCGAGCCTCTCTCACCGATCATAAGCCCATGGCCTTTCGCCCAGTGGGGACTGGACTTCATTGGCCCGATGCCGCAAGGTAAGGGCCAGGTCAAATATATTATTGTCGTCGTAGATTACTTCACCAAATGGGTAGAGGCCGAACCCTTGGCTACGATAACGGCAGCCAAAATGGAAGATTTCATCTGGACGAACATTTGCTGCCGATTCGGAATCCCCTACGCAATCATCACCGATAACGGAAGGCAATTCGATTCGGACGCCTTTAGGCAATTCTGCACTCGCCTCAAGATCAATCTGTTCTTCGCTTCGCCAGCTCACCCCCAATCGAATGGTCAGGTCGAAGCGATGAACAAAATTGTCAAGAAGCTATTGAAACGGCAGCTTGACAAAGCCGAAGGAGCCTGGCCGGAGAAGCTTCCAGAGGCGTTATGGGCCATCTGGACATCCTACCGAACGGCAACTGGGAAACACCGTTCTCCATGGCTTTTGGTTCGAAAGCGGTAGTCCCAGTGGAAATCGAAGAGCCCTCCTACCGAACGGAAGCTTTCGCACCAAAGGCGAATGAGGAGGCGCTCGCCTTGAGCCTCGACCTGATCGAAGAATGCTGAGCACAAGCCAACCTTCGGAACGAAGCTTACAAGCAGCGCGTCTCTCGGTACTATGACTCCAGGGTCAGATTCCGCACGTTCCGAGTCGGAGATTGGGTCATGCGAAAAGTCTCTCTGGCAACTAAGGATCCCAGGGAAGGAACCCTCGGACCTTCCTGGGAAGGACCTTACGAGATGATTGGCATCCAGCGATCGGGAACTTATCGACTCAGGGACAACAACGGAAAGACCCTCGGGCATCCTTGGAACGTAGAGCATTTGAAATACTACTTTAAATGAAGTCACCTAGCTTACGACAGGTAGAAAACATTGTTAAAGCATTTGGCTTATTCTTACTCACAGCCTACGGCAGTGTAGAGTTCCCTAGCCTACGGCAGGTTTTCAATTGTAAAACGAACTCCAAATGTATCTTTGCCCTCGGCAATTATTAATGAAAAGGCCTTCGGCACTTATATTAACAACCTACGGTGTTTTCATTTTTTAAAAAAATGCGGTAGAGACCATCGGTCGTAGTATACTACATTTTTAAACCCTTTTATTAGCCTTCGGCAATTAAGGTACCGTGGTATTCTTTCCTACCGACAAAAGTTTAACTTGTTTTTTACTAAGCTTGTTCACTTCAGAGTTACTATTACTAGCCCTTGGCAGTAAAGTTTTAAGCCCTAAGTTGCTTACCGATTCAAGGATCACTTGAAATTTGAATTTATACTAGCCTACGGCAGTTAAGTCAATCACCCTGCCTTCGGCAGTTACAATGATTAATTTTGAACTTCAGAAGTTAGCTTGTACTAGCCTACGGCAATTAAGTCAATCATACCGAAAGTAAAGCTACTTGACACTCAACTATGAAAATTAAAGCTGCTTGAATTAAAAGATGCCCTCGGCATCAAGGTGTTTAGAACATATTGCCTTATGACAGATTACATTTAATAAAAACTTAAATAAGGCTCAAGCGGCAGTCTCCTCCTCGGCATCAAGGGAAACGGGCTCTTCCGGAGCGTCCTCCACTTCGTACTCTTCTATCATCTCCTAGAGCTCAACCAGCTTTAGTTGACAATGAGAAGAAGCTTTTGGAGAAGATTATCATTGCAGAGCGTACGAAACTTTCTGTCAGGCGGCGGCCTCCTCGGCCTCGGCAGCGACCCCATCGCCTTCGGCAGTATCCTCCTCGGCATCGGCAGGAGCCTCTTCTGGGGCATTCTCCCCCTCGTAGTCCCCGATCATTTCTTCGGTCATGCCTTCAGGAAGAGGGGGAGGATCAACAATGAAGTTGAGGTTGAGCTTTTTTTCGAGGTTGTACCGCTTGAAACGGTAGAGCAGATCCGCCATTTCCGAGCCCACTTCCTTGTCAAGCAAGGTAGTGAACTCTGAAGACTGACGGTACCCCCGTATTGCCTCCTGGACGGCAGCCTCGATCTCCGAAGCCCTGGCCCGCTCTGACTCCTCAAAGGACACCTGGATCGCCTCCTTCGACTCCAGCGCCTCATTTGCCGCTAGCTGCGCCAACTCCAGGGCTACCGACATTTCACCGAGCTTGGCTTGATAAACTTTAACCTGCCGTTCGGCAGCCTGCATGTCCTTCGCCAAGTTCGCATGAGCTTGGATAGCCTTGCCAGCCTCGGCAACCTTAGCCCTGCCGTCTTCATAATGGGTGCATTAATGGCTCGCTTGACGCACAGCCACATGTCCATTGAAGCCTAAAGAGCAAAGGAAAATGTCAAACAATGATGGAAACAAACGGTAGAAAAAGCTGAGAATGGTTAAGCACTTACCGAAGCTTGAAGACGGAAGGCGCGGCCTGCCTCCTCCCGAAGGAGCTTCTTCGGCAGGTCCTCGATCTCGGACAGCTCCATTTGTGTACTGAGGATCATGTGGTTCACAAACTGGACCGTTTTTGAAGGACAGGCCAGAGTGACAGCTTCGGCAGGCGCCTCGTCGTCCTCAGCAGCGAAGATGGCCCGAGCAGGCTCGGCCTGTCGCCCGCGCTTCGGAGCGGGATCGGCCTCCAGATCGACTATGAATGGCCTTTTGCCGGCACCTTTGGAGGAGGTACCCTCGGTAGGCGCACCTCAATCGGGACACGGACCGGCCGCCGTTGCTCCGGCATGCGCTGATTCAGCGTTCATCTGCCGACGGCGCTCGTTAAGGGTTAAGTCCTCGGGGTCGACTCCTCCCGAAGACGCTAGTACCGTTTCCAGCTGCCGCCCCTTTTTCTTCTTCCCCTGTATGCCGAGCATCAGGCGCCGCTTGGAGGACTCGTTCATCCTCTTCGCTTCGGCAACCTTCCTCTCTTCTGTCACTGTAAAACCCAGACCGGTCAGATTCACGTTATGACAATAAATGTGTCAAAATGGACTAGTACACTTATTCTCGGCAGGGTTGAAAAGTTGAGCCTTGATGAGATTGGGGGTGAAGAGGAACTTCCGGTAGATTCTCTCCACGGCAGGGACCTTCAGCCTCACCCTCTCGATCTGCCGGATCTTTGCTTGTGTAGCGCTCGGCTGCTTCAATTTGCCTGCACAAAAAGGAAACGGAATTAAATTTTCTGAAGGACGATACACTCTAGGAGGCCTACTGAACGGTACGATGGCCTACCGGCAATTTGGAAGGTAGTGGGAATGTGGAAACGGACGGGATGTCCCGAGGGCGACTCCCAATCACCCGACAGAAGCACCCGCCGTTTCCTCCACGTCTTCTGGAAGGTTGGCACGGCACTGACAAAATGGCCGCGCTCGGTAGCCTTCAGGCAGTTAGCCTGAACCCAACCCCCATGGTCAGCAGACTTCGACTTTGTAACGCTGTACAGATGGGAGAACTGTTCGTATGAAGGCTCTCCCTCGCCAGCCATGCCGAAGGCTGTGACCACACCCATTAGCGCTACCCAGAAGTTGGGGTTGAATTGGCCGGGAGCATAGCCTATCTACGCCAGGATTCTCTGAACGGCGGGCTGCAGAGGAAGCCTCACTCCTTGCAGAAGTACGTCCATGAAAAAGACGACTTCGCCATCCTTCGGCTCGCTTAGAGATTCGGTAGGCGTTGGGATCCTCATCCCTACCGAATCTGGTATGAAATACTCGGCACGGAATTTCGCAATCTCCCTCTCGGTAATCCTGTTGGGCTCCAAATAATCTACGCCGAAAACGAGCTCCTTCGGAACTCCCATCGGCACCCGAGGATTGCTGGGATAGACTACCGAAACCCTCGGCCGAGGAAATGGTTCGGCAGTTGACTCTCCACGGCCGGAAGTGAAGGCCTCTGACTGGCGACTAGCGCTCGCCTCCCCAGGCAAGGCTTGACTAAGGCTCATGCCGGATACTATCCTACCGATCCCTACATCGCTACCTATGGCGACTAGACTACCGAATTAAACCCTATGGTCAGTCTAATTCAAACCAAGGAAGGACGTAACAATTGTTAAGGGTGAGAGTAAACTAAGGGTGCCGAACGATACCTTAAATCAAACTCTGGACGAGAAACACGAACTGCACTTCAGATCGTCTTGACGGAAATCGCTTTTCTTGCAACGCCGGAAATCGCCTGGTTATCGTTAGCCCTTGTCGGAAATCGCCTCGAATGCCGGAAGCTCTCGTCGGAAATCGCCTCAACAGAGCTCTCGCTTCTCACAAAATGCAAAGTGATTTCGCCTCCGGGGTCACCCCTATTTATAGGGAGAGGGGTCGCAACGGTATACCTCGAAAAACCAAACGGCGCATTAATGCGCCACGCACCATGATTACTCTCGCCACGTGTCGCTCATCCTATGGGGGACTGACGGCATGCGAGGCATGGAAGATGAAGCACCCAGATGTCTCTTCTCACGTCCACTTGACGCGACCTTCTGACTTCCCCGACGTCAGCCTCTGAATGAACAAGAACGAAAGGGCCAAAGTTGAGCCCTTCCACCAACTGGTTTACCGAACGGTAGGACAACGTTTCCTTTCGAAGACAACTTGAAGTCCCCTTCCGAGAACTCTCGCAAGAGGACTTGGGGGACTCCTATTTATACCAAAATGAACAGCCAATGAACATCGGACACGTGGACCAAACTAGAGCTATGGGAGCCTTCGGCACCTAGCTTCAATACCGTGCCTACCGATCGCACGATTAAGGCAACCTCACTCCCAGGGACACGTGGCAGTCCCACAATTGATGTCCACAGTCCCACATCGAAACTCTAAACAAATTGCACACCTCCCAAGGCCTATAAAACAGGACAACTATCCCAACTTGGAGGTAATCAATCAGAACTTACGGCATACTGCCTATTGATCTGTAATTCAAACTTACTAAATCCGTACTTACTTAAGCATCGGAGAGCCTTCGGCCGGTACCACACCGGTGCCCTAGGTCTTACCGAGCGTTTGCTATCTTGCAGATCGAACGCCCTACCGAGGCCCAGAGCATACCGAATGCCCAATATCTCTAAGTTGCGCGGGAAAGCGCCAAACCATTTTTCTGCGTCAACAAACTCCCTATAAAAAAAAACATGAATTACCTATACAGAAGACAAGCAAAAGCACAGTGGAGGCCCTCATCTCTGGAAATAAGCTCATTTGAGAATGTCAAACCTGGCATTAGCCCCCTCTTTTTAACCCAGAATATGGCACAGAAGCTGTGAACCACAATGAACAATAAACAAAAGGGAAAAAGGTGAAGAAAACAAAAGAAAAGTTTGTATCAAACCTCATGACAAAAATCCTTAACATACAAATAAAAACCAAGAAAGAAAAAAGAGTATGTGAGTGCACGCTACCTTCCGGAAAAGAAGATTCCTTCAACACATGCAAAAGCAACAAGTCTCTCTGCATATGAATTGGAAGTGCACATCATGCAGAATAAGAAATTGTTTTAGGCAACAGGTTCCTTGCTTCTAATCAAATAGAGAATATGTACGAACTACAAATGAAGCTTGATGACTATGATTAGCTGGGCTTACGAACGACAACTTTTAAAGTTGCAGTATACAGCAGATGTTACTAATTAGTTCAAATATAATGTGATTGATACAGCAGAAAAATTTAGTTAAAATATATAAATTCCCAATTAGATAGAATTTTTAAAGATGTCCCCCCGCCACCCATCCCTCCTCTCTTCCCATGCACAAAACCTCCTCTTTAGAAAGACCAAGCGTTAGATTCAAAAATTCCAGGCTGAATAATTTTGGTCACTCCTATGTGCACATTGAACCTACAGACACAACATATGATATCACACAAGAGGAAGTTCAAGTTATTGCATATGTTATTTCCGTTTCATAGAAACGGCCCTCCTACACAACTCAAGACAAACAAGTCCAACCACACAAGAAATATAATTTCCTTCATTATAGCAATAACAAAGCACTCCAAACCCAAAGATGTGCCATCTTTGCTTATACCAGGAATGCAAAAGAAGAATGTACATGTACCTGTGTATCCAATCCAAGGCCACTTAGCCTTCCTAGAGACACAAGGAATGCTTTCAATTGCATTGAACAATATATGTTTCTCCCTTGAATCCTTGATATATGTCTCCAAACGCAAGCTGTACATCTCTGATGATAGCCCAAATTTTAAAAAGGAGAAAAAAGATAACCCTTCAGGCAGGTGGCTCCATACATTATAAATACAAGAAATAACAAAAACAATGTTTAAAGCTCTACCATAATGAATATTCTCCATTGCAAGTTGAAATCCATAGAACGCCCGAGCCTGAGAAGAACGAAAAGCCTTAGTGTTAGTTGGTCAACTAGGAGAAAATAAAAATGGATTTTAGCCTAATTATGTGGTAAATCATCAACAGTTCAAAAATTTTGGGTTGAATAGGAGAGAGGGAATATGCTTTGGGAACTTTAAACACTCTTCTTCATATAAAGGACATATCATAGCAGATAAATCACCTCTGGAATCTGAACATCGTTTAGAAATCTTGTAGCAAAATTCTCCAAAATAATCCCATCAGCTGCGGCAAAAATGACAGGATTTGACTTACAAAGTGCTTTTCGGAGTCAGACAGAGCATCCCACTGCTGTACATCATGGGAGAGATCAACCTCCTCAGCTGTTAGCTAAGAATTAGGATTTTGTGAGGCCTTGAAGGAGCAAGGGATAAGAGAAAGACGTCGATTGAAGACATAAAAAGAGAGGGAACTGAGAGATTGTTGAAGGGAGAGAGCATTTAACAAAGAAACTCTCTCTTTCACCTTCAAGAACCCCCTCAACAAACCCTAACATCGACTGCAGAGAGAAAAAGAGAGAGTGCTACTTAGCTTTTCGCGACAGAGGGAGAAAGAGAGTGGTGGTGGTCGATGGAGAGAGGAAGAGAGTGCTAAAATATGAATATGGTTTGAATACTTTGTGTTATGTTTTATTCTTCTCCATAAGGAGATATATATAGGAATGTACATGAGTGCTTTACAAGAAAATAGATACAGTAATCAATTAGGATAATATCTCCTATACAAAGATTTGTCAACTAAATAAAATGGGAAAGTAAATCCCTTAATTAATCAAGGAAATAAATCTCCTTGATTAATTAGGAGACTCATGTCAACATCCCTCCTCAAGTTGGTGCATATACATCACCAATGCCCAACTTGGTAAGTGAGTCATGAAACACTCTGTTACAAACAACTTTTGTTAAAATATCTGACAGTTGATCTTCTAATTTTATGAATGGTAGGCAGATGATCTTCTTCTCAATTTTCTCTTTGATAAAATGTCTATCCACTTCAACATGTTTGGTTTGATCATGCTGAACTGGATTATGGGCAATGTCAATGGCTGACTTGTTATCACAATGTAACTCCATTGGCTTTCCTGGCTTGAAACCCAATTCTGTCAATAGTCTTCTAATCCACAATAGTTCACAAACTTCGTGAGCCATTCCTCGATACTCTACTTCTGCACTAGACTGAGAAAACTTTTTTTTTTTTTTTTTTTTTTTTTTTTTTACTCCACCAGTGACTAGATTACCTCCCACGAAGGTAAAGCAACCTAAAGTAGAGCTTCTATTAGTAATGGAGCCAGCCCAATCAGCATCTGTATATCCAACAACTGCAAGATCTCCATTTTTTAAGAACATTAATCCTTTTTCAGGGGCTGATTTTAAGTACCTTAAGATTCGATCAACTACATTCCTATGAGACACACTGGGTGAATGCATAAACTGATTGACCACACTCACAGCATATGCAATATTTGGTCTTGTGTGGGCTAAATATATTAACCTCCCAACAAGTCATTGGCACTGTTCCTTATGGGTTGATTCTTGATCCATGTCTTCACACAACTTGTGATTCATCTCGATGGGTGTGTCAGCACGCTTACATCTAAGCATTCCTGTTTCAGTGAGTAGATCCAATACATACTTCCTTTGTGATAGAAATATACTATTTGTGGACCTTGCTACTTCAATTCCGAGAAAGTACTTTAGATCACCTAAATCCTTCATCTCAAATTCCTGAAACAAATACTTCTGCAGTTTCAGTTGCTCTCCTGTGTCGTTTCCAGTTAAGACTATGTCATCCACATAAATAATCAGTGTACTAAGTTTTCTTCCATCACGCTTCAAGAACAAGGTGTGATCCGAATTACTCTGTGTATATGTCATGCCCCGGACCCAGGGGTCGGTGAAAACCCCGAGCCCGGTGTGTGAGAAAGTAAAAACTAAAATAAAATAAAAAGATGCTGAAACATTGATTTAAAATAAACTTCTCTTATAAAAATAGCTCCAAAATCTTACAACTTTACAAGAAATAAATAAAGCTCTATTACTCTCATCTAATTCAGCCTCAATAGGTTTAGTCCTTGTCTTGCCTACTAATTCATTTGAAAAATTAAACTGGGTGAGGGATAAGCAACCACCGCTCAGTAGGGACATAAGACCTTACCATAGTAGATTGATATAACTAAATTAAGTGACATGCAATCACACAACCAAAATATCACATTGTTAAAATAATTTATGAATGAATGCTCTTCATCTACTCCTATTCATTTATATAACTGGACAAGCAGACCTACACGTCCCATACCATGCTTATACCACTTGGTCCCAAATGCCCATTTATATGAACTAACACCCATTTCAATCATCCCGTAATTCCCCTTTTGTTAGTCATCTTGTCTAACTCCCTTTCGCCAGTCTTGAATCACCCAATAAAAACCATGTGCACTATGGGATCCCTGAGACCTGGTACCTACCAAGAGTTAGACTCAACTACATAAAAGACTATTTCCATTACCCTCTTTTCCATCATTATTTTCTCAATCCAACAACTCCAACCATGACATGATATAATTATGCCAACATTATTCAAATAGTTCGCAATACGTAAATATCCTATATCAAGAACATTATACAATATTACACATAATAGAGCTCACGGAATTTAATTAGATCAATTGATAGGACCCGACCCAAATTCCACTTTGGAATCCGAGCCGAACCATGTGTGTGTCCGACACCTGGCGAGTGCAGGACACAAATGACCAAAATGCTCTTTTATACCAAATCCAAAAGAAATTCAAGTTCGACTTCTACCGAAAATTCGGCAGAATCTCCCCTATAAGTTGAACATTTCCCAAGAATTTCCACCTGTCAAACAAGCATAAATATACATACATATAACCCAACTACTAGCATGTATTAAATTATATCCAAGCAATCAAGTGTCATCATTCTAGCCTCAGGCCTCAATAAATCCAATAAATCATTCTACTAATAAAATTCATCTCAGCTTTCAGAATATCAATAATACATTAACAAACTCACATACTCCAACTCGTGGCTGCACCTTAAAACCTTAGGCTGTCTACGTGCCCTCACTGAGGGATCAAGCCACACATAGTTCTTCCCTCTACTCATATCTGTCACACACTGAATATAAGTATTCCATACACTGAACTCCCTTATTTTAGTTTAAGAATATCTCAGAACTGAAATTCTCTCCACCTAAGCGTACCTCTAATCCTGATCCGTCAACTCCATTAATACTGTCAATTCCCTCCTCGCAGACCGGGCCGCAATCCTCGCAAGCCTCGGAGATACCGCTTCTATCTGGGCCGCAACCTATAACTAATTATCTATCCTCGCAGGTTGAGCTGCAACACTTGCAGACCTCGGAGATACCGCTTCTATCCTAGCCGCAACCTAGTACCGCTTCTATCCCGGCCGCAACCTATAACTAACTATATATCCTCGCAGGCTAAGCCGCAATCCTCGCAGGCCTAGGAGATACCATTTCTATCCGGGCTGCAACCTATAAATGACTATCTATTTAAACCATAATGTGATTTAGAGAACTCGCTTTCGGTCAGGACTCGCTACTATAAACCTAACTTTAGTTAGATTGCATCCTTAAAGGTTTTTTTGTATCATTCTTGGTCCCTAACGTTAATATGTGTACTCTTAAATAGTCCTTTTGTAAAATAAAAAAAATAAAAAAATTGTTAAATCCAGGGATATAATCATCAAATCAGTCCAAAATTATAAAATCTATATATATACAGAAAAAAGCAGAGAATGGTGAAACATTCAAAATACTAGAAAATGCCCTTGGTTAATTCAAACATTAAGAATTGAAATTATTAATTAAATGAGGATAATATGGAAAATGCACATTTTTTGCCATATTAAAACAAAATAAAATTAAAAACAAAATAAGATAATAGGTCTTACTTTTATAGAACATAACTACACATGTTATCTTTTATTAATTCTAAAAATAAAATAAAAAAGAAAACCAATTGGCACATGCGTGAGCATGCGCCAAGGGGCTAGTATATATATAATACAAACCGCCATTGCGTAAAATGTTGGACACAACTCTTACATTTTATTATTCAAACTCAATCGGACATTGTCTTAGTAGAACAATCAGAAACCACATTAGTCTTGGGTCTTTTTGTTGTTGAGGCTCAGTTTATGATATTCACTCGAGAGTTTGCCAAGGCCATGCTAGTTGCTAGCTGCTCAACTGAACGAGGCATGCCTAACGAAAATAGCAGCATTTGCTGATAGGTTTGTAAGCATCTATGAGCCAATAAAACATTGGCCAATACACCAATAGCATAATCAAATGGCTAAAGGAGCAAAAATAAATGAGGAAATATAAGAAATGAGCATTTCCTTCATTTGATGAAAAACTTGCTAGCCAGAATCAATGAGCAATGACCTTACAATTATAAGTCTGAAGTTGATCTAGAAATTTGATTTTTAGTGACGAAAAATCTGAAGAACACCGTCGCAAAAAATGTATAGCTATGAAAAATCTTATGAAAATCCGTCTTGGTAATGAAATTTTTTCAAATTTCTGGGCAAAAGAGCAACTGGGTTTTAGGACCTTTTTTGAGCTTCAAATCATCATAAAACGTAATTTAGGCAACTACTGCACACTATTGTTCAATGTATGTTGTTTATAGTTCAATTTGTTTATGTTATTCCCTTCCATTTTCAGTGCTTACCTTTAGTTTCCTATCAATTCCAACAAGAAATGGAGGGAAATGGTTCCAAATTGGTGGCAAATGGGTATGAGGCATTGAAGATGTGAAAATGGATTCATTTGATGATTATATCCTTGGATTTAGCAGTTTTTTTGACAGATGGACTATTTAAGAGCACCCATATTAATGTTAGGGATCATGGGTGATACAAAAAAAACTTTAAGGATGTAATCTGATAGTTTCATAAATGTCAAGCACGTTTTTGTGATAAATTTTTTTTTTTTTTTTTTTTTTTTTTTTTTTTTTTCTTTTTTTTTACGGACGGACCCTTAATTATTATTAATTAAAACCCGCTAAAAATATGACTTTTTTTTTTAATTTTCCGCTCTCCATTTGGAGGAATTGAAAATTACATAGAATTCTAAAATGACGGAATTTAGATTTCCATCATTTCAATTTGGCTATTGAAGATTTTAGTGTTTGGATTTATGTATGTCAAATTTTGTAAATGATAGAATTTTGTAAATGGCACTATGGAAATTGTGAAATGATGCCTATTTTGGTGGAAATTAAACTCAGAAATTTGATGCTCTAATTTCTATAATTTTTTCTGTGCGTCATTTAATAAATTACGTGTTTAATTTGCCAAATAAGGGAATTATCAACTCATCCTCTTAAATTCCTGACTCTACCCTCATCCAACATGGAGGGCTCATTTTAGTTTTCCTTTAGACCAGAACGTTCTCATCACTTCTCTCTCGCTTTCGCTCCCCCTCTTCCTCTCTCACAATTTTAGGATTCTCTCTCACTGGACCATTCAAGAGCTCAGCTCCTTGTTCGCTAGAAGACTATTGCTCGAGCCCTATTACTTCAAAGTTGAATGCTCAGTGACAGTCCCAAGGTGCAATTCTCTAAAGCTCTAACACCCAATGTTGATTATGAGTTTTCTTATAGTTTAGAATCATGTTCCCTACTGCATTCATGTGGTTTGAGCCTCATTGTCTTCTATTCTTGATTTATACGGCACATTATTTTCGTTCAAATTCAGAAAAATTGATATCGTTAACTATTTTTATCGATTTATTTAAATATTCATTGTTTCAAGCTCGATCTCTGTACGTCTTGGATTTAGTGTTTAGTTCTGAATCGGATTTCAATATTGGAGCTCCTGTAGAAACTGATGTGAAAAAAGAGTAAACTGTAATATTTTGAACTGAAGTGTAAAGTTTAGAAACTTCAATGGGTACGGCCTACCCTTTCAAGGTGTTATATGGTGATAGATTACATGATGCATAGCTCTTATTTAGTTATAACTGCTCTCCTGTAAATTCCAATATATTTTTGTAACTGCAAAAAAAAGTATTCGATATGTTTCTTCTTGCTTTTTGGTTTCTCGGTTTTGGCTTTTCATTTATTGTGTTGGGAGCTGCTGTTTGGAAGATCTTTGGAGGTATGCTTTCCAATTTACGAACTCTTTTACACATTTGTATTGAAATTGGACGTTGTATTCAGTTGGTTGATGCAGGGATATATAATGTAATGGTGGATGGGTTTGTTGTTGGGAATACTTGGAGGTCGAGCTGTAGTTTTGGACAGGTTTTAGTGATAGCGTTGTCTTGGTCATTAATTAGAATTGTTATCAAGTTCAATTATATTATGGTGTAAATGGAATAAAATTTACCGCATACTGTTTTTCCATGCTTTGATGGTGTATGGAATCTTGAATTATGCATGTTAGTATAACTAAGTTGGTATGCTTAGCTGTTGCTTCAGTGAAACTCTACTTCTCTGTTCGAGTTTAGTTGTGTTAGAAATTATATTAATAATATAGTATTAATCAGAGGTTGTGCCTTCTGTCTTCTTCTTTTTTTCTTTGGTAATGGTTGCTTCCTCACAAATATTTTGCTACTCATCCTTCATAAGTGATAACAACAATAGACATAGGAGTGTCCTACTTTACATAGTACTTCTTACAATGTTTTTATATACCTTGAAATTTGTTTTCTTCTTCTAATTCTAATAGTGTAGATGTGATGAGAATTGATAAATCTCATACCTTCATAAAGAATTTACTATTTTATCAGCTTATTCATCCCAAAATTTAATTCACAAAAGGAGAGGAAAGTGTTTATCTGCTGGCATTTATATTTCCTAACAGCGTATTTGTCTGTGTTCGTTACAGAAATCTAGGGAGAGAAATCAAAGGCTAGTTACATGGTAGTCACCACAATGTTGACATATATTTTCCCACCACCTCCTTCTCTTTTCGTCACAGCAATGACAGTGATTAGCTTCACATCATCCGCTAATCTTGGGCTTTCGGAGCTAAGGGGAAAGCACTTACACTATTCGAAGTTCTGGAATTCCGGTTCTGAAACCTCTGCTGCAAAGAAAATTAAACTATCTAGTAGAACAGGCATGCTAATAGCTTATAATCCGGCATTTCTTGCTGGTGTCGCATCATTTGTGCTTTATCCTCAAGAGAATATCAGAATCTTGTTGCTTTGTTCAGCCCTAACCATTCATTTTTTCAAAAGGATTTTTGAGGTACGACTCTACCCTCATCTTTTCTCTGATTTCTTGATTATGTATTCTTCAGTGATCTTCAAATTGGAACTAGTTGCCATCTATTTACTATCTGGTTATACCAACTAGTGATTTTGCTTACTGAGCATTTCTACAAGTTTAATCACTTGACTATTCAAATTCTAAAACCTCTTACTGAGCATATGTAAACTGCTTAGCTGGTGGGCTTTTCCTTTATATCCATTTTCATGTTAGAGATTTACTTTTATGTGTTTTAATTCAAATAAATAAGTAAGATAGAATACAAGAACATTTCAACGGGGGAAGGTTTAAGCAACTACATGCAAACAACAGTTACTCTATGATTCAAACTCAGAATTTTGTTAATTTTTCTGATGCTTCTCATTCGAAAATATGTATTTCCATGTTTCATAGGTTCTGTTTGTTCACAACTATAGTGGAGGGATGAATCTTGATGTTGTGTCGGCCATCTCTCTCAGTTATTTTCTGTCTACCGCAGCTGTGACTTACGCTCAATACTTAGCACAAGGGTTTCCGGAGCCATCAGTTGATTTGAAGTACCTTGGATGTCTGCTGTTTCTAATAGGGATCTCTGGAAATTTCTATCATCACTACCTTCTTTCTAAAATTCGGTCAAAGGGTGACAAGGATTATAAGATTCCCAAAGGCGGTTTGTTTGGACTAGTGATATGCCCCCACTATCTTTTTGAAATCGTAGAATTTGTGGGGATTTCTTTTATTTCTCAAACTCTGTATGCATTCTCCTTCACCATAGGGTCAGCTTTATACTTGATTGGAAGGAGCTGTGCTACAAGAAGATGGTATCTTTCCAAGTTTGATCATTTTCCCAAAAATGTCAAGGCTCTCATTCCATTTGTTTTATAGATGTTTTGAATTCAAAAGTGTACTACAGATTATGTATAGTCAGTCTAGTGAGCATGTGCTGAATAACCCAAGGCATTTCTACTTGGCTACTGGATCTTTAAACTATTCTCTCGCTGAGTGATCCACAAGTATTTTTATTATTCTGCTTATTTCTGAATGTGGTTCATACAACAATGATCAAATGTACATTTAATGTAGTTTGGTACTCAGTGGATATTGTAACAATATTTAGAATGATCTATGACTAGGGGCTGGTAAAGAATTTTCAGAATTTAGTTTACAAATGTCAAATAATTAGTCACAAAATTACAGGACTAGTTTCTTGATTGCAGGGATGTCGTTGGATCTAATCTAACGACTCTAACAAGACCACTTGTAAGCTAAAGACTTGTACTGGAATCATCCTCTCACCTTGCTCAGTATGTCTCTCCCTCCATCCAAAGCAAGTTCTTCTCTTTCACGAAGTGCACATCTCCCATTCCCCTTCCAGTTTCATTTTTCTAGTTTGAACATTCAGTCCTCCCCTTGTGAGAAAAGCATTATATACCAAATCTTTTGGGAAATAGCACTTATTGCCACTGCTTTCCTAATTTTATCTGGAAATACTACCTTGCCGCACACATTTTGCAAATATAATCGATAAATACATACTTATTGCCCACTTATTGGCTAGATAACACTTTTGGTCAGTTTTTGTTCTCTCTTAGCTCTCTCAATTCTCAGTTCTCTCTCTCTCTCTCTCTCTCTCTCTCTCTTGCCGTTGTATCCCTCTCGCCCAGCTCTCTCTAGCTCTCTCAGCTGGTCCTCTCCTAGCGCTCTTTGTTCTAAATTGTCCCCATCTCTCTATTCTAAATCGCGAATTTTACTTTGATTGCTTGTGGTGGGTGACACGATGTGAATGTGTTGCCTTCGTTTTCCCTTCGCGGGATAGTATTGTTAGGATTGGGTGTCAATTTATTTTGAATGTCTAAATTGAAGGTAGTCTGAAATGGATGTCTGCATATTGTATGTATATTGACCTAATATTGCTACCTTATTGTATGTATTTTGCGTCTGTTGGTGCTCAAAAGTGCGTCACTTGTTTGTTTATTCTGCGATTGTAACCTTATATTGTCTATATATTGCATAACGACGACGGGCCACTGTTATACCTCTATAAGGAGAAAGTATAGATCTGTTTATATATCGAGCTGTACGAAATAGCTCAACTAAACAATATAAACAAGAAGTATGCTAATGATGACAACAACTCCAAAACAAAAGCACAATTTGAAAACCAAATCAGAAGTACATCCCTAGTGGTATTGATTAGACGTACTACCCAATTTAGTTTCAAAAAATGAAAATTGATGCATATTTCTACTCCGAAATGAGTACAATTTATCTGCCATGTCTACAAAATGGATACAGTTTATCTGTCATGTCTACAAAATGAATACAGTTTATGTGTCATGTAAGGCAATTAGCCACTGCCACCGACTGTACAATATTCCTATCACCATGTACAACATGGCCGCAGACCCTATAAATGATTTCACGTTGCTACATAGAATAACTAAAGCAAATAGCTCTATCAACCTGGATGGATCACCATATAAAGCAGCTCCACCAAAGCTGCCATTTCTACATATTCATATAAAGGATAAACTGAAATAATTAAATTCAAACTGAATTCCCAAGTGATAAGTGAAGACTGAAATCAATTGAGAAACATTATCACATTTACCTCATATATACTCCTTCCCCCTTAAAGCCTTTATCGCAAGCTTCAGTCGATAATAGGTGATCATGGATGGGTCAACTTTATCCAAAGAAATGTCGGCATTGAGATACTCGATGAATTTGACTGTCATGATTTCGCAAGAAATGTCAGGCCAATAAGTTCATAAATTAGAACTGCACTTATTTTCAATACCGATAAACTCCACTAAATTAACATAGTTTAATCATCACATTGTTGCGGCACATCTCCAATGCTGCAAATTGTGAATGTATTAAACTTGGACATCTTCATCCCCTTTTGCTTCACCTCTTCAACCTCAGAAGCGTCATAAAAGTGCATATCGTACAACACCCGTGCCAGAGTAGCACTAATAGACTCAAGATATTTGACTAGCTTGGAATTTGAGGTAAAAGCAATATAGGAGACATACATAGTCGCAATATGTCTCACGAAGTCGATTTCTACTACCACCCAATGACACCCTTGAAGATTATACGGGAAATACACCTTCCGGACTTTGCTCCGTGGTTGCGCATACCCATGTTGCCATGTATCGTGCACAAAGTGACATATCTTTTTTAGGTACCTAGGTGGAAGGTTAATGGTTTTTGGAGCAGCTGCTTTCTTCGATACTCGTTTCTTTATATGCGGTCTTACCGGCTTTAAAAATTACTGCAAACAATTTTGAAGGCGCATTTCATAATGACGAACCAATGCAACAGAAGCAATGAATTTAACATGTTCACATTTTTACCTGCAAACAATAATCTGCAGTTGTCCAGTCCATTCCAAACACCAAATGATGAGAAAGTTGTCTTTTCCGTATTAGAAACATTATCATGTCAAGATGCTGAAAGTTCAAGTAAATAATACCACCACAATTTAATACAAATGTACACATAGTGAAGGTGAGAAAAGAATTGAATTATCCTAATGAAATAGTCAAATTCTTACCCTGGAGCTAATCCATTCTATATCATCTATAAGTTTGTAAAAAAAGGATTGGCCAACTGAACATGCTTTGAGCTGCACCTCCGCACTACAATCGGCAAACTTCCTAGGGTCGATTTTGTAATCATTCAATAATTGGAACATTGTATAATATGGCAAAGATAGTACAAACACAGACATGTATATTAAAGGTAGCTATATATTCTTATTGGTAGATCACTGCATACTACAACAACATGAATATTGGATTTCCAAGGTTAAAAATCCTAACCTTAAATCGGTTTTCCCAAGCAACGAAAAACTCTATTACTGCCTTGACATTGTCAATGGGCACGGGTTTGTTGGATCAAAACATGGTGGGGTTGCGTCAACATCCGAAATAGTAATCATCCTCTTTTTCCTCAAGGGATCGGTAAATGGACTCAACAATGTAGTAGTTGGCCACTTCGTTCTGCCCCATTTACCTTCCATATCTTGTTTTTCAACAGTGGCACTACCTTTCTTAATCGCTTCATCACCAGCCACAGTAACATTGGTTATGATTGGAGGATTCATCTGACCTCTCAATGCCTTAATGTCGCTATTTTTCCAATCCTATAACAAAGATAACAGTTTTTTGCAGATTACCCCGCACCCGTCCACATCTTCTGGAGTAAGAAGCTTCTTAGCTTCTTGCTGCACTTATTTGTTAGGAACTGAAGTGCCAATTTCTGCCTCTTGGACTTGCATGGCTGCGTAGGCTTTGGCTCCATCACCAGAGACTTGTGCTTCCATTTCGGTCGGTTCTGTAATCAGAGTAATATATTCATGTAAGGGCGACATGTCATTGTCGTCTCCTTCATTGATATGAGGACTACCCACTTCTTCATGTCCTTCATCATGTTCATTCAACCCACCATTTCGTTTTTTCAACTTTTCTATCTCTAGCTTAAAATAGTGTTCCATTGAAGTGAGGGTCTTGCAGAAATCCTCCACAAACTTTTTATTTTTTTGACACTCCTTCTCATGTTTCAAAGACTCCTTCTATGCCATCTCTTCTAAGTCACGCACTCTCTTTCTAAACACTCAATTTGAATTGGCTACCTTTGCCAATTCATCCTTTGTGGTTTGAAACTTACGCTTCAAAGTGCGTAACTCAGTCGACAAGAGTTTACCCTGCATACATTTATAATGCAATTGTTATAATACTGAAAATATAACTCAAATATTGCTACTGTATTGCTATCGTGTTGCTATACATTGACCATATAATGATTATATAGTAGCGTCATTAAGTTTATTATGACCTGTATATTGCAAAAAGGTCATGCTCACCTTAGAAGACGAGGGAAGGGTAGTTGTTTCCTCAACTTCGTCATCTTTTACTTCAACGGAAGTGCTGGTATTTTCTTGGGCCTCATCGGCAAAAAATTCAATAATTTCTTCAGTGTTTTCATCATTGTCACCCCAACTCCAATAGGCCTATTGCTTGTCAATTAGAGTTGAGCAGAGAAGTTGCACATCAACCTCCAACATAATCATTACGAACATAACTAACCTCACAGTTTTCGAATACTTGGCTCATTAGCTCATGAAAACAAGCCGAAGTATTGTTCTTCCATTGTAGTATACGAGGGATGTGGTCATTCTCTTCGTGCACAACAAAATACAGTGCAGTCAACGCTGGAAACACCTCAAAAGCCCAAGTCTATTTTGAACAATAAAACATCAATCACTATAAACAAATTAAATTGAACTTATACATTTAGGGATATTTGCTCAACTGATGTGCAAAGCCAAAACCTTTTATGTGGTACTCTATTTCTACCACTTGCTTTTGTTTTTTTTTCTTTTTATTTTTTGTAGTTTTTTGGGGCACTTTTACTCGATGGTAATCTGCACAAAGTGCCCTAAAAAATGAGGCATTTGTCTTCGCATATGAAACAATGCCCCATGGACACTTTTGAAACTCTTCAAGGTCTTTTGACAATTTCAAATATCGCATGTCAATGTTGACATGTTTTTCACTACCCAACAACACAAAAACAACAAATTATAGAAATCCAAGCTTCACGACATCCTCCTCATCAGCACAGTCGATAAGGTCCTTAATCAGTAATAGATGACCAAAACAACTGTCCTGGAACCTTTGTAACTGCTGCGGACTCAATTTCTCCTTAATTGTACTAATGGTGGTCTTTGAATGGGAAAGGGACACCACCTTTCCCTGAAACTTTTGATCCTCATCAATCATCAGCTTTCCTTTAGAAACCAGATTTCCCTGTACACCAACATTATACAAATAATTTCAAGCCGTTGAAATATACATAACAACAAAGCAATAAACACACAATACAGATGCATATCAAGGCAATGGGCATGAAATATATCAGTGATAAAAGTACAATAGGGGCAATAGAACCTGGTATGCAATACATGTATGTTCACCAATGTGTCCCATGACAGAAAAAATATGAATCTCTGTACCTTCAAGGCTTATATTTTCTCTCCACAAGGCTTGCCATTATATTTTCCCATTTCCTTATGTTATATAGTCGTCTCCTACATTCCATCCATAAACCAAACACCGCCCTCTATCAAAGTGATTTCATGCCACAAGGATCAACTTCATACACGGTTTGAGAGAAAAAGCTAAAAGAACTAGCCCAACTGCATCAATGCTTCCTAAAATCTACTCATCACCATATTAATATACATTTATGTCATAAATAGAGAACAAATGAAATACAATACAGATGTAACATCAAAAGAAAAATTATGGACTCTGCTTGTATAGCATAATAAATGGTTATTTATGTACAAACTACAAACATCAAAAAGCTACTACAACTGCAAAATAAACTATAAAGATTCATGTGGCTAATGTAGAGACTATAAATGAACACCAACAATTTCCTTTATTTGGATGAAAGAAAGCAACAAAGAAACACATAATCCAATTGCATAAATTGCCAAAACCATTAAAACCACAATGGAACATGAATAAAACCATAATAAACTAGCAATACAACACCACTAAAATGGCAATACAACACCACTGCAATGGCAATACAACAGCAATACAACATCAATAACAATAGCAAAACAACAGCAGTAATCAAGTGAATCCCAAATCAAATGCAAGAATTAATCCACAAAGAATGAACCCATTCACTTTTTCAAATAAGGAATCATCAGAATTAGACAATTTCAGACAAACCCTAAACCCTAAACCAATTTTAGAGAAACCCTTAAAGTTTAAACCGATTTCAAAGAAACCCCTAAACCCTAAACCAATTTCGAAGAAACCCCTAAACCAATTTCATATAAACCTATAAACCCTAAACCAACTTCAGAGAAACCCCTAAACCCTAAGAAAATGATGATGAATAGTACCTATTGGAGGTGAATGATGGAGTTGAGCTTCGATGAACAGACACCACTGGGAGAGGAAGAGCATTGCGTTAGAGAGAGAGAGAGAGAGAGAGAGAGAGAGAGACCGAGAGCAGTGCACGATAGAGAAAGAATTAATAGAGAGTGAGAGCTGAGCAACAAAGAGACAGAGCGGAGAGAGAGTGAGAGCTGCGTGATAGAACTCAAAATCGAAGGCATTGTCATATTTCTTGAAATACAAGGCTCAAAATCACTTACAAGTTAATCCTCTATTTCTGGATTTGAGTATTGCATTGAATTGTTTCACTATGTATGTAGGCAAGACTTACACCAGTTTTCATTGAGGTTTTAGAATGTTTCACTAGAGCCTCATCGCCTAGAATAACTCTAACTCAATCCAAAATAGTTTCACCAAGTATAGAATAATCTTTGACTAAGTATATGGGTTATAGGGTTCCATTAAGGCTTAGTCAATGTTTCAATTAAAGGCCATTAGATATTTATTGAACTTCTGATATAAGCTTTCACCAACAGGTCGGGGTGAGGTTTCAACAAGTTCACTAAATCTGCGGTAATGCTTCACAAAAATATATTAAAGCATGTGCCAATATTATTAGGATAGTTCTTGTGTGGTTTGAAGTTCATATGGTATTCATGGTTATACTGCAAGTTTTGGGAAATAGAGGTATGATGGAGAGGTGGAGAATCATGTTGATAGGCCCCAAGATAGGGAGATAGTAAATCTTTCACTGTATTATATTGTTGGGGTCAACCCTAGGTTTGACTTAAGTTATCGTCGGGGTCTTCGATAAGTTTATAGAGGCATGTGAGTGTACAACAAGGGAGCTCGACTTCCAATGAAGGAAAAGAAATTCTAAGAATCTTCTATTGAATTTAGAACTCAATAGATAGAAGAATTTCTAATTGTGCTCAAATTAATTCAAATAACCGAGAACGATCACGTTAGGGATATGACGTGAATTCCATATCCTATTAACGAGATCAAGAACATTGATGAAAAAGAATGATCAAATTGCATTGTAATTCCAATTGAATGGGTTCTCTAACCACAAACTATTTAGCTTGGGTAACCGTGACATGTTGTTAAATTGTTAGATTTCTAGTGTCCATGATCTTCCACACAATCTGAAATACATATAAGACATACCTGGCTGCTTGGGAAGACAAGAGAATTAACTAGGTCCAAAACTAGTCACCGACACCGGGCGCAAGCGTCGCCATGCACTGTTGCCGATGCTGGGTGTCTTGAGTGATTTTCCGGCCATAGGAAAACTCTGAATCACTAATTGATACATATACCAAAAGAACCAGAAGGATAAGGGGAGTAATTTATATCCCGAAGTCCAATTCAACTGTTAAGAACCTCAAATCGCCAGTTTTCCTCGCTAAAAAACTTAGAGGAGAGGAAGTAGAACAACTTTCATGAAGAGACCTCGGCCGTTTGGTGGCTGGAAAGTGGTCAAAACTTGCCGAAGAGTGACATCGTCACTATTCACGTGAGAGAGAGAAAAGGAAAAGGAATCTGACTTTCCAGCTAGGGTTTTGGGGCTTTAAACCAACTTCCAAAATTTCCATTTTACCCAAAATGTTTTTAGACGATAACTTTCTCAACTTAACTCGAATTTGGGCCCTCTTCATGTCCATAAACTCGTGAGAGCAACCTCTACACAATAGTGCAACCCAAATTCTCAAATTAACTTTTGATCCAAAGTGACCAAAATTCTCTTAATTCGAAGGGTTAAATGCAACTTTTCGAAACATAAATAATTAACTAGGTCAGGGCGTTACAACCGGCCAGTTTGGAGAGAGAGAGAGAGAGAGAGAGAGAGAGAGAGAGAGAGAGAGAGAGAGAGCGAGCGAGCGAGCAAACTAGTACTGTTTCCTCTCCCAAGTTCTCATTCCCTTAGCTCCTTCCATCCTTGGTGAAGAGCTTTGGGGAGGTGCGCATTATTGTACATATTGAAGAAACCATAGTGGAGAATCAATAAGAGAGAGACCAAGCACACTACTTGAATACCTTGTTAGGATTTAAGATTCTCTCCAGGGTAACTAATCCCTTTAACTCTCTCTTTAAAAGTAGTTTAGAGAGTCAAGGGTGCAATCTTTTCATAAACTTAAAAAGATTTGGGAGTTATATGATTTGTATGAGTTTCTATAGTTTACTTTTTCTTCCGCTTATTTTTATTTTAGAAATGCGTATTAGACCATGCAAAGAACTTGACGTTTGCTTTAAGAAAGGCAATCATGCTCACCTTTGGTGCCAATCCAACTCTAATATGCACCATCTTGTTTGGGTGTTCTTCGCATATAACAATATTTTTGAGGTCTTTGCCCGTTCATGACCGAACATGAGCATGGTTAATTCGAGGATCATATATTCTGGGTAGGGTGTCCCCAAATTTAGAGATGGTGTAGATCTCTTTATGGTTTTGTCAGTTGTACGACATAACATGACATAACATTACCTTGAGGGTTTCTGGTTACCCTTGACTGTGATGATGCCATTTGGGGTCGGTATTTTCATCAATAGGCTTCGTTCCAACATATGACGTTGTAGCTACTCACCCTAAGATGACATTGTATGTAGTCAGGCAATGCATGACCGTGAACTCAATCTGGATTGTTTTGCATGCTGGGTATTTACCTAGAGTAAATGGGAGTTCAACTTGGCCCATGGGGGTTGACAGCCATGAGAACCTAGCTAGTGTGGTTGCTGGTGATTTCATTACTTTGCAAAGGTCATACATTTCTCGTACACGTAGTTAAACCAAATATTGATGGAGCTATCAGTATCGATCATGATGCGGCTAACTTCATAGTTGCCTATAGAAGGCAATTATTGATATTGTGAAGGGTCTAGTTGATGTTCCGAAGCGGGGCTGGGAAGTTTTGCCCAAAGTGGCTTTTTGCAATTATATTATCATGCACACTACAGGAATCACCCTCAGCATCCCCCTACTCAAATTTGGGCCGATCCCGATCAAACTGATGCTTTTTCAAATCAATGAATTCACAGTAGTCTTAGTATTGCACCTTCTCGAATGTGCCCATTATTGAATAACTACTCTAGGATGTTTAGAAGGTAACGGCTCGTTCATCTATGTTTTGAGGCCCCTCAACTTGCTCGCTCTTGGAAGGGGCCTTTTAGATGTTTTGGAAACCAAGTTGTTAACTTCTCATTGATCTCTTAAAGCCTCCTATAGTGCTAATGAGTTTGGACATTTGGTTATGCATGACTACAATTTCGGGGAGGCTCGTCTATCTCTAATATTCTTGTTACGCCAGCCAAAAGGGGACGTCTACTCCACGGGAGCATTGACCTTGGGTTCTTGATGTTCTTCAGCAATGGAAGGAAATGGAATTGACCAAAGGATATGCTCACCCAAGTGTAGGATGTAAGCGAGCTAGTTATGAATCGTTCCTACATACGGTACCAAATGTTGATGCATGAAATTCGCATAACCAATCAGAACAAGTCAAACCAAGTCAACCCTTCCTCAAGGATGAACTTGGTTGGGTTATGTACTTATGTTTGCTTTTTGGCCTTACTTGCAATGGCCAAGTAAGACGGCCATCTGTCCTTGTTTCTGAAAAGAAATAAGAGACGGTCATTGCAAAGGTGGTGTGGTGGGTTTAAGGGTAGATGTGGTTCGGTAACCGCAAATTTTTAGTGAAATAGCAAACCACCTGACTATTTGTGGTATTGCAATTTTTGATATTGTAAATCGGCCACCTATTTATAGTTAATCATGAATCAGTGAAACCGCAAATCAGTCAATGTTGCACACACAAAAAAAGGGTATCCACCGATTGGGCCATTTTGGGCCAAAATTCAACATTTTGAGTCTTTTTGGGTCAAAAAATCTAATATTTTCCGTACTTTTCTACGCCTAGTTTTGAAGCTTATTTTGAAGCATTTTAAGTCCAAGCATTTTGAACTTTACAAATTTAAGCAAATAAACTCACAACCCAAATAAGCAAATTTAAACCCAAGAAAATAAAGTTAAAAGTTAGTTACAACCCAAAAGAAAAATGCAACGCAAGTTTAATTAAAGTTACAAAAAACAGAGAACTCAAGTGTGGGTGGAGAGTGGATTTGAAGGACTCGGTTGTGATGTAGGGCCCTCTACAAATAAAACTACACAAGTTTAGTAAATATGAACTAAGAAAATTAAAATGAAATGAGCATATGAAAAAATATTGTAAGAAGCATAAAGAACATGAAAATAATAAACTAATTACTTACAAGTTGTAACCTCTTCCATTTCCTTGTAGAATTCAATCTCATCATATGTGGGTTCCTTGAAAAAGGAAAATTCGTCTGCCTTAAGACAATCAGAAGAACACACTAATGCCTCTATCATTTTAGGATGCAATGAGCTTCTAAAAGGATCCACAATCCTCTTGCCTAGGCTAAAAGCATTTCTACCAGTAATCGTAAAACTAGGAATTGCAAAGATATCATTGGCAACTTGTGAAAGAATAAGATATCTTGTTTGGTTCCCTTTCCACCAATTCAACAGATTGAATTGTTTGCTCAAAGGGCTCTCAAAGGATCTACCAAGTACTTATCCACTTCATTGGATATCTCAATGGATTGCTCATCCTACCTTCTTTGCACAAGTTGTTGCAGTAGTTGAAATGTGACATCAACATCCTCACAAATTTGTGCAATCTCATCTGCATAAATTTGGCTCACAACACCACCCCAACCACTTTATACTCATTATACAAATCAGTCAAACACTTTACAACTTCATTAGCAATCGCACCTTGCTTTCTAGCATTCGCCCTAAGATGCAATGACTAACTCTCTAAACTTGTCCAACCTCGCCGGAGAAGAGTGAATAAACTTCACACAATTTCTTATACCCTCAATTGAGGTATAAAGCTCCTTCAACCCATCCTTAACAATAAGTTAAGAATGTGACAAGCACACCTCCAATGCAAGTAATTCTCATCGAACATTAAGGTATTCATTGCCTTTAAGCTTTGGGCCATGTACTCAACCGCCTCATCATTGGCGGAAGCATTATCAACGGTAATTGTGAACACCTTGTTTATACCTCAATTAGTCAAACATGCATCTAGGGTTTTCCTTATGTCAATGCCTTTATGACTAGTGATCTTTGTGAAGCTAATTATTCTTTTGTGCAAGTTCTAGTCATTATCCATGAAATGGACCGTCATGTTAGATATATGCTCTAGAAGCCAATATAAAATTGGAAATTCTAAGGATATAATATTGAATAGGCTTATTTGTTCAAATACCCCTTGTTCTTTACAAATTGTCTCAGATTGCCCCCCGACTTTATATAATAGCTCAAATTACTCCCGAAACTTCCATTCCATAACTAAAGTTGGCCCATGCCGTTAATTTTCAATAAAAAAATCATTAACTCAGCTGATGTGGTAGGAGTAGTCGAGTAATTTCATACAAGTGACAAAAATTGATTAGCTCTTTCAACTTCAATTTGAAGAATAAATATATAATCATACACAATAAAAACTTTATCACTATAAAAATCAAAATCTCTTTCCTTTTCGTTGTTTTAGCTTCAATTGGTTCTTTGAATTTTGAATTAGGTGTGAATAAAAACCAAAGCTTAAGCATGTAATTCGGGTGTCTGGTTGTTCTTTTAGCTATATCTCCCCTGTTCTTTCGGCTGCAAGATTTGGATTTTTTAAGCCATAAATCTGAGTAACGGGGGATCAATGTCAACGGCTAGTTCAAGTGGCGCTTGGAAATCAGCTGATGTGGTCTCTGACCAGTTCCCTGTGGGTTTAAGAGTCCTGGTGGTTGACGATGATCCCACTTGCCTTATGATCTTGAAGAAGATGCTTAGAACTTGTCTCTATGAAGGTACCCTTTTATTAGAGTTCATTGAATTGTAATTCTCTCTCTCTTTTGGGTTTTGCTTCATGGGTTTTCTTCAATCCTTTGAGTGATTTCAATTTCACATGTTGGGTGTGGCTGAGGTTTGAATTGGTCTAAGAAGTTATAATTCTTGCCACCTTTCTACAGTAACATCGTGAAGCCTGCCTTGCCTGCCATCCTTCTCCCACTTCCATATCTTCAACTTTTTCAATTGAAGCAAAAGACAGATTCACCAAAAAGCAGAACCCCAATTGCCAGCAAAAAGAACTCCAATTTCGAGCAACGAGGACACCAATGCTAGGCATCTCCAGTTACTTTGTTGCAGGGGGAAACTGGGGTTGTGATTTTGGAAACAATTGGGAGAAAATTGGCATGCTTGAATGGAATGAAATTTTCAGACCCCTAGCCTAACATTACATAATCTCTCATAGGTCTCACCAATAGCCACGTTGGATGGCACTTTTTAATCAATTTTTGTCACTTGTATGAAATTGCTCGACTACCCTTGCCATATCATCTGAGTTAACGATTTTTCATTAAAAATTAACGGCATGGGGCAACCTTAGTAACGGAATGGAAGTTTAGGGAGTAATTTGAGCCATTATAAAAGTCAGGGGGCAATATGAGACAATTTGTAAACCATAGAGGGTATTTGACTAAATAACCCTATTGAATAACTATAATTAATAAGGCATGAATGTTACTTTATCAAATGAATATATACAAACTACAAAGTAACAAGTCTATGGATAATGATATAAATGGAAAGCAATCCAAAGAAGTTAGATTCACGAGACCTTTCTATCATATGTATATCGTATCCTAAAATATTTATAGTCAAAGGATCACTAATTGGACAATGGTGATCCGCAAAGACTAGTACACACTATGTCTGCTCAATTGGAAGGATAACTAGTCTTAAGTCATTCGTATAGAGACACTGAGACAAGTGTGTAGGTGCTCAATAGAGACGGAGTTCATTGAACGTGATCAAACTAAGAATTATTGTATGGAAGTTTTACTCACAAGTGTCAAACAAGTAATTCTAAGTTACGATAATGCAAATTAGTCCTCAGACTTGAGACATCACAGTTGTCTTGTGTATGAGTTGTTTGTCTTTGAGAATACTATACAGTTACATCAAAAGATGTGAGTTAAAGATGCTCCTTGGGATATCCATTGTGTCCACATAGGCATGTGAATTTACAACAAGGAATCTTTACTCTTAGTAAGAAGAGAGAATGCTCTAGAGATATGATTCCTTGAATCTTTGGCCAAAGTATAGGATGAGAATTGAAACAATAATGTTTGCAATCACATCCAAGTGAATCATATAACCTAGATATATCGTATTAGCAATTTGATACGAGTTAACCGTATCCCAACAATACGATAAAGAGTATTGTGTTAGAGAATGACCGAATTGCATTACAATCACAAATTGACTAGGTTCTCTAAATGAATTTTATTTAGCTTGGGTAACCATGACATACTGCTAGGTATCTACCATAACTTATGGAAGCCATGTAAGGACTAATTATAATTAGCCTTCGCCAATAGGGAGAATTGTATAGAGGGATAGAATTCATATTCAATTTAGAAGAAGTCATACTTACCCACGGCCTCACTAATTAGAACATATAAGATCACACACCGAAAAAGAGTGGATTGAGAATTAGAAGAAAAAAAATAAGATTTTGTGACTTAGTCAAAGTCAAAGTCAAAAGTCAACTGTTAACCCGACACTTGACATGGTCAACAAAGGTTAAATAGGACCAATACTTGCTAGACAAGTTAGTGACTTAATAAATTTAAGTCATTAAACTAATCAAACTAATTAGAATAGTTTAATTATTCAATTAAAGTTATAGAACTTTGATTGGGTCCCACATGACTTAAAAGAATTGAAGAAATGGACCATATGACTTTAGACACATGTGACACATTATAAGGATAAATGTAAAGGACCTAGATAGCCCAAAAATAGGCCACTAAAGGGGAGGTGCGGCACATGTGTGGACTTAAGTCCACATGTGTGACAAGCATGGGTCTATATAGTAGAAGCCATAGCACTATCTTATATTTTCGGGTTTCAGGTTGGAAATTTGGAAGATAGGAAATATCACACCTTTCTCAAGACCCCCTTGGCCGGCAACTTGGTAGAGTGAAGGCTAGCACTCTCTTCCCTCCCAAGTTCTTATTCTTCCAACTCAATCATCCTTGGTGAAGAGCTTTGGGGAGGTGCACATCCTTTGTACCTATTAGAAGAGCCATAGTGGAGTATCAACAAGCAAGAGATCAAGTCCATTACTTGAACACCTTAATAGGGTTCAAGATTCGCTCCAAGGGTAACCATCTTTTATCTATTTCCTTAAAAGTAGATTAAAGAGTCAAAGGTGCAATTTTTTATAAGGCTTATTTATGTATATGCCCCCTGTTCTTCTAAACTTGTCTCAAATTACCACCTAGGCTTTGAAACGTCTCAAAATACCCCCCACACTTTTAAAAACAGTCTCACGTTACCTATTCTGTCAGTATTATAGACATTCCGTTACGTGCTTTGGGCCCCACTTCGTTTCAATCCTTAACATTAAAGAATAAGGGTTTTTCAACTTCAAAAAAAGGGAAAGAGGGTATTTGGGTGAGAAGGGGAAATTTGGAGAAGAAGGCAAGGGCTTATCCATTCAATCCCTTGCCATGACAGTGGTTGAAATTAATGGAAGATACCGATGTGACCGTGTCTTAAATGACAGTGGAAAAAAACAGCTGCAATGCAATTTGATGATGGAATTAATGTTATAGCAACATTATTTGCAATATTGGGTAGAAGGGAACTGACCCTTCTAAGGTGAATGAGTGAACAAATGTTTTTTGGTCTTTGGTGCTTGATTTTATGTCTATCCTTTGAATTGAGATATGAATGCATGGCTCCATGACGGAGGCAAGCTTTAAATAGAGTTGTCATGAGCTTGCATTCATTGGGTTCTACTGTTAAGAAAAATCAAGCTCTTTTTTTTTTTTTTTTTTTTTTTTTTTTTTTTTTTGTTGGTGCTAATGTGAGTGCTAGTTTGATTTTGTTTTTATGTTCAAAGGTCTCGTAAAACTCTCTAAGTTGATGACCCAAATGATGTCTTGTTTGTAGCCTTACCGGAAATAAGTCTAGAATAACCAAGGAAAGGTCCAGCATAAGTTTTCTGGTTTGTACATTTTTAATTTGGAGAAGTCACTGCATAAGAAGTAGTTGAAATTCCTTCCTTTTGTTCATTTAGTGTTGGCTTGGCTCTATCTATTTCCTTCCTTCGTTTTTCCCCTTTCTAGTCTTCACTCTGAAAGTAATAAGAAGAAGAGCTTTGCTGGTTGTTGATTGTTTTGTTTTATTCTATGTTAGTCTTTTTAATTGATTGTTGTAGTTGGAGGAACTAACCAAGCAAGGCATGAAGGAGGTTGAGAAAAGGAAAACCCCAAACAATAAAAACACCAAGCGCTTAGGAAGAACTGAAAGGAGAAAAAATAAATTGAATCAAGGGAATCCTGGCAAGAGATTGAATGGATAAGCCCTAGCCTTCTTCTCCAAATTTCCCCTTCTCACCCAAATACCCCCTTTCCCTTTTTCTGAAGCTAAAAAACTCTTATTCTCCAATGTTAAGGATTGAAACGAAGTGGGGCCCAAAACACGTAACAGAACATCTATAATACTGACGGAATTGGTAACGTGAGACCATTTTTAAAAGTGTGGGCCAGGTGGTAATCTGAGACAAGTTTGAAAGCACAGGGAGCATGTACATAAATAAGCCTTTTTATAAACCTAAAAAGATTGGGACTTATAGAACTTGTATGAGTTTCTAGTTTTTTTATTTTGCTTCTGATAATTTAATATGAGATATGTTAACACTAGATAATTCATTTTCCTATATCTAATGGGTTTTGAGAAATACCCAACACATAATTTTCCCTTCACGTCACAACCATGTAATTTATATTTTGGATCGATGACAAAGTATCAATTGTGATACTAACCCTTTGGTCAGCAATGACACTCATTATCTTTGCCTTTTCAAGCATGTACAACTCCCAAACTCCCTCAGCAACCTAATTCCTACTTGGTACCTTCAACCAAGGTTGCATCTCATGCATTATTTCCTTAAACCTTGAGCCCTCAACGAGTATAAAAGGATGCTCATCCTTAATGATGAACCTCATAATCTTTAACTCACTCTTTTTTTAATTAAATGTGTAAGGGACCAATCCACTACCCATTCTGTCTGAAGTTAAGGTAGGTTGATTTGCACCACTTTGTTGATAGAGAGCAAAAAGCTTGCATCTCATCTCTAGGTGAGTTTTTAAACATGTTGTCCCACTTTTTTTAGGGTTTGCCAGCATCTCCAATTTGCAATAATTGCAAACCCCTATCAAATTCAACTCAAAAACAGCCTAACAAAATCAAATTAAAGCTTAAAAACAGAATTAATTCAATTCACATTTTAAAACCCTAAAACAAATCCAATCAATTCACATCAACCCTAAACAGATCAATTCAATTCAACAATTTAAAACCCTAAAACAGATCAATTCAATTCAATTCAACAATTAAAACCCTAAAATATATCAATTCAATTCAATGTTTTTAAAACCCTAATAAATTCATTTCAACATTTTAAAACCCTATACCCTCAACAAATAATCAAAACCCTAAATAGATCAATTAACAAAACAAAATTGCTTAATTAAACCCTAAAATCGAAACCCTAATTCAAAATTCAAACCTTCAATTTCAGATATTAGGGTTGGGTAAAAAATTTACCTAAGGAGGAGGAGATTGTGATGCAGAGAGTCCGCTGATAAACTCCAAATCAATGTCACTTGAGGATGAGATGGCTCTCTAGAAGGATGTGACAAGACAGGGAGAGACTAACATGAGACTAGAGAGAGACTACAACGAGACAGAAAAAGACAGTGAAAAGGTAAACGAGGTTGAGAGAGACGATGATGAGTGACACAGAGAGGAGGCGAGGTTGACTGAGAGAGAGAGGTGGCAAGGTTGGTTGACTGAGAGAAAGATTTGACAAGGTTGAGAGAGGTTGAGGAGGTTTTCACACGAAGGGTTTGAGAGAGAGAAGTGAGATCGATCGAGTATGAGAGAAAGATGAGGTGAGTGAGATCGATCTAACGGCTAGAATTGACCGAAGATAATAAATCCTAGTCGTTATATTCATCTAAAGGCTGTTAGTTAATATAAACTAATTATAAACATTTAATTAAATATATTTGCAATATACCACAATATTTGGATTTGTGAAACTGCATCGACAATCGCACATTGCGGTTGGTCCATGATAAGCTCATAATTATATATCATTTGAGTACTCATTTTCTTAGTTTTTTTCCTTAGTTTCTCTTATTTATTAGTTATTTACCTTGTTTTATTCTTTTGTAGGTAAAATTAAACAAAGGAATTAATTTGGAGATTTTTAAGGTAGTCTTTGGTGCATTATACACCATTTTCTCAAAAATTGCCTGTGCGGATCATTCGACTTTACAAAATAGTTTGTACTTTCTTTGGATGAATCAGGTTACAATCCTAATATGGTTGGAATTCCTTGGATGTTTAGTTTCTATAGAATTTTACGATTTGAGGTTCTGAAGTATGAAGAAGAAGATATCGCGTTTTGTGTGACTACTGTTCAAAGTTGGAGTTTCTGTGAGGGAATTAGATCAATTACTCGGGTTTTATCTATTTATCTAAGTAATTAATTGGGGCTTAATCTGCTTTCCAAGATGAAGATAAGGCTTATTAGAAGATTCTAGATGAGCCCAATGGGATGGGTGTGTCTTGGTCTAAATTAGAAAGTTGAATAGGTCAATCTCCTTCTCAAATAAGGATTACTTAGTTCTCAAGAAAAAAAGAAAAGGACACAAATCATATTTAAAGAGGGATTCATACTTGCTAATCTTGTAGGTTTTGAGAGCCTATAAATACCTCTCTTTTCTGTGCCATAAGACACATTGACAAGCCTACATGGTGAAATTGTGAAGGAGTGGCCGGTCTCTATTCCGACTTCAGTCAAAGGATATAATATTATTTTTCTATGCTTATTTGTTGTGATCCGATGACTATATCTAGCTAGGCCTCTTGGCCAAGGCTAAGAGGATGCCTTAGTTTAATTATTTGTTTTATTAAATGTTGAGTTTTTGATTTAATGAGTTGTGTTGATAGATTTATAATCTCTATTTAAATTTATTCGAAGTGTTGAATTCTTTTGATTGGCCATTTGTAGGGCTTGCATCTAGGTGATAAGATGGATACATGTAGACCTAATAAGTGGCATGTTTCAAAGCTTCTTGGGATTATAAATTGTGAAGAACTTGATGCTCTAATAAAGATTAAGACTTCATACGATTCCTTGTTTCTAGAAAACTTAATGAATCTCATGTGTTTAACCCATGCGATAATACGCATAGTAATCATATCTTAGGGAAACTTGGCTTAAGTGCGTTAAAATAGACTTAGGTACGGAATCTTTACCAATTAACTCATTGGATTAATCACTTGCCTCGATAATATGAGTAAGAAGACTAATGATTGAATATGAAGCCTTGGTATTTTATCATATTGTTAACAAACTTTTCCAAAACCATTCTTTTATATTTTATTGAAAAATTTCTTTAATTTTCCTTGTTTGCTTTTATTTGCTTTAATCAAAATCAACTTTTTCCAATTCACTTTTCAAAACTTCCCTTGCCATGTACCATCTCTCTATCTTCCACCTTTGTTTCTATTTCTCTTATATTTGATTAATTGGAATTTTACTCAATCCTTTTGGGAACGACCTTGTACTTGCATATCTATACTAACAATTGATCTTTTATTTCCTTGTGCTTGCACATTGCGGTCGGTTTTTCGCGACATTACAGTTTGGTTCTAGTGAAATTGCGATTTTACGGTATCTCGGTAAAAAATGCCAGCCCTAGATGGGTTCCACCAACCACCATCCAATTCCTAAGTTAGTCTTTGTGTCTTAAAGAAGATGGCTAAAAGTATTGTACTCAAGTATAGAGAAAGTTCAGATTACCTTTTTAGGTGAAAAATACTCCCCTTTTATGCAAGGAAAGTTTGAGCTTACTCTTTTCCTGTTTCGATGTGAGAAGGAGCTCTTGATGATGTGGCATCTTTTGAGTGGGTGATCAGTGGTAGCCTGACATATGTCCCTCCATTTTGGGGAAATCGTTCTTTAGTTAAATATTATGTGGACCTTTATTGGCATTTAAATAGCCTATACGTAGGCCTTTGAGATGAGGTGTAAGAAGGTTGGGGGCACCATGCCCAATTTTATAGACCTTTGTTGGGCATGATTGGCATTCCTTAGGTGCAAGTAAGGTGTCTTTGGCTGATTTTTAGCCAGCTGGGCCCAATTACCTCTTCAGGTAATTTTGGGCTTTATTGCTTGGGCTCTTTTTGGTGGGTCCTATGAATATTTGGTATCAACAAACTTAAATCCACCTTTGCACCATGACCAACAAAAACACCTTCAACAACATAACCTTCCAAACTACCTTCTGTTGAAGCAGAGAAAATTAAAAGAACAATATTACCTGGAAAAATTCGATATGAAGCTGTGAACGATTCTTAGGATGAGTCGCGTACTAAATTGCTCTCTTTAAGACATTTCATTGCTCTGCCCAATTTGTGCAAGCAATTTAGAAAAGGCCACTATATCCCCATGAAAAAACAGCCCAGAATCTCCTCTGTCTAGGTTCTTCCTTGCACTGAGGGAGGACCCAAATACAAACACCTTTCTATGTTGCTCAAAAACTTAGTTTAGGAAATGAGGGAAAATATGAAGAGGAAGAAGGCAGCAGCTATCATCTGTGTCTTTTTCTCTCCTAGTTATATCAAATATATATATATACATAATATACCACAAAAGAGACGTTGGTGGGCTTTAAAGACAGCAGATACATCATTTGAGAAAATCAACCCATATTAATATAAATAACTCCTATTAATAAAGGTAATTTAAGACAATTATTGAATTATTGAATTAATGGGCAGTTGTTCCATGAATAATACCAAGAGATTTATACATATCAACAAACACACCAGATTCATATTGTTGACCTCTGTCATTGCGAAATCTCTTAATTTTCCTATTAAATTGATTTTCAATTTCAATTATGAAAATCTTAAACATATCAATTGCTTCACTTTTATTTTTCATGAGATAAACAAAAGAATAATTAGAGCAATCATCAATAAAAATGATCGTTTCCCTTTTCTAGTTAACACTCCATCATATTCGCAAATGTCAGAATGAATTAGATCAAGTGGTTTAGATACTCTAGTAACATATTTATGTGGGGTTTTGGTAATTTTAGCTTGGCTACAAAATTCACACTTCTCAAAATCATTTAGGGACATTTCAGGAATAAATCCTAATTTACTCATATTTTAACAAGCCTTTTGTTAATGTGACAAATTCTAGCATGCCAAGTATTAAAAGAATACAACATATAAGCAGAAGAAGAACTTTTATTAGCATCAACATTCAATTTGAACATCTCATCAGTAGCATAGCCCTTACCAACAAACATACCATTTTTTTTTAAGTGTATACAAGTCTGCTCCAATTGTTTGAGTAAAACCAGCCTTGTTGAGAAGATAGCCTGAGACCAGATTCTTCCTTATTTCTGGCGTGTGTAGAACATCTTTGAGGATGACTATCTTTCCCAAAAGTAAACTTTGATTCTACTTCCCCAGTTCCAACAACAAGTGTTGTGTGAGAATCACCCAACAACACTCTCTTGTCATCAATCACATAATAGGTCTTGAAAAAAAACATGATTATAGCAAACATGGTGAGAAGCGCCAGTGTCTACCCACATGAGGAGCAGGGCGAGATCTATTCCTGCAGTTCCCGGAAAAGTGCCTTGGCTTGTGACAGTTATGACATAGAAACTGTCCCGAATCATCATCACGTGAGGGGGGTTGACTCCTATTCTGATTCTGATGAAGATTTCGATTCTGATAGTGTTGAGGATTCCGACTCTGGTTGTGTTGACCATATAGATTCTGGTTGTTGTTCTTGTGGTTCCTATTTTGATTTTTCATATTCTTGCTATTTGTCTTCAGAGTAGCTGGGGTTTGATTCCTGTTGGAGTTGGTGACTTTTCTTGCTGTTGGAGACGAGCAAAACTTCTTCTTTCATGTCATGTTTCTTGGCCTCCTCCTCAATACGCAGAAGAGTAATCAGGCTTTCCAAGGAAAATTCTTTGGTCTTGTGAAGCTGAGCATTCTTGAAATCTTTCCAGCTAGGAGGCAGCTTGTCAATGATAACAGCCACCTGAAATTGTTCATCTAAATTCATTCCTTCAATAATAATTTCATGTGCAATTTTCTGTAGTTTATGAGATTGTGCTTCTATTGATTTTTCATCCACCATTTGAAACTTCAAATAGCGACTGACAACAAATTTCTTTGCACCAGCCTCTTCTGTATCAATTTTTTTTTTAAGCACATCCCACAATTCTTTAGTAGTATGATAAGAAGAATAATAAGCATAAAGATAAACCATTCAAAATATAGTTCTTACACAAGAAATCATTTTCAGTCCATATCTGCAAGGCCCAAGTTTGTTCAAGAGTGGGATTGTCAAAGGCATATGGTTTAACATATGTGTAGATAGAAGCTAATTTTTTCGTTGTAAGGTAAAACAACATCTTTTGCCTCCATCGTTTAAAATGAAGACGCTTAAATTTGGAAGGTTTGTTTAGGTCAAGGGTGAATGAATTGTTTACAGCTTCCATGGCAAATGAATCGTCTTAAAATTGTTGAAGCAGAGAAAATTAAAAGAACAATATTACTTGAAAAAATTTGATGTGAAGCTGTGAACGATTCTTAGGATGAGTCGTGTACTAAGTCACTCACTTTAAAATGTTTCGCGGCTCTGTCAAATTTGTGCAAGCAGTTCAGAAAAGGCCACTACGTCCCCAGGATAAAATAGCCCCATAATCTCCTTTGTATAGGTTCTTCCTTGCACTGAGAAAGGACCCAAATACAAACACCTTTCTATGTTGCTCAAAAAACTTAGTTTAGGAAATAAGAGAAAGATATGAAGAGGAAGAAAGTAGGAGGTATCGTCTGTGTCTTTTTCTCTCCTAGCTATATTAGATATATATATATACATAATATACCACAAAAGAGACGTTCGTGGGTTTTAAAGACAGTAGATACATCAGTTGAGAAAATCAGCCCATATTAATAGAAAATAACTCCTATTAATAAAGGTAATTTAAGGCAATTATTGAAGGGAAATAGCTCAAAATACCACACATTTTATAATTTTTTGTGAAAATACCACCCCTCTCCAAAAATTTTAAAACTACCACCTATAAATACATCTTTATTGTCCACTGATTGCACCCATATCACATTTTCAGAAATTTGGTTCTCTCTCAGCTCGCTCAACCCCCTTTTCTCTCTCTGTTTGTCTCTATGTCTCTCTCTTTGCTCTCTCTCTAAAGCAGCTCTCTGTCTCTCTCTTTGCTCTAGCGCAGATTTGTGTCTCTCTTTGCTCTCTCTCTCTCTCTCTCTCTCTCTCTCTCTCTCTGACGCAGTGGTCTTCCTCCCTCAGTGATGTCTGTTCATCCAAAAGGTATGGTTCATCATCATTTTCTTTGGGTTTAGGGGTTTCTTTGAAGTTGGTTTAGGGTGTATGGTTTCTATGAAATTGGTTAGGGTTTAGGGGTTTCTCTAAAATTGGTATAGGGTTAATGGGTTTCTATGAAATTAGTTTAGGGGTTTCTCTGAAATTGTTTGATTGTGATGATTCCTTGTTTAAAACAGTGAAAGAGTGTGCTCTTTGTTCTTTGTTTGAAACTGATGTTGTTATTGGTATCGTATTGCTGTTTTATTGCTATTTTATTATGGTTTTATTCCTGTTCCATTGTGGTTTTAATGGTTTTGGCAATTTATGCAATTGGATTATGAGTTTGTTTGTTGTTTTGTTTCATCCAAAGAAGGGAAATTGTAGGTGTTCGTTTATAGTCTCTACATTAGGCACCATTCGAAGATCACATATTACTGGCTCAAGCTTGCGATTGAGGCTTTAAGGGGGGAGGCATATACATGAGGTAAATATGATAATGTCAGTGAATTGAGTTCAGTTTTCACTTATCACTTGGGAATTCACTGTGCTCCTTAATTATGTCAGGAAATCCTTTATATGAAGATGCAGACATCGAAGCTGTGCTGGAGGTGCTTTATATGGTCATTCATCCATTTTGATAGAGCTATTTGGTTTAGGTATTCTGTGTAGTAGGGTGAAATAATTTCCAAGGTCTTCGGCCATGTTGTACATGATGAATATAATATTGTACAGTCGGTGGCGGTGACTAATTGCCTTACATGGCACATAAATTGTTTCCATTTTTGGGTTTTTTTTTGAGTTGCAATTGTGGTTAGCATACTTATTCTTTAGATTGTGAAGTTCGACTATTTCGTACTACTCGATATATAAACATACTTGCTCTTTATGGAGGTATGACAGTTTACTTGTTTGAAACAACGTGTTCGTTTCCACTGACTTCTACTCTTTTTGTATCCATTTTTGACATTTGGTCCATGTAGTTTTCTTCATTTTTCTATGCTCAATCCAATCATATATAGAACACAAAATTTGTGTAATGGGTAGAAAACTTAAAGGTCAAAAAATGGACATATGGCAAAACTAAAAAACAGAGGAAGTGCATAATTCGTTTCTGTCTAAAAAGCAATAAAATGGCGATACCTTGGTGATACAGTAGCGATATAGTGGCGATAAAAGGGTGCTAGAAATTGTTGTTTGTGTTTATTTTGGGTTTCTTGTTTTGTTTCATTTCATTTACTTATCTTGACTCATTACTAGTTAATAATGGGATGATTATGAGATTAATTTGTGTCAATTGTTAATACAAGAATTACATATATGAAGATTAAGCCAAACAACATCCATTCCAGACTGCATTTTAGACATGCAAAATAAATCGCCACCGAACCTTAACAATACTATCCCGCAAAGGGAAAACCAAGGCTACACTTTTAGATCGCTTCATAAAAAATTGACATCATCATCGTCCTCAATATTTATGTGCTTCCACTCATTCGAGGTCACCAAAACTGAGAACTTTAAGCAAACCTTATCTTCCCTGCTGTTTGTATTACTAATTTGATGCACACGATCCAACAGTTCAGCAAATGTGATGGTTCGTGGAACTATTAAGTCTTTTGAGGCACCCCCTTCATATTTGCATATCTTCTTTGAGGTTACCCATTTTCCATTGTAGCAAACCAGAATAACAATTGTTTCCATTTCTGACCATGAAAAAAATTATTTTATTAACACAATACAACCACAATAATCAGGCAATACAATGGAAATATAACAGCAATATAACATCAATATAATAGCAATATAACAGCAATACTACAGCAAAATAACAGGAACACAACAACAATACAACACTAACACAACAGTGAACAAGGATTCATCACAATCACACATACAAATCCACTACATCAAATGGAAAATCCAAAGTTTCAAGATTCATATATCCAGAGCAATCTAAATGCAATTGGTAAAAACCCAGATGGATGAGCATGAAGATTCAAAAAACCTAACCCAAAACAATTACAGCCAAAACCAATTTCACAGAAACCCAAGCAATCAAAATAAAACCAATTTCACATAATCCAACAGATATTAAGAAAATAACTATCAACACTACCTATTCGAGGTCGGCGATCCAGTAGAACTTCAAGGTTGCAAGCAACTATTCAGAAGACATACCTAAAATATGGGGTCGAGGGAGGGGTTCGTGATTCAGAACAGAGAGCAAGACAGAGCTACGAGAGAGAGAGAGAGAGAGGAGAGAGAGAGAGAGAGAGGAGAGAGAGAGAGAGAGAGAGACAGATCTGCGCTAGAGCAAAGAGAGAGACAGAGAGAGAGATAGAAAGAGAAAGAGGGCTGAGCAAGTTGAGAGAGAACCAAATTTCTGAAAATGTGATATGGGTGCAATCAGTCGATAATAAAGATGTATTTATAGGTGGTTGTTTTAAAATTTTTGGGGAGGGGTGATATTTTCACAAAAAATTATAAAATGGGTGGCATTTTAAGCTATTTCCCATGATTGAATTACTGAATTTTTTATATATATATATATTTAAATAAACATAACAATTTCAACACCTTCAGTGTGGTACACTCAACCGAAGGTCACCATGCCAACATGAGTATGTTGTCTTTCTTCTCTTATGGCTTTGCAAATTTATGTTTATAGTCAAATCCAACACAATTGTTCTAGAGTCGACCACTTTTGTTGATACCTTCACATCATGCACAAAACTAGCCCTTACTACTTTATCCTTTCTCACGAACCATTCATGACATTGTCACTATTGTTCCTAAGTCATCACACTGCTGCTTCATTGCCTAAGTTTTTTTTTTTTTTTTTTTTTTTTTTTCTATGACCTAACTAACCGCACTAAAGAACAATTCTTTGTTATTCATGACCTCCAACATCCAAGTGTTTTAACACATGAAATTTCTAAATTTCTTATTTATATCCAAATAAGAAAATTGATGTATGTTAATTGAGGAATTGACTTGTATATGAATTTTGAGTTTATTTCTCTGGTTATGAGGATGAAGATTTTTTTTCCTACACATACTATCAAGGTACTAGAGAGTTCGAACATGAGCCCAAAGGTCTACAAATTAGAATCATTTTATGGTGAGGGTGCCATATATAGACCATAGATATGGACCTTCATATTAGTCACATAATTCATCTGAATAGTAACTTCACTTAAGTTCAATGAAATGGTCATGTGACTAATATAAAAGTCCACATGAGTGGTCTATATATAGTACCCTCACTATAAAATTTTGCTTACAAGTTAATACCATTTTTTATTGGGTTAGACCCAATTGGCGGTGGCATTTGATACATAGCTCAAGTTTGATTGGAAAAATTGGAATGGGAAAAGTTATAAAATTAAAAATTAAAAGAAAAAAATCAAAAGTAAAGTCTCAATAATTTTGATTTATTGCCTTTCTCGTCTCCGGTCTCCTCCTCTACCATTTTACGAAATCCCGAAACTGTCCCATCTCAAGCTAAAACCAGCAGCAAAGCCCTTTTCTCTAATGTTCTAAATTTTTAATAACTTGCAGGCTCAATATCTCAGTCTCTCTCTCTCTCTCTCTCTCTCTCTCTCTCTCAGCAGCTACACAGGTCTCTCGGATTCGTCGATCAGACGGCCTTCCCGCGTCCATGACTCTGATGACTCCTCCGCCGCTAGATGTAACTACTAAACCCGTCAAAATGCGATCTCAAAACGATTTCGTTTAGGTGTACGAATGTTTTCCTAGGGTTTCAATTAGCAGATCGGAGCTCTCATTTTGACCTTGTTTTTGCAGCAGCAGCAGCAACAGCAGGAGGACGATGAGATGCTGGTCCCGCACTCTGAGTTCCCCGATGGTCCTCAGCCCATTTGTTTTTTTTTTTTTCCCCTTTGTTTTGTTTATTTTTAGTTTTTGTTTATTACCCAATTTCTCTCTTCCTTCCTTCCTTTCTGTTTGTTTCCCGAGAAAATTCTGAAATGTTAAGCTGTGAAGTTTTATGTCAAGGTTCCATCTTGTTTGGCTCTAGGCACAGCAGAAGTAGTTTTTGGGCATAGTTGAGGGTTTTTTTATTTGTTTTTTACTTTCCATTTTTAGTTGTGAACTTTTTGTATTGGTTATAAAGCTGCAAATGCTGATAATTATGCATTACAGAGGTGACTGAGAATTTGTGAGTCCTTTTACCGCTTGGCTGCTGAGAAAACTGAGGAATACAGAATAAGAGTGATACAAATTAGCGAATTAATTATAGAAAGTCAGAATTCACTTCCCCTAAGCCAATTAATTATATGGAATGGGCAAAGTTTTACTACTCACATGAAAAAATGAGGATTATAATTTCAAGGAGGAGTAATCAAAAAGTTAGGTTACTATATCATTTTCTTTTATGAATTTCTTAGATGAAAAATGGGCCACTAGTGTACTGGGGTTGTGCTCCTTGGGCAGTTTTTAACCAATTTTTTTTTTATTATAGAAAGAAACGAATAGAAAAGGCATAACTAGGACTGCTTACCAGATTGGTTTATTTTGCCTTAAGTTGTGTAGTTTCTTGGGTTTATAATACAAAAGTTGAGATATAACACTTAACTGGTTTTTCTTTTCTTCTGCTGTTCTTGACAATCAAACATTTCTTGGTTAACTACTTTTGGCAGCTCAAGCAGAAACTAACAATACAGTGGATGCTCAGTCAGTGGATGATCCATTGTCAGCTAGATTTACGTGGACAATTGAGAGCTTTTCAAGGCTTAATACCAAGAAGCTATATTCTGATATTTTCCTTGTTGGAGGCTACAAATGGTATTTAAATCTCTTTTGAGTTGGTAATTTTGATATAGGTACTTGATTTGTTATGACCGATCATATTTCACATGCACTGTGCAGGCGGATACTAATTTTCCCAAAAGGGAACAATGTGGATCATCTGTCAATGTATCTAGATGTTGCAGATTCGGGAACTTTGCCTTATGGGTGGAGTAGATATGCCCAGTTTAGCTTGTCTATTGTCAATCAACTTCATAGTAAATATTCAATTAGAAAAGGTACTTTCTCTGCCACTGATGTTCCTATTAGAAATAAATTATAATGTTTTAGTAGTTTTATAAAATTGGACTGCAATGCATCTTTTCCTTTAGACATCTTCATATCAAGTCCTAATGGTTGAAGTGCAATGAATAAGGGGATAAAACTTTGGTGCATATGATGTGGTAGCTGTATCCATTTTATGCTGTATTTGCTGAACAGTCTGTGGGAGTTATAAACTCTTCAGATGTGCCTCGGTAAATTGTTATGGCATTTCACATATATGTGTAAATTGTGTAAATAGCCGGATTCGTTAGTCTCACATTGTGAGTTTATTCAAGAATACATGTGCATTACTTCAAATTCTCACCAAGTGAACAAAAGGGGCGTGAAAAGAAAGAAAAAATTTAAGACATGCACCTGTTTTGACATGTTCAGCCACACTACTTTCTTTTTTGAAGAACTTAGAACAAAGAAACTTTCTTTCCAAAGATGAGGCATGGGGAGCTGACCAGAGTCATCATTGTATCATTGAGATGTTGAATAAAATAGCAATTAATGTAGTGTTTGGATCAAACCTGGATCCTTGCCTACCTGTTCTTCCATGACTCTAGTTAGGAAATTAAGGGCAGTTACCTATATATAAAAGAGCAAAACGTAAAGGTATGCTCAGTTAACATGTGAAGAGTAGTTTTCTTGCCTTTTCTGACCAGATCTTGTAAATATGAAACATACATGTTTTGGAGAAAAAAAAGAAAGGAAATAAATAATGTTAAGAGTTGTTTAATATGGCAGAATGGGACCAAGATGTGTTGTTATGATGTTGCTTTGATTTGTTTCTTTCAAGATGTGTGTTTGTGTATGTGATCTGTGTTAAGATTATGCATACATTTTATGTTGTGTTTGATATGATATTCCACCTTACTCTTTATTGATTAAATGCCTTTTTGACACTTGTATTGCCACATCTGCATCCAATCTTGTATAAGTCCTAGCTAGACAAGGACCAAGAACTTTACGAAGAAGAAAATGACTTGCATTTTTTTGTCATGGAAATTTCTATAATCTGACCCTCTTTTAACTATTCATTACGTAGAATATTAGATGATTTCAGTATCATAGCTGTTCTCCCAGTGTTACAGGTTTGTTAAGTGATATTAAAAATATCCTTGATTTTTTTGTAACAAGATGGAATATTTCATATTGTTGAATGAGAATCAGTTTTTCATCATGTGGGCCTTAGCCACTGCTTTGTCGTTACCTTTCTGATTGCGTGTGTATTAAAATTTCATATGTAGTTATTTGTATTTACTTCTTTGTGTTGCGTTATTGCAGAAACACAGCACCAGTTTAATGCACGGGAGAGTGACTGGGGTTTCACTTCGTTCATGCCTCTTGGTGAATTATACGACCCCTGGTAGAGGTTATATTGTGAATGATACATGCATAGTTGAAGCTGATGTTGCTGTTCGTAGAGTTATTGATTACTGGTCACATGACTCTAAAAAGGAAACTGGTTATGTTGGACTGAAAAACCAAGGAGCTACTTGTTATATGAACTCTCTCCTTCAGACTTTGTACCATATTCCTTATTTTAGAAAGGTTAGCATAATTTCTGTACATAATTTTTCCCAATAACCTTGTGTACAAGGAAGCCCCATATCTCAAATTGTAATTTTAGGCTGTGTATCATATGCCAACAACGGAGAATGATAATCCATCTGGAAGCATCCCTCTGGCCTTGCAAAGCCTGTTCTACAAACTTCAGTACAATGATACTAGTGTAGCAACCAAAGAGCTGACAAAGTCATTCGGATGGGATGCATATGATTCATTTATGCAGCATGACGTCCAAGAACTTAATAGGGTTCTTTCTGAAAAGCTTGAAGACAAAATGAAAGTATGGAGTTCTTACTATATCAGACTTCATGCTTTGCACTTTATTTGTCAATTTTGGAGGTTATTGATTGAACTTTGTTTACTGGAACAGGGAACTGTTGTGGAGGGTACAATACAGCAGTTATTTGAAGGGCACCAGATGAACTATATTGAATGCATCAATGTGGACTATAAATCGACGAGAAAAGAATCATTTTATGGTAAGTGATTGAGGTTGATGTAGATTACTGTGCAATCGAACAAAAATACTTTAGGTCTTCTTATGGAAGATTCCATATATTTATTTGTAGATCTTCAACTGGATGTCAAAGGCTGTCGGGATATTTATGCTTCATTCGATAAGTATGTGGAAGTGGAACGCCTTGAGGGTGATAATAAGTATCATGCTGAACAATATGGTTTACAGGTAAATGACATTGAAATTTTCCTGTTGGTTTTATCTGTTTCCTTTGGAATGTTGACCAACATTAGTGACTTTACCGGGATCATCATCACCATTCAACCCATGTTTTTTTTGGGTGGCGGGGCTGTTTATTGTAACTGTAATTGTTATATGTCCCACCTAAGTTCATTGGAATATCAATGTTTGTTATTTTCTGAAGGCTTGAAGTTGGTTTCTAATAATATTTTGTATTTTTCTTTTATTACCTTTTTAGGATGCTAAGAAGGGTGTCCTATTCATTGATTTTCCACCTGTCCTTCAACTTCAGCTAAAACGTTTTGAGTATGATTTTATGCGGGACACCATGGTAAAGGTGAGTAGTTGATAGATTAATCTGTCTTCACAAAAACCTTTCATACATATTGTGTAACTATGAGTTGGGGAATGCATGCACGAATAAGGAAGCGCATGTGCGCGCACACACACACACACATATATATAAAATATATATCAGGGTTTCATATTACACTAGGGTATCTTTGATATTTTATTATATGGGATATATAGATTAGGGTTTCTTATTACACTATGGTATCTTTCCTGGACATTAGCATATTGATTTGATAATTTAGAGTGAGTTCTACTTATTGATACGAAGAATTATGAATGAGGTTATAAATTTTTGTTTGGATTTTTTGAGTTTAGTATCCTCTTCCCTTTTACTTTGGGCAGTTGTGTATTCCAACTACCATCAACGCACATGGCCTTCAAGATCTTGGAATTAAGCCAACTTGATTTCCCTTTATTATAATACATTGTATATTTTTTCCTATATTGGGGGAAGTGCTATATCAAATATTTATTCTTGTGGGCATGCTCAGTCTTTGGAAGTAAACTACTCTTCAAGTCATTCAGTAGGAACCGTAGAGTGCTGTTTCAGCACAAATGAGTTGCAAGGCTCTGGATTTTGTGCTGTTTGTTTGAGGGATCCCAATTTACAATAATGAGCATTTCACCAATTCTAGTTTACCTACCTTGGCAGCAAAAGCCTTTGCCAACCCCTAGCATGCTGTAGCCACTGCTAGAAAATCTTGCTAATTATAAATATTTTCAGGGACATATTAATCAAAAACATTCATAGGTTGGTTGAGGGAACTGTTTGGTTTGAAGAAAGCTATCTTGTTTCTTATAATTGCATATTGCAACTTCCCATTTGTTAGGTCTATTTTAGCTCTTGTAAATAGAAGATTTGTTTAAATAATTAGAACTTTATGCCCTTAATAAAGTTACTTAATGTTTTCAGAAAATCATGTAACCATTGAGCAATATCATTCTGTGAAGATTTTGAAGTCAACTTTAAGATATTGTTTTTCTTTTAAAATTTGATTTTCTTTGCCCATATGAATTAAGACCAACACATTTGATATGTCTCTTATAACGTAATTTCTTAGCTGGTATTTTTTTGTTTCTCATACTTGTATCATTTGTGTTACACTTAATTACTTGGAATCGTATGGTGTGCTGATTGCCAACAGATAAATGATCGCTATGAGTTCCCCTTGCAACTTGATCTTGATAGGGAGAACGGGAAATATCTATCCCCGGATGCTGACAGGAGCGTTCGCAACCTTTACACTCTTCATAGGTATTAGTAATTTAACTTTATTTTTATTTAAGACTGCTATACCTTCTTTTGGTGGAATTTTTTGTTTATATGGTATGTATGTCTAGTTCCCTAGATAGACTGATGTAGATGGTTGCATCATTTCCATGTCTACTTTTGGAGAAAGTGACTGGTTGTACTGCAATCCAATTCTGTGTTAGTTATGCATAAACTAGCACATCTTTTTATTTTTTATTATTTTATTCCATTTGCATTGCTGTTTTTCTTTTATTTTTTATGAGAAACAAAGTTTTGTAAAACATAAATGGGGCACAAACATAATTTATGGATAATTAGGATCACGATGTAACAGGGCTGTATTAATATCTGGACTATCCATGCTTCAAGTGGTTTTACCATGACACCTGCTCCTTGTCTAACCATATTGCAATATAGAATGTTCATGGTTAATGTTTTCTGCGTCAAAATTAGATGTCGGTTATACTATGGCCATTTTTAGTGATTGCTACTGCAACAAGTTCGTATATGCATGGCCATTGCATACTGGCTGTGTATGGAGGTTACTAATGCTTGTTCTTATTTGTTTGTAGTGTTTTGGTGCACAGTGGTGGGGTGCATGGTGGGCACTACTATGCATATATCAGGCCAACCCTTTCTGATCAGTGGTGTGCACATTCTTTCTTTCTGTAGTCACTATGTTTAAATTGTTTGCATCAAGAACTTGTCACATATCTGGTTAATATTTTTCATTAGGTTTTTTTTTCTTTTTTGCCCTTTTTCCTTTTAAAAGCTTGTAAACAAAATAATGTAAGTTTGTACCTTAATAGTGCACTTTAAGAACTACTTCCCAGATTAACGTGATATCTACAACATCAACAAAACTGAGTTTTTCCGAAGGATAGCACTATAAATTTTTAATTTTTAATTTTTTTTCAGATTCATTTTTCTAAATGTAGGCCCTTCTTCAATTTACTTGGAGACAAAATGTTAAAGTTCATTGGATCAAATAGTGGGATAATGAACAAAGTTGTTTCGCAAGTAGAAAGGTGAACAAGTTGATGAATAAGTTGAAGGACGAGGAAGGCAATTTAATTGAGAGAGAGAGAGAGAGAGTTGAATTTTCAGGCGGATGGATCGGACTGGTCCCTTAATAGTGATGAGGGAGCTAGCTGTTTGGATTTGAAAGATTGATATTAAGAGGGCAACACTCAATTGTGGTAAATGACAGACTCAATGACCTTATCTCTTTGGTGGACCTGTATATAATAGATAAAGACGGACCGATTGAAAGAGGGATGAGTGAGATAAGGATAAACAGGGAGAGCTTACCAAGTAATGTTTGAGTTTTGCTGCTCTAGATTAATGTAGCATTTTTCTATTTCATTAATTTGAATATGCTAGAGTGCCATATTGTGATGGCTAGTGGCAAGCAAGAGTCTCTTGATCCCTACAGGTCTTCTGCAATGAAGATAGAGTGTAGTGGGGTTGTGGACCAATGAAAATTGTTTTTGGATACAATTGGTTAATGTTGTGGTTGAATGAATTTATGCTTGTTGGACTTCTAGGGAGTCAAAATTACTGCGAAAGAAAGCAATAACTTTGCACCAAAGTGGCACTGACTAGGCTGAGCAACAATAATCTTTAAAGTTGACCCACAAGAATATAACAAAGAATAGTATGTGAGACAGTTTTGGAAGTACGCTAATTTAGGAATGGAGCTGCTTCAATTTTTTTTTCCTTTCCAAAAATCCATTGTTATCTAGTAGCTGGGAGTGTGTTATGGAATTTTGCTACTGGAAGGGTTGATGTGATATAAAGAAAGTGCTTAACTAGTTTGATTTTACCATTGAGAATCACAAATGAATTATTGCATACCATGCCTTGTCTATTCAATTATTAAGATTTAACGTCCCTTGCAATTTGTTGCTTTCAGGTTTAAATTTGATGATGAACGAGTAACAAAAGAAGATATGAAGAGGGCTCTAGAGGAGCAGTATGGTGGTGAAGAAGAGGTACAATTTTCGGTTATTTATCACGTTTTATTTGTACTTTCTTTGCCTCTACTGATGTTCTCTATGTTTCACTGTTTGCATTTGACAGTTACCACAGACAAATCCTGGGTTCAACAATGCTCCATTTAAATTTACAAAATATTCAAATGCCTACATGCTTGTTTATATACGTGAAATTGACAAGGAGAAGATAATTTGTAATGTGGATGAGAAAGACATTGCGGAACATCTGAGGGTAAGAGGGATTGACAATATTTCTGTCGACTTAGAATTTTATTTATTTTATTTTTACTTTGTCTTGCTGGTAAATCATGCTGTGCTTATGTGTCCTTTGAACACCATATTCCAGATAAGGCTGAAAAAGAACAGGAAGAAAAGGAACAAAAGAGAAAGGAAAAAGCTGAAGCGCACCTTTATACTATCATAAAGGTTAAAAAATTTACAACCCCTTGTCGATTCTTTTCTGTCCCCCGGTTCTTTTTGTTTGAGATATGTAAACTTTGATTTCTGTAACGTTATTTAATTCAGATTTTGTTATGGGTTTCTAGGTTGCACGAAACGAGGACCTGCTTGAACAGATAGGAAAGAATATCTATTTTGATCTTGTGGATCATGACAAAGTTCATAGTTTCCGTATTCAGAAGCAGATGCCCTTCAACCTCTTTAAGGTACTGCGTTTACCCACTTGAACTTTATTGCATTGAAAATGTTGAAAATCTTCAGGTGTAGGTATACACCGTTTACTCCATACTGTCTTACTAGTTTCTGTACTGAAAGTTGTCAATATGGATATACATGTCTTGACTTATCTTAAACTAATTTTATATAAGTTGGCTTTGGCATCGTATTCTTCTTGGGGTAAGAATATAATAGATTTTTCAATAGAAGACAAATTATTATTTTTTGCCGTATTGTCTAAATTCTTTCTGTCTCATAATCCATGCATCTAGAGCTAATTTCATCAATTAGATCATCACAAATTTATTAAGTTCAGCAATCAAAATCGTAAAATTTCTCATCAAGTTGAGAGGCTTTTTGATTCCAGTGCAAGCTAGAGATTATAGTTGGTGAGATGCCTTGAATACTTGTTATCGTAAATCCAGAATGTGAAAATACTTAATAGGATGCACAATGTGATGAACAGTATCGAAGAGGAACAGCAAGACCTATAACATATAAAGAAGTGGGGTTTCAGTTCCAGTATATGATAATCATAATAATTATGGGATATTCCCAGTTGAGCTTAATTAAATGAAATTGGAGCTATAGCCTATACGTAAAATTGTAGTTGTTGGATCCAAATGATCAGTATCATTCTAATTGAAGTCCACCCTCAGGAAGAGGTTGCCAAAGAGTTTGGTATACCAGTTCAATTTCAACGTTTCTGGCTGTGGGCAAAGCGTCAAAACCATACATACCGGCCAAATCGACCACTGACACCTCTTGAGGAAACACAATCTGTAAGTCCTATAGCTTGTTACCTGTTATGTCACTGATTCTGTTATATGTTCTACGAGTTCGTGGTTCTTATGCTATGTGTAAATGTAATCAAGCGTAATTCCATTCATGGTTCACGAGTAATAAAAAAAACTGGTGTGATCTTGTCCAAAGATGAAGACCGTACATGTATTTGTCTCCACACTGATGTGTTCTGTGCAAAATGAGCGAGGAAAGCATGGATCACCTTTTTTTTACAGTGCCCCTTTTCGTTAAGTCTTTGGCGGACCTTGTTGAGGGAGGTTAAGACTGTTTGGGTTATTCCAAAGGTTGCTATGATCTTATCTGTTCCCATTTTGTCATTTGGGACAGGGGGAAGCGTGCTTCAACCTTATGGGGTTGCTTGGTAGTCTGTATTTTGGAACATTTGGATAGAGCATAACAGGATGATTTTTTATGAGTATGAGGGAGTGGGTGTTGGTGAATTACGGGATGGAGTTAAATTCTGGGCAGCTTTATGGGCTTCTGTCGCTTCAGATTTCAAAGATTATTCTTACTCCACTATATTGAGGGATATGGCTGTTGTGTGATGTGAAGTGTTTGTTTTGCTTCTTGGTTTCTTGGGGTCTTTCTGGTGTAGCAGTCTTTGTGTAGTTTGGCTGTTGTCTTTGTCTTTTTAGTCTGTTTTTCTGTTGTTGCTCGTTTGGCTTGTGGATTTCTTATCCACTTGTGTGTTCCTCTTCTTTTTCTTACAATAAATTTCATTTCTATTATTTTTAAAAAAAAGCGAGTAATAAAAAAAATTTGGTGGTTGTAAATTCATTTAGTTAAATTACAGTTGAAATCTTGATTACTATTAGTGGAGGTACTGATTCCAAGCAGTTTTCTATTTCAGTATACAAAAGGGCATTTTGGAAATTAGTGAAAGTAACAAGGTTAATATTGTCCATGTAAAATTTATTAAACATGAATACTGCTATCAACAAAAAAGCTATTTTAAAGGCTTTCCAGAGAAAATATAGATTGAAGCTTCTCCCCTATTGACCGGCACCCACAAAAGTTTGTAATTCAGTGGTATATTCTAGTTAGCATTTTCTCATATAATACTCGTATTATACATGCACATATGTTTTTTTTTTAAATACTTCTGTTTTCCATACATGTATGAAAGATTTGTTAAAATACATGTTTTTAAAAATCAAACATACCATACATGTACGTACATATTCTTCACGTTTAAGACACATGTTTTTTACAAAATTTTAAATAATACAAATAAATTTCACGTATTATACACGTATTTTTAACATATTATTGAATAAAATAATATATATTACAAGTTTTAATTAAATTATATTCATATATTATATAATGTCTGAACTTTTCATTTGTCTTTTTCAAACATTTTGCCGAATTAATCACGTATGTATTTTATTTGGACTTTTCCCGTTCCGTATTTTACGAACTATTTCTCTTCTCTGTATGGTATTTGTAGGTTGGACAGTTGAGGGAAGTTTCCAATAAGTCAAATAATGCAGAGCTAAAGTTGTTTCTTGAAATAGAACTTGGGCCGGTAATGTTACCCTCTAAAGCTCTTTAATTTTTTCCCATCTGAATTGTTGTGTTATTCCTTGACAAACTATAATCATCTTATTTCAATGTCGGTATTCACTGGTTGTTCTATTGCTGATATGCAGGATTTGCTGCCTCTTTCTCCTCCGGAAAAGACCAAAGAAGAGATTCTTCTATTTTTCAAACTCTATGATCCTGTGAAAGAGGAGCTCCGGTATGTTTGCTTCTTTCGTCCATCAAAGTTAGAGCTAAAATTGATTACTTAGGTATTTCTCTTTGAAATCAGGTATGTTGGGAGGCTGTTTGTGAAGGGAAGTGGTAAGCCTGTTGAATTATTCGCAAAACTAAATGAAATGGCTGGTTTCAGTCCTGATGAAAAGATAGAACTTTTTGAGGTAAGTCCTCTGCCATTTGTGTTATAGTATTATAGCTCTGCCACCTGCTTAACCCATTTGTGTTATAGTATTATAGCCATTTGTGTTATAGTATTTTAACTTGACATGCATGCACGCAAACGCTTACTCATGTTTTCAGGAAATAAAGTTTGAACCTAATATCATGTGTGAACACATTGATGAGAAGGCAACCTTTCGTGTTAGTCAGGTATGATTTTCAAAGTCTAATGTTTTCATTTGTAAATTGGAGTGAGCCATATGAAGTTATCCTTTTTCTTTTATTTTTGCTCTTTTTTTTTCCTCCGTTTCTCTGTCTCTCTCACCCTCCACTTTCCCCTTTTTTCTTTAAATGGGTGCGGGGACTGGATTATGTATAATATTATACACGTCTTCAATAAGTACTCATACTATGATTTTAAACTTTGAAATTTCCTATGTTCTTATTCCGTTGTGTAATTTTTTATTTTTATTTCTTTTTTTCAGCTTGAAGATGGGGACATCATTTGCTATCAGAAATCTCCTCAGGCTGGAAGCAGTGAACAATTCCGTTATCCAGATGTTCCTTCATTCCTTGATTATGTTCGTAACCGTCAGGTATATTTTCTTCTTTTTATTTTTAAAGCTCAGAATCTCCCAGAATGTTAATTCAATGTGGGAGTCTCCATATTTTAGTTTACCTGTCTTATGGGTTAATCTTCTATAAGTCTCTGATTCAGAATATAAAAGGCAGCTAATAAGGAAAACTTCGCAGATCACCGATGACAAGCAATTAAAGTTGGGATAACTTAGTATTTCTCTAAATGAATATTTAGTTTGCATGATTAGGGAAACTGTTGCTCATGTTACTGGGAATGAGTGGCAAAGAGATGGGGGATGTTGGGATTCCCTCCTGAAGTGGTGGATGATATTTTAACACAATAAATGGAAGCATGGATTAATGAATCACATGTTGCATGTGTTTTAAAGGGAATGAACCAACATCATGGGATGTACCTAGAAATGTGAAAATGCATTCATTGGCCTTGGGTACAATCTTGTCCCCTCTCTTTTAAACAGCATAAACCCCCTAACCCTTCATTTCTCATCATCCACTAGTTTACACATAAGTGCAAGGGACAGAGTGGGAGCTAGTGAATGGGAAGTAAATCCTCTTGTATACAAGAAAGGGTTCAGAACTTCAGAATAACCACTTTATTGTAATTTTTGTTTTGTAATCCTTTAGTGCTATCTAGAGATGAACTTCTGGTAGTTCCATTAGGTGTATGGTGGAAGATTTTGCTCCTGCAGCTCAAACACCAAATCTCATAAATAATAGTCTCTTGCTTATTTGTTTACTTGTCGCTTCATATCGTCTGCTTATTTTAATCCCACAAATGTGGAAAGGGTTTGATGTGGGGACTAGTAATTATTTTATGGGCTTTTATTAGGCATCAACCTTCCAACAGGGGGTTGTGGGTCATGAGGGCAGGGGTGTGGTGTTGCAATGGTGCTCTCTATTGTTTTATTATTTTTGTATTGTGATTTTTTCAATTCCATGACAATTTACAGGTTGTTCGTTTTCGTTCTTTGGACAAACCGAAGGAAGATGAATTCTGTCTTGAGTTGTAAGTTTGTCATATGATGTATTATATTCTTCTGGAAGGGGTGAATCAGTTCAAATGCTTTATTATTGATATTCTTTTCCTGTATCTTATAGGTCAAAGTTCCACACCTATGATGATGTTGTGGAAAGAGTTGCTCAACATCTTGGCTTGGATGATCCAACTAAAATTAGGCTCACATCTCATAATTGTTATTCACAGCAACCTAAACCCCAACCAATCAAGTTTCGAGGGGTAGAACATTTGTCTGACATGCTGGTACACTACAATCAGGTTGTTTATTACAAGATTCTTAACTCTGTTTGAGAAGTGTTTTCTCCCTCTTAACCATGTTCTGACTGTGGAAAAACATTCATTTTTTCTCTTTTAGACTACGGATGTACTGTATTATGAAGTATTGGATATCCCTCTCCCAGAGCTGCAAGGCCTCAAAACTCTGAAAGTTGCTTTTCATCATGCTACCAAGGATGAAGTGAGTACAGATAACGATCAAACCATAAATTATTTTAGTATGTCAAGAATTTTCTCTTACTTGGAAACATTTTTATGTTGACAGGTTGTGGTTCATACTATTAGATTACCAAAACAGAGTAGTGTAGGAGATGTGATTGATGACCTTAAGACAAAGGTAATTCTTTGCAGATTCCAAATTTATATATCTGTTGTACAGTTTGTATAATATTCTCATGGAAGTATTTCAGAGAACTTTACGTAGATGAATTATGAAAAGACTTATATTTCCCTTCCTCCATCTGAACAGGTGGAGTTGTCTCACCCTGATGCTGAACTCAGATTGCTAGAAGTTTTCTATCACAAGATCTACAAGGTATTGGATAACGTACATGTAAATGCTTTCTATGAAGAGAATTATGCGTTACGTTCCTTAAATGTCCTAAAGAATAAATTTGTGTCATCTGTCAAGAGGAACCCGCCATCCAGAATCTCTACGTTCTCAATATGTTGAAATTCTTATTATTATTTTATTTTCAAATTCCTGGCAAGTCTGTTACAGTTGAGTATTGATATATATAGTTTATTTTATAAGAGAGAATTGTATTAAATTCTCAACAAATTAAACTGAAAAGGCCTAAATATTCAATTCCACCCAATGACAAAACAGAATACATGTAACTTAAAGTGTTCACTGTTCTTGATAATTTATTAATCATTTAATTGTTAAATTGTTAAATTTGTAGCTGAACTATTCCTATTTGTAATATTGCAATTTCAGTAAGAATTCAGTATCAGGGTATGGTTTGTGATAATGTTTGTTGGTTTGCATTGTTTTAGAAGCTCAAACCATTAGGACGTGGACCAAAAATTAGTTATATCCTGACATTTCTGCCCCTATGTTGGCCTCATAAAACTACTAGAGCCCAAAACATGGAATTCAACTTAATATTACAACGTTGCAATTGCAGGGATATGAATTTGGGATCTCCTACCCTGATATTATGTTAAAGTTAGTCAGTTTCACATCTTTCCCCAAAATCTTCTGTTATGACGCAAGTCACAATTATTTTATATTCTAAGCGATTTATTATTAAGAATTTTGAAATCTTATTTTGATAATCCCTATGGTAAAGGCTTGGTGAGAGGTTGAAGTATCAGAATGAATGTTCATATAAGTGCTCAAATAGTTTTGACCCTTGTAAGGGGCTACATGTCATTGTTTGATTACAGGCTTGTTATAAGGTTTTAATTTTGGTCTGAAAGGCTTGTTATAATGTTTAATCATATGTCGTTCATGTTTTCTAGAATGTCAAGTGCTTAAGGCATCATCATGTGTTTTACTACTAAGGAGCTGCCTTTTTGTTTTTTAATATTCTTGTGTTAGAGATAGAGTTTGAGAAAGAAAAAAAATGTGGTGTCTCCTTTGGGGAACCATAATATTTGCATGTGGTATGATGCTTTCCTTTTGTTTTATTCTTTCTGTTTTCTTCAGAAGGAAATTAGTAGACTTCCTGTTTGTGTAATACGGAAAACATGAAATTGTGTTATCTCTACCTGTGTTAGGCAGAAACAGGACTTGCTCATTGCTTCTTGCATATTGTGATCGGGGGCCTTGCTGCGGCTGCAGGCCTCTATTTTTGTTTCTTCTATCTGCAACCTTTTAGAATTTTCATTCATTTCTTTCATTCATTAATTGTTTCCATGCAGATTTTTCCACCAAATGAAAAGATTGAGAACATAAATGATCAGTACTGGACATTACGTGCAGAAGAGGTTAGTCTGCACAGCATTGGGGTCATAGTTAATCTATGTTTAGTCTCTTATTTTTAAGAAAAAAGGAAATCTGTCTTTTACATCTTTTCTGCAAAATCTTTATTGTCTGTTGCTCAGATCCCTGAAGAAGAGAAAAACTTTGGGCCACATGATCGCCTGATCCATGTTTATCATTTTATGAAGGACACAGCTCAGAACCAGGTAGGATATTTCTTGTTTTTCTTTTTCTTTCATCTTTCTTTCACTTCTGTCACTTTCTCACATCTTTTTTGCTACAACACTAACACGTGCACAGATACGTAAATACATGCATATATAGTCAACAAGTTCTTTTAGTATTTATTGTTATTATTATTTATTAACATCCTTTTGAAAAAAAAAATTTATCATCATCTTGGTAATCATCTTAATTTTTATTTGTGAATTTGCAGGTTCAGAATTTTGGAGAACCATTTTTCTTGGTCATTCGTGAGGATGAGACATTAGCGGAAGTGAAAGTGCGTGTACAGAAAAAGTTACAAGTCCCAGATGAGGAGTATTCAAAGGTATTCTCTTTATTGAAGAGGACATTATACCGAGGCTGATGCAGTTTCAGACCAGTGGCCATTCGTGAAATACCATAAGATTTGTTTACGTTGAAGTGTAATATATCCTTTTCTTTTTGTTTGGCTCAGTGGAAATTTGCATTTTTGTCCATGGGTCGTCCTGAGTACCTCCAGGACGATGACATTGTGGCCAGCCGATTTCAGGTCTCTCTCTCTCTCTCTCTCTCTCTCTCTCTCTCTCATTTATATGGAATGCTTAGTTCTATTCTGAAATTTCATTTTCAGAGAAGGGATGTGTATGGAGCATGGGAACAGTACCTTGGTTTGGAACACACTGATCATGCTCCTAAAAGGTCACATACAACAAATCAGGTATTTCTTGCGAACTTCCTTCGCTATATTAGCTTACCAAATTATACTGTTGAGAATCCAGGAGGTAAGCTATTAGGAAAATGGGGTAAATCCAAGATTGCTTGAATTTTGGATTTCTTATTCATTATACCAGTAGACAAGTCCAAGATATTAGGCAAAGTAGGCCAATGATGATGATGATTTATAGACAAGTCCGAGTCAAAAGCTTTAGATGGTTATTCATTACACCATTAGTTTTATTATGATTTGAACCCATGGATAGATTTTTTTTGTTGAGTTGAGGGAGGAGGAGCAAGTTAAAGAGTGGTGGGAATGGTGGGTTTGGGTTGCTTAGGTTTAATGAATTTGCATTATGCTTGAATGTCAGAAATCTATAAGTGGTCTTATTATTGTCAGTGATAATCTTATGGTTGCTTCCTTCATTCTATTGCTAAATAATGAGCTAATTCTTTGACAGTAGACGTCCTTCAATGTGGTACTTTATCTGTTGAAGTTTAAGACCTTTCATCATGTTTAATATTTTCAAAGTTTTTGTAGGAGTTAAATTGAGTTATTGTCGGGAAGACTAAGTTCCTCTCATTTCCATGTTTAAGACATGACCATTGTGTGAGGTGTATTCCCTACATGTAATGTAGAATTACCAACCTCTATTTTTCACACTGTTGTTACGGCTGTGGTGACCACTACAACCACTGTGGCACCTGATCGCTGCCACCTTCACAATGCCCAATTGGTCTGATACACAGCCTCTGCCAATCATGTATCCGCTTGGTTTTTTGCTAACTAGCCAAATAGAAAACTTACAGTGACAGTAGTGGCAATTTTAAAGTCGCAAATTGCTATTGTGCAATAGAAATTTATTATAAGTATTTGTCAATCCTCTGCTTACTCTGTTTGAACCATGCAGAATCGTCACACATTTGAGAAGCCAGTGAAAATCTACAACTAAAACTACTGCAATGACTTTGTCAGCTCATTTCACAGATTCAACCTCCTATACATATGCAGAATCTTGTGAAGAGCCCGAGATGCACAAAGGAAGCTTTGTTACAGTTTGCCATAGTTATTGACCTTACTGGGCATAAAATTCTTTAGTAGAGTGACAGGGCAATTTTTAGCCTGAACTTTTGTATCCTCGATGGTTCGGACACTTCTCCCTTTCAGGCACCTGTCGTTGAGGTGTGAGGTAGGAGGCATCTCATTTTGAATCCATGTAATTCCGTATATAAGATTTTGGGGTGAGCAATGTATAGAGGGTATAGGTGCAGGTTTAAATGCAGTTTCTTGTCCAGTTATATTGTGTTGATCTTTTTGAATCCTTGATGGAAAAAGCTCTGTATAATATTGGATCGTTGGCTTCCCTGGTGTTTTATTTATTTCTGTATGTTTGGAGTGCAATGGTAGGCTGCTGTTGCTGTGACCTGTGGAGGTTGAAATGACTTTATTATTTTGCCAATATGAAACTAGTTAGCTGCCGTTACATTTGGCACAACCAGTCTTACCAGTTTGTACTCATCCTTCGTGAGTTTTCGAGTGTTTTTGTGTCCGATTCGTATGGGTTTCTCTATTGGGTTTGTGGGCTTTGTTTGAGCTTATAGTTAATTGTGGTGATGTTGACTACTAGTTTTATTTTTAACATGTTAGTTTGTTGCCCTCTTGGAATTGTTATTTTAGATGTCATGTTGATGTCTTTGATTAGTTTACCTTTGATTTTTTTTTTAAATGGTCGGAGTGAATTCAATTGGGAAAATTCTATATGCACCCATGAATCTAACTAGTGCACCAAATTTGGTACAACAGCCTTGTCTACACATTAAAAATACAATTGCCTAATCATTTGTTACACCAGACACAAGCTTTCGAGTATCTCACAAAAAACCTTGAAAATAATTCTAAATTTTTTTATGAATTTAAATACTGAAAAATGATTTTCTCAAGGGAAAATGAACTCAATACCAGGAAATTATAATTTGTTTTGCCTTTGATTTTGATAAGAGGAATTGAGCAAGTTTCAAACGAACAATTATTTCTTATACAAGTGGTATCGAGGGGAGTGGGGAGTTCAAAAACCAAACATCTTAAACATAATTCCCTTTTTTCCCAAAAAGAAATTAAAAGAAGAGGACCACACGAAAGTAGAGGAGGTAGGCACTTGGACTAAGACCCAGTTTGGGATTGCCGTCACTTTTTAAAAAAGTTGTTTTTGCCGTACTTTGAAAATAATTAGCTGTAAAGTAAAGCAGCTCCATGTTTAGTAAACAATATTTTTAAAGTGTTGTTAGTACAAAAAGCAGTGTTAAAATCGTTTGGTAAATTTTAATATAAAATTGTTGTAACTGTGAATAATGACTAAAATAGACATGATGTTAAAAGTGTTATGTACTAATCATGTGGTGGTAGTGGTAGTGATGGAGTGGAGGTAGTGGTGGTGATGAAGATGGAGTTGGTGGTTGTGGTAGTGGTGGTGGTGGTGGGGATGGCAATTGTGGAGGTGGTGGTGGTGGTGGTAGTGGCAGCATAGTGGTGGTTGTGGTGTTGGTTGTGAAGGTGGTAGTGGATGTGTAGGTTTTGGAGGAGGTGGTTGTGGTGGTAGTAGTGGTGGTGGTGGTGGAGGTGGAGGAGGTGGTGGTGGAGATGGAGGTGGAGGTGGAGGAGGTGGTGGAGGAGGTGGTGGTTGTGGTGGTGGTGGCGGAGGATGAGGAGGAGAAGGATGTGGTGGTGATGGTGGTGGAGGTAGTGAATGTGGTGGTGCAAGTGGTGGAGTTGGATGTGGAAGTGAAGGTGGTGCAAGTGGTGAAGTTGGATGTGGAAGGTGATGGTATTTTGGGAATTAAAAAAATTCATTAAAAGTTCATCTCTGCTTTTTTTGAAAGCAGCTTTGAAAAGCAACCCAGAGCCTGCTGTCACCCACCATGCTGCCACCTCCACCACCATGCTGTCACTACCACCACCTCCACAAGCGCCATCCCTACCACCACCACCTTCACTCCATCACTACCACTACTACCACATGATTAGTACATAACACTTTTAACATCATGTCTATTTTAGTCATTATTCACAGTTACAACAATTTTATATTAAAACTTACCAAACGGTTTTGACACTGCTTTTTGTACTAACAGCACTTTAAAAATATTGTTTACCAAACACGGAGCTGCTTTACTTTACAGCTAATTATTTTCAAAGCACAGCAGAAGCAACTTTTTTTAAAAGTGACAGCAATCCCAAACTGGGCCTAAAAGCTGCTGTCAAAAGGCCACTGCTTTTAAAATAATCAGGATATTTTATTTTTACCAAACACCTTAAACTGCTTAACTTTAAAGTGAAGCAGGTTTTTGGCCAAAAATAGCAATCCCAAACGGGGCCTAAAACCTTTGGTGGCTTGTCTGGTAGCCATTCAAATTTGATGCATGGCAGAAAAACTGGTGGCCTGGAGAGCAGTCTTTTCATTCGTTGATTTTGGTTGTGGTGGTCGTTTAAAAAGCGTTTAGCCACCCATCTCCACTAGAACCAACAACAAACACTAGATTCAACAAGAGAGCTACAAAATTTTGTAAGCCAAAACCACCCAAGAACTAATTACTTTTTTACTCTTCTAGTCCTGGATTAAAATCAGACTTAGAATTTTATTAGACCCTTTTCATAATGTTGTTGACATTAATTTTCCCACCACCTCCTTCGATTTTCATGGCAGCAATGTCAGTGATTAGCTTCACATCATTAGCCAATGCTGGGTTCTCAGAGCTGAGAGGAAAGCACATGCAATATTCCAAGTTCTGGAATTTCAATTCTTCTCAAAAATCAGCAGATAAAAAGCAGAAAATTCCACAACTATCTGGTAGAACAGGCATGCTGATTTTGTATGCTCCCGCGTTTCTAGCCGCTCTCTCATGCTTGCTGTGTTTTCCCCATCACAGTACCAGGCATCTGTTGCTCTCCTCAGCTTTAACCCTTCATTTTCTTAAAAGGCTTCTTGAGGTACTAATTTAATTTAATTTAATTCCCTCCCCTCATTACAATTTCTTGAGTATTTGTTTAATATTCTTAAAGTCATTTTAAATACATGCATGTATGCATGGGATGGGAAGTTCTAATTTTATAATCTTCTTTATAATTTGTCTGGAATTATAAATTGGGGTTGGGGTGCATCAAACCAAATGCCTATACTTTTCTTAGGGTGTTCATATTTGAACCCCAATTTCTTCACTTCTTCTTCCCCCTATTTATTTATTTATTTATTTATTAATGTATATGGTACAACCCAACTTTCTTTTTTTGATCAAATTAAGTTCCATTAGCAATCACAATAAACATTTCAAATATTAAATTAATCAAATTATAATTCTTCACAATATGGTTTCTACCTTGTTTTCTAGGTTCAGTTTGTGCACAGCTACAGTGGAGGTATGAGTATTGACACTGCAATCCCTATCTCTCTCAGTTACTTCCTGTCAACAGCAACCATGATTTATGGTCAAAACCTAACCCAAGGGCTTCCAGAGCCCCCAATTGATTTGAAGGAGACTGGGATTCTCTTGTTTCTGATAGGAATTTCTGGCAACTTCTATCATCACTACATTCTTTCAAAAATGAGGTTAAAGGGTGACAAGGAGTATAAGATTCCAAAGGGTGGTTTGTTTGAACTTGTGATATGCCCCCACTATTTCTTTGAGATCATGGGATTTGTTGGGGTTTCTTGCATTTCTCAGACTCTCTATGCATTCTCCTTCGCCATGGGAACTGCACTCTACTTGACGGGAAGGAGCTGCGCCACCAGGAAATGGTATCTTTCCAAGTTTAAAGAGTTTCCCCAAACTGTCAAGGCTCTCATTCCATATGTTTTGTAGATGTCTTGGATTTTAAGTGTGTTGTTAGAAGAAATTTTAGAGTTCATGTCATTGCTAAAGTATGAATAATGTTTGAAACTTTAGGTTAATTGTATGGAGGTATATATAGGAGTTTACAAGGGTACTTTACAAGGAAATGATACAATAATTATTTAGGAAAATATCTCCTAATTATACAAGGATGTGTCAACTATATGAAACAAAGAAATAAATCACTTAATTAACTTAGGAAATAAATCTCCTTGATTTAGGTTAACTCACATCAACACTCCTCCTCGTTGGAGCATACATGTCACCAAGGCCCAACTTTAGTAAGTGAGTCATAAAACACTCGTCAACAGACAACTTTTGTCAAGACATCTGCTAACTAATCTTCTAGTTTTACAAATGGTAGGCAGATGATCTTGTTCTCAATTTTTTCTTTGATGAAATGTCTATCCACCTCAACACGTTTTGTTCGATCATGTTGAACTGGATTATGAGCAATATCATTCGCTAACTTGTTATTACAATGTAGTTAGTTTAAAACCCAATTCTGTCAAGAGTCCTTTGATCCTCAATAATTCACAAACTCCTTGAGCCATACCTCGATACTCTGCTTTTGCACTAGACCGAGCAACCACATTTTATTTTTTACTCCGCCAAGTGACTAGGTTACCTCCAACAAATGTAAAGTAACCCGATGTAGAGCGTCTATCTGTAATGGAACTAGCCCAATCAACATCTATATATATCCCACAACTTCAAGATTTCCATTCTTTGAGAACATTAATCCCTTTCTAGAGGCTGACTTTAAGTATCTTAAGAATCGATCAACCGCATTCCTATGAGAAATACTATGTGAATTCATAAACTGACTAACCACACTCACAACATATGCAATATTTGGTCTTGTGTGTGCCAAATATATCAACCTTCTAACAAGACGCTTGTATTGTTCCTTATTAGTTGGCAAACGGTATATGTCTTCACACAACTTGTGATTCATCTCAATGGGTATGCCAACACGCTTACATCCTAGCATTCCTATTTTAGTGAATAGATCCATCACATACTTCCTTTGATATAGAAAAATACCAGCTTTTGATCTTACTACTTCAATTCCAAGGAAGTATTTCAGAGCACCTAAATCCTTCATTTCAAATTTCTGAGACAAATACTTTTGTAGCTTCTCTTGCTCTCCCGAGTCATTCCCAATTACGACCATGTCATCCACATAAATAATTAATGCAATGATTTTCCCTCCATCAAGCTTCAAGAACAGGGTGTGGCCTGAATTACTTTGAGTGTATCCAAAATTCTTCATGGACTTAGTAAATCTTCCAAACCATGCCCTAGGAGATTGTTTTAACCCATATAATGACTTTCTGAGTTTGCAAACTTGATTCTTCTTGTCATGAGCTAAATTACATCTTGATGGTAAATCCATGCATACCTCTTCTTCCAAGTTTCCATGTAAGAAGACATTTTTAACATCGAACTGATTTAGTGGCCGATCTAGATTTGCTGCTACAAATAGTAGGACTCTAATAGTGTTGATCTTGGTTATTAGGGCAAAGATCTCCTCGTAATCCACCCTATACCTTTGTGTATACCCCTCGCCACCAATCTAGCTTTATATCTTTCAATGGATCCATCTACTTTGAGTTTCATAGTATAGATCCACCTACATCCCATCATCTTCTTTCCATGAGATAAATGCACGAGCTCCTATGTGGCATTCTTCTAGAGAGTTCGCATTTCTTCATTCATGGCTTCTTTCCATTTTGAGTCTTCTATTACTTCATTCACACTATTTGGGATTGATATATTGGACAATTGCTTCACTAAGTGTACATGTGACTATGATAATATGCTTATAGATATATAATTATTAATGGGGTGTTTTCCTTTGGCTTTAAGATCTGCTTTGTACTATACTCGAGGTATACCACAATTCTTCCTTTCTAGAAGTTGGTATATAGGGGTATCAGTTTCTTTTATGCTTTCTGAAATTAAATCATCATGATATATTTCATTAGTGTTATCATTTTCAAGGGGAGATGTTACTTGAATGACATCCTCAGCAGGCAATTGGTGTGGTACTATAGCTGAAGATGGGTTTGGAGCGTGCAAAATCTCATAAAACATGTCAACTTCCCCCTCTTGATTTTGGCAGCGTGGAGGCTACCGGTCATTTGGCACTAGCGACAGGTCATTTTAAAGCAGAGGCGTAGGATGTGCAAATCCAAGTGACGGCGACTGGTCTCGTAAGGAGGGCGACTAGTCATTTTGAGTCAAATTCTCATCCTGTGTACAAAAAAGGGAAGGCGATTGGTCGTGTGAGAGAAGCGACTGATCGCTTAGACTCTGAGACGCGTCCACTGTGAAAAAATCCAGAAATTATGGGGTGTTTGGTTTGAGATTCTCCTCTTGTGCTTCTGAAAAGTATATGTCGTGTTCCTAGAACACTACATCCATGGAGTTATATACTTTCTAACTTGGAGGGTGATAACATCAGCAAACTTTCAAATAAGGGGCATAGCCAATGAAAACACACTTTTTTGCACGATGATCCAATTTGTTTCGTTGGTGATCATGTAAGTGTACGAATACAACACAACCGAAAATCTGTGGTTCAAGGTTTGGGGTAGGAGGTATATGGAGATAGTGGTGAATTGTTTGAAGAGGAGTTTGGAGATTCAAGATACTTGAGGGAATCCTATTAATAAGGTAAGCTGCAGAGAGTACGACCTCACCCCAAAAAGATCGAGGCATGTTGACACCAAATAGAGAGGTACAAACGACTTCCAGTAAATGCCGATTCTTTCTCTCAACCACCCCATTTTGTTGAGAAGTATATGGACACGAGCGTTGATGTATGCCATAATCTTGTAAAAATTTGTTGAGATCATGATTAAGAAATTCTCCGCCATTGTTGGGCATGAAACTGAGTCGCCACCATTTTATGGAACTGTTGAAATGTTAAACTGACTTCCCCTTTGGTTTTGAGAAAGGAAACCCAGGTTATTCGGGTGCAATCATCAATGAAAGTGACAAACCATCGAGTTCAGCTGAAAGTTGTGCAGGCCCTTAAACATCAGAATGAATAAGGAAGAGGGGAAGCAAACTTTTATTTTTACTTAATGGGAACAAAACACAATGGCTCTTAACCAATTCACACATATCACACGGGAAGCTAGAAACATCAAAATTGAAAAACAATGGAAACAACTTCTTCAAATAACCGAACGAGGCATGCCCAAGATGTTTATGCCATAACCAAACTTTGTCTCTCTACCTCTCAGAACTAGCTACACTTGTTGTAAAAGCTTGACCAACCTTGGTCTCACTATCCGGTGCCTAGTCCAAGTAGTGGAGTTTGTCCCGCCTACTACCACAACAAATCATCTTCCAAGTGAGGATGTCCTGAAAAACACAATAATTCTACCAAAATGTTACAGTACACCCTAAAGTAGTAGTAAGTTGTGCAACAAACAACAAGTTATGGTCCAAGGATGGAACAACCAATACAAAATCAAGATTGATGAAGTTAGAGAGAGATAAAGAGCCCAACCCAACCACAGGGGAAGGGGTACCATTAGCATTAGACACCACCGACTGCATGGATGGTTTATGAGTAATAAGTTGGCCGTGATCAATAGTCATGTGATTCGTAGCACCCGAGTCAATAATCCATATGTGCTTTGGAGATGACGTATGGAAAGCAGAACCTTTGGTGGTGGCTATAGAAGCATGAGCCCGTGTATCCTGTTCAGTAGGATTGACCGCATGCTTCTGTGAGTCTGCAAGGAGGGAGAGAATCGTAGGTGGGTTTGACATTGCAGTGGAAGGAAGATTTGATATGAGTGTATGTTTGTGGTTAAGGAGTTGATTTGAGAATTTGAGGAATTTGATTTGAGGAATTTTAATTTGAGAAATTTGATTTAGGAATTTGATTTGAGGGGTATGTGTTTAAGGAGTTTGATAAGAGGATTTGAGGGAAGGAATTTGATTTAGGGTTTAGGTTTGAATTTGAGGATATGATTTGAGAGCTTAGAGACCACCTAGGATCGGCCGCTCTGATACCATACTAAAATATGAATATGGTTTGAATACTTTAGGTTAATTGTGTTCTTCTCCATAAGAAGGTATATATAGGATTTTACAATGGTGCTCTATAAGGAAATAGATTCAGTAATTAATTAGGAGAATATCTCCTAATTATACAAGGATGTATCAACTATATGAAACAAGGCAGTAAATCACCTAATTAACTTAAAAAATAAATCTCCTCGATTTAGTAGGTTAACTCACGTCAATAGTTATTAGAGGTGTTCATATATGTTGTAACTTGTATCTAAGTTATTTCATATTTACACTTACATCTCATCTTTTTATGCAAATATAGATTGTCTGCAGTATTTGGCAATTACTAATTTGTAAGAATTACTTCAATTGACTTAAAGGCTCAGTTAAAGGTCTAGGACACTTCATTCCTTTCCTCCCTCGGTTACCCTTTACATTAAAGGTGTATTGTAATGAAAGGAAAAAGTTAACTGAGCCTTGCACCTGAGTTCAATCCCTTTAACTGTACATAGCTTAGAATATCATCTTGTTCGTGATGGACTTACAGTTGAAGTGGTTAAGAGCAGTTACCCCTGTACATATAGTTCTGTGTTCAAAACTCTCCTTCACCACTATCATTTATACGAAATACAAAAAAACGTCACCTTGTAAAAAAATAAAAATAAAAATAAAAGTTAATTGGCTACTTAATTATCGTTTTAAGTTGAAAAAAATAAGATGAAAGGATAACATTTTGTAATTTTTTTTTCTTTCATTATATAAATTTCAGAATAGTTAGAAAGACTCATGTCATGTGGATGACAGTGGACCTCAAAAACGATAAAATAATCTCCAACAAGTGTTAATTACATTTTGCATCCTGAAGTATGCACCAAATTTCATAATACACCGGTATATAAAATGTTACAATGCTATCTTAAAGTTTGTAATTAATTTCAAATATGGCCGGACTGTAAACTCATTCGTTCATTTTACGGGTTTTGATGAAGCGTTGCACGAGGGCACAATTTGTAGTTGTATAGCAAATAAGGCAAAACGACACTTGTAGTCCCTGTGGTTTCCAACTTTTACCACTAAAGTCCCTGTGGTTTCAATTTCGTCACTTTTGCCATTGTGGTTTAAGATTCCAAGCAATTTAAGGACACTTCTCAATTTCCGTCAGATTCCTTGTAGTTCTATTAGGGCCTGAGCACGTGCCCTTCACATGGAGGGGCATTATGGTCAAATCGAGCCATGTTATAAACCTAAAATACTGGCTTAGCCTTACCCATTCGAATTGGGCGATTTCAAAATAGTTAAAAAGACTCATGTCATGTGGATGATAGTGGACCTCAAAAACGATAAAATAATCTCCAACAAGTGTTAATTACATTTTGCATCCTGAAGTATGCACCAACTTTCATAATACACCCTAGTATATAAAATGTTACAATGCTATCTAAACTCATTCGTTCATTTTACGGATTTTGATGAAGTGTTGCACGAGACCACAGTTTGTAGCTGTATGGCAAATAAATAATAATGAAAACAAAACATTGGAAAAGAAAAGAATAGTTTTGTTTCTTTCTATATTTTCATTCGAGGGAATATATACATGCAGTGCATTGCCGCTTCTGTCTGTTGCACGTCACACCCTCTTAAGTTGTTCAACGCATCTTCTAACGCATGTGTTTGAAAATACAATTAGAACACATTAGTCAGAAGAAATGAAGCATAATCAGTCATGCTATTCAAAAACATCAAAAAATTAATTAATGTCAGTTCCTTGTCTCTGCTGTTTCTTACTACTAACCCTTGTGCGCCTTGCTAGGTGTGGAAAATTCCACTCTGCTCAATACATTGCATAGGATTCATCTCCAACCTGCATTCAACTGAAAGAAACGTCCTCAGTCGGAGAAATGTTTGATATGGATGATATCTTAAAAAAAACTTGTTCAGTCAATTTTAAGAGCAATTGGGTTTAAAGATCCCCCTGACCTGTGTAACGTAAACTGTCAAGCTAAAATGCACTACAAAGCCTAAATTGTACGCTTAACAGAAGCAAGAGCTGAACATGATCAAAGCAATTCTGGTGTATGATGTTCCAGAATCTATTTGAGGACTCATAATCCCACCAGCTCAAAAAGCTTCAAAACTATCACGAGTGTCTGCCGACTGGTTTGAAAGTAGGAGATGCCTTTTGCATTTTCTGGCATTCCTACTTTGTATATTTGTTCCCTTACATCAGCACTGATTCCAGTGACCTCCATGGTAACCACCTCTTTTTCCCCACTCCCCATTACCCTGCAGCCAAAAAAGAAACAATGATAAATTATTTCAAATTTATTGATTTCCTTAAGCTACTTTTTCCATCGTGACAAACATAAAAATCCACCAAATTACCTTTAGAAACTGATTGAAACGATAACAGAGAAATATCCTATTCTAACAAAGATTTCCACAGGCATTATAACCTATTAGTCATTACCTAGTTCTTTTCTCATTTTTGGAGCCCATAAGTTCAGCACGTGCCAAATGCAAGTTCGGAACAGCCATCAGATAAATCAGCAATCTTGCCATTAGCCAATCCCAATTTTCATTCAAAATAAGCAAGCAGGAACTTCCAGATCTTGATAAAGGCAAGCCGCCGTTAAGCTACCACTAAGTTAAGAATTGTGGCTTTAAACATTAATTTCAACAAAGTGCCATCAACCCTGGCATGTATTTAATTCTCGATAATACAGTGTACCAAGTTATTTACATCCAATATACTTTTGCCCTTCAACCATACAGTCTCTTGACTTAAACAAATAAGCAACGAGTTCCATGTAAAATAATCTGGAATGATACCCTTCTCTACCATTTGCAAAACAAGTCTCAAAGCTTTCTGAAAATCCCCCATATGACAAAGAGCGGCCACCAAAGGACTATAACTTCTAGCATCGGGTGAACAACCTCTCCCAACCATGTCTTCCAGGAGCTTCAGTGCACTACCAACTTTTCCTTGCTCGCAAAACCCACTTATCAGAGAATTAAATGTCAATGCAAGAGGAAAGTAACCATGAGCAATCATCTCATTCAATAGCTCAAAGGCTTCACGAATACACCCTTCTTGGCAATATCTATGGATTAGAAAGTCATAAATAAAAACACTTGGAACTCCCCTTTCCATAATCATCTGATTATAAACCCTCTTGGCATTCTCTGTGGCGCCCTTCTCACAGAAACCTAAAATTCTCAAGCTTCTATCAACAGCTCTAGGAAATAGTTTCCCCATATTGGTTAGAAACTCAAGTGCTTTGTCCAAACGATGTTCCTTATACAGGCCATATAACACACTATTATAAGGAGAAATTTGGCCAAGGGAACCACCTTTTCTTTCATTCATTAATTCCAAAATTTCAAACCCTTCTTTCGTCCTTCCTCCTGAACACAAATATCTAATTAATGTATCATACGTAACAAAATTCCAGTTGATGCCATCTGTTTTCATATCATTAAACAGATCAAGCGCCATATCCAACATCCCAGACTCACAAAAACCAGAAATCAATACATTGTAAGTATCAACATTTGGAAGGCATCCCTTTCTCTCCATCTCCTTCACAATGCGAAGACCGAGTTTCGCTTTCCCTAATCTACAGAAACCCTTAATTAAGGTGTTATAAGCTACAACATCCACCAATCCTCCCTTGCTCTCCACTCTCTCTATAACCTTGACAGCCTCCATTACACGGCCATCACTGCAAAGAATTTCCAACACCTTAGTTACAGTGACAACATCAGGCACAAACCCCAAACCAAAGCACTTCTCTAGCAAAACAAGAGCTTGCACTAAATTCTCTTCTCCACAATAACCAGATATCAAAACATTAAAAGTCACATCATTGGGCGCTTCCATCTCATTCATCAAGCTTCTCGCTCTCCCAACTTTCTTGTTCTTGCAAAGTGCATGAAGCAACGTGTTATAGACCACAGTATTTGGGGTAATTCCCCGAGACTTCATTGCTTGCAAAAGCTTAAAACCATCACCAATTCGATTCGTCAAGCAAAGTCCTTTCATCAAGATACCGAAAGTATAGTCATCGCCTTGAACGCCACTTTCCATCATCTTCTTCCTATAAAACTCCCTAGCTATATCTATATCTTCCTTCACAAGAACATCAAGTATGGAATTGAATACCTTCAAAGAAGGCATTTTTTCATACTTGTAAATCAAGTCAAGCACGTTGATCACTTGTTTTACCATGTGGGCACGGCCGAGGCCTCGAATGATGATGACAAAGATGTCTTCATCTGGAGGTTGCCCAATTGAGGTTGGCATTTCGTCGAGCAATTGGTGAACAGTGTCAAAGCGGTGGAATGTGCATAGCTTATGGATGAGAGCACGGTAAGTGGAGGGAGAGTGGGTGAAGTTGGGGAGTTTGGATGCCCATTTGAAGGTTTGGAGGGCTTGGGATGCTGATTTTTGGTCTAAAAGAAGATGGGCTATGTGCTTATGGGATGGAGTTGCAATGGATGATGATGATGCCGACGACGACGACGATGAAGAAGATGATGATGCCGCCAACGACGACAATGAAGAAGATGACGATGACATGGTTCTAAGAAAACGTCTGAAACACAAAATTTGAAGCTTCAAAGGATTATAAATTGCTGGCATTGGACATCCACTTGTGTTGCTTTTGAAGGAGTTTGTTACCCTTGCTCTGTTTTCTGCACATCAAACAATACACAATAGCCTAAACTCAATTAAAACAACTCTGGGTTGAAATGTGACAATTAACAGAAGATTAGGAGAATCCTAAATTATCAAGAAGAAGAAAATTACAAAGGTTGGGGGTGGGCCAGAAGTGCTACTGAAAATAACTGTTAAATTACAAAACAACAATGCAGAGTATCCTAACTACAATTAACACACAGCTGCCCTCCCATCTAAATAAATATCAGGAAAAAAAAGATCCTTGAATTCTGCCCCAAATTTGACATTTCCCGGAGCTCGTCCACTCCTAGTGCCGTGTAATCTTCGAGGCATATGTTCCCTTTAGCAGAATTATGAGTTAAGAATCCAAAATGAAAATTGGTTATTACATATCTAGTTTTCAGAAATACAATAAAAGTACTAAATAAAACAGCAAAATTAAGAGGTTATCAAGAAAAAGCCAGAGTTAAACCTGCCATGCAATCCTATAAATACTCAGTGTCAGTATAAGAGTTTTGCCCCTAAACGAGCAGATGCTATTAGTTTGTAGATAAATGAAAGGTATGTTATTCTGATTCATTGAGATACAATAGCTCGCAATATAAAAATATTCCGATTCATTGAAAGATAAAATAGCTCATAATATATAAATAGTTAGAAGTTAGATCAGATGAAGATAGATAAGAAAGGTTGGTAGATTGGAAAGGAAAAAATAAAGACAATAAGATGCTAGGTAAAAATATGATCAACTCTCCTTTCAATTTTATTATGGAAAAGCATATGTTCAATTACTTCTAAAAATCCAGAACAAATAAATAGAGGCAAAACAAAGACTGCTCACACACATAAAAATTCCTTAAAACCATATGTTCGCAAACCACTTCGTGCTGTTTGTTTAAAACATCCTACTGCTTATTTGTTGAACTTAATGGGAAGGCTTACTGGTACTGCACAGAGGCGTAAGGAGAAAAGTTAGCAAAATTTCAAATTGGCTCAAATGATAACCAGAATCCTTCCTCTAATTTTCATCACATCACTCTTCCTTTTTTCAAAAAATTTGTTACAGTCCACACTATAATACTTCCATCGCAACGAAGGAAGTTCCTGATTGGTGGTTTGCAGATGCAGGATTGTGATGACATAACCAGCTTGTCTGGATTATGCAGTCCAAGCTGCCCCAAATTAACACACTACAAAGAAACAATACAGAGTATCCTAACTGCAATTAACACACGGCTGCCCTCCCATCTAAATAAATATCAGAAAAGGAAAGATCCTTGAATTCTGCCATAACTGAAGTACAAAGAGCTGCCCCAATTTCATATACGTATGTGTATTTACATCTCTACAACGTAATGGAGGACTCATTGTACACATTCCACTGCGCAATTGATCACTAAACATGAACAATAGAGGAAAGATCAACACTAGAGGAAAGATCCAAACTTATATAAGAAGCACGTCATTCAAGTCCAGCAGACCGATGGCTTGAAAGCTATAGTAGTGCTATCTGGATAACCTATTAGAATAAGATTCAAGGTGTTCATGACAACAGTAAGCATATTTTTCTGCTTTACAAAGGTCCCCAATAACGAAAAATAGTACAAATCCACAAATTTAAAAATAATAATAAAAACCCTTTGGAGAACTTAAACTCCACTTTCCACTCTTTCCTGCCTTTTTGTTCAGCAACCAAACAGAGCATATAACACAATCTTCAACGAAACCAAATTCATGAAGGTGCTATACTTTGCAACTAAATGTCACTAATTCTACAACTTGGACAATATTTCCATTGGAAAGAGAATGTAGCACGTAAAACAAAACACTCCACAACAACAAATATGACCTGTTCGACAAAATTCCTAACAGACATTGAGAAAGAAGCGAGAAATGATTAGAGCTGTACCTACAGAGGCTGAGGCGGCAACAGAGAATCGGCGGGAGAGGTAGAGAAAGAAAATCTAGAAAAGCAAATATGAGAAGGATTGAGGATTGTGAGCCCTTGGTTACGAGCCAAGGACGGTTTCTTTCTGTTACTGCCGTTATGAAGTCTCAAATCTTTACCGATAAATTTCACTATGTTATTTCTTTTCTTTTTCCAATAATCCTAGGAGCATGTCCAGTCCATCGTGTTCAGGGAAGGGGTACCGTACATCCATGGGGTATCTCCAAACCTTCCCTATAAATTTCTGAAATTTGTCTCCCCACCCCGCACCCCACCCCCCAACCCCCGATAAAAAATAAATTTATAAATTTTGGTAAGAGCATTTCCACTCATTTATCATGATAAAGGATAAGGGAAGGCAAGAGCTATTACCATTTACATAAATAGTGTCAACTCTTGTGTTTCCACTCATTATCATGACAAAGGGCAAATATTCAATTTAATTTTTTTTTACTTAAACGATTAATTTGGATAAGATTTTTAGTTGTCACGCGTCAATATTTATAATAAAATTCACATCTCATATTTTGGACCCATTTGTCATAGCAAAGGGTTAAGGGAGGCAAGGGATGTTACTATTTACATGAATAGTGTCAACTCTTGTGTTTCCACTCATTGCCATGGCAAAGGGCAAATATTCACTTTAATTTTTTTTTACTTAAACGATTAATTTGGATAAGATTTTCAGTTGTCACGTGTCAATATTTATAATAAAATTTGCATCTCATATTTCGGACCTATTTGTTATGGCAAAGAGTAAGGAGAGGCAATGGATGTTACTATTTACGTGAATAGTGTCAACTCTTGTGTTTCCACTCATTGCCATGGCAAAGGGCAAATATTTACTTTAATTTTTTTTTACTTAAACGATTAATTTGGATAAAATTTTCAGTTGTCACGTGTCAATATTTATAATAAAATTCACACCTCATATTTCGGACCCATTTGTCATGGCAAATAGTAAGGGGAGGCAAGGGCTGTTACTATTTACTTAAATAGTGTCAACTCTTGTGTTTCCACTCATTGCCATGGCAAAGGGCAAATATTCAATTTATTTATTTTTTTACTTAAACGATTAATTTTGATAAGATTTTCAGTTGTCACGTGTCAATATTTATAATAAAATTCACATCTCATATTCCGGACCCATTTGTAATGGCAAAGGATAAGGGGAGGCAAGGGCTGTTACTATTTAGGTGAATAGTGTCAACTCTTGTGTTTCCACTCATTGCCATGGCAAAGGGCAAATATTCACTTAAATTATTTTTTTTACTTAAACGATTAATTTGGATAAGATTTTCAGTTGTCATATGTCAATATTTATAATAAAATTCACATCTCATATTCCGGACCCATTTGTCATGGCAAATTATAAGGGGAGGCAAAGGATGTTACTATTTACGTGAATAGTGTCAACTCTTGTGTTTCCACTCATTGTCATGGCAAAGGGCAAATATTCACTTTAATTTTTTTTTTACTTAAACGATTAATTTGGATAAGATTTTCAGTTGTCACGTGTCAATATTTATAATAAAATTCACATCTCATATTTCGGACCCATTTGTCATGGCAAAGGGTAAGGGAAGGCAAGGGCTGTTACTATTTACGTGAATAGTGTCAACTCTTGTGTTTCCACTCATTGCCATGGCAAAGGGCAAATATTCACTTTAATTTTTTTTTTACTTAAACGATTAATTTGGATAAGATTTTCAGTTGTCACGTGTCAATATTTATAATAAAATTCACATCTCATATTTCGGATAAAATTTTTGGATAAGATTTTTGATTACCACGTGTCCATATTTATTATAAAATTCACATCTCAAATTTCAGATAAGATTTTTGGATAAAATTCTCGGTTACCACGTGTCGATATTTATTATCAAATACAAATCTTAGATTTCATATAAGATTTTCACCCTCTAAAATTGCGCCACATGACATTTCTGTCTTCTAAATCCATCTATAAAACCCCAGCCTCAACTCAGACCTCTCACACCATATCCTCTCTATCCTTTCATTTCTTAGATTTTAGAAAATACATTCTTCTCTCAATTTCTTACACGAGGAGGTTGTTGGAGAGGCAAGAGTGAGAAATTGAAGAAAGAAAACGCAAACGAACTGAAGAAGAAAAGGAGGAGGAAGAAGATGATGATCAAGTTGACATGGCAGTGGGTATGCTCCATCAATCAAGTCAAGGCCATCATGGTTTACAAGTTGGTCGTGGCCCGAACATGGACAAACGTAGGCATTCTCGAGGTAAGAATCTCTTGGAAGATTACTTTATCCCAAATCCGTTGTACTCTAGTTTTGATTTTCAAGGTCGATATAGAATATACCATTTGTTCAATAAAATCATGCATGATGTTTGCAATTACGAAGCATACTTCGTTCAGAAGTATGATGCTACTGGGGTTTTGGGGCTTCTCCCAGAGCAAAAACTTACAACTTCTTTACGGATGGGGAGATCAGGTGGATGAGATTGCTAGGATGGGGAGATCCACTATCCTAGAGAGCTTGGTTAGATTCTGTGATGCAATTAAAACTCTCTACACAAGGGATTACCTCTGCAAACCTACGCCTAGAGACCTCCAAAGGCTTCTACAAAAAGTTGGGGCTCAACTTTCCCATGCAAGATTGGAAGCATCAACTGTATGCACTTGCAATGGAAGAATTGCAACTGCCTGGCAAGGAGATTATGGGAATAGAAATGGCCAAAAAACTATCATTCTGGAAGCCATTGCATCATTCGATACATGGGTTTGGCATGCCTTTTTCTGAGTTGCGGCATCTCAAAACGACCTCAACATGCTCAGTTAATCCCCTGTATTCAATGAACTATTGCGAGGTCAAGCCCCTTAGATCACCTATGAAATCAACAATACCATCTACTCCGGTGGGTACTACCTAACTAGTGGAATTTACTCGAGGTGGATGACATTCTTCAAAACAATTCTGCATCCCTAATCAAAGAAGGAAAAATCATTTGTTGCCTACCAAGAGGATTATAGAAAAGATGTGCAAAGGTGTTTTGGTATCCTCCAAGATCGGTGGGCAATCATTCAGGGGACTGCTCGTATTTTTTATGAAGGGGTGCTTCATAATATTAGGATAACATGCACCATCCCCATAACATGATTGTGGAGGATGAGTATGATTATGATGAACTAGAGGTGTTCAAACCTGATCCCATGAACACGACATTGACAAGAATTTAATAACAGCTCGTGGGAGCAAATGGACAACCACTACAGCACGAACCATTGATTAGGGACAATCGTTACAACAACCGTATGATTGCGGAAATGCAATCTTCTTATGTTCACGAATGATGTCCAGTTGACTTGATGGAGCACTTATAAGCACTGAGAGACAATCACAGTCAATGAATAGCTATATTATTGAAAGAGAAGAAAATGTACGAAAATTTAGTGTGGAAAGTGAAGAATATTGGTAGGTACTTATAGAAATAAAAATTCAAAAAATTTTGGTATTTTGAAAAAAAAATTCGAATTTTTTTTATAGACAAAGTGGCAGCCGTTAGATTGGAGGAAAGATTAGGATTAGAGACACCAAGACGCGATACATGGCTTGTAGCCGTTGGTGGAAAGCAGGGCTGACTCCAGGCTGGCGTCAGCGCACGGGATTTTGAATTTTTTTTTAACGTTGACTTCACTAGCCCTCGGGCTCAATCTGCCTTTGGGCTTGCCCAGTTTGGTGACCCCCACCATTTATCCGAGCTCCTAAAGCCCGTTGGAGATGAGCACAGGACCTCGGGCCCTCTCCTACCCAGGCCAACCCTCACCGTTGGAATTGCTCTAATAAGAAGTTTAAAGTGAGGAGGCTTTTTGAAGAGGTCAATCTCACCATCAACAAATATAAAGAAATCATGGGACTTAAACATTTTAAATGTTCTGATTTTAATTATTTTTAGATCTTAAAATCACTACTTGAAAATTCATGTTTTTAAAAAGAATCATAATTTTTTAGTATGATATCAAACAGGCCTTACTTCCAGCCATAACTTTTTGTTTTAAAAAAAATAAAGTTCATTGACATGTGTACCTACTAGCCATAGGGCCTTCTCCAACCCATTTGGAGCTAAACTCAAATTCTCCTCCTCCAAAAAGTAACTATTTGAGTTTTGCAACTTTATTAAATTATTTACGAATGGTTAAGTCTATTTTTTTTTTTAAAGGGGTAAGTTTTCTTCATTTAATCTATTTAAATAACTTCATAATTTAATTTTAAAATAATTTGACCTAAAAAAATTGAAATTTCACAAATATAATTTTGGAGCTTCACTAATATACCCAAATTTGGCCTGGGCATGGATCGGTTCAGAACGGTAGAGGGCTCTTTCGTTAACCAAACCAAAGATTTCGCCAAATCATTTTCTCTTCCATTAACCAAACCAAAGACTTCGGTAGATTTCATATTGGTTAACCTAAATTCAGTTCAGATTGGTTTGATATGCCAGTAGTGCCGTAATAAAACGTACTAATAAAAATTCAATTTATAATACTTCACATAACATAAGTTCTTGAACAAATACACCAAATTACCCTTGTAAAATATAAAATCCAATGGTTTAATTCATCCAAGTATGAAATCAAATAACTTAGTCACTATATCATTCAATATGTACTCAGATGTCCGGGAGCCACTTGTGTTTGTTGTTTGAACCTTTGAGTGTTCTTTTTACTAAATTCTCTATATTTATGTAAATGATTTTGAATTTGTTCCACGTTGGGTTCTTTAGTTTTTCATGTTGAATCCAACCATATAAATAACATAAAATTTGGATCAACGGTTGAAAAGTTACAGGTAAAAAACAGGACAAAGGTTGAAACTAGAAAACATAGGAAGTTCATAAATTCCTCACTAACCAAAAAGTGATACAGTACTCGAGTGATAAAGAAGTGATACAATGGGGATAAAGAAGTGATATAGCAGTGATACAAAATGCTGATTGTATTTAACTTTGGTTTCTTGTTTTGTATTTAAATAATAAAATAAGAATAAATATCGGATCGGTAAGGGTTTCGGTCGGATTAGAGATATTGTTTTTGTTAACCAAACCAAACATTTTGGTACTGATCGGATCGTAATAATTATAATTAAAAATAATTATGTAACCAAACCAAACCAAGCCGTCGGTAAGATACGGTTGGTACGCAGATAATTCAGATGAGATGCCTACCTTACCCAAAATAAAGGTTGAAATTATTATAAATAAAAGAAAAACCTCACATGGAATGCACTTTAGAAACACACCCAAAACTCATTTACTACATAAGAAATTGGTGTTGAAGTTCCTATAAATTACATGACTACCACTGATCAACTTAAAAAGAAGCCCAACACAAAAAACTTAAAAAGCACCCAAAACAAGCCCAACCCAATTTTATAAATAATAAAAAACCCAAAATTACAAACAAAACCGTAGCTTCATTATTGCGTGATGTGATTAATGGATGTAATGTTCCAGTCTAGGGTAATAACATTGCTAGTTTCCAATGACTTCCTATTTCTAATGCATGTCTATCCATGTAATGTTCAAGTCTAAGGTAATAACATTGCTATTTCCTATGATATCCTATTTCTAATGCATGTCTAATCCACTACTAGTTTCCAGTGACATCCTATTTCTAATGCTTGTCTACCCTTGTAATGTTTCAGTCTAGAGTAATAACACTGCTAGTTTACTGTCATGTTGATTAATGCATGTCATGTTGCTATTTCTAATACATGTCTACCAAAGAAAAAAGAACAAACCAGACCAACTCAAAACAAGCCGAGCCCAGATTTTTTTTAAAAACCCAAAAATTATTACAAAAAAATTCGCAGAGTATTAAAAACAAGGCCGATCCCAGATTGTTAGTACTGCTATGTCATAGAAGTACATTGTTAATACTCTGTCATAGTGCATCGTTAAAACAAAATGAGATCTATAATTGAAATAGTAACAAAAGATAAATAGATCATCAAAGCTTAAGCCCCGTATGGGGATTGCTTTTTTTCGCCAAAAACCCTGCTTAACTTTAAGTTAAACAGTTTAAGGTGTTTGGTAAAAATAAAATATCCTGCTTATTTTAAAAGCAATGGTCTTTTGACAGCAGCTTTTAAAAGCAACCTCGAGGTTTCTTTTTAAAGCTGCTTTTAATTGAGCAAAGGCTCCCTTTAATGAAATTTTTGCAATTCCACAAATACCCTTATTAGGTTAGAAATCTATCCTCACTTATTTCTCTCAAATCTGCAGACACCAAAGTTCATCTTCACATAGCCTCCCAGTTTGGAGACAATCATTCTCTCAATCTCTTCACAAGTTTAAATTCTTCAATCTCTCAAACTTTTTATATACGTGTTGCTCTTGTTTTTTTGTTTTTTTTTTTTTCCTACTGGTTGTCCTGGTTTCTACTGGTTTTATAATGCGTCCAGATTTTTTTCTACTGGTTGTCCATGCCAGAAAGTTTCGTGTGGACACCATTGAAGACCCATAGCTGGTATTTTTATTAGCCACCATTGAAGACCCATCTGATCTACTATTTTTATTTTCTTGAGAGTTTATCGTGATGGGGCTCATAGCTGGTGGTTTTATTCTAGGTGGAGTCCACAATGCATATCTCCTCATTGTGGTTGTGATCCTTTTTGGGCATGCGTTACTTGATAATAAACTTGATATCATCACCCTACGACAAGCTCCATTTTTCTTTTAATTCCCTTTATTTCTTTGGCTTCCATTAATCTTTTGTGAATAAATATCAAAACTGCAGACCCAAAAAATAAGGAAAAAATATATGGGAGTGTGTTTGAATCCTTGTCATCTTGTACGACTTGGTGTATTGCTTTTGATGTATGTAGTTTTGCCCAAGTTTCCTATAGGTAATTACTTAGGCACTATGCATGTTTTTAGTAAAACATTATTTGCTATAACATGTTCATCTCCCAATACATACATATTTATATAAGGACATGCACAGATGGTGAAGAATAATAATGTGGCTAGTGGATCACGAGTTCCGGCTGTATGGAATAATCAGAATACAACTATATTTTGTGACCTGTATCAAGGAGGTGGAGGTAGATAATTGTCCTGGTACTCACTTTAAGAAAGAAGGATGGGAAAATGTGAGGATTAGCATGAGTAAAGAGACAGGAGCCGAGTATGATAAATCACAATTGAAAAATAAGTGGGATGCACTTAAGGACACATGGAAAATATGGAAAGAACTAATTGGAAAAAAAACTGGTCTTGGGTGGAATTCCAAACTTGGGACTATTGATGCTTCTGACGAATGGTGGCATAACAAAATTGAGGTATGTTATTAATATTTTTTAATGTTGTTTGTTTATTATAATTCAATGAAACATCTGTAATAGTTTTTAATGTTGTTCTCTTTGATTTGTAGATAAATCCCAAATATGCAAAATTACGTAGAAAGGGTATTAGTCCTGATATGGAAGAGAAGTTTGATAGAATGTTCATGAACACCACCGCCACTGGTGACCATGCTTGGGCACCATCTGGTGTACTTCCAACTCATGATTCATCCGAATGTGATGGTATTCTACTCGATAGTGGTGATGATTCTGATGATCCCATATACGTACCAGATGAAACAATTCAAGTTACTGAAAAATCTTGTGGGAAGGGGAAAAAGAGAACAAATCAACAACTTGATACACAGGTTAAGAAAGAAAGAACGAATAGAGTTGCTACAAAAGTGGGGAAGGTAGGAGGTGCTGTAAATTGTCACAACAAATTGAGCGGATGGTTGATGGAATGGAGAATAGGAGTACAACTTCAATGATGATGCAAGGTAGCAACATTGCTAAAGTGATGAAGTAGTTTTGTCTTTACATGTAAAGCCTCAATACCTCCTGAAGATCAGTACCATATATTGGCAGAAAGGAATACCGACTCAAAACATATGGCCGCATGTAATTTTGACATGCATTCATATTTGCATGTGCAGGTTGGAAGGACGGACTGCACACTGCACACTACAAGAGTATTTTTTATAGCGTTACGAACTATACTTTAAATTTTTCCCAAACCCTCCATGGAATGTTTCAATATGTGCATATCATTAAACTCAAATTTTTGCACTTTCAAATTATATTATAATTAAACAGATCTTATTGGTTACAGGAAATATTATCTTGTGGCTGCAGGTTACCCACAAATGAGACGCGTATTGGGACCATATAAAGGTGAAAGGTATCTCTTCCAGATTTCCGTAGGGTACTCACCAACAGGTTCTGAGAAGTATGTAATCATGTACACTCTTCCCTTAGGAGTGTCATTGAACGCACTTTTGGTGTATGGAAGAAAAGTGAGTATTTTACGAGACATGCCTAGCTATCCATTCGATAAGCAGTGAGATAGTAATTGCAACTATGGCATTTCACCAACTATATAAGGCAGGCACGCCCAATGTGATATCATTTGGCCAAGTGGACACCCAAATGCAATGATATGGAGGTGATGCACAAGAATACATCATATTACTCCAGGGCCTGGAGCAGAAACTAGAACATTAAGAACAGATTGCTGCAAGTTTAATGCATGCTTTTCTTAGCAGTTTCTTTATTTCCATTATTTAAGCCTTAGTTTTCATGTTTTTTTATTGCTACAATTCAACACATTATTAGGACAAAAGGATTATGTCAAAAATATTTATTACTTATTCATATGAGGATTGTGTATGAACTTACTACCGTGGATCTCGTTAATCTTTTGTTGAAACTTTATTCGATACCTAATTATCTTTGTTTGAATTTATATTCAATTTGAATTTTTCCTTTTCTTTAAGCAATATTAAATAATGTTTTAGGGAGAAAAGTATAAAGCACTTTACAGTTTTATTTTTTATCAAACAATTAAGTAAAAGCACTTTCCAGCTCATGTCATTTTGTATTAAAATAGTTACAGCACTTACATACATTTACCAACACGCTCTGCATTGCTTTTCCAATACTCACAACACTTTAAAATTACAGTTTACCAAACATTTAACTTTGTACTTTACAGCTGAATTCTTTTTAAGCACAGTAGAAGCAGCTTTTTTTAAAAGCGCAGCAATCTCAACTATTCCTATGTCTAAATTTGGGGTATATAACTAATTTTGTATATAAGATAAGTTTTTGGTAGATGATTTGAGAAATGGTGGGGATTAAGCGTTTGAGTGAGTTTGGGGATTGGATCTTATTTTAGCTTATATTTAAAATATTATTTTTGACCAGTGAATTAATTTCAATGTTGGATTTTTTCTTACATATTATATTAATGAATTTAATATAAATCGTTGATTTGGGTTACGTTAGAATATTCAAAAAAAAAAAAAAAAAAAAAAGGGGGGAATGTAGCATTGTTGTCTAGTCCCATGCATAGCTGGACGGGTGATGTTTTGCCTTAATTTGAATTTTCCCCAAATTTTAGCCGTTTTTTCTTAGATTGTGAAAGAAATAGACAAACTGGGAATATTTTTGAATTTGGGCCTCGGTTGAGATGGCTAAGTAAGTCCTGAATTTGAGAATAAAGAATCCGAATACGGTCGATGGCCTTTTTGAAATCTATTAACCGTTAGTTTTAAAACCACGCCAGTATTATTAAAACTTCATTCGGCTTAATCCAAAGGCCAAACCCGACATTTAACCAACCAAAACCCTGCGTCTTCAGAGACGACGAAGAGAGAGAGAGAGCACGAAATGGGTCGTCTTCTCTACTCCAATCCCTGCCTCTCACCAACCGCTTCCTCTCGTTCTTCTTCTCCATTCCAACATCATCATCTTCAACAGCTGCAACTGCAATCTGTAAGCGCTGCCTCTCTCTCATCTCTCTCTCCTTCTTCCTCTCCTTACCCCCAATTGTTTCTCCATTTACTTTAAACTTGTTGGTTCAATTGTTGGAAGGCATTATATATTCCCAAGTGTAATTTGAAAACAGTAAGAATGCAATTGAACATAAGAACTTTGTTTGGGTTTTGGTGTATTTTGGTAGAAGAACAAACCTTCATTGCTATGAGGCTTGGGACTTGATTGCTCTTCTTTAGTATCTGTTGCTTTGCATTTTCAGTTGTGTATTATTAGTTTTTACTTCAAAATTTTGCATCTAACTTCGCCAAATGAAAACCTTAATTGGCTGTTTTTGGTTGGTTTCTATGTTTCTGGTGTGCTTATCTACTACGTTACTCAACACTCGTTCAGGTTTCCCTCAAACACTTGGCATGCGCCCATTCTTCTTCCTATGCTTTTCTAATCTTATTTCCTGTCCCTTCCGCCCTCAACACTTCACTTTCCTCTGCATTTGGGTTTGCTAATCTTATTTTCTTTCTCTTATTTGTAAACTACTCTATTATATAAATGTGCTCACCTCCCTTGTTGCTCCTGTTCGTAATTTGCCAATGTGCATCTCTTCAGCTCATTTCATATAATGATTTTTTTTTTTTTTTTCTTTTTTGGTGTCGTGGTGGTCTTCATTGTCCAGGTTGAAAACCCACTGATGCATGCACCCAAAATCTTTTTCAGTGGAGTTCGCCTTCGTAGCCTGCTGTCAAAGGTTGCAATCATTAGTGCTAAGGCTTCCTCTGACATTGATGGCACATCCAACAGAGAGTATTGAGCCATTTCAGATACCAGAAAGAGGTAGTACCTTGACAAGCTTCCCTTGGAGTCAAAGCTGCAAGAAGGCTAGAGCAGAAGGCGAAGATGCAACTGGCGAGAAATAAGACTTCGGAGGAAAAGACTTGTTCGTAAGCGGAAGCTGAGAAGAAAGGCCGATGGCCTCCTTCAAAGATGAAGAAGTTAAAGAATGTCTGCCTTTGTAGAAGTTGTACGTCTTTGAATTTTTAAATTCTTGGTTGTAGTTTTATTGATCAATTCAGAAACATATTTGACAAATGATCTATCGGCTCATTTTCTTTTTTTTTTTTTTTTTTTTTTTTTTGTGTCTCTTTTTTTTTTTTTCTGGATGGGATGGGAATCTCAACTTAACTATCCAAAAGAAAAGCCCATCTGACGACAAAGAGTTGATTTGGTGAAGCAATCACCATTAAGTACAGATGATTATTTCCTATTTTTTTTTAACTCCTCCCTTTTTTTTTTTTTTTTTTTTTTTTTTTTTTTTTTTTTGTGTAAAAAAAAATAATTTTTTAATTTTTTTTTTTTTTTTTTTGACCCCCCCCCCCCTTTAGAGAGATATATCTTTTAATCTTAAATGATGATTGTGGTGGGCGCAACATATAATCACTACACAAACAAAAAAACTCATTTTCAGTGGGTGAAAAAATCAAAAAAAAAAAAAAAAATGGATCCAATCTTTTTTATTTTTATTTTTTAATTATTATTATTAAAAAAAAAAATAGTTAAATAACCTTTTAACCTTATTTATTATTCTTAAATATGATGAAAACAAAAATGAAAAAAACAGAAAACCAATGGACAATGGGGCACAATGGGCCAGCCAGCGATTCCTGATCTTAACGTTAGCGGCAGCCCCTATTCAAATGAGAAATCTGTTTCCTTTCAAGGACTTGAGCAAAAGGCTCAATATAAAGTAGAGGGACTAAACCTGATTCTTCACATTAGCATATAGATCAGCACTGTCCATAACCTCAACATTCTCAAATTAATACTTTAGTCATGGAGTTTGAGTTGAGTCAATAACAATGTATTCACTGTCATAAGCCCCATTCCAAAGTAGTATGTGATTTATTCTCCATGAATTATGCGAGCAAGATAAAATACTTTGCAGGTCATTACAATCAAAATAAATCTTTGGAAAGGCAGATGTGAATCCGACGGCAATGGCTCGACATTGAATGATTTGTGTGGGCATAATATAAGCAACTGAGTACTGACAAGAACATGAACATGAGGCAATTGCTGCTGTCATGCACCGGAGGTTATAATATCTAGTACTTTGGCTGCGCTCATTCTACCAATCCATGCGTGAAAAATACTAAAAACCTCCTGAAATACTAATCCTTCCTGAAATTTAAGAGCCAACAAACAGCTTTGAGCAAAAGAAAATGTACACAAGTGCTAAGGTGCAGCAGAGAATTAATCATTTGTGAAAAAAAGAGACCCAATTATTGTTCAGGTAAAACTATACTTTTAAACCTATAAGCTGAGAATTAGAGCAAGCACAAGACAACCGTTAGTAGTCTTCTGGCCGCTCCGTTTTTTTTTTTTTTTTTTTTTTTTTTTTTTTTTTTTTTTTTTTTTTTTTTTTTTTTTTTTTTTTTTTTTTTTTTTTTTTTTTTTTTTTTTTTTTTTTTTTTTTTTTTTTTTTTTTTTTTTTTTTTTTTTTTTTTTTTTTTTTTTTTTTTTTTTTTTTTTTTTTTTTTTTTTTTTTTTTTTTTTTTTTTTTTTTTTTTTTTTTTTTTTTTTTTTTTTTTTTTTTTTTTTTTTTTTTTTTTTTTTTTTTTTTTTTTTTTTTTTTTTTTTTTTTTTTTTTTTTTTTTTTTTTTTTTTTTTTTTTTTTTTTTTTTTTTTTTTTTTTTTTTTTTTTTTTTTTTTTTTTTTTTTTTTTTTTTTTTTTTTTTTTTTTTTTTTTTTTTTTTTTTTTTTTTTTCCCTTTATGGAATATTGTGTTGGGCTGATAATTGCTCTGGCCCAATCCATGGATTTTTTTGGGCCTCAACACAACCTCGTCAGCATCTTTATCTGTGTAAGAGGAAGATTCACTTAACAAATGGACAAAGGTAACAAAGATAAAACAAGGACCACACAAAGACAATACAAGGACCACACAATGACCACATAAGGACCACACTAGGACCAGCACAGAGTACAAAAGTATACGAAAAAACAAAAACAAAAACTCCAGCAACACAAAAGGACCAGACAAGGAACACGCAAGGACCACACAATGACCACACCAAGACCAGCATAGAGTCAAAAAGTATACAAAAAACAAAACAAAAAACTCTAACAACAGTTCAATGCACATGCCAAATCAAGAAAATCGAGTAAGAATGGGTCCACTTACATATGGGTTGACAGTCCAGATTCTCTAAGCACCACCATCTTCGCACTTTCTAGCCTTAAAGTCTAACACCAAACAATGATTTCTTTTCCAGATTCTCCCAAAATTGGAGCCCACCTCATATTTTCATAAACCCTAAGCCCTCTTCTCCAATTTCCCCTTCTCACCCAATTTCCCCTTTCTTAAAAATGAAAAGCCCTTATTCCCAAAGGTTAAAGATTAAAACGAAGTGGGGCCCAAAGCACGTAACGGAACGTGAGACCGTTTTTAAAAGTTTGGGGGGTATTTTAAGACGTTTCCAAACACATGTGGTAATTTGAGACAAGTTTGAAAGCATATGGGGCATATACATAAATAAGCCATAAATAAATAAATTGTTTAAATTTTAAATTAATTTAAAAAAACTCAAAAATTAAGAAAAATCAGCTTAAACACTTAAAAAAATAACATCCCTCTCCAGATCCTTCATCGACCCTAACTCCACCTTCTTCATCTCCAGATCCTCCATTGGCATTCTCATTGGCTTCACTTTCTTCATCCTCCATCGACCCCAGCCAGAGGCGGTCCTGCAGCCAGGGAAGGGTAGGTTACCGCCTACCCAGAAAATTTTCACTAAAAAAAAACTATATATAAGCAAAGTAATTGATACCCATTACATGTGATGGTATAAAATCTTGCCTACCAAGCCCATGTAAAACCCACACCACATGTGTTAAAGCCCCACTCAAACTTTAAAAAAAAGAGAAAAAATTATAACCAGCCCATGTTATGGAATGGCCCAGTCAGACTTTAATAAAAGGGGGAATATAACTTATAAGCAACCAAATAGTGGCTGTGCAATTCCAGACAGAGTCGGCAGCTTCTTCCCAACTCAACAGTCTTCGCTGTGCAATCGTGGACAGCCCCTTCTCTTCTCATATACAAGGAAACAAGTATTCTTCTTAATCTCTTCTCTTCTCTTTAATTATCTTCTTCTATTGGGTTATTCCTAAAATAAATGTACGCATCTTAGTTTTAATTTTAATTTGAAATTGAGTTTTCTAAGGTTTAATTATGAATGAAATATAATTTGGGGACTTTGTTGAAATTAATTAGGTCTTTGATGTTAAGAATTTTGTTGAGATGTTTGATTTGATGTTGGCATTGTTGAGATGTTTGATTTGTTGTTGGTATGTTAATGTTTGATTAAATTTATTGATGCTATTATGAGAAATTGTTTGATTTTTTGTTGGGATGTTTGATTAAATAGGTTATCTTTTATTATGTCGGATCACAATCGAAACCCCAAGAAAACAAAGAATTTGTTCTTTTTTTTTAAGAAAAAGAATGATGGGTCATCATCTTCTAGAATGCCTCCCATTTATGATGAGCCAAATCTTCTCTCTTCTCCCATTGTTGAGCCTCAAGTTGAAAGAGTTGAGACTCAAAGAGTTGATAGTGGTCAAGATTTTAATATCAATTATCTTGAGCGTGATCCGAGATTACGTCGTCAAATATGTCAATATTCGGTGAATGAACATGATAATGTAAGAAAAGCCTATATTATTTTAGGACCTTGTCAACCGGAGTTAGAAGACTATCCAAGCCATTTAGAAGGGCGAGACTTACGTCGATTTAATAAATTGTGGTTTGGTAAATTCCCTTGGCTTGAGTATTCAATAGCTAAAGATTTGGCATTTTGTTTTCCTTGCTTCCTATTTGACATGAATCATTCACATTCAACCTTTACTATTCATGGATTTCAAAATTGGAAGAGAATTGATGGTAATCAATGTGTATTTCAAAGTCATGTAGGCAAGCTAAATTCTCCACATCATCTTGCTATGCAAAAGTGGGTTAGCTTAAAACACCCATCTCTTCATTTTGAAAATGTGGTAGATAAGCAATCAAGGCAACAAGTGATGGACAATCGGTTGCGACTTACAACCACAATAGAGGGCATTCGGTATCTAGCAAATCAAGCATTGGCTTTTCGAGGTCACGATGAATTCGTTGACTCATCTAACCGGGGCAATTTCGTTGAAATCTTAAAGTCTTTTGCAAGAATGAATATAGAAGTTGAGAAAGTTGCTGTAGATAAGGCTCCTCATAATGTTCAGTATATTGCCCATGATATACAAAAACAGATCTTGCATATTTTTGCTACCAATGTGAAGAAGGAAATTTGTACCGAACTTGGGAAGAACAAATATTGTATTCTTGTTAATGAATCAAGCAAGGAACAAATGGCTATTATTCTAAGATTTGTTGATTGTGATGGATTTATTCGTGAACGCTTTTTCGATATTGTGAGTGTCGTAGACACTAATGCCTTGACTCTTAAACAAGAGATATGCAAAGTGCTTGATAATAACGGCATTCTAGTGGAAAACATGCGTGGCCAAGGGTATGATGGTGCTAGTAATATGTGTGGTTCATGGAATGGATTACAATCATTGTTTCTTCAAGATTGTCCATATGCATATTATGTGCATTGCTTTGCTCATCGCTTGCAATTAGCATTAAATGGTGCGGCTAAAGATGTGAAGGTTGTATGGAGATTTTTTTCAATGTTGACTAACATTGTGAATTTTGTTAGTGCTTCTGCTAAGCGTCGTAATGAGTCAAATTTAATTCGAAAAGCTGAACTATAAGAGTTGTTGGATTCTGGGGAACTTGAGACAAGTAGAGGACTTAATCAAGCTCGTAGTTTGAAACGAGCTGGAGCCACTCGTTGGGGATCTCACTTTGCCTCTATTACAAGTTTAATGAGTTTATTTAAAGAGACTAAAATATTTCTTTAGGAAATCAGTGAACATGGACCTAACCAACAATTTCGTGATGATGCAGAGAGTAACTATATTGCTATGATGTCTTTTGAGTTTGTGTTTGCATTGCTTTTGATGGATAAAATTATGGGATTGACCAACTTTCTCTGTCAAGTGTTTCAGAAAAAAAAACTCAATATATTGTAAGTGCTTTAAACTTTGTTGAAAACACAAAATCACAGTTCCAAGATATGAGGGCCCATGGCTGGGATGATTTATTTATGAGTGTGGCATCATTTTGTGAACAACATGGTATTGATGTTCTTGATATGAGTTCTCGTTATATGATGGGCACACGTCGTTCTTGTCAACAAAAAGATTTTATTACAGTTGAACATTACTATCGCATTGATGTATTTAATGATGTGATAGATTGCATGTTGAGGGAGTTAAATGACAGATTTCCATAGCAAACAGTTGAACTTCTTATTCTTAGCTTAGCATTGGATCCTCGTAATTCCTTTAAATCATTCAATATTGGGCATCTATGTAAACTTGCTGAGAAATTCTATCCTGCTGATTTCAGTCCAAGTGACTTAAAAGGTTTGGAAATTGAGTTGAGGTATTTTCAAAATGATATGCATTGCTTTCCCTACTTTAAGGACCTCACCACTCTTCCTTAGTTATGTCAACAATTGGTGGAAACAACTTTGGCAGAAAACTATCATTTGCTTTACAGGTTGATTCAGTTGGTGTTGACTCTTCCTGTTTCTACAGCAACAACGGAACGAGCTTTTTCATGTATGAGAATTATTAAGAATAGACTTCGAAGCACCATAGCTGATGAATTCCTTGCTGATTGCATGATTCTCCGCATTGAAAGAGAGTTTGCTAATAGTATCAATAATAAAGAGATAATTGAGGAATTTAAGATTTCTAAACCTCGTAGGTGCAATTTTAGATTAAAATAGTTTAGTTTTTGTGTTGCATTGCATTTACTTTTTTTTTTTTTTTTTTTTTTTTTTTTTTTTTTTTTTAATGTTTATATTTATTTATGTATATTATGAGGTTAAGGCTCATTACGTCCCCCCTGACTAGGTGTATCTTTTTATTTTTATGAATAAAATTCACTCATACCGTCGAGTTTTTAAGGTAAGTTTCGCCTACCTGACTTTTGAATCCTGGATCCGCCACCGACCCCAGCAACCTCACTTCCATCTCCAAATCCTTATCCACTGCCCATGTCCTCTTCTCTAAGCCACCCATTAATCTCGACACCATCCCCATCCCAAGCCATCACCAACCCCACCTCACTCCCAACCCCACCCTTTCACCGTCACCATAACCTGGCCATCCTCAAAAACCACCGTCTACCAACCACCACCTAGACATCGCCAAAAACCACCATCCACTGACCACCACCTAGTTGTCGCTCACCATCCATAAAATTTTTTCTCTAACCAAATAGAAGGGAAAATGACCTCATCTTTGTGCCAAAAATTTATCAAGGCACCCATGCCTCCTCCGCGAGTTCATAGCTTCGCCAACCACACCCCTTCTTGCAGCACAACCAGCCACATTTGCTAAACAGAGAGAGACTGAGATAGATAGTGACAGAAAGAGACAAAGACACAAAGAGAGAGGGAGATTGACAGAGATCCGACCCCCATCCCCAACGCTAGCCTCAGCCAACCTCCCTTTCTTTATATCTGACGAGCCCCACTCTAGATTCATCGTCTTCGTCTTCGTTGCCAAGGCCACTCCATCTCTTTGTCGCCAAGTTGTTCACCCGCCGTAACCCACAAATCTATCTCTATAGAGGTGACGGCTGAGTTTGTCGTCAAAGGTGGGAGCTACATTTTTGGGTGGGGGAGAGAGAGAGAGAGAGAGAGAGAGAGAGAGAGAGAGAGAGAGAGAGAGAGAGAGTCGACAGTGGTGGTTGGTTGGTGGTTTGGTGCTGCGTGGGTTGGGGGTGGGTTGGTATGGTAGATATTGGTTAGGATGGGGTGGGGTTACGATGGGGGATGGGGTTTTGTCCTTTTATTATTATCATTTTAAAATTATTTAAGTTTATGTTATATTAATCATTTGTATTACTTTATTTTAAAATTTTAAAATAATTTTAAAAATAAATACTGTTTTTATTTATTTTTTAATCCACGTGGTATCCACCTCAGCAAAAAAGCCATCGGAGCAGCCATGTCATCCCTTGACCTCTCCACTAACCGTCTAACTAACAAAATAACTAATTTGTATGTTTTACTTGAAAATTTTAAAAGGTTGGGTACTAATTTGAAACAACTCCTAAAGGTTGGGTACTTTTATGTAATTAATCCAAAAAATATTTGAAAATAAAACGAAGTATACTTCCCTATAAAACAAACTTTTTTTGGTTCCAAAAATAAGTTTTACAATAAAACCGTTAAAAATTATGGAATTTAAAAAATAAAAAAAAATGAAAACCCAAACCCGTTACCACCCATCTCTCTCTCTCTCCCCCCCCCCCCCCCCCCCCCCCCCCCCCCAAAACCCTTGGCCAAAACAACAGCCCCCATCCCTACCCATCATCATCACCCTCCTCCTCTCCAATCCCAACCCCACCGTGCACTATACCTCTCGCTCTCTCTCTCTCCATTGATTTCATACCCAAAAACCCATCCCCCCCTTCCCTTACTAAGAAAAGAGTAAACATAATTTTTTTTGTTTAAAAAAGAAAACAGACATTAATTTTGTGGAAGATGTTAAAATTCTCCCTTAATTTTTTAACAAGGTGAAAACAAAAGTTAGTTTGTCCAATACATTTAATAAGGGTAAATTTGGGAAACAAAAGATACATTGTCTAATGTATTAATGACATTAATTGAAGTGTAGAGAAAGTAACACATGCAGGGGTGGAACTAGCCCAATGGTTGCCCTAGGTTGTAGCCTAGGGAAGGTTTTGGGGAATAAAATGATTAAACATATATAGCCTAATATTTTAAACTAAAAATAAATAAATACATATACAATTGCATATCCTACTACACAGTGGCGGACCTATTGTAGGGGCTTCAAATTGCCCACTTGCTAAGTTGGCGGTGGTGTGTCTTTGTCCTTTTATTTTCATTTATTTTTATATTACTCTATTTACTTAAGTTTACAATATAAATAAGTAAGTATTCCCCAATTGGATTCAAATAAAAATACTAGAAAATCAAATTCCCGCCAAATCAAAATATGAAAAATCGATTTTAGTGCAAAATACGATTTAGGCTAAAAATGATGACTCATTAAGTCAATATATACTTCATACTAAAATCCCATAAAATCAAGTTTTCTTATTTGATGTGTAAGGAATAAAAGCCGCATAAAATTATTATTCCCAAAACCATTTTTCATACTTGGTCAATATTTTTACATTAAACAATTTTTCATGTATGATATAAATGCATGAAGGGAGCTAAGGTCAATCTAAGTAAAAAGGTTTAGTTGTTCAATACACAAAGAGTTTTTAGCCTTTCAAAATTGCGTCTCCACTCAAAAATTCATGGGTCCTCTATTGCTACCACACCAATAGTCATAGTCAAAGTCTTCCACATTTGTATTATCAATTTTAATCATTTTCCATTAACGTGTCTCCAAAAGAGAAGCATTTTTCTAAATAAAATTCCCCATTTCTTGAATAATATGGTCTAATTCCATTTTTTTCCTTGTGTCTACAACTAGTGTGATTTATATGATTTAATGTATACTTTTATTTCTAAAAAAACTATAGAAATTGTTAGTACAAAAAAAATTATCATATCAAAAGAATAACAACCCTAACAAGAGAAACAAAAGACGAGTTTGTTGGTACCTCAATGGTAGAGGTTCGAAACCCATTGGAAGCACTTTGTGACCAGGGGCAAGCCAAACCCCAAGCGGGGATTAATCCCACCATTTGAAGGTGGGGACACCTCGTGGTATTTACCAAAAAAAAAAAGATAAGTTTGCTAACAACAATTATTTGTGAGTTAGAATTGTCAAAAGAATATAAAATTCAAACAACAACTATGATAGATACAGGAAGCACAAAAAATGTAATAAAAGAGGAGTTAGTGCCAGAAAAATTTAGGCAAAAATTAGCTAGACCAATAAGAATAATACAGTTTATACAAGACCTGTATATATAACATATTGCATTAATAATATACCAATTAGAATAGAAAGACAACAATTTAATTTACCTTTAACTTTTATATCCCCAGTAGGATCATATCGTTTTATCTTAAGATTAAATTTCTTGAAAAGTTTACAAGGAGGATTTTTGTATACACCTCCAAAAATTACATTTTTTAAGAAAGACATAATCACAATTGATCAAAGTAATATTTTAGAGTCTTACAATAGTATTAACATAGAAGAACAAAATTTTAATTACTATAATATGGAAGAACTAGAAGAAATAATTGAAGAAAGGGATAGATGAAAAAAATAATTTAGAATATGATGATATAATATTTGACCATGAGTATCCATTGTAGGAGAAATAGAGCCTTTAGAAATTATGCAAATGGATAAACCAAAGACTTTAAAAGAATTATTACAATTAGCTTAACAAACTAGAATTATAAGAGAAGATCTCAATTACATTGGAATAAGAATAAGATATTAGCAAAATTAGACATTATTAATCCATACTCAACAATTAAAACAGCAGATATGCCATGTAACTTGTTAGACAAGCAAAAATTTTAACAACAAATAAAAGAACTTCTAAACATAGTAATTTGACCTTCAAAATCTAGGCATAGATCAACAGCCTTTGTAGTCAGAAAACACTCAGAGCTTAAGAGAGGTAAAGCTAGAATAGTGTATAATTATAAGAGATGAAATGATAATACCTATGAAGATAGTTATAAATTACCAAATAAAGATGAACTAATTATGAATAAAATTGAAGAAAGTAAATATTCTAGTAAATTAGATTGTAAATCAAGATTTTGTGAAATTAGACTACCAGAATAATCAATTCAATAGACAACATTCACTTGTACATAAGCATATTTTGAATGGCTTGTCAGGCCATTTGGATTAAAGAATGCACCATCGATCTTTTAAAGAAAGATGAATTAAATTGTTAAGAAGTATGATAATTTTGGTAGTATATATGTAGATGATATACTTGTTTGTAGTAAAAATAAAAATGAACATAGAAAACACTGAGAAATTATTTTGAAAGAATTTATTGATAATGGTATAGTTATAAGTATGAATAAAGTAGAGCTTGAAAAACAAGGCATATAATTTTTAGGTATGTATATTAAGTCAGAAACTATACAATTACAAGAACACATAGGTAAAAAAGTGTTATAATTTCCAGATAAATGAGAAGATAAAAAATAATTACAAGCATTTTTAGGATTATTAAATTATGCTAGAAGTTTTATCCTTGATTTAGGAAGAAAGATTGCAGCATTGCATAGTAAAACTAGTCAAACAAGTCAAAAATATTTTGATAGTGAAGATATTAAATTAGCTCAAAATATCAAACAAGACATAACTCAGCTTAAGCCTCTGACATTACAATTACAAAATAGTTAAGATAGGCACATCATTAATTAGATGGGCAAGAATTTTATATCAGAACATAAAGAATAACCTAAATTTGAAGAAATTTTTTTGTAGATATGCATCAGGTACATTTAGTGATATACAAGCTAGATTTCCAGCCATTGACTTAGAAATGTTAGGAGTAATAAACTCCTTTGAAGCATAGTCATTGTTCTTACAAATGAGATATTTACTGTTAGAATAGATTGTCAGAATATTGTTTCTCATTATAATAAGATTACTACTAATAAACAAGTAGACCGAATATGGGTCAGTTTTATTGATTTTGTTACAGGAAATGGATTTAGACCAATATTTGAGCATATTAAAAGTATGGATAATACTTTAGCAGACATCTTATCCCATATTATTCATTAACATGTATGCAATATTTTGGAGCATCATCCTCTGGAAGTAAAAATAATGGTACACCATCACAGGGTGGTAATCCATTAAGCATAAGTAGTCAAGAAAGATGAGTAGTAAATACGCATTATTATAATAGAATTTCAGTACAAGAAATTTGAAATCCTATTTTAAAATATCAAACCCAGGCATTATTAGTAGAAAAACAAAGAGTGCTTTTAGACAATTTTTGGAATATTAGAATTGATAATGAAAGCATGAGAAAAGGGCACGAAAAACTTATTAAAGCCCTTGAGCAAGAGTTTTTAGGTTATGATTATGATTATAAAAGAGCAAAACAACAACTTTCTTTTTTGCAGGAAAAACATGAAGAGCAAAAGAATGAGTATGATACAATAGTAAGAAATTTTAGAATTATTAATTTAAAAATGTCAAAATTTAAGCATGATTTTACAAGAAAAAGAGGCTAATGAGCCGAACTTACTTGAGCATAATAGCGAATTTTCCCTTGAACAAAAAAACTAAAAATCCATATTTTCTATAAACCCTAACTAGAGAAAGGTATAGATTTTTACGAGAAGATATTAAGAATCATATGATTAGATTAGAATATGAGCGAAATACATCTCTTCAGTGATACATTCAAGCTTTTCTTTTTAATTTAAAAAATAATCCACAACCTGGTATAAAAAATTATTACTAAAAGCTGTTCTCATTATACTATTTATTTAGCTAGTATTAACATGATGGGAATATAGAGAACTGCATTTAGAGCATAACCAATAAACTATCACAATTACTCCAACATTTTTAGCAAAGTATGGTTATTTAGGTTAACTTTATATTGAAAATAGTCATCATTAAGATTCATTTTCCTCAAAATTAAAAGAATTTATAAGTTTTTATATCCCTCTCTAGAAGAATGTAAAATTAGATTTCACCAGCATACCCCCCCTCCCCCCCAAAGTGGTTCACGGATAAGATTTACCCAGATAGAGCACAACATAGTATTATCATTTCTTATAATGAACTGCTTAGTCCTACAAAATCCATAAATATAGAAATCTCTACCAAGCAAGATATTCAAAATATAGAAGAGCAACAATTGTTCAATGATGATAATCTGAATCTCCTTCACCGATCCAACTTTATCAAGGTTTATTTTGAGACTTTATCTAGGAGACGAGATGACACATATGAATTCAGGATAATCCAAACAGGAGCACAAGTTTTGATGAAATCTACAATCAGATTGCAGAACAAATTGAAGCAGAAGATAATGACAACTCATACTAGAATAGCTTAGGAGAATAAACACTGCACAACATCGACACCATGATGGAAGTATAATGAAGCCATAACTCCATGTGAAGGCCTCATGATAGAAGAAGCATCATCAACTTCATTTCACATGAAGAGATCATCCTAGCAACATAATAGCAGATGCATCAGCAGCCCAAAGTTCATCAAAGCAAGAAAATCCAACTTTTTGGCTCCATACCATTAGCAAGAAGCAAGACTTTTTGGCATAATTTGAAAAATAGAGAAAGGATTCCTTAGGCAATCTAAAAATAAATAAGAGAATTATTGTCCAAACACTACAATTTTGTCCTTCTTTATAAATACTTCCCTCATTTTGGGCTTAATCAAAAGTCTCCCAAATAAGATGTAGTTATTTTCTTTCTTTTTTTGCTTGTCTTTAAGGTGGTGCTCATGGAGAACAAAAGATATATTTCTTAGGAGGTGTTGCTCATGATGCTTTAAATGATAGATAGCTTGGTTCATTTTGAGTATGTTGAGCTTTAAATGTAATTTTTATTGTGATTTAAATATCATGTTTTGAAGTGTTATTTGTGTTGAGTGTTTTCATTGGGAGCTTAATTAAAGTTAGAAGATCATTTTAGATGAATTAATATGATGGTAGGAGTGGACATCAATTCAGCCGAATCAATCAAATTAGTTGATAGGAACCGTAGTGGCTGGTTTGGTTTGGTTTTGACCATAAAAAATTCAAATGGTCTAAAATTGAAATCAGGCCGTAATGGTTTATTTCATATGCGATTTTGAGCTTTTGTAAATTAACTTAAACCGAATCGGTCATTTATATATATATTTATTTTATTTTTCATGTGCAGTCTTGTTATTGGCAACTTAAAAGAGAGTTGTAACTAATAGCTAAATAAGAATATTGAATTTAAAGTTTGATGTAATTTTGAAGTTATAGATCTTTCAGTTGTAACTATGCTGAACTTTGAAATTTGATGGTATGTTAAACTTTTGGATGGTTTGATGAGTTGGAAAATGAAAATTATGTAGGAGGTTATGAAACTTTCTTTTGTTGTAATTGAGCTAATAAAGTTGAAAAATTGCAAAAGAAAAACAGTTTAGGTTTAGGCCCAAAATACATGATCCAAACTAATTTCAACCGTTAAACATTCAGTTAGTTTGGTTTAAATATTTTTATTTATAATTATGATTAAAATTGAACCAAATCAAACCAAACCAAAACATTATTATACAAACTAAAAAAGAATCAAAACGTTATATTATACTTACTCCAAAAGTCCGCATAATAAAAAAAAATAATAATAATAATAATAATAATTTTAAATAAATAAATAAAACCTCCAAAAGTGCCCCCCCCTAGTTGGAGTAGTCACTCCAAAAGTGGCTAGCTAAACGAATTCATATAATTTGTAGGAAAAAAACAAAACAAAACAAAAAAAAGAATAGAAAACGGAAAAGGCCACGTGGTACGTGAGAAAGAAAATCCCACCCACCCGCAAAAACACGCCATCCATCGTCAAACTCAAACCCTATCTCTCTTCCTCTTTAAATCCCATTCATTCTCTTTCTGTCTGACTCTTTTTCTCTCTCTTCGTTCTCATCCTGAAACCCTAGAATAACCCCCAAATTCACATGAAATCCAAACCCCAAAATCTCGTTGGGGTTTCAGTCTCAGAGGACACATACGTCCTTTGATGAATTGTTCGCCAACTATCCTCAAACCCTAGCCTCGACTTTTGCCCTTTGCTTTCGATTGCGTATTCGTACGTATATTGGGACAGAGAGAGAAAGAGGGAGGAGGGATCGTTAGGCTATGGAGGGCTCTGTGGTGGAGGATCTCGGAGCCCCAGAGTCATGGGAGGTCGCCGGTTTGGACGAGGCCATGAACCGCCTTATGCTTTCCTCCAACAAAGACTCCAAGCCCCAAGACCTCAACGATGTCTCGCCTTTGGTTTCCTCGGCTTCTGATGCTTCTGATAAGTTTTCCGAGGATGCCCTCAATCAAGTCGACCAATTCCTTCGCGAGGCCTTGCAAAACCCTAGGGAGCGCCTGTCAAGTAAGCTTCACATAAGTATTAGGTAGTTTGATATATGTGTTTTTGTTCCTATAGTTGCCTACACCGACCAAAAAAGTCACTTTCATGTTTTGACCGTCAGATTATTCTTAAGCTTCTTCAAAATTGCAGCGGAAATTGAATCAAAATTAGGTTAATTTGGTTTAGTATGTGTGTCTTTGGATGGGTTGTATGCAACTGGTTTAGTATGTCATTTTCGTTGACCTTCAAATGTTCTCTATTGGAAGGTATGCCCTTTTATGAGATGCATTATTCATGAATGAATAACAGAAATCAAGACATATGCAAAAGTAATAAGCTACTGGATGAACACTTCTATTCAAATTTTGAGCCGATTTCGTTAGAGGGCTTTATTACCTCCGGAAAGCAAGAAAGATGAAGATCACATGATATAACATCTCTTCCAGTTCGTGACTAAATGACTCTCCTTTATTATTTTTGGATGTTTTAATGTATATGCTCATCAAAACAGACTCAGGAGTTCCTTAAGTTTTCTATTTTTCGATTTTGTAGGGTGTAGTAGCTTTGACGGTCAGGGACGGAATTTACCTTACATACAAAACCTAATTGCAAATCCCTAATTGATAATTCATAACACCGAATTGAAAATCCCTAATTTATACTTCATGAACCTTAAAAAAATCCCCAAATTTCAGTAACAACAAATTCAAGAAAGAAAATTTTAAGATTCCACCAGTAAAATAATTTTTTTGGTAACATTCCACCAATAAAATATGATACACCAAGAAAATTGTACATGTTAAAGGGCTGATGCGTGAAGTGGGGTAGGCTGTACGGTGGGCTACATGTGACTTTTGGCTGAAAAATAATAAAAGCCACCTGGGCTACAGCCCAGGTCAGCCTATGGTTGGGTCCGTCCCTGTTGACGGTGAAAGAGTGTGATTACCTTTATACATTATCAAATTGCATTGCGGCATTTGACATGAATTTATGTGGAATAAAGGGAGAAATGGGGTGTATGTTCAGGGTTGAAGGATGGTTTGTTGTTGTGATAGAAATAAAATCTTGCACTCACCTGTAAAAAAATGTGAGGTTGGAACTTCTAACAGTGTGGTCGATGAACTAGATGTAAACCTTATTTCTTGTATCTTTAGAAACAATTATCTTAGAAGCCCATATGTACGACATCACTGTTTCATGGATTTCTCAATGTAAAATATTAGTATGTGCTCATCTAAAGATCTTCACCCCTCCCGCCTGGCTCTCGAGATTCTCCTGTTTTATGTTTGTCTAACAGTACAACTACACTTTCTACTAGGTGTACTAAACTATGGATGGAAAATGTTCCTTGATATTTTTAAATCATGATTAAGCACAAGATGCAGAGTAAAGCCTGAATGTGATGCACTATTTTACAAGAAATGAAAAAGATTGACTTAGTAGACGTTGTGATAATAATTGCCCCCTTCTTTTCTCTTTGTACTTCTCATCATCCTCATCATCCTCCTCATTCATTGCTATTTTATCATAGCTGTTGTCATAATATGTTTGGTTCATGCAGTTAGGATGTGGTGTCTTGTTTGGATTTATCTCTTCATAATAATGAACTTCATAGATATCTTCTTGTGCAGTTTTACGGATGGAGCAAGATGTTGAGAAGTTTATCCGTGATCCTATTCAGCAGCAGCTAGAGTTTCAGCAGTTGCCCACTTCTTATTTACGATTGGCTGCACACCGTGTGGCTCAACATTATTCACTTCAGTCAATGGTTTTATTAGATAATAATTTACCTGATGGCTCTGGTTCCAGAATTATTGTCCGTAAAACTTCTGAGTGTCGACTCCCTCAGATTCGCCTTGCAGACATACCTGTTAGTTTACCATCAGAAGACGGTGGTGTTACTAAGGTTGCAATAAAACAGAGGCCACAGAAACGGTCACAGACTGCCAACAATGCAAATTCAAATTCGGCAAAATCAAACAGTTCCAAAACTGTTGAAGAACGGAAAGAAGAGTATAACAGGGCTCGCGCACGAATATTTAATTCGAGTATTAATATGAGTGGCAGTTCAAGTGGGAAATCAGAAAGTGAACCAAGAATGCAGGATACTCCACAACATGTTCCCTTGGTGATGCCAAAGGTGGAAGATAAGTCAAGTGTTTCTGATTTACATTCTGGTAGGGGTTTAATTGAGTCCTCAACAAGTAGCAGTAGAACAGCTAGAAGTAGGCCAGAGAAGGAGCCAGTTGGGCGGTACAAACCAAATAATAGGGTAGCTATATTTAGGGATCGTGAGATTGATCGGAAGGACCCTGATTATGACCGGAGCTATGACAGGTATGGTATACATTGTCTGTATCGGCTTTTTTTTCACCTCTCCCGGTTGTTTCTTTGGAAGGGGTGATGGCAGGAACATTGTTATTTTTTTCCCTTGGGAAGGAGATGTCTGTTTAATCTAAGAAAATTGTTTAGAGTCAAGATCTCTTCTCATAATTGTTTTCGCAGTTGGGTGGCCCCATTCAGTTTTTCTATTTACTTAAGCTAATGCCTTTCTCTTCGTTTGACATGGTTTTCTCTGTCTTTGTGGTAAACAAAAGAAAATAAGATAGTATGATAATCTTATCTATGCAAAAAATAATTTTTTACCAACATTGTAATTGTTGTCAGTATTGAAGCCTGTCCTTTCATCCATATGGTGACCATAATTTTTTTGTCTTTGGAGGCAAACTCTTGTTTCATAATTTTTATTGTGGTCAGGTGGTCCAGTTAAGTTTTGCCTTTCTTTTCTTTTGACATGATTTTCTTGTTTAAAAAAAAATATAATGAGATTATCTTATCCATTCATGGAAAAATTGGTTCCTTATGAACATTGTTATTGTTGTCGGTATTGAAGTCTGTCCTTTCATCCATAGGGTGACTTCTGGTGTTTGTGGACAATCTGCCACTACATGTTTCAAACTCCTAAATATGCTTTCTGATATTTTCCCCTCTGTACTTTTTTATCCATCTCTACCCATAATGATAATGAATGCTATAATTGATAGAAGCCAACAAAGTAAGAACTTAAGGGTAGAATGTTGTTGTCTATCAAGTTTTCCATGTAGCCCAGACCAGAAAATTGCTCTGGAGCATGCATTGTTGTATAGCTCCAAGTGTACTTAATTTTGTTATTTTATAGTTAGCTAAAGTTTTATGGTCTATGGTGGATCAGGATGAGAATGAATCCGGTAATAAAATATTTTTTCAGGTACATGCAAAGATTCGATCCTGGGTTTGGATTCACTGGTGGACCGTATACCATCCAGCCTATGTATACACCTGCATTGAACTACAACACCGAATTTCCTCAACTTGGTGCTGCTCATAGGCCTCAGATTTCTACTGAACATCAACCTCGGCCTCTTCCACAACACCTACCTGGGCCTTGGGTTGCACCATCAGTGCCTGCAGGAATTGGTTATGGTCATCCGGAGACTATAATCACACCATTTAATGCGAATCATGTTGGTGCGCGATCTACATCTGGCATATATCTGCATTCATCCCAGTATCCTTGTCAGCGCCCTGGAATGCCCTTTCTCCATCCTCATGAACACATTCACCAACCTTTTTCACAGGTGTGGCGATTTAACAGCTATCTTCTGTAGTGTTTTAGTAATCTTGTTCATTTGTTGTTGAAGATGTTATCTCCTTTTTTTTAAACGCGGAATGTGTGAGACTTCTGATCACTATTTCTCGAGGAAGGGGGACCATATCCTTTTTTTCTTATAAATGTTTTGAACTTTAGTGTATAGTGCTAATGGATTCCTTTTGTGGTATTTACCTCGAATTTCAGTCCATATTATGATTGTTTTAATACCACCTTGCTTATTATCAGCCATTGAAGTAGCCTCAGCCTTATCATCAAGTTTTTTATTTTTCCTCTAAAATTCTAGTGTACAAAAAGAAAAAGATGTTTTTTTAATTGCTTCTCTTGAATAACCTTTGGCATAAAACTGATGACGTGTTCTCCTGGTAATCTTGGAAAATAGTCATCTAAAGTAGAACAACAGATATGCATATTAAATTGCAATTTCAGTGCAGTGATTCTAATATAAAAAACCCTGTTGATGAATAAAAAATTGTGCAGAGTTTTTACTCATTCGTAAAATGCTTCTTAAGTAGCAGGTTCCACATATTTTGACTGCTTGTAATATGATGCTTGTTTTTCTACAGTCTCATCAACAGCAACCTGATGCAAGTTTTGGGTTAGCCCGGCCCCGGTGAGGGGCTGGGGCCGTGCCTGCACCCTGCCTGCTCAGAGTCGAGCATAAAGTGTGATGGGCTGTGAGAGCCGCACATATTTCAGTTGGCAGGAGTGCAGGCATAGAGAACCAAGGTGGGCTTGAGTGGATGGATCAATTCTATGGACACCTGCATCATCCATTCCCCCCTTCCTTGGTTGCAATGGAAGCTTCTCCCATCCATGATGAATGATGAGGAAGCTCTACGTGTTTGGAAATATATCTAAATCAGCTCTTTTGAGAGCTTTGTTTACCCCATATGATGACGAAGATGATGATCTAGAAGAATTTTAACAGAGCTGGGAAAGTATGTGCTCTGCTTGGATGAAGGTATGCTCTCAGGACATGCATGAGTGCATTTATATATGGACACACAAATACAAACACACACACACATTCACACGTGCTCATCCACCACCCAGAATGGTGTTTTATTGAAGATCCAACTTGAACACTTGCATCATCTTATGAAAAAACTTGATTACTTGCATCGATGATGAGATGCACAGTAGGTGACAGTGGATAGGATGATCTGATCTCGCAGTTGATATGCCAGTTTCCAACTTCTCCTCGGATAGACTTTTGTGTATATATATTCATTAAATAGAAGCATGAACAAATCGCTTTGGATTTTGTTTTGCAGGCTTTGGTAGTTTGTTTAGAGAGTAAGCAGCACAACAAAGAGCCAGAGGGAGTGCGAATAGGAAGATAAAGCTATTTGTATGCTTTTGGGAGCTTTGGTCTGCATCCAGGTTGTTCTGACAAAGAATCTGATAGTTTACTTCTGAAGCTTTACTAGAACAATCTGCAGAAAAAGAAAAAGAAAAAAAAAGGTCATTCTGCATCATGTATCATATAACACTTTGGTCTGCATTTATTTATTTTTATGACCACCTTTGTTTTATTTGAATGCGATAATTATCTGTTGTAGCAATTCTAAAACCCTCGCCAGGTCTATGGGTCGTTAAACTCTGCAATCTAGACATGTTATTTTTCAGGCTGCATCCAATGATATCGCATGAATCTAAAAAGTTTTTGGTTTACTGCCAAATTTTTTTCATTTTGGTGTGGTGTTCTTTTCTGGACAAGTATTTCGGGTTCGGACACTAGATGCGCCCGAGAAAGTAGGTCCGAATTCACTATTGGGGTGTAGCTACAAGGGCTTGTAAGATGTTTATCAAAAGTGAAAGAAGGTTGCTTTATTTCCCGTTTGCAAATTCACTGCTCTCATTTTTGGTCGAAAGCTCACTGCCCTCTAAAGAGACAAATGGTGCTTTTACAATACTTTTTTCCAAAGCTTGTAGTGCATTAATTTGTAGTTTAAACATAACCGGTTACTCGAATTTTCGTAAATCTCAACTTGTGGGGGTATGAATAAGCTTAAGACTCGGTTTACTGTGATGTCGATGAGGCTAGAGCCTAACATTCTCCTTAGTATGTTAAATTTCCAGAAGGAAAATATTTTACTCCTCTTTACAGTCAAAGAACTGTTTGATAAGTGTGCACTCTTTTTCGTGTTTTTAATTATATATATATATATATATATATATATATATATATATATATATATATATATAGAAGAAGCCCTGTGTTTGATAATACAAATGATTAAGGGGTCGGATTAACAAAAATATATTATTAAATAATCCAATTCAGGTAGTTTTTAGGCCGCTAAACATTGGCTAGGAAGCCATATAATTCAGCTCGCCAAATAGTCCGTACCATAATTCTTTCCTTAGGTAGTCCCTCCGCAACACGTGCATAAGCATGGTATTGAGGCTGCATCATTGTCATGTGTCTTTGTTTTGTTGTCTTAGACCATGTCTTCTATTGTTCGCAAATCTCACATTTTTCTCCTCCTTGTCCCTCAAGGAACTTCCTATTAACAAGTCACCCTCACGTGCAATGCTCACCTCTTCTACGTGAAAAACACCAACAACTTTATCAAAGGTACTCTTTCAAGTTCCAAAACATGAAAAAGGCAGACAAAGGGGCTTTGCGGATGGGTGTTTCTTGTTTTCAAGTCGGTACAGTTTCCCGGGTGCTTGTTTTGTTCCCTATATGGGAAGATGTAGTATTTATATCCAATTGAAATTAAGTTCCTCACTCTGTTTCTCCAACAACATTATTTCATTTAATCCAACAATTTGGTATGGAGAAGCTGAACTCGCAGATACATTTGCAAAACTGTTATATAATCCGACAAAATGAAATGCTAAGGAAGAAAGCTCAAGTGCTCAACCAGGAGAATCAGGCTTTGTTGTCTGAGCTGAAGCAAAAACTCTCCAAGGCGGACACAAAGCTAAGAGGTAGTCCTGACATTGATGTTAGTTCTGCTTCCTCCTCAGATTCCATCAATTCCAGTAAACCGTAATTGAACAGACGCAACCTCCATGTGCCCCAACTGTCTTGCTAGACTTTCACTTCAACGAAGTTCTTGTTACCTTTCAACCGGAAAAAATAAATAAAAAAAGGTTCATTGTTCTTGCCAAAATCCAGCCTCGAACAAATTTTCCTTTTGCAGGGAAAAACTATGTGATGAATAATAAGATTCTTGAATGTAAGGAATTATTTAAAATCTCAATCTCTCTCTCTCTCTCTCTCTCTCTCTCACACACACACACACACGCATAATGAATAATAAATTCAGATAAGGCTACAAAGGCAACTTACGAATCTACATCCAGCTTCTTGTCTATGCTTGAGAAATCTTGGTAGAATGCCTTGAAGTGCTTGTAAGCAATGTCTATATCTTCCTTCCCACAAATCTCTCTAACACTGCAGTTAACGATGGAAGTAAAGAAAGGCAACAGTGATGAATCATTTCAACATACCAGGTTGGAGAGAACAGCATTGTATCAGAGAGTAACAAAAAATGAATGGCAATCCCTTTTATTTATTATTTTTAATGTTTCTTTTCTTTTTCTTTTTCCAAAAAGCAGTTCTGACAGGAAGAATTAAGCCAATTGATTCTCTCACAAGATCAATTGACTCTTCTTAAAATGAAATCAATAGAATCACAAGATCACAACATGGAAATCATTTTCCTCTCTTTTTACTCAAACAATATCCTGTCTTCTTCCCGACATCGTCTCATCGTAAAACAAATTTTCAGCTCATCAGAATAACAGCCACAAAAAATAGAACCAAATACTTAATGCAGTGAACAAGTTTACCTGCCACTAGAAATTCAAGAGCATGAAAAGCAGAAATTGGAAAAAATAAAAAATAAAAAATAAAAAATAAGATCCAGAATAAGTAGACAAATTAACCCAAAAATTGCATGGCCTTGACAGCTTTTCTCCTAGGATATTTAGAGTTGAAAGAATCTACAAGGTGTATTCAGTTGGCTGCATATCCTTCTAACGCAGGACTAGGAGTTTGTGTGCGTGCAGCTACTAACACTAAAATGTCGCATTCTCTAGAAAGAAATAATTATTACTCCTCTATGTATACATCCATAAGGATTATCTGAAATTTTAAAATTCAGACATATAATATTAACTTATCTTTTATTGAAAATTATCAGTTACATATAAAGGAGCGCTCATATACTTTAAACCTATCTTGGTGGGAAATATCAAAATGCTTAAAGATTTTATCATTCTTATGACGATAGTTAATCAATAATATTTATTCACTTTACTAGTTTAGTGGCTCAATTTCATTTTGTTTGGAGGAAAGGCTCACTATAGTTAGCTTGTTAATAATTTAACCCAACCCCAGATGCAAGACTGAATGTGCTAACTCCCACCCAATGGTGGTGTCTACTCATCACAAAATATCGTGATTAATAATACTAGTCACCAAAAGCTTTCCTACACATAGATAGTTGTTACTCCCCACCCAGTGGTATCCGCCCATTAAGAAATATAATCCAATTATTTCTTAAGGCCAATTATTATGATCAATAATACTAGAGTCGCCAACCACCACACGATGTGGCAGATAACATGACAGTATCATAGAAATAAATGAAGTCCAGTCCAGAGTGAGACCACAAAAATTACAAAATGAAAATATTTATACCAAAAATAAAAATGAAAAATGAAACACAAAATAGCAGTTGGTTTAAAAATATTTGAGATCTATTTTAATGTGACACATCAATTTATTGTGATACCTGTGCATAGAAAGTTGAGGGATGCCACAATCAACAGTACGAATACCAGCCCCTGAAGCTAGTATGGGACCTATGGTAGATCCGCATCCCATATCATTTCTCACCACAAATTCCTAATCAGAAATAATCAAATAGGTAAAAAGTGATGAGCTAAATTACAGTTATCTGAGGTAGAGATTGTAGAAAAAGAATCAACCAAACATATAGACCACTCAATATTCTTTATTTAGGTAAAAAAGTGATGAGCTAAAATATAGTCATTTGCTGCCACTTGTTGACCTCATCCCAAAATGCTTTAAAATGACTTCCAAAACAGGACTGATTTATCCTTAGAGTGACATACCTCATCATCGAGGTCGTTCTATAGTATCTCATCCACAAAGGAGACGCTAAATTAAAGGGAGGAGGAGAAGGAGGGGGGTTTTTAATATAGAAAAGAAAGTCACTAGTGACCTTCAGAGTTTCTTTGCGATATGGATTTCAATTTTTGTTGTAATAGGTCAGCAACATTTGAATATACTTTTAGAAAGTAATCTTTTTTTTTGGGGGGCCCAGTAAATAAACGAAAGAAAGAAATTACTCACTAACAGTGAATACCTGACTTATTTAATGCAAGATTGTTAAAAGGGGTAACCAAACTGGGTTGGCCAACAGTGAATACCTGAGTTGGAAGGTTGTGGATTTTGCCAATTTCTTTGAAAAGAAAAGATGTAACTCCACTAGTAGCATAGCGCTGGTTTGCATTATGCTTGATAACGAGTCCCTTTTGCATTTCTGGTCGATGGTGTTCTTCATGCTTGTCCATGAAATTTGGGTGTACACCATGAGCCATGTCTGCTGACACTATTAAGAGAAAGCATCCAAAATACACACTCAGAAAGTAGAAATTGAACAAAATAAGTTATATGCCCATCACAAAAGAATAAAATGAGCTATATAACAGTCTATCAAAACTTCTCTGCAGTTTGTTAGATTGTACTGATGTCAGGATCAACACTAATGTCTTTGCCTGCTCATATATTTATGGGGTTTCATCAGCAATGGCCCTTGAACTTTTGGGCTTTCATCAAAGTGGTAACCCAACTTTAATTAATGTGGTCCTCGTCCTTTCCCTATGTGCATTAGTGTGGTACCTCTGTTAGAATCTGTTTGAGTACAAATTCAGTTTCCAGGGATAACTCAATTAAAGTAGAAAATAAAAGAATGTACAATATGTATGTATTGTCTTAATTATTCCCAGCTTCACTGTCTCGGGTTTCCATTTGAATGGAAGGATTTAAAACGAGAGATTTGGATTTGAATTTTTAGTGTAAATTGTTGAACAGGACGTTAGAAAAATTAATTCCTTATGTCAATCAAATACAAATTTGATTGTCTTAGAAAAGGAGGGATTTGAAAATAAATTTTTCACTTGAATATTTGAAACCTTTCCTGTTCATAAATAAACAGATTTATGTGTGGTTTATGAAGATAGGAAATTCATACTGCTAAATGCCAATTAACCAATTTACAATCAAACCCAAACCCTAATTTTAAATTCTTCCATTGAAATGGACCAAACTGTAGTATATCAGGGTATAATTCTAAATAATAGGTCAAAAACTTCCTAGAATGAAATTATGTACCCTAACTTGGGGTACATTTATTTTCAGGCATGTGACTGGAAAAGTTGATGACATTTGTTAATACCAACAAAAGTACATGGGGATAGAATTGTAGTGCGTACACCTTTTTCAACAATTTAACATACATAAAGCTAAACAAAAAAAATCTAATATAATGACGAAAAGAGAATTATAAAAAGTCCTGCAGGAAAAAAAAATTAAGGTGCAGATCATACCAAGAAATGATTTGCGAATTGCACGCTCAAAAGCACCTTCACCAACATATGTGTCAGCTAAGCAACTAATTATACGTCTCATAGCCTGAAACATAGTTGGAGCACCAGCCCCCTGAATTGAGCCTGAACCAACCTAAACAATAAGAGTTAGAGATAACATCTGTGAACTGGTAAAAAAGGCAAGAGATAATGCACATGTAACACTACTATCATTTATAATTGCAAAATGAGTAGCAAGAGGATGTGCCTTGTAGAAATAAGAACTAACAAATTGAAAGACATCTGACAGACAGTGATAACTGGTTTTATTAATAACATGTTGGTTAAAAACTAGCAATTCCATAGCAAACTCATTTATTCAAAAAATAATAACATAAAGTGAAAAAGAACTTAAAACATGGACCTCTACACACAGAGAAAAGTAAATATTGGCTTTCCAGATAGTGTAGCATTTGTGTTCATGACTGACACTCTGAAAATGTGGGGTCAGTACTTGTCACATCATCAGTTAACGGCCAATTTGGCAGATTTGTAATGGAGGTCTAACATTGCAACGAAATCATAATTTCAGGTCTAAGATTGCAACGTGTTAAAGATGAGGTATGAATTGACAAAGGGTGCAGACTTGGATGGGGTAAAGTGTAATTGGCCCTATGTGTATAATCCTTCAAGTAATTTTAGAGTTCATCACAAGTGATTAAGTGATTAACTAGATTCTCATAAGATAGAGAATTTGTGAGGCACAGAAACTATCCTTAGAGACATGAATCTGAATCTCGCATGACAAGAAAATCACTAAGATCAGGATAAAGGAAACTTCATGCTGTGAGAACCTGTGAAGAATGAAATACCTCTTCATTGTCAAATAAAGCAACCATCCGTATAGCCTGTTCACTTGATAAATCACCAGGTGATTTACATGAATCAATGAGAGCCCTTAACGCGCAATAACTTGAGGCAAGATTATCTAACCTTCCTGAAAAAATAAATTCATCGTTTCCACCTCCAAGGCAGCTAGGTTGTGTATCACAAACATTCAGCTCAATACTCACTATGTCGTCAATGTTAGAATTAAGCTCATCTGAGAGAGCCTGAAAATCATAGTTGTGTGTATTAGTTCAATGAAAATGTATTTGACACCTAAACTACTTCACAAAACTCAAATTAGTGCACCAAATGAAGAAGTTGAAGTTTTAAGTTAAAGTTAGCGCTAGATATAAGAGTTCACAAGTGCACAAGTCCAACACTAAATATCTGTGATATAAGTCAAACATAAAAACTGGACCATTCTAGCCATTTGATATGGGAATGCCCACATAATATATCCAACGTAATAAAATCACATCACATACGTTTCTTTATAGATAACTACCATTCTTATATAGTCTCATGGTATTACCATTTCTGTAGA